GTAGCAATAACATAGTTGAGGTCACTGAGGCATTCACGGACCTCATAGGGACCGGTAAATTTAGCAGAGAGAGAAGAACCAGGGATCGGCAGCAAGGCCAGCACTATGTCACCAACATCGAATCGGCGTGGGACAGCAGATCGGTCATAAAGACGCTTCATCACAGTCTGGGAGGACACAAGACACTCTTTAGCGAGCGAGTTTGCACGGTGTAAACGCTCGCGGAATTTACTCACAAAATCAAGTACATTCTCTTCACGTGAGACTTCAGAGGACAGGAATTTTTCTTGCAGAGATTTAAGCGGACCGCGGAGTGTGTGGCCAAATACGAGCTCTGCGGGGCTAAAACCTAAGGATTCCTGGACAGTGTCACGAGCGGTGAACAACACGAACGGAACCCCTTCATCCCAACTTTTACCTGTCTCTAGGGAGTATTTACGCAGCATGGATTTTAACGTCTGATGCCAACGTTCTAACGCTCCCTGGGATTCAGGATGATACGCGCTGGACACGGAGTGTTGGACATTGAGCGTTTTAAGGACTTGTTTGAACAACCGAGACTGAAAGTTTGTACCTTGATCGGTCTGGATAACACGAGGGAGGCCAAACGTGGAGAAAAACTTTGTCAGGGCTTTGACTACAGAGCTAGACGTAATTTTACGCAGCGGGACAGCTTCAGGATAGCGGGTGGCAGCACACATAATGGTGAGTAGGTACTGATTACCTGTTTTAGAGCGGGGCAATGGGCCTACACAGTCTAAGATTATACGCTCAAAGGGCTCACCTATGGTAGGAATAGGATGGAGTGGAGCAGGTGGGATGGTTTGGTTTGGTTTACCCGCTAGTTGACACACATGACAAGAGCGACAGAATTTGGCTACATCAGATTTTAACCCAGGCCAGAAGAAATGCTTGAGAATGAGGTTGTAAGTCTTATTCACCCCCAAATGACCTGACCATTTGCTCTCGTGGGCAACTGACAATACATGCTGCCGATATACAAAAGGCACTACAACTTGTAAAGCACTACTTTCGTAATCAGACACTGCAGGAGTCCATTTACGCACCAGGATGTCTTTATTCATAAGATAAGATACTGTTTCACCACTTGCTTTGTCGGCACTCACCACACTTTTGAAGCAACGTGCCAGAGTCGGGTCAGCCCTCTGCGCAGCGGCGAGACGTTCACTGCCCACCGGCAGCGTCGGACTGTCCAACGGCGCCGAACTCAGATTCGCAGAACCCACGGGCTCGGCACTTTCTGACAGCAGAGATGTGGGAGCTTTCTCCATCACAGCTTCCACATCTGAAAAAGCAGACATTAGCACAGTATCCGACAGTGAGAATTCATCCAATTTACGAGATTGCGCACGAGTTACGGCACAAGATGGAAACCGTTTCTGGGCAGTTTCTGTTTCATTTTCTACATCAGTGCTCTGCGGAGAGTCAGACACCTCTAGTGCAGGGGTTACCTGGCCACCAGCGATGTCATTACACATGAGGAGGACTACTCCTTTTATAGGCAGAGCAGGACAGACAGCCACAGGAAAAACACCACTTATCAATCGGGACTTAATGTGGACTGTATGCACTGGCTGTGGGACATAACCCATCTCAATACCTTGTAAGGCAACAGTATAACCACAAAAAGAGAAAATGGCAATGCACTAGCCAGTATAACAGATTGAGAGCCACCGGTGTCCCTCAAAATGCGTACTGGGCACTGATCAGCAGTCTTACCTGTCAGAGATACATACCCGTCGAATATGAACGGCTCAAAACATGGATCTGGGCAAACAGAAGAAACAGCATTAGATTCTACACCTGTCTCAGATTTAATGAGCCCAACGCCTTTAGGGGGCGATCCGTTGCCATTCTGTTTTTTCCTGTTTAAGGAGGGGCAGTTTGCAATGAGGTGTCCAGATTTATGACAATAGTTACAGCTTTTCATCTCTTCTGTGGAACACTCTGGCTTGTCCACTCTGTGGTGCCGGAGCACGAGGCTTTTCATAAGCAGACAGAAACACAGGTTTGTGGGTTAGCACAAATTCATCAGCCAGTACAGAGGCTGCAGAGAGAGATGAAACTTTCTGTTCATTTAGGTACACAACAATGCGCTCTGGCAGACATTTCTTAAATTCTTCCAGAAGTACCAGTTCACGGAGTGAACTGAAATCAGCAGTTTTACTAGCATTGCACCATTTATCAAAGAGGGTTCCCTTTTCCCTTGCGAACTCCACATACGTCTGTTCAGGGCCCCTTATATGGTTCCGAAATTTTTGCCTGTAGGCTTCAGGGACTAATTCATAGGCACGTAAAATAGACATCTTAACCTTTTCATAGTTTAAGCTCTCCGCTAAAGGTAGAGCAGCTACAGCTTCTTGTGCTTTACCGTGGATCTTACATTGAAGAAGTAGTGGCCACTCTTCATAAGGCCACCGAAGTGCAGTCGCAATGCGCTCAAATGCCGGGAAATAACTGTCAACTTCAGAGTCTCTGAATGGTGGAACAAGAGAAATGTGCTTACCAATGTCAAAGGACTCTCGGGTAGAGCTGGTGGACGGAGGTGACATTATTGCATCTGCAGATGCATCCAGTGCTGGGGTTGCTTTCAGCTGAGCTTCTAGCTCCAGCTGACGTAGTCGGACTGCTTTATCAGCCTCGATCTCCATTTTCCGGATCTCAAGCCTCAGCTTTGCTTGCCGGTTCTCTGCTCTCTCCTGGGCCTCCATCTGGAGTCGTGCCAGCCTGACTTTCAGTCTGGCCTCACCCAGAGAATCAGTGCTGCCTGAGAAAGGAGGATTGTAGCGAGGCAAGGTAAAGGGAGTTTTGGGCTGAGCAGACACTTTACTGAACTCCATTGTGCAGTATAATCAGCCGCAGTCTCAGAGCCAGGTGCGCACACAGGTGACTCAGGGAGCACCGGCAAAACAATGAAACCTAATTCCACCAACTTACCTATGACTAGAGATTTTAATTCTTTTTTCAGGATTGATTTGGCAAACAGGACATTGAAGTGCACAGCTATCTCGACCAAATTATCCTTTCTGCACTTATTAATCTGGTCAAGTGACGGATTTAACAAGAAGCTGTCAAGATCAAAAGATGCCATTTTACCTACCTAAGCACACACACAATAATCTTACCTTTATTAACAAAAACTTTTCGGATTTCCGGGTCTCCTTTAACGGATTAGGATCCCGGACGAGCCCCCATTTATGTTACGACCAGCTCGTTAAGGGACAAGGGAAGCAACATAAAACCAACCAGATGTTAAATGATCAAATCAAGTTATTTATTAACAAAAGTAAATTTGGCAGTAACAAAAAAAAAAGAGAGGCAGCAAAGGCCTTAAAGGAGGTTTAACAGGTTGCCAAAACACAGGAACACTCTAACCTAGAGTTAGTTACACAGCTAAATAAACAAGATCTGCTCACATAGGCACAGAAACGAAATAAAATACAATAACTCAGCCCTAGTGCTGAATACAAAAAGAAAGCAGGTAGGCGTGTGCAAAACCAATATGCCTCACAAACTACGAAAGTCCCAATTCACAATCACAAAGACACTCAGTCTGGAGAAGAGGCATGGGAGCTCCACTGGTTACAGCGTGCTCCCCGATCTGCAGGTCCGTTGGAGTTTTATCCACTCCCCCCAAGTGGCTCCTCTCAATTGGCGGAAGCCCACAGCCAGTCAGTCCTTGCCGTTTCCAGGTGGAGGTGATCAGGCACTTAATTAATCCGCAGCCATGGCAACCTGTGAGCTGCAGGCAGCATGCACACACGGGCACACTCACACACACACACACACACACACACACACACACACACACACACAGAGGAAGACCAAAGACTTGCCACACTACGGCGGCGGCCGTAACAAAACACTGATTTCCTTTCACATCATGGATTCAAAGAGAAACCTTTTTTTGTTTGTTTTTTTACCTGGAATGTGGTATAGTTACAATAACCAACATTTGGTCAATACTCCTGGGAACAGACACAGATGATCACTTTTCTCGTCAATCCATCTGATGATGACCCAATTTCTTTCTTGTTTGAACCCTCAGCCCCCTTTTTTCTTCTCGTACCTATATTCATCATTTGAGTACTGCTCTTTACATCACCCAACAAACTGTTCTGAGTTGATATCATCATGAGCATGGTTGAAAGAAAAATTGTATGTGTATGCTACCACGTGTATTTTATCATTATATAAGTATGTTACTCATCATTTACTGAAACTCACTTGGTGTGAATGCTTGCGGAATTATATCTGTATCTTTTTAATGAGCATGGGAAAGGAGAAGTATGGCCTTGGAGTTGGGACTGATACATTTCCGATGAAGACATGCAACTAGATGAATGTTACAATTTCACTCACAGGTTGTCTTTGTTCTCCCAGTACAGACCATAGCTGCAATCTGTACCCTATTTGGATACTGTTGTAATGCCATGCCACTTGTGAGATGATATTAGTGGGCGGGGGTTTCTGTTTCTTGACTGCATAAAGGATGTGTAAAAATCTGAATTCCTCAGTCAGAGGAAGCTGCCTTTGTTGTAAGCTGCTGACTTCTTGCAAGTAAAAGATATCCAAGAAAAAAGAAGTCCACTATCTCTGTCATTCTTCTCAGCTGGCTGCAAATCAGATGCAGTTTAATTTTTCTAACAATGGTGTTAAGGGTTTTGATTGATCAAACTGAGCATACTGAAGGGATAGTTCTGTTTTTTAAATGGGGTCATATGAGGGATATGTTACAATATTTCTTTGCTGAAACACTTGACCTGATTGTCTGAACCAAATGCTAAGCGGCCTGAACCCTTTAATTGAATCAGTCACACTTTTTGAAAAACCATAGGCACTTTTCACCTGGTTAGACGCAACTTGCAAGATTCATCCACACAAACTAACACACAGTTTGGTCATACTAACTAGGCTACGTGATTTCCTTTACCTGTTGAAACATTTTGAGTCATTAAGGAAAGACGCACAACAAGGCAGTAAGTCATTTAAAATGGAGGAGTTTAATGGTAAAAACATATTTTGAAAACACATTAACACAGATCAAAATCACAAAACTATCACCACCACGATCACATGTGCACCAATGCAGGCCGAACAGGGGCCCATGACATGCCACCACTGGTGAGTGCTGTACAAAACCTTTAGGCTTTGGAACCACAGTCTGCTGCCATGAAAAGGAACTCAGATGGGCCACTCAGGTCTACGGGCTCCTCCTCACGCCAAGGTTTCGTCTCGACTTATGGAGCTTGAGACACTCCTGCCAGTTTCTTCATCTTATCCTGTTGCCAAAGAGGCCATGGTCAGTTTCCAGGTTAGGCCGTCCGAGTTGCCCTACATTTAAAAAAAATCATTATTATTGTGGCTCAATAAAAACTTCATTGTACCAAAAGGGGGAGTCAGCGCACCTGCCAAACCTACAGATGTGTCCTGAATGATGTTGTTTTCATTTTCCAAGCTCCACAATCCAAATTTAAAACATGGAGCACATAAAATGAGTCAGTGGTTTTCCTGATCATAAGTCATACTGTCTCAAAGAGTTAACCACCCTCTTTCAGACTGTAATCAGATTTGAGTCACAACTGGACTGGGTGCACACATGGCCGACACAGGATAGTTAAAGGATAACATTTAACCAATCCAGGACTAGATCCTCAACACTGGAGCCTGTGTAACATCAGAACATGAGCTGCCACAACTCAAATTCTGTACACCAAATATGATCATTTAGCTTACTAATCAAGGTATTTACTGGTATATAAAAGTCAGAATAAAATAATTACTTAAATACCAACAAGAATGCATCTGACCTAAATTGGCTCATGGTCAATAGAAATAAACAAAGAAATAAAATTTCTCCAGTGTTGGTTTGTGTCTGAGCCCACTTGAGAAAAAAAAAATCATGAACGTGAAGCTGGGCAATCAGAAATTTCCGGTTCAAAGTAGTTAAATTTGGTGAGATGGTTTGACCCAGTAAAATCGATCATCTTAGCCTTTCTCTTACACAGTCAAGTTTGGGAATATTTTTGCTCTGTATGAGAGGAAAGAAGCACAAACTATTAAGAAATTTGACCAGTTACAAAAACATCACATGACCTACTTCATAATTTGGCACAGAGTTTTTATCACAGAGCATGATATCAGCCATACCTCAGTATTCACTCCTTGGCTTTCTTCTCGCTGTTTTGGAGTTTCTCCACTATTTTGCGCTCATGTCCGGCAGGGTTGTGTCTGTTCGTGTTATCACTGGCCTCCTTCTTCGTCCTGCCTTTACGAGCTGAACCCTCTGTAAAGAAATCAAAGATTTACTTAAATTAAAAGGATCCAAGAAGGCACTCGAGTCAAGATTTCGCAAGTTAGCAAGCACGCGACAGTGCAAACAGAAGTGCAGCTCACCAGTGTATTTGTCGGTTAAATTATAATACTCATATTGGTCGTAGTACTCGTTTTCAAAGCTGGTGGGCTTCAGGTTTTTCACGTCGACGTGACTCATGTTTGTTTCCTCCTGGTGGGAAAGTTTTGTCAGAAACAGACAAAAAGCAGCGGATTTCGGGTCGGCTTCTTCTTCTCTTTTGTCTTTCCTTTGGAGAGAAAAACAGATTATTTTTTCTGAAAGTCTCTGCGGGTTTTATAACCCAGACACACTGCTCCTCCTCCCCACAGACACTCCTCCCTCCACGGGTTTCCTATTTCTGCAGCAGAAATATTGCATCATACCAACCAAAACTTCATGACAGCTGGAAGTCTCTTGAATTTTCCACTGATGTACAGAGCAAAGTTCATCCATTCAGCGGCGGTCTCCTGATCCGGCCCGCATTAATTCAATTTCTTCACTTGTGAGGAATTTGCACATAGACTAATGGACCTACTCCTGACCACGTTAGTCTGAGATTTTTAGTGAATTATCAATTTAGGATTTATTCAAAGTTTTATTGACACAAAGTTGTGTAGAGTTTAAAAAGTATTTTTTGTTTGTTTGTTGATTTTGTTGTTGTTGTTGTTGTTGTTTATATTTAAAAAATGTACATTAGTTCAACCAATTTTGCAGTAAAGATGTTTATTTTCGGTGATTGTTGAAGTCTTTTTTTCTTAATAAGACAGCAAAAATACAACAATGGGGGAGACCAGTAGTGGTTGCAGCACATTTGGCTTCAGCATCTGTGGCATCACAATAACAGAGCAGTATATACTGTCTAAGTATGTGCAGCAGTATGAGGTGTGTGCTACAACCAACACGTCAGTTGTTCAGAACATTTGCATGTTGTTCAAAAATTGATTCATGCATCAGTAAAGCTGAAACTGGACTTTTAAAATACATGTTCACTAAAAACACAGTAAAATGAACTTCTTATAGCTGACTAATGTAGAAAATGCTGTCAAGGATCAATTTTCTCTGTGAAGTGTCACCCGTTGTCAGACTAAAACTAGCCTGAGTGCTCCGAGCATGCTTCCAGGCTTTGGTAAGTTAAGAAAACCAGACCAAGGTTAAATTTTCCTATCATACAAACAGTCCAAAGCTGTGAAAGTGACGTTCTCATCATTCAACACACATCCTGTTAGTGCTTTACAAACACATTCTGTCACTTGTATTGAGACATAATAGTTCAACCAGTGATGATTTAATAGTAATTTGCTGAAAGCTGTTTAGCTGTTTGCTTTTGTGCATCATAGAAGGGTATCAATATTATTTCAGTCTATTTTTTAAATGTGGAGAAATTCACAAATGTTTTAAGTCATATAATGTAGTTTGCAATAATATAAGTAACTTGTTTTTTTGCAACTCAAAATTAGTTGTTTTTTTTTTCTCCGTAGAAACTAGGTGCACTTGGTCACAGCCTTGAAACTTTCTGTGACATCTAGGAGGAAGTGGGTAAACAGTGCATTTATCATGTGGCTCCAATGTTATCCTTGATTTTAGGAAATGATGGTGTTATTATACCTCTCAAGTTACAACTACACTCAGTCCCCCCATTTTCTGTACCAGTAACTTGATTGTCGAATTTCCCTTCAGGGATCAATAAACTCCTTCTTCTATCTCATTGTTATCACTTAGGTGCACCACTGTGTTTAGTCTTCTCTGCTCTGTTTCACTGGAACACAGCCCTTCATTGTGAACTTGAGTAGAGGCCATTTTTCTGCCTTTTATATTAACAGTACAACCAGTGTGAGGGTTGAAGTTACAGTCCTACATTTGACTCTTCAGCAGAGTCTGACCTTTGGCTCTGCAGCAGATCAGGGCGACATTATTGTCTTTGCTACTCAGCAGCTGCTCTCCTCCCACAGACAGCCCTGACCTGATTTAGTGTCCCTGTTTGTGCACATGACCTCAGTGAAAAGACAAAAACAACTGCATGTTTGGGTGTATTCTTATTGCACTGTACAAACTCTTGATGACATTTCAGAGTCAAATAAATTTTGGAAGAAAATAAAAATTGTGTGAAGAAAGCTCAAAGGTTTTTTTTTTTTTTTCATTTTACTTCTCTTTCTTCTGCATTCATTTTAATTGCATTATACATTTTTTTCTATTGTATGTTCATTTTTATATGAATCCTACTTCATCCAGTTAGATTGTAATTTACTTTCTATTTCATTTTTAACTTTATTTTCACTTTCTCTCTATGTACAAATAAAGTAGTGTGTCCTTGTTTTATGTTTTTTTCATAAAAGGTAACCCATTAAAATATATATCCTTATGTACAATCACTGTAATCTACAGTCCTGTCAAAAAATACCCTTTTTTAACCCTGGTTATGTAACTTCTTAGCATAAGAAAATAAATGTTGCCTGTTGCAGCCTCGAACATAAACATGGTCTGTAACAGCAAAGGGGAAAAGTGGAGTCATGATCTGATTCTCCACATTTTCACTGCTCTGTGATTATTGCTGTTACGTCCACTGTCATCTGACGGTTAAACAAACTTCAAATGCTGCAGTGAGTCACCAGAGCTCCAGTTATAGCCACTGCATACTTTTGCAGAGCTGGTAGTCATTTGGTGCATGGAAAAACACACAAAAAGAATCACAAGATTAGTTTCATAGTTTCATGTGTCATGGTCAAGTACTGCTGGTTTGATTACCATAGTGAAAGTACAACAATGTTCAAAACTCAATCTGAACTCAAAATGTACAGGTATTTGTAGCTTTTCTGTTTTAAGTTTTACAGTGTAGATTCCAAGATTTGTGTTTGGAAAACACTGCAGTAAAAATACACCAGTATTCTGAACAACATTTAGTTCGAGTGTTGCTTTCAAAGTACAGGGCAAGTATTTAAAAAATAACTTTGTAATACAGTATGGTGCTAAAAGTACTGCAGTACAATACAGTATTCTTAGCCACATAGAGCTGAAGTAAAATGTTCACTTGTATTACCAGATTTTTGCAGTTAAATCATCAGATGAATTGGTTTTGAAAAATTAAAACTGCTAAATAAGGACTTTAACAGATAAGGTTACATGTAAGGAAAAGCAGAAGTCTCTAAAATACTTGTCATAACTGTATACGGTAGATTCATAAAGCTAAACACATTAACATAAAAAGAACAAAACCAACAACTCTTTCATCCTTAAAAACTCATGTAATTGAAGTGTCAGCAAAGACTGAGTTGTTTGTGTTTTACAGTAATGGCAGTCATGTGCTTCACTGTTTGTATAAAGAGTTTCATTCTGGTCTCATGACTTTATATTTACTACAGATGAATCACATTAATCTCTAGAACCATAGATGAGCCTCTGTTTCTTTCTCTAGACTCTTCTGGAGAACGTTGTGAACGTGACTGTTTGCAGGCAGAGAAAGATGTCAGGAGAGAACGTTAAAAAAAAATTAAGCTGCAGGCACGTTTTCTTGCTTCATAAACACAGCCTTTAGTCCCAGAGAGGAGAGAAAATAAGCTGAAGAGGAGGTGCTTTAAAACCACCCGCCTGCTGTTTGCCTACGCTGTTTTATGAAAACACACCAGAAGCTTTTTGTTGCTCTGATTTTGAACATTTCCACATGCTGTTGTTTCATGTTAAACTGATGTTTGTCAGTCTGGTTTTCCTCTCCGTCCAGCAGTGATGAGACTCAGCACAGTAAATATTTGCAGGAGTATAAGCCAACCTGTCTGAGCTGCGAAAGTGTGCTTCTAGAGGCTTGGCATATAGCACACCCAGTGTACAAACAGAGTTGTTAACCAGGTTACAGATAAGATATCTTTCAGAAAGTCAGTTTTATGGTCTGAGTCTCACTGGTGAATGCTGACAGCTCACAAGACACATTTTAACCTGATTTTAAATAGGTCATCATGTTGAATGAATCAAAAACACCCAGTGCCAGCTCTTGCAGTCTGATCATGTTTAACCTTGTCTCCAAGTCAAACCTCTTTTTTCAGCAGGGAAAACAGTTTAGAGCGTTTTTGCTGTTTGGTATCCTTTTCCTAGAAGGAAGGGATAATGTGCTGGGATCAATGTGAACCAATCCAGGTGTAAAACCAGGTGAAATAATGACTGTCATTGCGGTGGAGTTAAAATGTTGCAGTCTTTTAACAAATAGGTTGGTGGAGAAAATTTTGTTTGGTGTTGTAGCTAATGGGTAGGAAAATGTGATGCTATAGACAAAAAGCTGTCTTTTCAGCAGAGAAATTAAAAAAAAAGGGGGGGGGGGGTCCTTTTTTGGAGAAAACACAATGCAATGAATCAAATGGATCAAAATATGTTTATCCTATCAGTGGAGAAACAGAGACGTGATGCAATAACTAACAAGTATTTGTCCTTAGGGAAAAAAAAAACAAAGCAATGAAGTAAAACATGTGTGTCCTCTTTTGAAAAAACTTTTATGCAGGACAGGAGCTAATTTTTGTCCTTCCAGATGATTAAACAAGTGGCACTTACATGATCAGAAATCTTTAATCAGAGAAAATGTGGTGCAAAACTGTCCATTCTGTGCAATAGTTTAGTGGAGGAAAATTTAATGCAACAGCAAATGGATATCATTCAATCTGAGAAAATGCAAATTTTGTAGTAGCTAATGAGCTTCTTTGCAGATGACATACTGTGATAACTGGATGGAAAAAAACCAAAGTGTATTGTAAAGCAGTATTGAATTGGTGCCACTCGGGAGGTTCAAATACTGATGCATTCTTAGGGGCCTTGTTTGTGCAGAAAACTTGATGCACTTCCCCTGAAAAATGTTGGACCAATATCATTCAAATTACCAAAAGCAAAGTTTATCACTTCCTTGAGTTTATCTCAAGATTTGTTAACTGTTGATTCATAAAAACTCTGTCCAGATCTGTAAGTGTGGCCCTCATACTAGACAATTGACATAGATCATTAGCTCATGGGATGTTTATCTGTCAAAAGGTATGATGATAACAAAGTTTACTCATGACATCTAGCACAGGCCAAAGTACTAACATCAGATCAACTGAAGCTCTGGTGCACAAAACTTGAGCTTAAAAAATAGGCTTTCGTGCAGATTACCCTCAACAGTTGCAGTTAGTGTTCAATCCGCTTTACCTTTGTGTTCCCTCTAAAGGCAGGAGCAAGTTCAGAGTGTACTCCAGTAATCTTTGAGCTTCAGGAAGGCTGGTGACATCTGTTTTACATTACAGGAAAACATGCAGGACATTATTGGTTGGCTAATTTCCACAGTGAAGAAGCCAATACAGATTCGACTTTTAAAAAAACCTGATGGCTCAAATGGTTGAAGACAGTCATTTGTTGTTTGCAGTGGTAAGCACTCAGACTTCAGTTTTTGCATCTTCAAAAACCTTTTTGTCTGTAAAGGTTACAGTTAGTCTTATTTAACCAAAATAAATACTAGTTTAAAACCAAATAAAATTTTTCACTGATGTTTAAGTAAGAACTCTAGTGTCTAAGGAAAAGGACAAGACAAAAGAAGAAAGAAAAAACAATTACTCCAACTTTACATGATAGATTTGAAAAAATTGAATTTTCATTATAAAATTGCCACTGATATCGGGTGGGGCAGAGGTATCAGGTCAAAGGACTAACAAATCAAAAAGGTAGGTAGCTACAACAAAGGATAGCATTGTAAAAAAAATGCTATGCAAGAACCAATATCTCGGAATCCAAATAAATTATCCGAAAAAGTGCATTAATTGTCTTTCCACAGTGTTTTGTCAACGACAAAGCAACAGCATTCACGCTTTGTACTGTATATCGAGCCTGTAATATCATAAACTGTCCCGCTGGTGGCGGTGTGTCGAAGAGCTGTCGACTTACGTCAACACCTTCGAAGAAGAAAAAGATCATTTCTGTCGTTAGAAGTCGACCATAAATAATCATCAAAAACCGTCAGTAGCTGTCTTTACAGGCTGCGGTTGCAAAGGTAGGTTTATAGAGCGATTGTTACTTTTACGACTGAAAGAAACACTTCTAATGTTTTGTTGCATGAGCACGAACTGCAATGTGCTAGCCTAGCATGTATTAGCTAATCGGACCACCTGCTAATAAAGTCAGCTAACAGCGATGAAGCTCAAAGCTAATATTGTTCAGTTCTGAACAGAGTAACGCCGTTAACCTTACAAACACATAAGTGTGTCTTTTTCTCACAGTGTAACCTAAAGTTCATGGAGCTTTATGACCAGCGACAGTGTAATACTGAATGAAGAAAAAACAGAGCTCCACTGAGAAGTTTGATACTTAATTAACTTTTTGGTATGATGCTAATGCAAAACTAAGGTGGATATAAACTTAACACCGTTTCTGTAGTTCTGCTGTAAATAATTGAGAACTAAAAATCAAATTAAAAACCATCCTGTGTTTTGCCTCTGCTTTCAGCCACGCTGACCTTGAAATTAAAGCTTTTTATTCTCCCTCCTTTGTTTATGTCAATTTAACAAACCTGTCTGATCCCTTAAGGTCCTATTCAGAAGATGTCAGCTGATACCAAGATTGCAGAGCTGCTCACAGAGCTCCATCAGCTCATCAAACAGACCCAGGTAGGTTCATTGTTATTGTTCATGTTCATGTTACATTACAAGTTAATACGAATCGACTAAAATGAATATCTGTCTGTTTCCCAAGGAGGAGAGGTCCCGTAGTGAACACAACCTACTCAACATACAGAAAACTCACGAGAGGATGCAGACAGAAAACAAAAGTTAGTCTAATCATTGTGAACTTTCGAAAAATAGCAATCAGATCTGTAAGACACGTGATTTATTTCTTGCCAGCCAATTTATTTTGTTCCTCTTTCTTCCTCAGCTTCCCCGTATTATCGCACCAAGCTCAGAGGTCTGTACACCACCGCCAAAGCTGATGCTGAAGCAGAGTGCAGGTTAAGATTTACACTCACTTTCTTTTAAAGTAGGTATTAACTAAATGATATGAACCTGGTTGGAATAAGACAAAGACAAATGCCCAATGATGTAAAACAGTCATCAGACAATGAGCAAAGGCTATTTGACATTTTCAATTTGTGGTTCATAAAGCTGAAGATTTTTTATTTTTTTTTACTTTGATAGCTAGAATGAATTAAAAACCAGCTATACCTTGTTTTTAGATACTTTTAACTCAATTATATGTAGCGATATAAGAATGGTAGGATGTTGCGAAATTTTCAGATTTTTCAACAGTTATGAAAGGGCCACAAAGGCGAAGGGCCACACATCACATCAAATGTCTTGCCTTGAAATTTCAAATGACATTCAAGCTTTCTTTTTTTTTTTTCAAGAGTTTTGGCTTTGCTTCTAAATCTGCTCTTTCACTTTTTTTTCACTTTCACAGTATCCTGCGTCATGCTCTTGATAAAATAGCAGAGATCAAGTCTTTGTTAGAGGAAAGGCGAATAGGTATGTGTGATGAAGAGAGATATTATGCAGATAGACTGAGACTTCTGTTTAATCAGATATTAATATTGTGCTTGCTTGCGTGTTGGTTTGTATTTGCAGCTGCTAAGATGGCTGGAGTTTACAGCGACAGTGACCCTCCCAGGAAGACGATGAGACGTGGCGTCTTGATGACGCTTCTACAGCAGTCGGCCATGACGCTCCCTTTGTGGATTGGCAAACCCGGGGAGAGGTAACTACGGAGGAGCTTTCTATCTCATTAGTTTTGAGCCATCTCCTTCTGTCTTAGGCCCAGTGACCCACCCCAACAAGAAATGATCTCAAGCCACTGTACCATTCTAGCATTTCAGTTAAATTTGCTAGCAAGGGTCTGACTTTTTTTGGAGCAGGCTTTAAGTGTCAACTTTTGGAAGAGTTTTTTTTTGGGGTTGTAATAATCCCAGTCCACAGAAAAGCTGCACAGACAGATGGACCTTGTTATTGTGTAACTGACAAATAATGCTGCTCTGCAAACAACTGCTGATGTTCCCATATGATGCAGATATAGGGTAACCATATTCTGAATCCCCAAAAAGAGAACTCTACTATGAAGGGCACAGTTGAGGGCGTGAGTGCAAAATTTCGAGGGTTCTTTGGGTAGGGTCAAGTGTTTTTTACGCTCTTCTAACTCAGTGAAATGCATATTCTGAATTACCAAAAAGACACTTAACCAGGCCTGTTGGAAATACTAAAAATGCTCACACAAAGTTGCATTTATAACCAATATATTCATTTATCTATAGCATTTCTTCTTAACAAAACTATCAGTCACATACAAATATTTTCCCTTTTCTTTCGCTCACTGGCAGACAGTGCATGCGTGCGTCGCGTCAGTGGCTTCGCTTAGAACAGAGTGGAGGGGCAGAGCAGCAGAGAGCACTGATGCGCTGCACTGTTTTGATAATGAATGAATACACTGTTACGCCCCACCTGAAGGCGGCCCTATGGGGCGAACAACTATCCTCAACTTTTTACCCATCAAATTAACCAAAACACCTTCAAAAGTTTAACACGTGATTTATTGTGAAAAAAACAACCAAATTGCAAACTGAACACAAAGCACCACAGCACAAATGAGAGGCAGCAGGGCAGCAGTTCCCCACCAAATGCCTCTCCAGACTGCAGGCAGCTCTGGGCTTTTAGACTCCCAGCACCAGGTGAGTCTGATTGGCACCAAGTGATTTCACCTGGGCAGCTATGGAGAGACAAAAGGGGAAAAACACATGCAAAACAAACACACAGCCGTAACAACACATTCTGGGCTTTGGCGTCTCAGAATTTGTGTTTCCAAATGAACACAAACTCAAAACTATGGAAGCCCAAAACCTTGGAGGTTTCTGAAGGATTTTATAAACTCCCCCCGGACAGGCCGGACAGCCCCCCAAAAGAGGACATGTCTGGGTAAAAGAGGATGTATGGTCACCCTAGCAGATAGAAACTGTCCCATGATTTATCTCCCTGTGTTGTTTTCTGGTCCAGCCCACCTCCTCTGTGCGGTGCGACACCGGCCACCAGCGACTATGTGGCCAAACAGGGCGACAAGGTGGCAGCGAGGGTGAAGGCGGTGGATGGAGACGAGCAGTGGATCCTGGCTGAGGTGGTCAGCTACAACCACTCCACCAATAAGTGAGAAAAGCACAAGTCAAAATAATTCACATACTAGGGTGGAAAATCACAGCTCAGCTGACTTTTCTTTTCCTCCTCCTCCTCAGGTATGAAGTTGATGATATTGATGAAGAGGGCAAAGAGTGAGTTCATATTTATCGTCTCTACTGTTTGTCATGAAGCTTGTTTTTAGCCTTCCATCTGCATTTTCTCTATTAGGGTTATTTTACAGCTGTGTTTTTAACCTTCTTGGTCTTGGCACCACATCAGCTGTCTCTTTTAGCTTGTTACTACAAATTGTTTCCTTAGTTTCATTAATTTCAGATCTGGATGATTATTGGGGGTAAAAAAGCAACAGTAAAAGAAAATTGTGTTTTCTGAATTGTAAAATTAAAAAATTCTCAATTACAAGCAGATTGTGTTTTTGGAGCAGGTTGCACAGCCAAAACTTTGGGGACAGTAAGTTTCATTCATGTCAAAAATGTCCCTAAAGAACTTAATGAGTGTTGAGCATTCTCAAAGCCATGTGTAACAATATTTGTCATAAGAAATTGGAAAACTTGTTGGAATTTGTATGAAAGATTAAAAAGCCCAACTCCAACCAAAAATCTGTCCCCTGAAATAAACGGTAAATGTTTTTGCCCCTGGGATGTAATACTCTATTTTTAACCAAGTGGACATCCTTCTAAAACAGTTTTTAAGGGAGGATCTCACAGCGCTCTCCAGCCTCCAAATCTGACAGTCCATATAAACTTCATGTGTGTAAAAAGTGTTTTTGTGTTGTGTGGGCATGATCAGGAGACACACACTGAGCAGGCGACGGATCATCCCTCTGCCCCAGTGGAAGGCCAACCCAGAGACGGACCCTGAAGCCCTATTCAGCAAGGACCAGCTGGTGCTGGCCCTCTACCCCCAGACCACCTGCTTCTACCGGGCACTCATCCACACACCCCCACACAGGGTGAGACTCAGAAAAGTACCATTTAAATTTATTAATACTCAGTGGAATAAGCTAATTGTTAAAGCTCAGTAAAACCTGACAGACACCGAGCACATCTGCAACAATGGAATGTTTTTCCAAGTGAAGTCTTGCTCAGTGCTCCTTTTTTAGGATGAATAGAAATCGAAAGACTAGTCAGAGGAAACTGATTTGCTCATTAAGTCTCACTTAGTCACAGATAACTCTGGCCAGATTGTTCTTATACAGCAGCAGCCACCAAACTGAATTCATTGTGTGTTTTGTTTGCAGCCACAGGACGATTACTCAGTTCTGTTTGAGGACACGTCGTACGCTGATGGCTACTCACCTCCGCTTAATGTGGCTCAGCGGTACGTGGTCGCCTGCAAAGAGAACAAGAAAAAATGACCAGTGACTGGATACTTTTGGTTACTGTAAGATGTTAAAATAAGACTCTGATTTTATATCAAACTACAGATACTGAATCTAAATTAAGTCTCCCAGCAGCGCAGGATGTTTGCGTCAAAAGCATTTGGTGCAGATCTGAGAACTTCTGTTAAAATCCCCACCAAGACCAGCAGAGGGCATACAAAGACCGACTGACCTGAATGTCTGATGAAGAAAAATATCATCTGAGTTCCAAAGTCACTCTACATTTTACTTCAAAGTCAACTCTGATGAAAAGGGGCATAATTTGATGCTCAGACATGTTCAAGGGGTCTGTGAGGACACTAAACAAAACCCACATTTCTGAGTTCTTCCTATGAGAGGTAGGTGACCATGGAAGCCTAGGAATGACATAAAAAACAAAACTGTGATAAAACACAAAGATAAATATGTTGAAATTTGTAGAAAAAAACTTTTCTGAATAAAATTGTATAGAAAATGCTTTGTATTTAACGTTTTTGAATCCTATATTTTTTTTTTTTCTATAAATCTGTGATATGTCTTTTAGATTTAGTTGTCAGTCCTTTGAGTTGAGGTAAGTCTCCACTCCTCACTTTCTCCAGTACAATTACGCTGAAGAGTAAATGTATATTTTAAAATGAATAAATCATTAATATTGTTAAATAGAAATAACTGAACACATTTAAGTTGGAATGAATGAAATAATAAAAACTAATCTAAATTTTTCAACTTTTGAATTTTTTTTATTCCTTTGGCCGAACCCTTAAAAGACTACTCCAACAACGATAAAACTGCAGGAAACATTTGTTTGTGTGTCTGTTTGATTTCAAAGTTCCATTTGGGTATAAATCTGTATATCCTGTATGTTGGTGCCTTTCTGTATGGATTTTATTTGTGACACAAACGGTCACTGTAAACTTGTGTTACGACTGGTAGCTCTGCAGTTTTCAAGCCTGAATTGCTTGTTTTCTTTATGAAATGAGTCAATGATGTGAAACAAAATCCTTTCATCAGAAAATAAGCCTTTTTTAAGTGAATCCCAGATCTTCCTATTTCAAGCAGAGGTAGATTTGAAGTTCTTGCCATTTTCTTTAGTCTTTTTCCTTTTAATGACCGAACCTTAGAACAATTTTTACTTTGATAGCAAGTTTTTAAAAAAACACATCAGTTTCAAATGAAAGTTGCTGTTACACTAAAGGTACTGACGAGCACAGCTGAAATTCTAAGTATATGGAGCATGATGAAGACAGTTGATTATTATCAGCTGTTTTAAATTAAGTTGAAACACTTTCATGGTTTTTGTGTCCACTGTTACAAAAGCTGTTCTCTCCTTAAGGTATTAAAATGATTTGATTGTGCTTGTAATGAGAGTTTTGAATGGACAACACAACTAGAAAACTCAACCCAAACCAGTATACTTCTTAGCTGGCACACGATACTGTGGTGTTTCTGTTGTACCTAAACGCCACAGAAGCTCTCTGCTGGTGATTTATTTTTTCCCACAGTCCTTAAAGGCAGCAGCAGCGCGCGGTGAGAGGAGTAAATAATGGCTGAGGCGGTGAGTGTCTGAAACAACTGATGTACTTTACTGTGTTAATACTTCCTAATTGATCATCTACATCGTAAATTGGAAGAATAATGTTGCTATATTTAAACCTGCTCCTAGAGAAACATGTTTGCTTTTAGTGGGGAGGCCGATAAAACTCTCTAAAATGTGGATTAACGGCGTTAGCTGTGGGTGTTATGTTAGCTTTCCCAGTTGTAACGTTTAATCGGAGCTCTTCAGAATGAAAGCACAAAGTTAACAAACAGAACCTTTCTTAACACACCGCCAGCTACTGACCCTTTTGGTTTCACTTTCCCTTCAAACAGTAGAACATTAAACCGTCTCTCTGGCCACAGAAATACAGCTTGAGAGTTGTCAGACTGGAAAGTGTACCAAGAATAGTGCCTTTTTTACATTATTACAGCGAGTAAGTGCTTAGCTAGCTAACTGTAGGTCAGTGTTAGCATTCTTCTACATTCTTTGACAGTTGTTTTGTAGCTTAAAACAATGCAATCTCATTTGACAGGCACAGTAGTTAAAATTAATAAAAGTTCTAAGCTAGCACCAATTTATTGCTGTACTCGTGAGATTTTGGGGTTGGACCTTTCCTTATGTCCCGGGCTTAAGTTAACTCCTGTGGTCGAGTTTTAGGGAATTATGAAGTGTAGGGGCTTACTGATTCAATTTCTGGATATTTCATGCTGAGAGAGTCCTTAGACCATAGACTGTATATACTATGGACAACTTGGTTCCGCCTACCGCCTGTACGGATTTGAAGCCAAATAGCTCTCGATTGCTGTGTCCGAATTGCCCGCTCGGATACTACATGCTACTGCTACATACTACTGCTAGATCCTACTCCTACATACTAAACACGTTGGCCCAATTCGGACACACTAGATGAGCGGTGGGGAAAGACGACCCCCGCAGGCAGAGAGTAGGTACTGCGCCCGTGCAGACAGTGGTAACTGAAGCCCCTCATCTGCTGGCCTGGCTATATAGCTGAGCAGATAAGGAAATAATCGTTCACTTTGTTATACAAGCATGACATTTGGTACATATACGCTTCAAACCCCACTCTTTTCAAAAATAACGTTAGCCACGCAAAATTCCAAGATGGCGGCCCCAAAATCCAAGATGTCCGCCCCAAAATGTGGTTTTTCCTTTATAACTCAAAATGACTTGATATTTAGCCCCATACATATATTGAAGTTGAATATAAAGTTGGGTATTGCGGACATTTTGGTACCTAATACATCTCTGTATCCATTACGGTTCTTGAGATACAGCATATAGACATTTGTACAGAATTTGGAGAGTGAGACATTTGTAACACCGATTGTTGTTACGTGCATATGGTTATATGAAAATATCATTTCCATTATCTGTTATTTTCATTAGGGTTATAACATTAAATTTGAGAAACAAGATGGTGTCCAAGATGGCTGCCATTGCCTTGAAGTAATCATGAATTCAGCAGAGATGAATCATGAATTCAGAAGAATGAAACTTATCATAAAAGGTTAAAAATTAGGCATTTTGTGACAATTTTCTGATTTTTGTTATGCTGTTAGGTATGTGTATAAGGTTTAAAAAAACACCGCAAACGATATGGGTGCGCCCCCTAGTGGTTTGTTTGCCCAGAATCCAAAATTCAACACCTCAGTTTGAAACCCAAAATAAGCGACAGAGGAGATTTTTCAATGGATTCTGTTACTACTGGGTATGGGAGGTGGGGGGGGCACTTCACTTAAAGGGCAACTAATCTCTGGCTACTTGCGGGGGAGGCCACGTGGAGGCTGTCTCCCCCCCCCCCCCCCCCCTTTTTTTTTGTGGCTTTTTTAATAAAATCTCTTCTATCACTTTTTTTGGGTTTCAACCATATACTAAACTATCTAACATTGGATACCATGCAAACCGACCACTAGGGGATGCACTCAACTCCTTTGAGGTGTTTTTTTAAAAACCTTATACCCATACCTAACACTATACTAAAATTCAGAAGTTTACAAAATTCCCTAATTTTTCCTGATCCCATCTAAGCTAAGTACAGAATTTAGACGTTGATAAAAGCAGGTATTTTAGTACCATGTGCATCTATTACAGTTTGTAAGATACAGCATACTTACTGTGAGTTACATCTCACAGTTGCAACTGCACAGAGCTGTACACATGAGACCCAATTTGTAGCACTTGCACCTGCCACAACAGCCAGATTTACAGCCACATTTGGTGAGCTGTTTGCATGTCTTGGCTATTGCAGAGTTGGCTGTCCAGAAGACCTGCCATTCCTCACCAACCTTTTGACATCCCCATTCTGCAGGGTCCTCTGCTTCTGGCTGACACTGGGTTGCCTGGGCCCACTCACAGCCAGCCTGATAGGCAGCACGCCTGGTGTGTTGGAGTAGAGCTGCTCTGGTTTCTGGCAAACAAGTCAAGCCTGGCCTCATCCACAGTAGCAGCTGTGCTGGATCTGTCATACATGAGAATGACAAACTTCTCAAGCACCTCTATGTCGCAGTCCTCCACTGTGGGAGGGTAAATATCCAGTTTGGGGAATACAGTTAAGGATTCTGGAGATATGTCCCATGTATGCCAAGCCATTTTCTTGCCTTTGTTGCGGGAGGCAGACACAGTGTCACATCCTGTAAAGGCATGGAAGAAGAGCATGCCTTTGACCTTCTCCTGGCCAACATGCTGAAATACACTCACCGGCCACTTTATTAGGTACACCTGTCCAACTGCTCGTTAACACTTAATTTCTAATCAGCCAATCACATGGCGGCAACTTAGTGCATTTAGGCATGTAGACATGGTCAAGACAATCTCCTGCAGTTCAAACCGAGCATCAGTATGGGGAAGAAAGGTGATTTGAGTGACTTTGAACGTGGCATGGTTTTCACGCACAACCATCTCTAGGGTTTACAGAGAATGGTCCGAAAAAGAAAAAATATCCAGTGAGCGGCAGTTCTGTGGGCGGAAATGCCTTGTTGATGCCAGAGGTCAGAGGAGAATGGCCAGACTGGTTCGAGCTGATAGAAAGGCAACAGTGACTCAAATAACCACACGTTACAACCAAGGTAGGCAGAAGAGCATCTCTGAACGCACAGTACGTCGAACTTTGAGGCAGATGGGCTACAGCAGCAGAAGACCACGCCGGATGCCACTCCTTTCAGCTAAGAACAGGAAACTGAGGCTACAATTTGCACAAGCTCATTGAAATTGGACAATAGAAGATTGGAAAAACGTTGCCTGGTCTGATGAGTCTCGATTTCTGCTGCGACATTCGGATGGTAGGGTCAGAATTTGGCGTCAACAACATGAAAGCATGAATCCATCCTGCCTTGTATCAACGGTTCAGGCTGGTGTGGGTGGTGTCATGGTGTGGGGAATATTTTCTTGGCACTCTTTGGGCCCCTTGGTACCAATTGAGCATCGTTGCAATGCCACAGCCTACCTGAGTATTGTTGCTGACCATGTCCATCCCTTTATGACCACAATGTACCCAACTTCTGATGGCTACTTTCAGCAGGATAATGCGCCATGTCATAAAGCTGGAATCATCTCAGACTGGTTTCTTGAACATGACAATGAGTTCATTGTACTCAAATGGCCTCCACAGTCACCAGATCTCAATCCAATAGAGCATCTTTGGGATGTGGTGGAACGGGAGATTCGCATCATGGATGTGCAGCCGACAAATCTGCGGCAACTGTGTGATGCCATCATGTCAATATGGACCAAGCTCTCTGAGGAATGCTTCCAGCACCTTGTTGAATCTATGCCACGAAGAATTGAGGCAGTTCTGAAGGCAAAAGGGGGTCCAACCCGTTACTAGCATGGTGTACCTAATAAAGTGGCCAGTGAGTGTATGTCATGCACACTGATCCAGCGCAAAGTCTGACCTTGCCCAAATGCAAGCCACATATGCTGTAGGCCAGCCTCTTGGAGACCGCTGAATACACTTATAGCTAAGATCAGAACATCTGTGTCATTTGCCTTGATCATGATGGATTGGCTACCAGTTGCATGTTTGGTGTGCACAAAGATGCGGCTGTCCACTTCCTCGTGAGAGCATTTATCCAGTCCATCAAGACCAGTTGCACGAGTGCTGAGGACAGCAGGTCCCTTTGTGACGATGATGGTATTTAGGGCAAACATTTGTGCAACCTTGTCGGCAAGGGTGGGACAACTCTGTTTTGTTGTCATTGTGCCTCAGGAAGTTATGCCAGTTAGATAGCATGGTGTTCTTATTTGTTACCTTGCGTCTTCCCCCCTGGCCACGTTTGGACCTGGTCTCAGCTTTAAGGCTTGATGGGTTTTACACATCAAACACCAGATGTGTCATTGTGTACTTGCTGGAGTACATGTAGATCACAGGTAGGAAGTCGAGAGCTGCATAGTCCTCAAAAGTCTTGGATCTTTTTGGTGGCAGGGCGTGGTCCAAAGCTGACCCATCTACAATGAGAATGTCTGCCTCAGGTTCCTTGTCAACTGGTGGGACATAATTCTCAAGGATAGGGGTCAGATGAGACTTCTGGGAAGTGTACAATTTTCCACCCGTTGCTCAATGCAACAGGGAAGGACTGGTTCTCATGCTGAAAGAACTCCTGGAGGTCATGCTGAGTTACACAGCAGTGATATCACCAGTGTGCCCTGGTTGTGTGCCGATACTCACTCTATTACATCTGCAAGCTTGTACTGTATAAACATCTAAATTCTGTACTGCAATGGCCCCATTGGATGCATAGACCAAAAATATGTGCATGCCAAAAGTTAATGTTTCATAGTCACTAAGATCGGATTACTTCAAGGCAATGGCAGCCATCTTGGACACCATCTTGTTTCTCAAATTTAATGTTATAACCCTCATGAAAATAACAGATAATGGAAATGATATTTTCATACAACCATATGCACGTAACAACAATCGGTGATACAAATTTCTCACTCTCCCAATTCTGTACAAGTATCTATATGCTGTATCTCAAGAACCGTAATGGATACAGACATGTACTAGGTACCAATGTCCGCAATACCCAACTTTATATTCAACTTCAATATATGTATGGGGCTAAATATCAAGTCATTTTGAGTTATAAAGGAAAAACCACATTTTGGGGCGGACATCTTGGATTTTGGGGCTGCCATCTTGGAATTTTGCGTGGCTAACGTTATTTTTGAAAAGAGTGGGGTTTGAAGCGTATATGTACCAAATGTCATGCTTGTATAACAAAGTGAACGATTCGGGCTATATTATGCATTTGTCCGCTCCACTAATAGTACTGCAGCTGTGCAGTTTAATGATGGAATAAGTGAGCTTTACTTCCATGATGTCGCCACATATTTGCTCATAAAATGATTACCTGGGCAAATATGACACCATGACATGACAAAGAGATACAACCGCACATTTTTTAGGACAGTGTGTGAAGTTACATGAAACCGCCATGGTGCGCGCTGCTGTGGCCAGCCGGCGTTCGCGACCCATCTATGCTGGTGGCGCTAGCATCACATGCGCTTCTACAACTTTTAAGAGGACGAAGAAGAAGCCCGCGGTGCATTTTGGGTCAGTAGCATGCCCGTAGGATGCACCGCGACCAACCTACAATGTGGGCGTGTCTAGTATCTGAAGTAGTATCTGAAGTAGCATGCTACTCGCTCCGGTGGCCAATTTGGACATGCTAGATACTACTTCGACTACTACTTGGCAATTCGGACACAGCTGATATATCCGGGATTATTCTTCATTTCCTGAAACCAGCGCTGCGCAGTAGCGATACGCGCATTCGGCCGCGCAGTCGCCGTGGGTCGCTCGGCTCTTTTTTAAAATTTTTAAAATTTATTTTATTTTTTTATTCCACCACACACATAATACAAAGCACACCACACACTATTTACAAATGTACAGTAATTTACAAAGAAACAGAAAAAACATTCAGGGTATCTCTGTTAAGTTCATAACATAAATCATATAATTCCTAAGGCTTCACATATTTGCACAGTTTTGATTGCTTTTTGATTCTTGAGTCCTGTCAATGTCCCAATATAATGTCTATATATGTGTCTTATATATATATATGTCTTATATGTCTATGATAATAATATAATGTCATTAGTTCTCAAACCTGATACATGAGAGAAGACATTCAGACATTCTAAGGCTTTTTTCACTTCACATTCGTTTTGTAAAAAGATTGTAGTGTCATCTGCCAGTTGACAGCACTTCAACTCCTCTCCATCCAATTCTATACCTCAAAAGTGATATTTCTTAATATATAAAGCCATTGTTTGCATAATTAATTAAAATAGAAAGGGGGCAATAGAATCTTCTTGTTAAATCCCTCTATCGATATTGAATCTAGGTGTGGTCCCATATGGTAACTTTATTGAACTATTACAACCAACATATAAAGTCTGAACCGCTTGTTTAAAATAATCACCAAATCCAAAGAAATCCAATGTATTGAACAAAAATGTATGCCCGACCGTGTCAAAGGCTTTATAAAAATCCACAAACAAAATGAAACTATTACCAGAGAGTAATTCATTATAATCAACTAGGTCTAGAATTAGGCGGATGTTATTAGAAATATGTCCTCCTTTCATAAAACCTGACTGACAGTCATCAATGATTGTATCAAGGCAGGGCTTTAGTCTCTGAGATAATATCAAAGACAATCATTTAGCGTCGTTATTTATCGGGGTTATTGGTCTCCAATTATCGATTTTTAAAGCATCTTTACCTGGCTTTGGGATTAGAGAAATAAGACCTTGAGACATAGTTGCAGGCATCCTTCCCAAATCAATTGCCTTCTTGAAAACGCCTAAAAGAAATTCTGAAATGTCTTCCTGAAATACTTAGAATTCACCAGTTAAACCATCGTTACCTGGTGACTTATTGTCTATTAATTTAGAGATGCATAATTTAATTTCATATAATGGGATCTTTCCATCACACATCTTTTTAGATTCCTCACCTATAGATTTTGCATTTTGCTTAATAAATGAAAGAAAATTCTGTATCATCAACATAATAATTTCTCTTATACAGTAATTCATAAAATTTTGTAATAAATTGCTTGATCTCGTTGGGCTCTTCTGTAATCCGGCGGTCATTAATATTCAACTTAACTAAGGAGGACATTTCAACATTTCTTTTTTCCAGATTGAATAAGTATTTTGTGTTCTTCTCCCCCTCTTCTAACCATTTTCTCCTCGATCTTACAAAGGCCCCTCTCGCCTTTTGTTCATATATGAGGTCCAATTGTAGGTGCAACATGTTCAAATTATCCTTGTCTTGATGACCTAAATTTTCCTTACCATGTATTGCAATAATTTCTTTAATAATATTATCTTCTTTTACCCTTTTATGTTTTGCAATTTCTTTACTTCTCTGAATAGCCATTTTCCTAATGTCATATTTCATATATTCCCATTGCCCACCATAGGAATTCAGATTTTTAGCTTTGTTCCAGCAGTCCTTAATACACAATCTGACATTATTCAAAAACTTATCATCTTTTAGGAGCATATTGTTTAATTTCTAGTAGCAAAATGTTGGTTTGCTTCCTCTCACTGTGTCACTCAAGTTTATTGATATATAAATTAGGTTGTGGTCTGTGAGGACTGATGGTTCTATTTTTACATCCAGAATTTGGTTTTCTAAATCTCTAGATACCAACCAAAAAGCAATCCTTGACTGTCTAGACCTATCTTTAGTGCACCACGTAAATTGCATTTTATCTGGATTCCTGTGTCTCCATATGTCAAAACAGTTCAAATTTAAGCAGAGGTTGTCCACTTTAGCAGTATGATTAGCTCTTTTAGGCCTTGGTGGAGTACAATCTATTAAAGGGTCTCTTATAGAGTTCTGGTCTCCTCCTAAAATGATCTTTGCATTAGGAAATGTACTTATTAAATTGGATATCTCCTCTTCCAACTCCCAAAATAGTGCTCTATTCTGTAAACTATTGTTTGTAGCATAAATGTTACCCATGATGAATACAATGTCCCTTTTCTCCAACACTAAAATTAGCCATCTTCCATATTCATGTGCTTTACTTTTCAGAATATTACCACTAAATTCTCCTCTCAAGATTGCCTCACCTGCAGATGTATTAGATCCGTATGACATCCAAATATTATCGCCCCATTGATTCTTCCAAAAATTGTAATCCGATTTTATTGCATGAGTTTCTTGTAAAAGGTAAAAACCAGCTTTAAGTCTCTTACAAAACAAAAAGATTGCTTTTCTTTTCGATATATCTCTGATACCCCGAACATTAATTGAACACACTGATAAAGACACTTTCCTTCAAATGAAACTGAAAAATAAGAAAAAACTAAAAAGTGAAACTAAAAAAAAGAGACTGATTTACAAATGACTATTTACGATTCCCTCAGGATAAATTTGATCATTGCACTGTCTTTTAATGTTTCATATTTTGGCCCAAAATTAGTGAAATTAGCATAAACCTCGGTGTTTGAACCATAGACTGTATGTACTATGGACAACTTGGTTCCGCCTACCGCCTGTATACAGATTTGAAGCCAAAAAGCTCTCGGTATTTCCGGAATTTTTCTTCATTTGCTGAAACCAGCGCTGCGCAGTAGCAATGCGCGCAGTCGCCGAGAGTCACTGTGATGACGCTCAGCTCAAACAGCGTATCCCCCGGGTGAACTACGCAATCCCTGAACGCCCATAGGCTGTATCAGGTGTCAATCATAGAAAACACGAACCCCCTAATAACTTTTAAAAACGGAGCTTCACAGAAAAAAGAGGACTTGAGCACAAACCAGTCTTACAATAACTACATGTCAACATCACAAGCAGGGGGGAGAAAAATTTATGTTCTGTGTAATAAATTTCTAAAGTTTGTCCACAGCTCCATAAGCTTTGCTGGCGGAGGCGGGATTTATGACCTATACTGCAGCCCATCAACAGAGGGTGCTGTTCTCGGAGTGGCTTTACTCAGCGAGGAGGCAGACTCTGTCCATTCTATATACAGTCTATGCCTTAGACACCCCCGGTTATCTCCACTAAAGAGGGGCGTGAGATAGGGGTCATTAAACTACATCAGTTTGAGACCTGAACTGAGTCAGAGAGCATGAATCATGAGTGCCGGGTGGACTTTCATCACAACATTACTCCATTTTTCTGCATGAAGTTTATTTGAGTTGTTTTCCATTGTAAAGTTATGTTAGGTGATAATAACCGTATCCTCAGAGTTGTAAAAAAACACGTGCAGAAATCGGCTAAACTTCCTTTTTTGTTGTGGACAGTAGTGGCCTGTTGTTTTTCTTCTGTTGTTTTCCTTTATAGTTTTACAGAAACTATCTGATCACAAGGACACTAACTTTTTATATCAAAAACTAGCTTTGTAACCCACGGTGAACTGAGATCTTGGAAGAAATGTTTGGATCATCGACTGTATATAGAATACATACAATAGACAGTCTATGGTTTGGATGCATGTTCACTCAGGGGCTGTTGTTTCTAAGTCAGCCAGAGAGATTCATTTTTGAGGAACTTTGACCTTCTGTTTATTAAGTGCACAAAATACCAGTCCCATTAACCTGCAGCCCAAACAATGCTGTTCAGCACTTGTTAATTGTTTTATTCAGACATTTTTCTTACTATTTTCTTTTAGAAATATGAAAAAAAGACTGCAAAATACTGAAGATAATTCTTAGTTCTACAATACAGTAAAACATTAATGGTTTGGTTGAGCTTATTAAAGCAGAAGTTACACATTTTTAAAAATGTTTAATTGCTGCAACCTTACCCTGATCGAACACAAATCACAAACAACTTTTTTTATGGTCAACAGTTCATTCTCTCCAGTGTCTCTGTCCTTCAGGTGTCTGACAGCGACATTCAACCTTTAAAGCCACAACCAAAACGCAGACGCATTCTCAACCCCTCAGCAATCGTCCCAGTGCCTGTCTACTCCAGCAAGGTTGCACTCAATAAATACTGTTTGCATTGATAACAGTCAGAGCTGCCGAGAGACAGCGACTGACAGTGTATCAGTGATGATACATTTGAAGCTTAGATAACAATGATTACGATTATTCCAGATGTTGTTATACAGATATTTTTTCATGGTAGCATTATAGTGTATGTAAGCTGTCAGGTTTTGTGCTCAGGTTAGCAGCAGTCTTCAGTTGAAGCCAACAGCACCTGTTCTGACTGAAGCTAAGAACACAGGTGAGGTTTTATCAGTTGCAGTCAAAACCAGCGTTTGATTTTTGTCCTGAAAGGTTAATTGTTTTTGTCTCTAAATAGCGGACAGTGAAGATGACAGCCTGTGGTCTGAGTTTTCATCACGAAAGCCATCAGCAGCCGTCGTCACCCTCAGTGACAGTGAGGAAGAAGAAACAGAACAAGCAGAGAGGAAAACAAAGCTGTAAGAACCTCAAAAGCAGCTTTATCAACCAATTGAATCCTTTCTTTTTTATTATTCATCTTTTATCAGGAATTCATCAGAGAATTTATAATCAAAACAAACATGGTACAAAAATAAATTATCAGACACATCACCTAAACTCTAAAAAGACAAAAAAAAATGTCATGACTGACATACTATATAACTTCAGAACTGCACCTTTAACTAGGGCAACTAGACGTCCCTGATTTGGATGACCTCTCCCCAGCTCAAGCTGTCCCTAGAAATGTCCTTGATTTTACCATTTAATGAACAAGAAAAAATGTTACATGTAGAGTGGAACAACGGTCATTACATTAGCTGGGCAGGTTGGAAGCATGAGTGAGCATGTAGCGCACAATCCTGAACAACAGTTATTACGGGGGGGACTACCAAGTAGAAGTAAGTTGTTGTCTGGGATCACATCGCCGATGAATCCCCCCTCCCCTCCAGAAAAGCCCAGAATCAAATTTGGTTTAACCCATGCCTGATTTTTGCCCTATTCTGGAGATTCTCTTTCCCCAGCAGAAAACAAGCACAGATGAAAAAAAGTATGCTGTTCATTGATGACTCTGCACTTGGAAGATTGAAGAACAACAAAATGAATCCGAACCATTCGTAACATTCTTCATCTTTATTTCAGAGAAGTCATCCGCTGTAACTCTCCCTCTCCTCCAGACAGTCCTGTCAATAAACACTCCAGACAGTTTCTGCGGAAGATCAGGTAAGTCTAGCCTTTTTACATCTTGTGAATTTACAGCTTCATACCAAATAAGAAGGTTAGTAGCTTTAATCAATAGAGCAATGATCAGAGTGTAAGACGGTTTCAGCAGTGTCAAATCAGGATCTGAACATTTGGATAAAACGTCAGTGTGAAAAGTGTTCTGGTTTCTCTTATCTGTATGGTTTCAGTCTGAGAAGTGCTTATCAGTCTCATGCATGGAGGTTTTGGTGTATGTAAGAACAGCAGGATTATTTTTAGACAAATTTGTCTGCAAGTGCAACTAACAATCCATTCCAGGTTTGGAAAGAAAACACTGAGCATCAAGTTTGTTGTTGCAAAAACCAATGGACGTCTCGATTTCCTGACTTCTTGGAATGCACCAGGAGTTGTTGATAGCACCTGTGTTCTATAAATTAGTAGTTTTAAAGTTTTCTTTGCCTCTTTGGGAAACTCATTTATAGGTTTTTTTCAGATCTGCATAATTATTTTGCTACCTCAGAAAATTCAACACCTGGAAGCTTATCACAAAAAGATCAGTTTCTGTAACAGCTCATTAAAAAACTGTAGTTTTGTTGTTTTTTTGCTGCTCTTTCAGATGAGAGAAGAACTGTGGCAGTGATGATGACTACAGTATTTATAAGAACCTCCTTAAACTCCTTGTATTGTAAGGTCACGATTAATGAATTAGATGAACCTCCAACAGTTGACACTTGGGTGTGTTTTCATCCCTTAGTGAGTTCAACCAAAAGCTCCAGGCAGTAAACTCCCTTCTGGCTCCTGAACCTCAGAACACAGGCTCCAGGCGACGCAGAGGTCCTCCGTCTCCGGAAGATGATGATGTTGTCATAATGAGCCCCCATGATGATGATGTTGTCATCTTGAACACAAAACGTGAAGTTCAGAGTTCCCCATACAGTTCTTCAGTCAAAGTGATTCCCCTGAAGGTCCGCTGTCGAACAGACATCCACAAGATCCCGGTGCTGTCGGTGCGTACCCAGAGATACCACTTAGAAGTTACAAGCATGTAGCCAGCAGCTCCATCATTGAGTTAGTGTTTGTGTTTTATAGTCGACACCTTTAAGTGACGTGGTGAGGCAGCTGTCCAACATCCTCAAGGTTGCCCCTCCTCGCCTCCTGTTGATGAGGGAGAACATGGAGCTTCCCACAGACTCCACAGTCAGTGAGCTCGGCCTTGGCATTGCAGATATCATAGGTAGGTCACATGAACTTATGGTGGGTTTTTTTGTTTGTTTTTTAGGTATTGTTATTATGAATTGATTTTAATTTATTGATTTAAAATATACATCAAGTTTTTATCAATTCCATGAAATGTATCTGAGCACTTAAAAAGTTTAGCTGATTCAGATTCTGTTTGTGCTTTCTCCCCCTAAAAGAGCCCTGGTGCTTTTACTTTGTTTGAACACTTGATGCCACAAAATCATTACCATCAAGCAAACCTCTCACATCCAGCTCTGAACTGATGGTCTAAAGCCTGTGTCCAGAAATAGGCTTCAACATAACTCAAGCCTCACAATAGTTAATCCCATTATGGTCATAGTGAGGGAATATCTCCACTTAAAGAATCATCGCTCTTTCCAGCCACACCACTCTGAGGGTTCATGGCAGTAACTGTAAACAGCGTTCATCCGGACTTTTTCCTTCTTTAAAAAATGACCAAAGAAAAGCTTTTTTTCATATGTTTTTAACAATGAAATAAAATGTTAGTTGATATTTTAAAAGTTTAAAACTTGATAAAGGTTTTGAGGCGTGGATGTTTGAGGGATACAGTTATCTGGCGTTCACTTTGTGACTGTACCTGTAACTGACAAGTCAAGCAGCTATTGAAGAAACCACGGGTTTCCGGTTTTGGAGCCATTTCCAGAAACTTGGCAAATTTGTTATCATAAAGCATTATCTGATGCAAGCATGTTTACAGGTGGAAGAGAGCCAAGTACACAAAGTCCTGCAGATGAGTAAAAGACTATGGCCACCCTCGAAGTTGGGTGTTTTGCCATTAGAGAAGAAGTAGTTCTTTCTCACAGCCGGTATGCTCAGTCTGATCTAAACTCAACACGTGAAACAAAGGTCAAGAACTGAATAACTGGATGACTTTGATCCTAGTTAAAGTCCTCCTGGTGGCAGGGGGAAATGTCATGCTGTTGCTGTATGAGCTAAATCTCTGTGAGCGCTGAAAATGCCTGCTACGTTTTTTCTCAGAATAACCTCGAGATTTTGGTCTTCATGTGGGCCAGATTTTTTATGAAATTTTGAATATGATATGATTCTCACCATCAAACTTAAAACCATCCCAGCTTAGTCCCACTTTAACACATCTGCACGGACTTACCTGAACTTGTGAGGGCTCCCAGCCTGAACGCATCCGTTTTTGAAAATTTGCATAAAAATGCAGCACCACCTGCAGGCAACAGGAAGGTACTGTCTCCACTTTAACATTGTCAAATCCTAACTGGCTGGCCAAAAATTTCTCAACATTCCAAGACCCTCCCCATGTTTCCTTCAAGGTCTCATAATTCTACAACAAATGCAGTCATCTTAGCAGGAACTAGTTTTTAGAACTGCATTTATTACTGATAGAATCACCAAATGTTGTACACACAGGTGTCCACTGAAGTCCTGAGACATTTGATATCGGACTGGTCATTTGGTGTGGCCTATTCAATTTGTCATGTCTCCTTTTTTTTTTTTTTTTTTTTTTTTTTAAGCACCATGGTTAATTTAGAAAGATGGGCTTATACAAAACTACAGACAAGTCTTTAGAATTCCATTAAACCAACAGGAAGTCCATCATTAAAACCCTTTGCTTTTATACACAACAGTGATACAGCAACTTTCCCCCTCAGATAATAAATCCAGAGAGAACTATGAATGCCTACAACTCCAGTTCCTCAGTCAGTCAGATATTATTATATTATTCCATAGTGTTATAACATGCAGTATTTTATGCTCAGTAGTAGTGAAGAATTTATACTTAAGACTACAAGAATGGCTGAAATAAAGAATTCAATGTGCAGAAAAAAAAAACTAATTTCCAGTTTCTTCTCTTTTGTCACGCAGAATGTGACGTGATGGCAGCAGAGAAGCACAGTGAATTAGACAGCAGCAACATCACTGTGAGGCTGCAGAGCAAAGACAGAGCCTCCTCACAGGAGTTCTCTCTGCACAGGGTCTGTATCTCATTTTCCTTCTTTTCTTTATTATCAGCACTGTGGTTATGTTGGCAGCCAAACGAACAAAACATTAATGTAATGACCCGTGTGTGTGTGTGTGTGTGTGTGTGTGTGTGTGTGTGTGTGTGTGTGTGTGTGTGTGTGTTGGCTCCATCTTTTCCCGGTACATGTCCAACATGTCAACTGCTGACAAGAGAAAAGTTCGCTTCCACTTTGACGGTTCCAAGGTGAGAGACAGCCAGACGCCAGCTCAGCTAGACATGGAGGATGGTGACGTCATTGAAGCTTGGACTTAGAGCTTTGGGTTCATTTTAAATCATAGTTGTGTATATGAAATGTTGACTAGTTTGATAGTCCATTATTTGCAAATGTTCATTTATTTGTAAAATAACAAAGAGCCAACATTTAAGATACAAAAGATAGATTTTTAATCTCTTAGTTGTTCCCACTCCCAGTGGTGCCAAACACTCTGCTGCCTGCCTCCTCTATGATTTACTTGTACATTTGAAAGTCTTCAATTAAATTTAGTTTTTTCAGACATTTTTTTGTGGTGGCTTTATTTTATTTTTCCTGAGCCCAAAACAGCCTTATTTGGGCAGTCAAAGCTTCTCCACCCTGTTGAGAGAAAAAATCATGTTTCTAACTCAAAACTTTTGCACATCAGGATTATTTTCATGCCTACCCAGATGGTTATTAATTTGCAGTCCCTCTTACCATCCTCCTCATACTTTACTCAACATGTAGTGTTGTAATCTATCACACTCTTAATTACAAGGTTTTTGCTCCCTGAATTCACCCTCTTTCCCTGCTTACTCATCACCACTGTCTTCATTCTGGGTAATGCTGCATGACATTGTTCATATAAAGTCTGATAAGCAGTCTGTTGTCTTAATAGACTTTGTGATCTAAAGATAACGTAGACCTGGATCAATGTAAAATCCCACCCACAGACTGTGAGCATAGTATCCCTGGGCAGATAGTGGATCAGATAAGGTGTGGGTCAGGGACCTCAAACAGGCATCCAAACAGCCCCAAAATAGTGCAGTGTCGACAGAGCAGCTGCAGATACAGCTCTGTTGTTTTTTGGTCAGAAGTCACTGAAGCTCCTGTGAGGAACTTTGTTTTGGCGCCCCCTGTGGACAAAGAAATCTTTGTTAATCTTGTCTTCTATTTTTTTTAATAAGTAGTAGTCACTTTTGACCAAAACATTTCATCCTGCATACTTTTGACAGTCATGTATGATTTATTGCAAATATTTTATGTGGAAATTGGAAAAACTTGTCACATCAGCTGCTTGGCAGACACCTACCCCCTCAAACCAGTGTCAGAACCAAAGTTAGGATATAAAAATGTTAAATAGATGCACATCTGGATTTAGGGTTTTTATTTTTAGATATATTTTTTCTGTTCTAAAGATGAACAAATTCGTTAATAAACATTTTGAAAACCTAGACAATTTCGATTGGTTTAGTACAACAGCTCTCACCCTGAAGAACCAAAATACTTAACCAAATGTGTTTCATTAGAAGTAGCCCTCATGTCTGGAGTAATTTAAGATAATGTAAAAATGTCTTTGTCATTCACCCCTGTACCGATGAGTTAACTCGATCAACATGGTCACGTGACCCGAAGATGCGAAAGTCATGTGAGCTGCGGAGCGGAAGTTGGGTCAGGTCTGTCATGGCGGCGGTGGAGAAGTGTAATCTCTGAACACCTCTGAAGTAAACATTGGACGCAAACACCGCAAGCGAAATTTAAAAAGATTTTTAAAATGCAAACTTCCAACATGGGTTTTAAGTAACACTCTGACCTGCGTGTGACCAAGGATCTATCTGAAGAGAGAAGCGTGTGTCCTGACTCATCCTCCGAGGTAAACAGCAGCAGCTCATGTTGACGCTGCGCTGAAGCTCTGCTACTAAACTGCAATCCACGAGACTACCTTCTGTGTTTTTACAATCAAAACTCTGTTAAATATCTGCAAATTTAGCCGAGGTTTGATATTTCAAGTGGACGCTTTAGTCCAGACAAAATACTATCCTTCAAAATTACAGTACTGCTAGGTTAAAGCAGTGAACTTGGTTCACAGTGTGCTCCAAGTAATCGTACTGTCACGATTAAGTTTTGCTCTAGTCTCATTTCTTTAACGTGTGAAGAGGTTTCTTTTAAAAGGAAACTCGGGTGCACAATAACAGTAGGAAGAAGAAGAGAGCGTTATTAATATGCTTGGTACATGGTAGGGAATATGTTTTTAATGCTATAAGCTTCCTTGAGTGTAATCAAGGGCGTGTGCAGGCTCACGCAGGGTGGCCTCAGCTGGGTGCAGAAACATGCGGAGTGGCATAAGATGGGTGTAGATGCATGCACGGTGGTTTAAGATGGGTGCAGACTCATGCAGTGTGGCCTAAGCTGGGTGCAGACTGATACAGAGTGGCTTAAGATGGTTTCAAGACGTCAGTGTTGTAATTGCAGCTACTCTTCACAGCAGAGTGGCTGCGTTCAATTCTTCGAAGCTTGGTTCTTTAAAAGGTTGAAAAAACAAAACTATTTTCTAAGGGGGCTCAGCCAAAGCTACAGACACACACAGGAACTACGACACAGTCTTTGAGCATTAACATTTTCTATACAATTCAAAGTACTATAAAATAATGCCAAATTTGTGCACACTGTCTATCCATCAAAAATGGATTCTGAAGTATAGGTACACTTAATAGACTGATTCTTCTCTTACACATACACATGGAAATTTCTGGTTAAATTTGGTAAATATTCAATTCAGTTTAATTTTCTTTATCTATGTCACACATTTAATAGAAATGAGGTCAACCAATAATGGTTTCTCAGGGCCAATACCGATACCGGTCATTAGTTCACGAGACCATTAACCAATATGTGGAGCTCATAAGCATGTACAGTAATTATACACTAGCAGTGCAGCTGTATCACAGGTCATATGACATCTAGTCAGTCAGTGTTGTGAAGAGGACATTTGGTGAGAAAAAGAGGTGCAAGAAGACAGAGCCAGAAGGGGCAACAGCAGCTGTGCACTTAATAAATCAGTTTATCAGATACAGATAGTCACCAAAATGCTAGATTTATAACACATTTTTATAACATACCCTGTATTTCATAAACACTGACCCTCATTAACTAAAAAACACAACCCAGTTGATCTTTCTTTCTTTCTTTCTTTCTTTCTTTCTTTCTTTCTTTCTTTCTTTCAGTTGAACTTTGAAGAATAGCAGTGCCAGTCTGTCTGTAGGTCAAATCTGTCTCTATGTTACATTGACATCTTTGACTGCGGATGACCCACAAACTTGTGAGAATACCAGTTTGATTACTTTAAGGCACTTTAACCACAAGTCCTAAGTCCAGCAGTATGAGTGACTCCAACAATAAGGTTGGTCTGGTCGTCTGAAGACAAGCAAATGTCCAATATCTGCATTTAGAGTTCGTCTGTAGTGTATGCTTCTGTTTCTTCTCTGAGTTACTTGACCAAATGTAAAAGAATATGACAGTAAAAAAAAAAATCAATGATCAATTCTGTAGATTAGTAGGGTGAAAGTATATATTGTATTTGAACTGGTCTTCTAAAAAATAGACAGTCTGCCAAAATGATAGGGTCTTCACGGCAGGTATGAATTTGTCACATACACATGAAATCAGTCCCCATTTAAAGTTACTGTAGGGAACTTTTTGGCTTGTTTTGTTCTGGTGAGTGTTGATGTGGTGACTGGTTTCTTTTTTCAGTGGACAGTGTCTGCCAATAATCAGAGAAAACTGATTGTGACCAACTTTTAATGCCAATATCATGTATTTTTGTTGTTGATTTTATTTTCTTGCATTTGATCAAATACTGCAGAAGTTTACTGTATTAACTTAAGAATTACATTTTTCCAAATAACGACAGAATTATTTCAGAATTATAAATAATTTCTTTGCTAATAAACATTTTTCTGAATTAACAAGATTATTGTGTTGCTGATTCAGAAAAACTGCAGAAATTTTGTTTTATTTGTTCTTGTAATTCAGAGAATGTTATCCTTTTAAGAAATCAGAGAAAAAGTCTTAAAAAATCATTCAGATCATAAGATAATTATTTAATTAATTCAGAAAAACAGTTGTTTGTTTTCTGTCTTGCCCCTGTAAATTGCAACAGTTTTATATTATTATTCCATGCACACTACAATTTGGCTTACCTAGCTACCTTAGCTGGTAACATGATTTAGATGGATCTTTAGTTCATGAAATAGAAAAACACTTAAGGTTAGTTTGTAGATTGCAGAGCATGACTAACAAGCTACACCAAACTGCATGATTTTATCTGTCTTAAAGAATTCATATTACACATGTTGGTAACTTTTAGATGATTTAGGATAGAAAACATGTTATCATGGTGTCATCGTGATGTAGCTGCCTGCAGTGTCTGCAGACATTATTTGTCTTTGTTAACCAGCCCAACCAGCTGATCAGTCTGTCTGTTCAGGTGACCTCTGAGGGCAAAGATAAGCACCCTTTTCTCTTTGTTGGTCATGTCCTGTACCTGTCTGACCTCCTTCACACCAGCACTCCTCTCGCACTCTCAAGTCCTCTTCCTCTCTAACCCACCCATGTAACCACCATGGGCTCCAGAGCCTTGAGTCGCTCTGCTCCCCGACTCTGGAACTCCCTCCCACCAGATGTCCGTAATTTTAAATGTCTCTCCATTTTCAAATCCCCTCTATAAAACCCATCTTTTCAAACTAGCATATTCAGTCTGACTGTTGTTTTAACTGTCAGTTGTCTTAACATTTTTTATTGTAGACAATTTATTTTTTTGTCTTGCTTTAACTTTCTCTTCTAAGGCGACCTTGTGTAATTTGAAAGGTGCCTATAGATAAAATGCCTGATGTTGCTACATGCATGATAGTGGTGTTGCGGGGGATAAGTTGGTCGTACATCTTTACACGGTCAGCTGTGTCTCTCCTCATGAAAAGTTGCTGTTGAAAATGTAAAGTGGGGCTGTTTCTTCAGTGTACTGCTAGCAGGTAACCTTCCCCTCTCAGCAGTTTCAGGCATTAAAGGGGACCTGCCATAAAAATAGAATTTTTTGTGTTTTTTGTGTCAGATAAGGTCCATATTATGTTCGTCTTATGTTGTAAATGTGAAAACAAACCGTTACGTCGTTTGCATTCTGTAAAGGTTCAAAATAAAGGAACGGGTAAACCAGGCCAATTTAAAAAGCCGGTCCCTCTGACGTCGCGCTGACGTTGCTCATTATTATTCACGAGCACGTCCTCGGTGAGCCGCGCCCACTCTCTCGTTCTCGTACCCAGTCACAGTGAACGTCACCCTCCAGAGCGAGACCCAGCTACCACTGTATCCGCTATGGGGCTCTTCCAAACGACCAGTGTTTCCTTGGGTTTACTGCTGGGAAAATGAACTTAAAGCTGGGCAGAATGAATGAGAAAACACCGCTGGAGCTCTCAGGCTTCTTCTTCAACTTCCACCTCCTCTTCGGACTCGGGGTCTAAAATATATGGTTAAATACCTGCCATTTTTAGCCTTTAGCATAAGGTGACCAGACGTCCCTGATTTCCAGGGACAGTCCCCGTATTGGATGACCTGTCCCCGGCAAAAGCTGTCCCCGAAAATGTCCCCGATTTAAGTGTTTCATGAATGAGAGCAAAAATGTTGCGTGTGGGCACGAAAAACGGTTATTACAGTAGCCGAATAGGTAGGAAGCACAAGTAAGCAGTCCTGAACAACAGTTTTTAAGGGGGTTATTACAAGGGGCATGCGCTGCTTCTAAATAGTACCGAGACTTTGTCTGTGATCACACAGCCCCTGCAGCCCCTGCACCCGCCGCCGCCGCACCGAATATTCCCGGATATCATTACAGACATCTTGGCACCTTACTTTAGCACACGTTAGCATAATGGATAAACCGAAATCCAAACCTGCACTGCTGAGCCAATCAGAGCACAGCAGGCTTCACAGCAGCAATCCAATCAGAGCAAAGCTCATTACCATAAATGTTAATGAGCCAAAACCAGTTGGTTTTCCTGTAAGGTTTTTTAGGCATACTAAAATGGTTTGAAACAAACCATCAAATAACTTTTCAGCTAAAATTATGTTGCAAACATGATCAGAGGACATTAAGGATTATGAAAAAATGATAAAAATGGGTATGAAATTTTGGTGGCAGGTCCCCTTTAAAATTTACAACATAGAAGTTCTTGCCAACAGTCCTCAAGAGGCACTAGTATTGATTTCAGTCTAAAAACTACTCACAGGACCTTTAAAGAAAATGTTGTTTTTACAACATCTGTGTTATTTGTGGATGAGGACAAGAGCTGCAGTGATTTATTGAAGGATTGGTCTTTAAAGTGTCTGAGAGTTATCTGTTTTCACTCGACGTTAAGTCTTACACAAAAAAAAAAAAAAATGAATGCTTAAAGCTCCTTTCAGGAACTTCTTACCACTGTTGATCTTGGCGCCCTCAAAGGACAAGGCAGTATTTTCTAATATTGTCTTCTGCATCCTTGAACTGTGTCTTCTGACCATCAAATGTGGAATGTCTTTTAAAAAAAAATTCTGGAAACTTGAAGACAGGGTCGTTTCTCTCGCCGCTCAGCTGAGAATATAAAAATCATCAGTAATGTCACTGATGGTGTAGTTTGCTCCTGTATGTCATGAAAAGGCTTTGCTTTATGAATTTCCATCTGTTCCATAGATGAGCTTAACTGGTTTACTGTTGCCCTATAAAGTTTTAATTATTTGAAACAAGTATCTTAAAGTTGAAAAGTTGTCATTTTGGTTCTTAAGCATTGTAAAGACGAATGATTGATCAGCTTTAGGTTAGTTGGAGCACCTGGGGGAAAAACAGGATGTACATTATATTTAAGCTTATGTCTTCCCAAGGAAAGGATCTTATGTGGAATCTGATCAAGCAAAGTAATCAATCATTTTGGTTTTTAAAGACTTGGAACCTTTTTGATTTTAGGTCGATGAAGTGTATTGCAAAGAGATGCAACAATTGTTCTCCACATCAGCAAACCACATCTTTGTCATGAGCCCCCTCTCCCTCCTGCAGCAGTGGAGGAAGTATTCAGGTCTTTTAATGAAGTAAAACTATAGCATCGCACAGTGACAGATGCAGAGTAGACAAGAAAATGCTCAAGTAAATGTCCCTGGTTACTGTCCTGATCACATGAGCCTGTTTTCACAAAGTCATGTGATCAGGACACGGGTTTTTCTTTCTGAACCTCTTCCTCTTCTTCACTTAAGGTTCTTTGCCTCTGTTCTATAATCAGCATTCAGCAACTTTTTTTTTCCCTGAAGGCAGAAATCTAATATTGTGTGTCATAAGTAAAGGCCCAACAGTTAAAACTTCTATGAGGAGTTTGTAGGCGGCTATGAAACAGTATTACTTCTGATGCCTCTATAAAACCTTGAAACCTTAGGTAACTGACTACTACTATCAACTCTATGTTATTTATAGGGCTTATGTCATACACACATGCATGCAGGCTAAAATGCATTACAAAAAACAGACAATGAGTGGAGGTGGAAGAAGTCAGCAACCATTTTGAGCTGTAAAAGTAGAGGGTTTAGGTGCATAAAAACAGAGCTATCCAAGGGTAGCAGTGACCAAAGTGTTAACATGTCCTTTAGACTGTTTTAGAAGACAGGATCATGAAAATACATGTAAAACCTTGCATCAATCAGTTTTGCAGAATGAGTACTTCTTTTGCTAGCACTTCACTTTAGGCTCAGTTTTCATTGTAATATTTCTGGTGTTATTTCTCTGGGTACTTCTACATATTTGTGAATAATCAGGGTGATTTTTTGATGTTGTGACGCGGTCAGCATCGTATCAGCATCAGCCCTCATCAGGCTGATATCACTGTCATCTTTCCAAATGAAAAGCACATTTGACAGCATATCACATCCAAAACAAAAGCTGGCCAGAGTTTGAAATAAACTCTGTTATAATGTGAAAGATATTGACGTTCAATCATTTAACTATTTATCGCTCATATTTTTTTTTTCTTACTAATTTTAGATCTCTGGGCAGAAATCCTAAAGTCCCTTATTTTTCTATATTTAATAAAACACTATTAGATTTTGTTTTTTGTCTTTGTTCCTGGATATTATTAGAATTCTTTTATTCCAAAATAACAATGTAATATTGACATTATATATCAACCATTGGCCAACCTGCTCTTGCTTCATCAGTACTGGCATCATTGAAAAAGTGATATCAGTGGACTGGTCTTTGCAGGGAGGATGGCAGTGACAGATCCTTTTCACTGGAGACCAGTGAATGATCCAATGGTTTAATCATTGGGCACCCAACTTCTGAAATGTTATTCACAGCCAAGTTTTCTTGAAGGAAAGGGAGATGACTAGATAACTAAAGTAAAGTAAGAAAAGTTATTTCAGACCCAGATTAGGGTGATAAAAGCTTTGAGATGGTATGGTGAACCAGAGAAAGTGTTGAGTGTTTTCAGAGCAATCCAAAGCAGCAGAAGTTAACATGAAACAGGATTTTCCTGCTGAGCTGCTGCTATCAACACCCACTCAGAAGGCTTTTTGTGTTTTTGCTCCAGCCAAACAGCTCTTTTCATTGTTGCAGTTGTATTTTATTGTTGTATTTTAATGGTCTGTCTCCAGTACCCCCCCTCCAGTGTCAGCCATGTCTCTGGGAGAGCCCACGTCCGACTCGACGCCGTTCTTCTCTGATGACAGCGAGGCAGAGGGTCAAGAGGAGCGAGGCGGTGGTGGGGGAGCCGAGGGTCAGCGGACGCACGGGGAGTCAGCCAGCGGGGTGTCCAAAGCCCGAGCTGTGTTGACTGTTCTCATCCTCTGCTATATCAACCTGCTCAACTACATGGACAGGTTCACTGTGGCAGGTATGGCACACCTGCTGCACCAGCACCGCCAATCAGACGCTTTCAAACATCAAGGGAAATTCTATGGGGGGGGGGGGGTCATGCATTTAAATGTCTCGACATGATTTTCAGATCATAAAAAGCCTCAAATTTCTCACAGTGGTATATTAAAATATCTGGCCTCATTTTAGCTGCTGTCTCTTGAAGGTCCCCTCTCCACAAGCCCACTTTCTTGGTCACCTCTCCAATAAGAGGCTTTCCTGAAGCAGGCTGAAGGCAGAGTTCAATGTTTTGGCCCCGCTCCCTCTATTGTGGTTGATCAGTTGAGCAGTGGAGCAGCATTACCCCCATAGAAATCATGCATGTTTTATTTATTTATATGTATACAGTGAATCCGGAAAGTATTCATACCACTTCACTTTTTCCACATTTTGCTATGTTACAACTAAGGCTGCACAATATTGGAAAAAACTAACATTGCGATTTTTTTCAACCCTGCGATATATATTGCGATATTAAAAAATACAGGAATTTTCACCAGATGACCTGAATAGCACTTTATGTTATGCTGCACTGCTGAAATCTTGAGGACAGTTAACATGCACTGATCTTATCTCTTTTTGTGAATGTTAGTAGAATGGCTTCTGTCTGTCTTAGAGATATTTTTAGTTTTTATTGTTCTGGGACGTTATTGTGGAAACAAATGAACACAGAACACGTGTTTTGGTTGACATCATCCTTCTTTTAACCGAAATAATTCCAGAAAACTGACTTTCCTTTTCTTTTTGGCATCAAGTCTTCATCTTCTGTGATTTTCTCTGTTTGTTGCTCAGTTTGCGATCGTTGTTTTTGTTGTTGTTACCACTGGGGTTGTGCTGAGAAACGCATATCCTCCGAGAATCGCATGCAACTCACAAAACGCGCACTGCTTATAGTAGAGTGGTCCACGGAAATGTACAATTTAAAACTCATACAGTTCTTATTTGTTGGGCTAAACCAGGGGTCGGCAACCTTTAACACCGAAAGAGCCATTTGATCCGGTTTCCACGGAAAAGAAAACACTGGGAGCCGCAAATACTTTTTGACATCTAAAATGAATGAACGCATTTATTAAACGAACATGAACACATTTTGAACATTTTGAATTCTTGAAAAAATAATACAATGTCTGAATGTCTCTTTCAAATAAATTAAAAAGCTGAACTTAAATTATCCATGTAGCAAACAAAACCAAAAAAAATGCCGTGAGCCGTCATCCTTATATCGCCTTTGGGCTTTCAGAGCATGTAGCGGAGCCTTGACCTGAATTTAAAAAATAAATTGGGGAAAAAAGCACTGTGTCACTAAACAATGAGAAATAAATATTTGCAAACTATCTGCATAAATATTTATTTAACCTGGTTAATGGGACTTCTGCTCCTGAACCTCTGCGCACAGAGTCTGCAAATCGGGGCTGTACGAAGTCACTCTCATCTTTACGCAAGACTGTAAGCTGTCATCTGTGAGGCGTGAGCGGTGTTTGTTTTTAATGTAGTTCATGGTGGAGAATAGCTGCTCACATACATATGTGGATCCGAAGATCGACAGGACTCCAAAGGCATATGTCTTCATGTTCATGTAGGTGTCGGGGATGGCATTCCATGTTTCAAACACGAGTTTGTCCGGTCTTGGAAGGTTCTCAATATCACTCCATTTGTGAAGCTGAGCAAGAGTGGCCTTCTGGCGGGCAACATCTTCAAGGTCCTCTGTCAAGCGTTTGAATTTGGACACCCACATGTCTTTGTCGGCTATGTCAGCCAGCTCCAGCTCCAGATCAGGTTGACTTACACCTGCAAATGCAGTTACATTTAGCAGGGATGGATCGATGTTCAGGGGAGTGACGGGGAAGGACAATGTGGTTTTTTCCTCTCTGAACTCACGGAATCGTTTCCCAAACGATGCTTGCATTGTGGTGATTGCAGAATGCAAATACTCTGAATTGATCACCTTGTGAGCTTGTTTGAACTCCCTTAAAGAGGGGAAGTGAGACAGTGTGCCTCTCTGTAAATCTCTGGCTAAAACTGTCAGTTTGCGCTCAAACGCTAACACCTCCTCCAGCATGTGTAGCGCTGTGCCTCCTCTCCCCTGAAGAGTTGTGTTCAGCCTGTTCAGGTTCGCTGTCATGTCCACCATGAAGTGCAGCTTTTCCAGCCACTCTGGCTGTTCCAGCTCAGGAAAGGTTAGCCCTTTGCTGCTCATGAAAGTTTTCACCTCTCCCAGACATGCAGCAAAACGTTTCAGCACCTCTCCTCTGGACAGCCACCGGACTCTGTTGTGCAGCAGGAGATCAGAGTATGTGCTGTCCACCTCATCCAGTAACGAACGGAACTGGCGGTGATTTAAACCTTTTGCCATTATTTTATTTACAATCTGAATGACAAGATTCATGACCTCTGTGCATTCTGAAGGAAAAGTTTGCGCGCACAATGCCTCTTGGTGCAGGATGCAGTGAAAAGTGAGCAGCTTTCTGTCCAGTGACTTCTGCAGCAAAGCCACAAAGCCCCTGTGCTCTCCAGTCATATTCGGTGCCCCATCAGTAGCCACTGACACTAGGTGGGTTGTTTTTATTTCTTTGGCTCGTAAACAATCAAGCACAGCCTCACAGATGTCCTCCCCCCGTGTCTGGCCTTTTAGTGGTATCAGCTCAACCATTTCTTCCTGTGGTCCAGCAGAGTTCACATATCGGCAGAACAGCGCTATTTGTTCAATGTCACTTTTGTCTTTGGACTCATCACAGGCGATTGAGTACGCTGCAGCTGAATTGATGTCTTTAATTTGCTGTATTGTGATATTTTGTGCCATTTTTATGGTTCTGTCTTTGACAGTCTTCGCAGAGAGAGGCATCTCTCTGATTTTCTGCACAATTTCATCCTTGTTTTTAAAGTCCGCGAATAGGTGTTCTGAAATCTTAAGGAATGATTGTTTCATATAATCTCCATCTGTGAAAGGTTTCCCATACCTGACTATTTCCTGAGCGGCCACAAAACTTGCATATGTAGTTGAATTTGCAGACTTCACCCACTTCTTGAAGTGATTTTTCGTCAGATCAGCCTTCCGCATCAGTCCCGAAACAGCTTTTTTTCTCTCTTCTCCCTCTGGATATTTTTCAGCAAAGGCTCTATGTGTATTGTTGAAATGTCTTGCGACATTTGACCGTTTATTGTTAGACAGCTTTTCTCCACAAATTAGGCATACTGGTAGGCCACTCTCATCAGAGGTAAATGCAAATGAATCTGCCCAGGCATCAATGAATGTTCTATTTTCTTCAGATATTTTTCTTTTCTTACATTTCTCCATACTTGGCCTTGCTGGGGTTGAAAGTCGCGACAAATGGACGGCATACCGGCTTTCGCGAGTATGACGTTTATTTTGAGCGACGAAAAACAATAAAATATATTTATTCTAATATGTCAAGATCACAATAATCTTCCAATCTAGAACTAAAATATTCAAGAACTAATACAAATAAAATACACTTCAATTAGATACTTAGTTTTTTTTTTTTTAGTAATTTATTTTCCCAAGCCACTCAGAGCCGCAGTATAAGGACGAAAGAGCCGCATGCGGCTCCGGAGCCGCGGGTTGCCGACCCCTGGGCTAAACAGTGATGAAGAATGTTCCGAAAGTAATTCTCAGCGGACACGCGTTTCTCGGCTCAACTCCGGTAGCGCCAGCGACTCACTCCATGTGCAGGGGTGGGTTTCCTCCTCTCTGATTTTGATTGACAGCTGGCAGGGTAGTCTGATTGGCAACTGAGTAAAGAACGAAGGTGATTGGTGGATCGCTGTACAGCACATGCAGAGTCACATGCAGTATATCTCAGTCAGTTACCCATGAAATTAACTGAGTTCATTCGCCTCCAACATCGCAGGCTCTGCGATGTGACTATCGCACACACGTACATCGCGATGACGATGCAAAACGATATATCGTGCAGGCCTAGTTACAGCCTTATTCCAAAATGGATTAAATTCCTTTTTTCCCTCAAAAATTCTACACAAAATACCGCATAAGTACAAAGCGTAAAACTTTTTTTAGAACATTTTGCAAATTTATTAAAAATAAGACACTCAAATGTTGCATATACATAAGATAAAGATACTAGATAAAATTATAAGATACTGATAAATAGCTTAAATACCATTTAAAAAATAAATAAATAAAAAATAAGTAAATAAATAAAATAAACATAATATGTAAAATGAGGACTAAAATATATAAATGAACTAAAATAAGCTAAAAATAGGATAAAAATATAGATTAAAAATAAGACATTAGTTAAAAGCCAAATTAAATAGGAGAGTCTTGAGCCTGCTCTTAAAAATATGAACATTCTCTTCGGCCCTAAGGTCCTCCGGCAGGCTATTCCAAAGACGGGGGCCATAGTGCTGGAAAGATGCCTCACCGTAAGTTTGTGTTCTCACTTTGGGGACTATTAAAAGGCCAGTGCCAGAGGATCTCAGGGTCCGCGAGGGTTCATATTGTAAAAGCAATTCTGAAAGATAAGAAGGTCCAAGACCCCTAAGACATTTAAAAACCATTAAAAGGACCGTAAAATCAATCCTATAGCACAGAGGGAGCCAATGCTGTGATTTTAAAACCGGTGTAATGTGTGCCCGCCTTCTGGTCTTTGTCAGCACACGTGCTGCTGAGTTTTGCTACAGTTGTAAACTCGCAATGTTTCTTTTTGGAAGACCAGAAAGCAGGGCGTTACAATAGTCAAGATGACTGGAGATAAAAGCATGCATTAGCGTTTCTGTTTTAGCCCGGGAGAGAAAGGGGCGGACTCTGGGTATATTCTTTAAATGATAAAACCCTGTTTTTGTTATATTTTTAAATTGTGGAATAAAAGTCAGCTCAGAGTCAAAGATGACGCCCAGATTCTTTACCTGATTTGATGGAATTAAAGACAGGGTTTTCAGTTTTGTTAGTTTCTCTCCCTGAGCCTTAGGATCGATAATTAAAACCTCAGTTTTGTCCTGGTTGAGCTGTAGGAAGTTTTCTGCCATCCAGGATTTAATGTCTCGGACACAGCTAAAAAGGGCATCAATTGGCCCTGTGTCATCAGGAGACATGGATATGTAGAGCTGTGCGTCATCAGCATAGCTGTGAAAAGTGTTACCATGCCTCCTGATGACATTGCCCAGTGAGAGCATTTATAAATTAAAAAGTATGGGGCCTAAAATTGAGCATTGGGGCACACCACATTTAATGCTATGAATGCTTGACGAGCATGTGTCCAAACTTACAAGAAACTTTCGATCTGTGAGATAGGAGTTAAACCATTTAAAGGCAGTACCAGAGAGGCCTACAAGGTGCCTTAGTCTATTTAAAAGAATTGTGTGATCTACTGTATCAAAAGCAGCGCTTAGATCCAGTAGCACAAGGACTGTAAGCTTGTGTGAGTCCAAGTTGCACCTAAGATCATTAACAGTTTTCAGTAGTGCAGTCTCGGTACTGTGGTTCGTCCTAAATCCAGATTGAAATTTCTTAAGGATGGAATGGTTATTTAAAAAATCATTCAACTGAATAAAAACAAGTTTTTTCTAAAATTTAGCTTAAAAATGGTAAGTTGGACATTGGTCTGTATAGTGAAGTCCCTAAGCCCCAAAAATAAGCTGTAAAACATTTGTTAAACAATTTGTTAAAATTAGGGCCATGAAGCATTTGAAGGAACTTTGCTTCAGTATAGGTTTCACAAACAAGGAGATACTTCATCCTTTGGTACATCAGCATCACATTGTCATAAGTATAAAGACTTAAAAAAAGAATATATGAGAAATACGTCTTTTCCACGGGGAAAAAAACTGGTGTACTTGAAGGAAATCGCTGCTTTTGTGGAGGCAGAAATGAATATGCTGAGGATATATCCGTTTATGCAGCCGTAAATATCCGTGAATGACATTGAGCTTTAATTTATGATATGAATCCATTTGCCATAATAAGGTGTTGGTGTCTCTGCAGGTGTAGGCTACCGCCGGTGTCAGAGACGTGGTGCTCGTCGGAGCTCGACTCCCTCTGGATCACAAATGTTGATCATCATCAGTTTGATTGTTTCTTCAGAAACCACAAAATCTCTCTGAATGACCCGCTGATACATCCACAGATAACCCTGCAGATGACCAGCTTCAGTCATTTCCCCCTCCACAAAAGCAGCTTTATGACTTTTTTTTTTTTTTTTTTTTTTTAAACTTTATTTTTGTCTTTTAAGGCAAACTTACAAACATACACGCAAATACTGTACAAAACAAAACAAAACAAGAACGAGAACAAGGGGGGCAAACACTACTCAGTTACATACAGGTGCCATTTAGTCCATCTTACAGCATATAGCTCAGCTTTAATTCGTAGTCTGTAAGTCATTTGTTCCATTGATCGGATTTCCTCTACAATGGTCAGCCAGTCACTCAGTTCAGGTGGATCAGTTCTTAGCCAAGTTCTTGTGATGGCTTTCTTAGCTGCAAGAGATAGGATCTTGAACAGGTATATGTCCTCTTTACCCATTACATCTTCTAATATCAGTCCAAGATAAATAAACCGGGGATCTTTGGGTAAATTATATCCAAAAACTTTACCCATGACTCTCAGGACCTCATCCCAAAATGTCTGTATTTTCGTACATGACCAAAATATATGAGAGTGGTTGGCATTCAGTTGCCCACATTGTCTCCAACAATGCTGTTGTTGACCTAATTGTTTATTTTTGATTTTTGGTGTAATAAATAGACGTGTCAAATTTTTCCAACCGAACTCCCTCCATGTTTTAGAACTTGTTGATGTATGTTGGGTCTTGAGCATGGTCTGCCAATCACTCTCAGATAATTCAATGCCGAGTTCTTTTTCCCATTTCTCTTTTATATACATTGTGTTTCTTCCCTGTTGCTTCAACAAACCTTTGTATAGCTTTGAGACAATTCTTAAGGGGGTTTGCTTGAACGCGCCTGTTAATATTTCGATCACATCATTCCCCTCCACAGAAATTTCCCTCTTAACTTCTGTCTCATAAAAGTGTCTTAATTGGAAATATCTATATAGATCTTCATTTTCTAATCCAAACTCATTTTTCAGCGATGTAAATGATTTGAAATGTTGCTTATCTATAAGTGTACATGTGGCTGTTATTCCTTTGTCTCTCCACTTTTCAAAGGTCTTATCTAACATTCCTGGTCTGAATCTAGAGGTGCAAGAGGGCCAAATCAACAGTTCAATCTCCTGTTAATTTATATTTTTTCACCACCTCATACCATATTTCTAATGTTCCTCTCACGACCAAGTTTTCTCCCTTAAGGTCTCTGTATTCTTTCCCACTTAACCTTGACTGTGGAGGGGCTTGGCCTTGGCTCATCTCAATGTCCTTCCATCGGGCTTGATAATTCGGAGAGCACCAATACACAACATATCTTAACTGTGCTGCATAATAATACCCTCTTAAGTCTGGCAGTGCCAATCCTCCATTTTCTTTGTCTAGCTGAAGGGTCTTGAGTCTTATCCTCGGTCTGGCTCCAGCCCAAATGAATCTGGATATTAGCTTATCCCATGCTGAGAATTGTGTGTCTGGTATTCGAACTGGGAGCGACAGAAAAAGATACAACAACCTAGGCAGGAGGTTAATCTTGACCACCTCAATTCTTGAACTGAAGTCCATTATTAGTGTTGACCACTTTGCTACATCTCTTTGAATTTTATTGTTTATTAACTTGTAGTTTGTCTCATAAGTTCTGTCAAGTTCCTGAGTTATTATCACTCCTAGGTATTTAATTGACCTAGCATTCCAATTTAATTTATATTTCTTCCTGATTTTTTTATTTGGCTTATAGTTAAAAGTTAAAACCTGAGTTTTAGACATATTTAGTTTGTAGCCTGACATTGATCCATATTCTTCTGTTATTTTTACTAGTTTGGTAAATGTTGAATTTGGGTTTTGGAGGTAGGTGATTATATCATCAGCAGATAACCCTATTTTATGCTCATCTCTTGCTATCATGATTCCTGTCAACTCATCTTCCTGTCTAATTGCTTGGGCGAGTGGCTCTATGAAGATTGCGAAAAGGGCGGGGCTAGCACAACAACCTTGTCGTGTCCCTCTGTGCAGCTTAAAGGTGTCTGTCAGGTGTCCATTAATTTTGACTGTAGCTGATGGGTCAGTATACAATGCCTTAATGCATTTAATGAATTTATCATTAAATCCCAATTTCTCTAATACTTTATATAAAAAATCCCAGCTGACCCTGTCAAACGCTTTTTCGGCGTCTAAGCTGATCAGGGCAGCACATGTATGATGTTTGTTAACGTGATCTATAATATGGAGGGTGCGCCTGATATTGTCCTGTGTTTGGCGTCCCTTAACAAAGCCTGTTTGATCTTCATGTATCAGGTCAGGCAGAAAACATTCCAGTCTTTTAGTAATTATGGATGTGAACAATTTGTAATCGACATTCAAAATCGATATTGGGCGGTATGACTCACAGTATTCCTTGTTTTTCCCCTCTTTGGGAATGACAGATATCACAGCATCCTTCCAGGACGGTGGTGCTATAGCTTTCTCAAGTGTCCAATTGAATGATTCCAGTAATATCGGAGCTAGGACTTCTTTGAATTTTTTGTACCATTCATTTGGATATCCGTCGCTCCCAGGACTCTTATTAGACGCCAGTCTACCTATGGCTTTATCCAATTCGTCTTTAGAGATAGGGGCGGTCAGATATCCATTTTGTTCTGAGCCTATTGAGGGGAGATCAAGTGAAGACAGGAATTGTTTTATTTTCTCTTCGTCAGCCTTCTCAGGCTGTGAATATAAAGTTTCATAGTAGTTTTTAAACATTCTGTGAATTTCTTCTGGGTCGTATTTTAGTGTATTTGATAAAGGGTCCCTTATCTTATGGACTGAGTTTGTTATTTGTTGTGTCCGAAGACGCCTCGCCAGTATTCTGGTGGCCTTTGGGCCTGATTCATAGAAGGTTTGCTTCATGAATCTCATTTTATTTTCTGTTTCATCTTTAATTAAGTTTTCTATCTGTTTCCTTATAGCTTTAATCTGGTCTCCTATTGTATCTTTCTTTTCATTTTTAGGAAGTTGTTTTTCTAGTTTTTCTAATTCCTTTTCTAGTTGATCATATTTTGATCTCTGCATTTTCCTTAGATAGGCCGTTCTTGATATGAGCTTCCCTCTCATAACTGCTTTGACCGTGTCCCAAACAATAGTCGGGTCGACATGGTCATCCTTATTATCATCTATACATTCTCCTATTTCTTTTTGGATTTCTTCCACTGTTGATTTATTGTTTAAAAGTCCTACATTCAATCTCCATAGCGTATTTCTTGGTTTACTGTTTAGGTGTATATCGAGGTAAACAATACTATGATCGGATATATCTGCTGTTCCAATTTTGCACTCATTTATCTTATGTCTATCTATAGTATTTATCAGAAAAAAGTCCAGCCGAGAGTGTACTTTGTGTGTAGCTGAGTAATGGGTATATTCCCTTTCTCTAGCATGGATATTTCTCCATACATCAATCAAGCCTGTCTCTCTTATCAGAGTATTTAGGTATTTTGATTTGGGGGATCCCTGTCTGCTCGTGCTTGTTGTGTCAAGCTGATAGTTCAAAATAGTGTTCCAATCTCCCGAACAAACAAGTACCCCCTCACTCTCACGTACAATTAGGTCAAATAAGTTTTTAAAGAACGATATATTACTCTCTGGAGGAGCGTAGACATTCACAAATGTGACCAAAACATTATCCATCTTGCCTTTGACTAATATATATCTACCTTCATCATCCCTTTTTGTTTTAATCGGCTCAAAATGTAATGAATTAGATATCATTATCACGACCCCTCTCTTTCTGCTATTTTTACATGAACTATAATATGTATTAGAGTATCCAAAATTGCTTAGTTTCTTGTGTTCTGAATTGGTCATATGTGTCTCTTGTAAAAATATTACTTGGGACTTATCTTTCCTCATTTTTGCCAGCACCCTGCTCCTCTTGACCGGATTACTCAAGCTGTTAACATTCAGTGAAGCTATTTTCAATTTATGTGGCATTATCACTCAAATATAAGAAGAAATGAATGGCTTTGTAATAGTGTTGTCCCCCAGACAACCCAGAAAAACAAAAAAAAACAAAGACAGAACAATGTCGACTGAACATAGTAGAAAAACAGACCTCCAAACTGGGAGGAGGTGACTCCTCACCGAGACCCCGTTGGTGGGTCGAGGGAAAATCCCATCCCTAAGATAGGGCCCTATACATAGGATGGCTTGGCCATCTAAAGGAGAAAACCCTACCATCCTAAAGTCCAACGTCGATCATTAAATTTAAGGTCGTCACTCCCAGACGTTTATTTAACAATATCCTATAGCCTTGAGAAAGAAGCCTTATATTTGTCCAGTTCAGCTCTTATATTTCAGTTTTAAAGTGGCAGCAGTTTTACCAGTCTGTGATGGTTACTACTTCTTTATTTTACCTCCCTTGCGCTGGGGTTCGTCTCTCTGAGCAGTGTTATCACTCTGGAAACTCTGAAGTTTATACCGCGCTCTCCGGGTCACGTCGTCCTCTGCCCCGCGGGGTCCCGTTACTCTCTGCCACGACCCCAGCAGCTCTCCCAGGCGCGCTCCCCAGTCGGTCTCCCCGTTGGTCGGCGTCGCCTCCTCCACGGTGATCCCGCGTCTCCTCAGCTCCTCTCTCGCCTCCTCCGCGCTGCCGTACAGCCGGGCTCCCGTCTCCCAGTGGATGCGCATGTTGACATAAGGTGTTTGGAAACGCACTCCTTTCACTTTCAGTGCCTTTTTAATCCCGTTATATTCTCTGCGTTTCTTCACCACCTCTGCAGTGTAATCGTGATCAAAGTAGAGGGGCTTGTTATTCAGCTGGATCTTTTCCGTTCTGTTTTTCCCCCAGGCTTCCTTTAACACCCATTCTTTGGTCGTAAACTCCTGGAAATTGACGATAAATGCCCTCGGGGGTTTGTCTGGAGCTGGCCTCTGAGCCCCGGTTCGATGTGCGTGCTGGATCTTTAGCTCCATGTCGGCCGGGATCGGTAGTTTGCTCCGGAGTAGCGCCTCGACAAACTCCTGCGCCGAGTTTCCCCCCTCTTCTCCTTCTGCCACTCCGATGATGCGGAGGTTATTGCGTCTCGATCGTGATTCTAAATCGTTTAGTTTATGCTGCAGGACTTTTTGCTGTTTCAGGCAGGAGGTCAAGGCCTCAGTTGATTCAGCCGCCCATCTCTCCACCGTCTCCACCCGCGACTCTGCCTCCTCCACTCGGTCCGATAGGTTACGGACTTCTGCCCCCAGCATATCCAGTTTACCGTTGATTTCTTGTCCAAGATGTGTGATTTCTTGTCGCAGAGTGTTGTTGTCGCCTTTTAGATCCGTTTTTAGATCGTTGATTGCCTTAATTATGTCCGCAGGCGCCATGTTGTCCTGGTCCACTTTACCGCTGCTGTCTCTGGCTGTCGTCGTGTTTTTCTGTTTTGGAGGCTCTTTTTCGTCGTTTTTTTGGTTTCGGCGTGTCGTTCCCCAATCCATCTAAGTTTTTTATCAAACAATATTGAATTTTAAATTACTCTTGGGTATAAATTGCGGTTTGTCTGGGAGAGCGATCTCGCGTGCGTGTGACTACTCCATGAGCCAACCCGGAAGCCGCAGCTTTATGACTTTATATACTTTATGATTTTATTCTCCTAAATTTACAACTTTAATCTCTAAATCTTAAAAAAAAAAAAAACAAACTCAATGTTGTCCTGATACTCTGCTGTAGTTGTGTCAGCTTTCTTATTTCTAATGTTTTTGATAGTTGAAGCAGAGCGGATCAGTTGTCTCTAAATCTATAATGTTTGGATTGCAGATTTTAGTGAGTTCAGAGATCATGCTCTCATACAGCCTGAGCTGACTGTCTGCTGTTTTTGGATTTCTTGTATTTTTTTTGAAGACGCGCTGTGTCTCCAAGCGAGTCCAGCCTCTCACCTGAAATGCACAGCTGTGCAGCGGCACGCAAAGCATTCTGGGATACCGACGGCACGAAAGCGTGCATAAATGCACGCTTGAAAACATGCTAAGCGCGCTTAGCATTTCTTAGCATCTCGTGCCAAATGGGACACCGTTCGCGCCGTCATGACGTCATGCACGCTTCAAATGCACCGTTCGACGGTGCAGAAGCGCACTTAGCCCGATGCGGTCTCTGAAATGAGACACAGCCATAGTCTTCTCATTACCCTCACAATGGGGGTAAAATATGCACATTTAATGAACAAAATAAGTGTCAAAAAGGTGACTTTAAAAATGTCCCCCTAAAAAAGAAAAAGAAAAAAAGACATAAGCTCCTCTCCTTGCCTTTAAATCCGCCACCGGCGAGGCGTAGTACAATTTTAGTCAGAGAGATCAAGAGATGTCTGAAGACAATTATGCCACACGATGGTGACAGAAGGCAGCTCCTCAACAAGTGTCACTGTAAGCGCTGCATTGGGCGTCCTCCACACTCTCTCATCTGAGCACAGATGGATTTGGTGTGTGTAATGTTGGACCCACTGGCAAGACAAACACCCTTTTCCACAAATAAAGACACTCACATAAAGTTGCATATATTCAAACCTCACGTGACAAAGGTGGGTTGAGCGCACAGATCACAACATTAACTCCAAAAATGGCATTAAAATCGGAACCATCTGTGCGTAAATGACGCATCGCGCTCCATGGCCTGGCTCTTTCTTTCATAGATGTTGGCATATAAAATAAATTTGGCTCACAAAACTAAATATTATAATATCCGCATGTAGGCTTAAAGTAAATAACTCATCTGATCACTGAAACAAATCATCTGTTCAGCCACTGCAGGACGGAGAGAGGACACGGAGACATGTCCAGGTTGAGCTGCGCGAGAAATAAGAGGAAGAAAGAAAAGGAGGGAGACGAATCACATATCTTGTTAACTTCATCATGTGTGTTTATTTACTAGATATTTAATTTAATGCAGTTTCAGCTGTGTTGATTCGGTCAGGTTGTGTGTCGAAACGCGTGCCAAACGTGCTCATCAGATCAGATATAGATCAGAATATATCTATATAGATCTAAATGTATGTGCTAACTCAGATTATTAGTTGTTGATGATTATTTATTGCACTGAAATGTGCCTGACACTGTGGAAACCTGCCGGTGAGGCATCGGTGACGTATGCTGATACGCCGCTGGTCTACCAAAATACCTCTAGACCAGCTGCGTTTCGCTTGCGCTGAAAGCTGACCAGTTTTGAATCGGCGAGCTTTCAGCGCACTTTACACGCCACTGGCGAGCACGAAAATATCACTGCGCCCGCTGATTCTGTCGACACCTCCCCCTGCCACGCCAACACGCCCAGCTTGGCGGATCTCGGTTCGCCTCCGTGCGACGTTTAGGGGAAGGGGTGGGGGGGTAAGTTACCCTGTTAAAACCTACATTTTATAATGAAATTAGCATATTTTACCCCCCGCTGTCATGGTAATTAATGATGAATTTGGGTTTTTTGCATTGAAACCTATTTAATTGAATTCCTTGACCCCAAAAATGTGCACTTTGACACCAATATTATGATTATAGCTCCAACATAAGAAAAGATATGGGGTCTGGTGTATAAGCGGTTTATTGTCGGCGGCCATTTTTAAAATGGCTATTAAAAAAAATTGAAGGGTGATCTAACTTGTCTCTTTGGATAAAATGTTTCCTATGACCCTAAGGTACTTCCATGCCAAAGGAACAGTAAATCTCAGTTTAGGGGGAGGGGTGGGGGGGTAAGTTACCCTGTCAAAACGTACATTTTTTCATGACTTTAACATATTTTACCCGCCATTGTCATGGTAATTAATGAAGCATTGGGTTTTTTACATTGAAACCTATTTAATTGAATTCTTAGACCCCAAAAATGTGCACTTTGACACCAATTTTATGATTATAGCTCCAACAGAAGCAAAGATATGGGGTCTGGTGTATTGGCGGTTTATTGTCGGCGGCCATTTTTAAAATGGCGATAAAAAAAGATTGAAGGGTGATCTAACTTGTCTCTTTGGATAAAATGTTTTCTATGACCCTAAGGTACTTCCATACCAAAGGGGACATTTGTAGCATGACTTGAAGTAAAATGTGTCTTAGGGCCCCAACTAGTAGTTATTAAGAACATTATGATCCAAATTGTTCTTCAGAAGGGGTCTCACTACTGCCGTTTTAAGGGCAGCAGGGAAAGAGCCTGTCTGAAGAGAACAATTCACTATATTTAAAAGCTCGCCTTCAAAGAATCCATAAAACATGTTAAAAAGTGATGTGGGAATTGGGTCTAAAAGGCAGGTTGTTGGTTTTACTTGGGAGAAAACTCTACCAAGCATCTCAGCATCAACCAGGACAAAACTGTCCAGTGTTTCCTCAGGTAAAAACAAGCTTTCAACTGTATTAGAAACAGTGTTTTAAATAGATAAAAAAGAGGATCGTGTAAAATCAATTTTACCCCTAAAGTGGTCTGCAAAACCTTCACAAAGTGTGTCTGAAAGAGTGATTTGATATCTGTTAAAAACCGGGTTTATTAAAAGATCAATTGTAGCAAAGAGGATTTTTGGGTTATTCTTATGATCTGTGATTATGTTGGTAAAATAGGTGGATCTTGTGTGTCTGAGAGCTTTATTGTAGATTTTCAGTTGCTCGCAGTACATTTGATGATTAATTGTAATTTTATTTTTCCTCCATCTCCGCTCAGCTACCCTGCAATTTCTATTTAGTTTTTTGATTTCCTCATTTCTCCACGGCGGTGTGCGCTTAGGCAGTACCTTTTTTGTTTTCAGTGGAGCTACAAGGTCGAGGGTGGTTTCAAGTTTGTGCATAAAATGTTGAACAATAAAATCACAGGATGCAGGTAGAGTAGCTGAGGGATGCTTGCTCATGATCTCGATAAAATTTGCTGCCACTTCTGAGGTAAAATGGCGTTTCCTGACAGTTCGCACCGAGGTCTCCCGCTGAATAAAACTGGTGATATTAAAAAACACACAATAATGGTCCGACACAGCCAGGTCAACAACAGAGGACACACTGGCTGACAGGCCATAGCTGAGGACTAGATCCAAGGTGTGTCCTCTGTTGTGAGTTGGCTGTGTGACGTGTTGTGTAAAATCCAAGCAATTAAGAAGATTTAAAAACTCTTTTGCCATTGAGTCAGATGGATTGTCTATGTGTAAATTAAAATCACCAGATATAATAATAAAATTGTAAGTGGCATGGATTATTGCTAAAAATTCAGAAAATTCACTGATAAAAGCAACATCATGTTTTGGTGGTCTGTAAACAGTTATACACAGAATCGAGAGACTGTTAAAAACAACAGCATGATGTTTAAAGGTGGTGTACTGATCAAATTGTATTTCTTTTGTCCTTAGTAAGTTGTTGATTATTGATGCAGTACCACCACCTTTCCTGCCACTTCTAAAAGAGAACGTAAAGTTAAAATTAGGTGGGGAGGCCTCAGTGAGAAAAACTGGCGCGTCTGTACCCATTGTCTGCCACGTTTCAGTTAAAAACAGACAATCAACCTTGTCTAAAATCAGGTCATGGACAATTAAAGATTTGTTTAAAAGAGAGCGAATGTTTAAAAGTGCCATGTTGATGTTGACGGGTGATTTACAGAATGTGTGGTTCGATTGTTGATGTTTTGGGAGAGGTCTGAGGTTATTGAAGTTCACAGAGTGTACATGATGGAGTCTGGCTGTCTCTCGCTGAGTGATGATGACAGGAATGGGTGAATGGTTAATGAAAACAGAGGGTCCAAGTCCAGTATTGTGTGTGACAGAGGTGGAACTAAAATCATAGCAACTGGGACCTGGGAGACATCAATCAGTGGCGGAAAGGTCAGTCGGTGCATGTTTGGGCTGATGGCAGGAAAGTGAGAGTTGACTATGTTGTAGACCTTATGCCAGGTTGGCGGCCAGCACGCGGGTGCCAGCGAAATTGTCAACAAAGCCGACATTGTGGTTACTGCAGGCTGATGAGAGCCAGGTGTTCAGGCTGAGCAGCCTGCTGAAGCGCCCAATACCTCTGCCACAGGTGGGGGTGGGGCCGGAGATGAAAACGCGCAGCTGGGGCCGTGAGAGTTCGTTAAAAAGCTGTGTGAAATCACGCTTTAAAAGCTCGGACTTTTGTCTGGAGGTGTCAATGGTGCCCACATGTATGACGACCCTGTTTACCTGAGGATGTGAATTCAGGGCGCTTGGGATTTTCTCAGTGATGTCTGCAACAGTGGCGCCGGGAAAGGACAGACTGAATGCTCCCCTCAAACGGACAGTCCGGATGATGGAGTCCCCGATGACAAGTGTCGTGGCCCGTTGCCTGAGGGGGTCGGCTGGCTCGGTGGATCTGTCCTCCCCGTCAGGCGCCCAGGGATGAGACCGTCCAGTGTGCCACCGCACCGCGTCCTTGAGGAGCTGCCTCCGCTGGGCTGAGGGACGGGGGGACGGAGGCGAGCGGCACGGCGCTGGACGCCGATCTGGTCAGGCACAGGCAGCCATGAGTGAAGGGAAGGCTGTGGTGTCCGTCAGCGGGGGCATAGCATCCCTCGGGGAGACCTCGGGATCAGCAGGGCCCTGGTCCAGTGGCTCCACAATAATGGACAGAGCTGAATATTTGTTGGAGAGAGGGATGCCGATGGAGGAGGAAACCCCGCACGGAGCCCCGGCAGGAGCCTTCTTACGACTACGGACCACTACCTCAGACCAGGGGGTCCCTTTGTTGGGAGTAGAGCTGGAGGGCCGCTGACAAGTGGACGAGGAAGGCTCCCAGACGACGGTGTCCCTCAGTGCAGCGGCAGAGCTATGCTGTGGCAGCTCGCTGGTCTGTGTGCCGGGAGCAGAGATTTAAAAGTGGCCGGGAGTGAGTCCTTCCTCTGCAGCTCTTCCGAGAGTCGATCAATGTCCTCCAGAAGATCGGCGATCTTTCGCTGGGCTCTTTTAAGTTGTTGACCAACTTCAGCAGGTGAGGAAGCGTCGATGACGGTAGCCTCCATGGGTGCCATGTCGCTAACTCAGCAAGAGTGCATAAAATCCCAGAGTCTGATGTCTAAAACCTTTTATCCGGTAAAATCAAAAAGATAAAAATAATCCTTTGCTCAAGGAACAAAATGTTAAAAGCAATCAGAACATTTTAAAACCGAATAAAAACGATGGCTTGCGGGGACCTGCACTCTTTTTCTCTGCTACGACAGATAAAATTAAATAAAGTAAAATAAAATAAAAACCCATACAGGGTAAAAGTTCAACTTAAGAGCCAGCAAACACTTAAAATGCAGTCTTAAAAGTTGTTAAACCGGTTAAAATGGGTTAAAAAGTTGGTCGCAGGAGAGAGAAATGGCTGGGTGCCATACGACGCCCTTTGCTATAAAACTCAAAATTGAGCTCAGTTGCATCCTGTTTCCACTGATCAGCCTTGAAACGTTCCTCCAACTTGACATTGGACATGATTTGGAAAGCCACACCTGTCTTTATAAGATCCCACAGCTCACAGAGCACGTCAGAGCACAAACCAAGCCATGAAGTCGAAAGAATTGTCTGTAGACCTCTGAAACAGGGTTATATCGGCGCACAGATCTGGGGACGGTTACAGAAAAATATCTGCTGCATTGAAGATCCCAAAAAGCACAGTGGTCTCCATCATTAAGAAATGGAAGACGTTTGGAACCACCAGGACTCTTCCTAGAGCTGGCCGCCCAGCCAAAATGAGCAAGCGGTGGAGAAGGGCCTTGGTCAGGGAGGTGACCAAGAACCCGATGGTCACTCTGACAGAGCTCCAGCGTCCCTCTGAAGAGATGGGAGAACCCTACAGAAGGACCACCATCTCTGCAGCACTCCACCAGTCAGGCATTTATGGTAGAGTGGCCAGACAGAAGCCACTCCTTAGTAAAAAGCACATGACAGCCCGCTTGGACTTTGCTAGAAGGCACCTGAAGGACTCACAGACCAGGAGAAACAAAATTTTCTGGTCTGATGAAACGAAGATCGAACTCTTTGGCCTGAATGCCAAGCGTCATGTCTGGAGGAAACCAGGCACCGCTCACCACCTCGCCAATACCATCCCTACAGTGAAGTCTGGTGATGGCAGCATCAGTGGGGATGTTTTTCAGCAGCAGGAACTGGGAGACTTGTCAGGATCGAGGGGAAAAATGAATGCAGCTAAGTAATTCGAAATCCTTGATGAAAACCTGCTCCAGAGCGCTCAAGACCTTCGACTTGGGCAACGCTTCATCTTCCAGCATGATAATGACCCTAAGCACACCGCCAAGAAGACAAAGGAGTGGCTTCAGGACAAGTCTCTCAATGTCCTTGAGTGGCCCAGCCAGAGCCCAGACTTGAACCCGATTGAACATCTTTGGAAAGACCTGAAAGTAGCTGTGCACCGACGCTGCCCATCCAACCTCACTGAGCTTGAGAGGATGTGCAAGGAAGAATGGGAAAAACTCCCCAAATCCAGGTGTGCCAAGCTTGTTGCATCATACACAAGAAGACTGGATGCTGTAATCGCTGCCAAAGGTGCTTTGACCAAATATTGAGTAAATGGTGTGAATACTATGCAACATTTGGGTGTTCTTATTTTTAATAAATTTGCAAAATGTTCTAAAAAAAGTTTTTTGCTTTGTCGTTATGGGGTATTTTGTGTAGAATTTTTGAGGGAAAAGGGGAATTTAGTCCATTTTGGAATAAGGCTGTAACATAACAAAATGTGGAAAAAGTGAAGTGGTATGAATACTTCCGGATGCACTGTATGTGCCAGCAAGGCCTCACATACTTCACCACAGATCAGCTGCTGTAAAGGCGTGAATGAAGGTGTCTTCGGTCAGGACACGCAGGGGCTTGATATTCCATACTACATGTGTTATACCTTGTTCCTTTCTTTCAGAAAACAGAAGTTATATTCATAACATTTCGTTCTCCACATTAACCTGTCTGAGGAAGCACAGTTCCTGCTTTTCGCTTTGTCATTATGGGGTATTTTGTGTAGAATTTTTGAGGGAAAAAGGGAATTTAATCCATTTTGGAATAAGGCTGTAACATAACAAAATGTGGAAAAAGTGAAGTGGTATGAATACTTTCCGGATGCACTGTATATACACTACTGGTCAAAAGTTTTAGAACACCCCAATTTTCCCAGTTTTTTTTATTGAAATTCAAGCAGTTCAAGTCCGATGAACAGCTTGAAAGGGTACAAAGGTAAACAGTGAACTGCCCGGGGTAAATAAAAAAAGGTAAGTTTAACCAAAACTGAAAAATAATATACATTTCAGAATTATACAAAAAGGCATTTTTCAGGGAACAAGAAATGGGTGAACAACTTAAACCACTTCTGCAGCAATGGAGGTTGATCAAACCTTGAAAGTTTGTGCTACCAATTCCTACAGGTGTCCCACCTTTGATCGCTGTGCTGCTGCTCCTTGACCTTAATCACTTACAACCTTCTCTGTCTGCATAGAAGTAGTGTTGAAACACACTGTGGTACCATACCGTTGTGAGCATTGTTTAAACAGTAGTGTACTGCAGGAAGTAGTGTGTTACTACAAAAATGGCGAAGAAAAGGCAAGTAACGATAGCTAGTCCATGAGCCAAGACCCCAAAATTGACCCACTGCAATAATTCGGGTGGGCTAGTTTGTTTTTTTGAGTTGCTCCACATCCCTAGTTTATGGTTTGGCATAATAACCCTTGCGGACTGGTAGCTTAGTGATAGTTATCATGCTTTTAATCTATGGAGTCCTGTAGCAGAAATACCTGAATTTTGTATGGTGCTTGTTTGCTATTATGGGGCTTGTGGACTACTTGTTGACTGCTCTGCCCCCCTAAATTATTCTGATTTATTCCTAAATCATTGGAGAACTGAAATAAATAGTTTGATTTGTTGTCCAGATAAAATTTAAGACTAAAATATTCATAGGCGGAAATAGCATTTTTATTTTTCTCTTGTGTATCTTTTTCTCAGCAGAACAATTGGGTAATATTTGCATCATTTTAGACACTGGATTTGAAATCTGACCAGTCTTACCTTTCAGCAGGTACCAAATTGATGCCTGTAGCCCTTATAGTTTTGGAAATACACACATTTTTATGTTCACATGCACAACATAATTTTCTGGCTTCTGACATTTCCAAGCTGTTTCTCTCATCTCTCAATCACTCAGGTCAGAAAGATTTTCTGTTTCCCATGTGAATTATTCAACCTACATTAATCAAACACATCTGGTGATAAAATAAAATATTTGGGGGGGTGTTATGTTGTGATATGACTGTTATTGGTGAAGTGATGCCACTGGGGGTGTGACTGCTGCTACAGCGCTAGCTAGGTTTGCTGAGACAAATGATGGGGAGGGAGATTGATATTGTTTCATTAGAGGAGGAGATAGAACTGAAATTGGTGAATGAAACCACAAAAACAACTAGAAAAATTGCATTTCCTTGCAGAAAATGCGTGGAAATGCTGAGTGCTGAAAGCCGAAAAAGCAATGCAAAACTGCCAATAAAAAATGGAGGAAGGTATGAATGGAAAAACTGTTGAAAAGGTGGAGTAGAAGAAGAAGAAATTGTATGAATGGAAGATTTGTAGTATAGCTGAAGGTAAATTAGTTTGGTGAACTATGCCCTAAAGCTCATTCTCTGTAATGGCTACATTCATGACAAGAAACTTGTGAGAACCCCACGACTCTGCTGAACATATTGATACAATTAATTAACAAAATCCTAAATACACCCCATTATGTCCTCAATGAGCTGAATTTTTGAAGCCCAGAATGGTTTCTGTAGCTCAAAGTTTGTGGGTGGAGATAGGTGGTGATGCAGACACATATTAACTGTGTGTACATGCAGGTCTTTTAGACACAGACACACAAGCACACACATTGTCAGACTGTGTGTGTGTGTGTGTGTCTCGTTAATGATTGCATCCTAAACAGCTGTGAGATCAAAGGCATTAACTGACCTACTGTTTGAATGAGAAGCTGCCTCTGGACTTCTTCACATAGCACGATTTCCTTAAATCCCAGAATGAAAATAAGAACATCATACGAATCCTCCGCCCTTCATGAACACAATGATGTGTTTTTCATGTCTGTACTCCAAAAAATGCCACAACAGCGAGTTAAAAAAGTCTGAGCCTGAGTGACAATAAGGATTTTCTTGGAGAAAAAATACATTAGGGTTAATGGGAGAGATTTCCGCCTATTTGGACAGTTGGTCACCTGCTGGCCAAGGGGTAGGATTTAATGATTTGAAACCTTCTTTGTGAGAAGCAGGACACATATACCTCCATTTTTATGGTTTTTTTATGGCTGTGGAGTGAAATTTGTGGGCGTGGGAGCGATATATTCGAGCGAGGTTCTGTCGAAAAAAGAGGAGCTGTCCACTCTGGCTTTTAAATTACACACTCTAGCCTCTCCAATACACACCCATTATAAAGCCGGAAATTTGCTGAAAACCACGAGTTGCTTAAAGCTAAATTGGGAAATTGGAAAAACTGTAAAAGATATCAAAAAACTGAGTACAACTTTCATAGTCGACAAGACAATTAACATTTTAAAGCAAGAATGAGGTCTCTAGGTGAAAGTATGCTGAAGTTATAAGGCTTTGAAGGTGGAAGAATGAAAGGAAGAACTGGAAGATTTCCCCATTGACTTCAATGTTAAAATTTTTGCACAAAAAGTTAAAAAAAACAAAAAGTATAAGGGGTAGAAAGGTAAAAAATAGACGCAATAATGTCCTGAAGGAGTGGAACCTGGCTTCACTCTCATAAGGTCAGACAGAGATGCTTAAGCTAGTGGCAAGAAGAAAGGAGGAGGTCTGGCTTTATTTGTCAACCAGAGATGGTGTAACCCTTCACGAATTACTGTCAAGGAGAACTTGTGTTGTCCAGATATTGAACTGTTGGCAGTTGCTCTTGGGCCATATTATGTTCCAAGAGAATTTAGTCATATTACAACAGCAGTTGTTTACATTCCACCCAAATCAAGAATGTTGCGATGTTTTGCAAAATAGTGTTGCCAGGCTACAGACTCAACACCCTGAGGCACTAATAATAATATCGAGAGACTTCAACCATGTCACTCTCTCCTCTCACCCGACTGGATTCACACAGTTTGTGAACTGTCCTACCAGAGAAAACAAAATCCTGGATCTGCTGTACGCCAATGTCAAAGAAGCCTACAGAGCCACTGCCTTACCACCACTGGGCAAGTCAGATCATAACTTAATCTATCTGCAAACCCGTTACAGACCTTGTGTACTGAGGCAGCCTGTGACCAAAGTCAAAATCAGAAGATGGACACCTCAAGCCAGTGAAGCTCTAAGAGACTGTTTTAAATCAACAGACTGGAATGTGCTGCTGGAAACAGATGTGGATAGTATGAACATTGACAAACAGGTTGACTGCTTTACTGAATATGTCAACTTCTGTAGAGACACAGTTATACCCACAAAAACTGTTCGTTGTTTCCCCAACAACAAACCCTGAATCACAAGAGACATAAAAGCAATCCTCAAACAGAAAAAGAAAGCTTTTAAAGATGGTAACAAAGAACGACTCAAAGAACGACTCTTTAACTCAGAGTTAAAGAGGAGACTGAAGATGGCAAAGCTGGAGTGCAAAAAGAAGATGGAGAAGAATCTACAACATAGCAACATCCGTGAAGTGTGGAGAGGAATCAGTACCATCTCTGGACACAGCAGTAAAAAGAAAAGACATCCAGTGGTGAGTGATGTGGGAAGAGCTGATGAACTCAACCTGTTCTTCAACAGATTTGACACTGCTGTCACTCCCACTTCCACTCCTACTCCACCTTCCTCTCCGCAACAAATCTCCACTGCAACTTCTCCCCTTCCTCCTCCATCTCGTTAAAATGTCTCAACCACTTCAACTGCCTCCCTCCTAGAACACCAGTCCTTGTCTGTCACCGAAACAGTGGTGAGGATGGAGTTTGGAAGACTTTGTCCAGTTGATTTGGGTGGACTATAAACAACCACTGTTATGATATGACTAAATTCTCTTGGAACATAATATGGCCGGAGAGCAACTGCCAATAGTTTAATATCTGGACAACACAAGTTCTCCTTGACAGTTATGTGTGAAGGGTTACACCATCTCTGGTTGACAAATAAAGCCAGACCTCCTCCTTTCTTCTTGCCACTAGCTTAAGCATCTCTGTCTGACCTTATGAGAGTGAAGCCAGGTAGATCCACACTGGAGTCTGAGTTGTTTTGATTCAACCAGGTTTCAGTAAAACCCAGGAAACTGCACTCACGGTATGCTTTCTCAGTCTTCACCAATATCTCCAGCGAATCGCTTTTGTTGAGCAGAGAGTTGATGTTTCCCATGATGATTCATGGAAGAAAGAAAGTGTTTATATCACCACCTCCTAGCAGTGCAATGGATAGCACATTCTTTACCTTTTTTGTGTTCGTCACCTTCACTGGATTTAGTAGCCATGTCTTTCCTAGGCCATCCATCAAGTTTCTGAAACACTGAGATAAAATGTACTTTAAAAGGGTTGTGAGAATAATCTGCTAATTTAAATGTGCAATATGCAGCTTGCCCCTTTAAAAATGTGAATAGGCCTACAAAGTTCTATACATTCTAGTACAACCTGTGTGTGTGTGTGTGTGTGTGTGTGTGTGTGTGTGTGTGTGTGTGTGTGTGTGTGTGTGTGTGTGTGTGTGTACACATTAGCCTACCCCAGCTTTTGAAAACAAAAAAACCTACAAGTGCCACACATTTATGGAAATTTCTGCAACAGAGTTGGGAAGAACTTTCTGATGAATATTTGATTTCTATTGTAGAAAGAATGCCAAGAGTGTTGTTATATCTGCCAAAGGTAGCTGCTTTGATGAGTCCAAGGTTTAGAATACATTTTCGTTTCTAAATTAATTCTATGATTTCTTTTTTAACTTCAATTGTTTATTTGTTCTGTGCATTCATTTCAGAGTACACTGAGACATTACACTGCATCATTTTCAATCAAATTCTGGAAAAGTTGGCGTGTTCTAAAACTTTTGACCAGTAGTGTGTATGTTTATATATATTTATTATAGAGCCTATAATTTTAATTCTCACATCTGAATTTTAGTAAAATCACACATCACATAAACTTTGGTCTTGAATTTTTCATGCGTTTGTCTGAGATTTGAGCAGTTTTACATCTACTTTCTCAGACTATAAACAAAATATGTTTACCTTGTAATTTGGAACTTTGCATACTTACAGTATGGACACCAAAGTATGATTGCCCCACCCCCCCACCCCGTTAAACTGGTTTAATAGCATCTCATTGAACACTATGACAGAAAAGTTGTAATAGTGACTATTATGATGAATTTAATCCACTGACTGTTGCAGGTCCGCTAATGATACAAGCATGTCCAATTGTTCATGCTTATTTTAGCAGCTGAAGAAGTGACAGTCTTTCACACCTTTTTCCTGCTTCTCCAGGTGTTCTCCCTGATATCGAGCATTACTTTGGAATCGATGATGAAAAGTCTGGCTTACTGCAAACGGGTCAGAAAACTTTAGTTGTCAAATACTCTTCATCTATCACTAAACAACCAAGAGAATGGCTGAATGTTACTTTAAAGTCTGTCTTTTTCTGGAAACCTTGTGTGGTGATTGAATCATATTCATGACTGCTTCTTTGGGTTTGCTTTGGATTTGTCTGTCATCTCATAGTGTTTGTTTTGTGTTCTTTCAGTTTTTATCTGCAGCTACATGTTCTTGGCTCCTGTTTTTGGATACCTGGGTGACAGGTACAACAGAAAGATTATCATGAGTGTTGGCATCACGTTCTGGTCTTTAGTGACACTTGCCAGCTCCTACACCCCCAAAGATGTGAGTCAGATTTATCTTTCCTTAAACAGTCCCTGCTCTTTTTGTGACTTTTGAAGGATCATGTGAGAAGGTTTTATCCTGGTATTAAAAGTTTAAGGTATAAATCATCCCCTTTGCCCCCCTGCAGCATTTCTGGGCTCTGCTTTTCACTCGAGGCCTGGTCGGGGTTGGAGAGGCCAGTTACTCTACTATCGCTCCGACTATCATCGCTGACCTCTATGTGAAGGGAAAGAGGACAAATATGCTCTCTATTTTTTATTTTGCTATCCCTGTTGGCAGGTGAGTTCATATTATTGGTCCTTGTTGTGTAGCTGTGTTTGGGCTAGTCGGGGAAACCTTTAGGTGTCAGCTTTGTTCATTTGGAGCCAGGAGGACTATACTTGGAGCTTGAGTCACTTGCTTGGTGATTAAGTTGCATTGTCAACACAAATGGATGTTATTCATGCAGACTTTGTCTCCAAATTTGAATTGATATAAGAAACAAGTAACAATACAATTTTCACGGGACTCCAATGATCTGTGGTGACCAACATGACCAAGATGAAGAAGCGCATTTTTCTCAAGGATCCTTACTGAATGACTTTGAGCTGACCTTTAGTCCACAACTTTTTTGTTGCTTTAAGCTTAAAAAGACCACAGCAGAAGAAAGGTTTTTTAAGCTAAAATTCCTGTCAGGAGTGTTTTCACATCTATGAAAGAGAATAAAAATTATCTTGATGTCTTTTTATGATATTCAATAGCGACCAAGAACATCAGCAACAAGATAGATCATGTTTTAATCTTGAACTTTACTGCCCGAAACTTGTGTTAGGGGGGTAAGTGTCCGCTGAGCATCTGCAGAAACAGCCCTGTTCTAACAGTTTTAAATTACATATTCACAGTAAAAGACACACTCGACTGTCAAAAGTCAAGCATGGAGAGGACAACATAAGCAAAGACTGTTTTGTCCACAGGGGGTGCCAAAATTGAAATTGAATAAGGCCTAAATGAATCATCATACTGGTGTTACTCTATGCACCAAAGGGTAAAACTTAACAGCCACATTGTGATTCAGCGGAGATATCAAAATATTATGATATATACAGTTTATCTCGATGAAGCATGGAAATATGGGGATTTTTGTCACTCTTGTATCACTCAGCTCCAGACGGGACCAGGCCTGAATTCAGTTTTTCAATTTTTCATTAAATACCAACAGGGGAAAACAGGCTCAGATTTTCAGCAGCAAATGGTTGCTCATTTATAGGTCAACAATGTTGGAAACGGGAAACAGCTTGAAAAGTTTGTAGCCACAGACTTCACTGGTGTTTAGGTAGAAATTTTGACCCTGTTAGTCTGAGATTTCCACTCTGCAAAGGCCTTTAGTTTTTCATTAAAGACATCAACAATGAGTTCGTTTTGACATTGCAATACAAAATCAAAGTAGGACATATTTGCAGTGACTCTTTTTGTGATTCAACATCTGTTATAACTACGGAAACCACTTACACCTTCACCGAGAATTCCCCCGCTAGCAGGGTCAGTCTTAAAGTCAAAACACCAGTGTCTTAATATGATCATGATGACCATATTAGAATATCATTGATATTGTGTCCACAGCTGGAATAGTTTTAGTCCAAGAGGCTACTCCACCCTTAAAACACTATGGCTTATATTAAATATTCATGTAAACTGATTTGCTCCATTCCCCCCCCCCCTCCTCCTCGTTTCTTTATCTTTCTTCCTATCAGTGGTTTAGGATACATTGTGGGCTCCCAAGTCAGCAGTCTTGCTCAGGACTGGCACTGGGCTCTGCGGGTATGTCTTATTGTGTAAATTTTGCTGCTTTGTTCTCCAGAAATGCACACACAAGGCTGTATCACCTGTATCTGACCATATTCAATGTTTGTGCTGTCCTCTCTTTAGGTGACCCCCGGACTGGGACTGATCGCGGTGCTGCTGCTCCTGTTTGTTGTTAAGGAGCCTAAAAGAGGAGCCATCGAAGCTCGACCAGAGCACCACCTGCACCAGACCAGCTGGCTGAAGGACCTGCAGGCTCTAAGCAAGAAGTAGGTTCTACATCCTTTGTTTGTCATGTTAAATGGCGTAGTCTACCATGATGTTAAGATGTGAAAGACTCGAAACACCAGTGGAAGTTTCACATATCACATTGATGCTTGCCACTCTTGCACAGAACACTGATGGTACGTTTGAACAGTTTTTAGCAGCAGCTGTGAAAAGCATGATGCTTTGGTTGTTTGCAATGTGCAAAGCAATGCATGTATCGACTGTGAAGCCGACATCAGGTGCCAAACATGGCTATGTGTAGTAGCTCTTTCTGTTACCACAATGTCTGAGTCACTGTGGAACATTCATGTCACTGAACCTTAAATTTACAGAGAGAATGTCATCAAAAATCATTTCGCAGCAGAAAAAACGTGTTTAGCATTTTGCACATCAGAAGACTATTTTAAGTAAGATCATACAACTCTTTTGAAGCTGACTCTGCATGGTTTTGTGAAAGCACTTAAATATGAAAACTTTTAAAGGTTTATGCTGGGGTTTGAAAACTAGGCTCTAGTTCTGCTTTGTTGAAGTCACATAATATAACTACACAATTACTCAGCTTAGCATGCAGCAGAGAAGCAGCTTCTGAGTGCTTTTGAGGAGATAATGGTGTTTTAAAATGTGTTTAACTGTTTTAAAGACAGGGATGCTGTGGCTTTTCTCTTCCCTTACAATTGAACTAAAGTTGTCTCTTGAGAATCAGTTCATATCAAACTTTATTATAAAGCTCTTTTCATACAAAACGATGTAACACAAAGTGCTTCACAGTCTCCTAAAAAACCAAACCAATCCCAAATGGAAATAAAATAGATAAATTTTAATATCAAATATCAAAAGCTAAACTAAAAAGGTGGGCCTTCAGCCTGCTCTTAAAACCATTAACATTCTCTGAGGTCCTCTTGCAGGCTATTACATAGGTGAGGGTTGTAATACTGGGAGGACTCCTCACCATGTTTGAGTGTTTCCTGACTGGGAATGACTAGGACACCACTGTCGAAGGAGTCAGTGAAGTGTTACGCCCCAGTCTAGGGGTGCCTAGGGCACAACATGATAAGGCCTCATCTTCCCCAAGTCCCAAGTAGCCACAAACCAGAGATTCATTTCAATTTAAAGAAAATGGTTTATTTACATTAATTAGTAAATGAACATATAGATATAGAAAAATAACTAAGGCTGAGTGGTTAGGCTTCAGGGTGGACCAAGGCCAAAACAACAACCAAAATGATCCTGTCTGTGGAGTAAGTAACTAACCTAACCAAACAAAGGAAACGAATGACAAAAGACTTACCTCCCTAACTAAAATACACAGGAGAAAATAAGGTTAACAAAACTGGCAGCCCACCCTTACTACTCAAAAGCAATCACTACCAAAATACACAACGGTTTAACACAGCAAAACAGTGTGGCCGGTTGGGAGAGGAGGAGGATGAGGAATGCCTGTAGCCCTGCCACCGGTGGCCGCCATCTTGGCTCTTCATATAGCAGGTGGTTTTCTGTTTCAGCCAATCGCTGTCCAGGACGTAGACCAATCCACTAATGACCGCACGGCTGTGGCACATACCTATTTGCATAGGAGGTTGACACAAAAGACACAGGGCACACACACACACAGCAGACAGTCTACAAATTATGACCACAGTCATAACAGAAGGTTCATAAGGTAAAAGCAGTTCTGAGAGATAAGAAGGCCCAAGACCATTAAAAGATTTGAAAACAAGTTAAAGAACCTTAAACTCAATCCTAAAACACACAGGGAGCCAATGCAATGATTCCAAAACCGGTGTAATGTGGGTCCGCCCCCTGGTCTTCGTCAGGACATGTGCTGCAGAATTTTGCAGTAATTGTAAACCTGCAATATTTTTTTGTTTTTTTGGGGAAGACCAGAAAGAGGGGCATTACAGTGGTCTATACAACTTGTGATAAAAGCAACTGTCAATGTTTCTGTGTTGGCCTGAGAGAGAATAGGGCAGGCTCTGGCTATGTTCTTTAGGTGATAAAAACCTATTTTTGTTATGTTTTTAATGTGTGGACTAAAGGTCAGCTCAGATTAAAAAATGACACCCAGGTTTCTCACTTGTGGTGACAGATTAAAAGACAATGCTTGTAGTTTGGGTAAGTTTCTCTCTCTGGTCCCTAGGACCAATGACTAAAACCTCAGTTTTGTCCCAGTTAAGCTGGAAACAGTTTTCTACCATCCAAGATTCGATATCTAAAATGCAGTTAAAAAGAGCATCTATTGGTCTTGTGTCATCAGGAGACACAGAGTTGTAGAGCTGTGTATCATCAGCATAACTGTGGAAGTTGATTACATGTCTCCTGATGACACTGCCAAGAGGGAGCATGTACAGGTTAAAAAGTACAGGGCCTAAGATTGAACCCTGGGGCACACCATTTTATTTTATGGACTTTGGAGGAGCACGTGTCCACACTTAACATGAAGTGTAAAGAGGAACTTCCGCGTGTTACACACACCACTGGTAATGTTTTACGATACCAGCTGCCACCAGGGCCATTCAAAAAACATGTTGTAGAAGTCATCTAGTACCAGATGTAAAAAAAAAAAAGAAAAGCTAGAAACCCCCCTTGAACAGAATTTGTTCTTACTGTGACTAGAATCATTGTTTTCATCAGCTGTTTCTTATTATCACACAGCTGATTTTTTTCTCTCTCTTTTTCTCCTCTGCAGCTACAGCTTTGTGTTGTCCACCCTCGGCTTTACAGCTGTGGCTTTTGTCACCGGCTCTCTAGCTCTTTGGGCTCCCACGTTCCTCTTCAGGGCCGCTGTGTTCAACGGGGAGAAAGCTCCATGTGTGGAGGGGAACTGTGCTTCCTCAGACAGGTAAATGTGGAGAACGAAATGTTATGAACTTAACTTCTGTTCCCTGAAAGAAAGGAACAAGGTATAACACATATAGTATGGAGTATTAAGCCCCCGCGTGTCCTGACCAAAGACACCTTCATTCACGCCTTTACAGCAGCTGATCTGTGGTGAAGTATGTGAGGCCTTGCTGGCACATACAGTATATACATGCAACACCACAGTCATCCTTCAGTTCAATAGCCGCTCTTTACCGAGCCTAGTTGCACAGTGGAGCAACCCAGTGTTGCGCCTTGTTCCTCTCCTTCAGGGAACAGAGGTTATATTCATAACATTTCATTCCCTTTCAGTCAATTCACTTGTTACAACACATATAGTATGGGACATATATACACTGAGCAGCCACTGAACCGCAGTCAAACCTCCAAGAACTTTGGTTCATCATAAACCCAGCAGAAAGGACAGAGTGAGCCACGGAAGGGGCTGTCACGTCCAAATGATAAAACTGAACAAAAGTGTGCAGTGATGACCAGCTGGCTGCAGCGCAGATATCACTCACAGAAACCCCTTTAAACAAGGCCCATGAGGCAGCCATGCCCCTGGTTGAATGTGCCCTCACACCTTTGGGCAACTGAAGTCTAGGGAGATAGCCTCCACAATCCAGTGGGAAAGCTGCTGTTTAGACAGCGCCTTGTCCTTGACTGGATTAGCAAAATAGACAATCAACTGGTCTCATAAACGCACACTCTGAGTGTGGTCTATGAAAGTGCATAGTGCACGCACAGGGCACAAGAAATGTAACCTCCTCTGCTCCTCAGATGCAAACGAAGGGGGGCAGTAGCTCAAAAGTCATAGAGCAGGGATGCGCAGATGGCTGAGCGGGTTAGCAGCGGTCGCGGATTCGAGTCTGCTCCCGTCCATGTGCTGCATGTCCTTCCTCCTCTCTCGATCTCCCCATACTTCCAACCTGTCCTATCAGTAAAGGCAAAAACTCGCCAAAATATACTTTAAAAAAAGTCATAGAGCTATAGGCTGCAGGGGTAATCTTAAGGCTAAAACATACAGGATGCATGGCAGCAGCGTCACATGTCACACAACAAATAATTGGCCATTCTAATCAATGCAGGAAAGCATACAGGCCGTGTATCAGCTCTGTCTCAGCATAGTATCGAGCTACACGACGAGTCTCTTTTTGCTGTTCTATGCTTCCAATGCGCGCCAGTGCACACTGAGAAGATCGCCCTAGATAGGAAGTCAAGCCCATGTCATCCGGTATTTCAAATTAAAACACCATATGTGAACTTCGGACTGTGTATCAGTTCATGTAGATGAGAAATACTTCCTGGTCATGGATTTACCAGTAACACAGAACAATCCGAAGTTCAATTCCTGATCCATGTGGACCCCAACAGGACTTGAAGGTAACAGCACAGCATAAAGGAACATAGTTTACTTTATTAAACACAAGTAAACCTTCAAAAACTGAAACTGTAAAATCATGTTGCTTTTTCACATATAGTAGAGGCTCAACGGTCACTGAATTATGTCCAAATTAGCAGGAAATAGACCACAGAAAGGCAAAACAACCTTTTATGAGCATGTTGTTTCCTCTATACTGAGCCCAGCTGACTGAGGCTGCGCTAGGCTGCTGCATCCTGTATGTGATACCCAGGGCTGCTCTACGGAGCAAATACGGAACACGCACAATATGGATCCTGTATGTTTTCGACTTTAAGAAAATACACTGCATTTGGGTGCAATGTAACCTTAGATCTATCCAGAGTGAACTGGGTACAAGAGAAATGCAGAGACAAAGCTTGAAGATCACCCATTCACTTTGCAGATGTCAAAGCAAGTAGCAGTGCAGTCTCGTATGACAGATATGAAAGAAATTTCATATCTGCAGACTCAATAGGCTCAAATAGGGGTCCACAAAGAGCTTCAAGCACCAGCACTAAATCCCATTAGGGAACGCTGGGTTAAAACACAGGTCTTAGCTTGCAGATTCCCCTCAGGAAGCGCATAGCAAGAGGGTGAGCACCTAGCATCTTATCATCAAAGCCAACATAGCATGTAGATATAGCCGCCAATTAAACCTTAATTGTTGAGAAGGAGAGACGCTTTTCCAGCAGCTCCTGTAAGAATGTTATAACATCCACGTAGCGTACATTGTGGTCCTGACACCACTGCTCAAAAAATGCCCGTCATTTGTAGGCATCTAGGCCCCTAGAAGATGATGCCATTGCACTCTGGATTATTCCCACCACGTTTGGGGGCAGATCCTGAGCTATTAAGTCGGACCTCTCATCAGGTAGGCATGTAGCACTAATGGGTGCAATCTCCACCTTCTCACAAGAAGATCCCCACTGGAGAGAAGGTGCGGCCCAAGGTTCAAGTGACCCGGCAAATGTGTAGTCCTGAGAGACAGAAAATGAATGAACACTGCACTGCAACCCTCCTTCTTTTATCAGACCAACGAAAGAACGGCTGTACCAACCTTTACTCCTTTCTGAAGCGGGAACAACTTGTATCGCTCTCTTGTTGAACAAGTTGTTTCTTTCTTCCCTCAGAACTGCTGCTGCTTCCTCTACCACAGCTGTGTATTACAGAATAGAAGCGAGGCGGCTGGGCCCTGAACTGTAATCGGTAACATGTGCCAATGGTTCTCTCTACCTATGGTTAGACTGCGCATGTGCACCACTGAGGGAGGTAAACAGTTAGCCGACCAGGTATATGCTGCTGACCAGCTGGGGCCCCAAACTCGGGATTCTCTTAGTAGGAGGTGCCGGTGCCGGTGCAGATATGCTTGTTGTTTGGGCTTTGCATCATGCCTGGGGATGATACTGCTCAAAGCTTCAGTTTGCTTTTTTCTCAGCTTGAACTTAGCCTGAATGGCATTGAGGGACTGCCCAAACAAACCATTGGCCTACACATGCTCGTCTAGATAGACAGCTCTGTCCCTGTCCGGAACATCGGAGAGACTCAGCCACAGGTTCCCTTTGCTCCACAACAGTCAAAGTCATGTCTCTACCCATAGAGAGCACTGCACAGCGGGACACTTGGAATCCATGGTGGCCATAACTTTATTTAGGAAAGGGGACAGCGGACTGTCAGGAGGCATGCGCGAGCCGAGTTCCACCAGACACATTGCCTGATATGTCTGAAGCATGGTGACGGAGTACATTGCACGAGCCGTATTTGCATGGTGACAGAGCTCAGTGCACGAGCCGTACTTGCATGGTGATGGAGCTCAGTGCACGAGCCGTACTTGCCTGTGTCCTGTATATCTTCGAGAACCTGCACTGCTTGGACAGAAGCATGAAGGGGCCACTGACACCACGGTTCTGCGCCAGGGCCAGATAGGCTGCCAGGGACACCTCCATAAGCGGAGGGTTAACCAAACCAGCTTTTCCAGCTCCATCCAGGTCCAAAAACTGTCCACAACCAGGCACTATGGCACAGGTAGACAGCGGTTTGTTCTGTGAGAGTTGAGTTCCACAACGAAATCCGGTCACATGGGCAAGCTGTTCTCAACAGTCCTCGGTTTGGGAGGATGAAAAAATTCCACGAACCGCAACGGTTTCTGAGCCAGTGGAGGAGAGGGCCAATCCACTTCCAGTTTCTCAGCTGCACAGCGGTACAGTGAGAGGAAGGATGTGTCATCCAGGTCAACCGACGTAGCAGCGGCGGCGTACTGACCTGGAGACAACGGCTCCTGCGTGTCCTCCAATAAGCCCTGCATGTCCAGGCCGATGTCCAGCACGTCATCATCCTCCTGGTAACAGGCTACTCCAGATAGCGGCTGGCCAGCACTCTTGTAGGAGCCCAGCTCAAATCCAGCTGACTTGTCACCACACTCCACATGGTCTACCCAGCTTCATGGGGCCTTCAACCAAGAAGTCCTTGTGGCCAGACTCGGACGAAGCTGGGTCCCTGGACTCAGAGAGATGGGGGTCATGAAGCGCAAGGTGGTCTTTCCTAACACTCTCTCCACAAGATTGACCCACCTTTCCAGTGTTAAGCTCTGGCGCTGGAGACAGCACGCACGCGACTCGGGCTCAGTCAACGCTCTGCTGGCATGGACGATCCCCAGGCAAAAGGGGACTTCTCTGCACTGATAACGAGACACAAAACCGAAAAGTGGATGAAATTACTGCCTCGTGGGTAGCCAGTGGCTAGCACCAAAAAAGGGCATTTAAGCTAACTTCAAACTGGCAGTAGCCACAATCAAGACCAAGCTTACTAACAACAGCTAGTTTGCCTGACCTGGTAGAGATGTTCTCAGAGAGGAGAAGAGTGCAAGAACTGAGGAATGACTGTGGTGTTGCATGGATGTATGTGCAGGCGGGGCCCTCACAAATGTGACCACAGATCATCTGCTGTAAAGGCGTGAATAAAGGTGTCTTCAGTCAGGCCACGCAGAGGTGTGATATCCCGTACTGTATGTGTTGTGCCAAGTGAATCGGCTGAAAGGGAACTTTCTTTATCAGTTAACAGCTAGGTCCCTGTTTGGTGATATCACAGGGACCTCTTTAGAAGGGACAAAGACTTGAGGTTTTTGAAAAAAAATATCAGTACCCTGACTCTGTTTCTCTTCCACAGTCTGATATTTGGGATCATCACCTGCATCACGGGTGTTCTGGGCGTGGCTAGTGGAGTGCAGGTGAGTCGACAGCTGAGGAAGAGGACGCCCAGAGCTGACCCATTGGTTTGCGCAGCTGGTCTGCTCCTCTCTGCACCTTTCCTCTACCTGGCCATCATCTTTGCTCAGAACAGCACCATCGCTACATACGTGAGTCGATACAAAACTGAGTAAAAGAACTTACAAAATGAAAATAGCACTGATACACTGAATTGCAGCACACTTTGATACTCCATTAGTACTATCTAAATATTCTCTGTATACTCTGATACAAGTGTCTGTGAAAACAGCATTTTCCAGACTCTCAGAATGAGACATTATTTCCTGCATTTCCTCAAAGCAGCAGTGTTAGCAATGAAGGCACGTCAGACTGTCAGGGCTCAGATAGACATGTGCCTGTCAATTATGTTTACACAGTGAGATCCACTCATGTTTAAAGAACATGGATCACCCACTTCATAACACCTCGATGGACCAAAGGGCCAATGGTGGTGGATGGCTCCTCTCACTTAGCTGCAGGACAGAAAAAGATCATATAATCGTTTGTACCCACAGCCATCAGACTTTATATTTCTTCTGTAAATAATAGATGACTTGAGACATGAGACAAGAGACTACAGACAATTAAATTTCCCTGTGGGAATCAAGCAATGCCTCTGCCTCAACAAGTCCACCAACAGCAAAAGCCAGTCATCTTCCAAAAGAATACCTCTACACTCAGTGCTGGTGAACAGAACCAGTTGCCAGAGTCTCCAATGAGATTACTTTGCCTGACTGATGGAGAACTCACTGACCTATCAAAACATGTGTGCTAAAGATGCGACATAACGGCATCATGCGCGGATGAAAACACTTCAAACCTCACCAAGAACAGGTGAAAGACACCCCACCTCCACAAGAAGTAAAAACACAACAGCTCAGAGTATAAGCTAGCAGGATAGTCCGCAACTAGGATGTTGATGAGCTGTTTGATTGTAAGACAACATGATTCATAATGTTAGTCTATCAGTGGCATCAATAGAAGGACCCACCCTGTGTCTTATATAAAAGGACAAGCCCATTAAACATTCAAGTTCCACAGTAATAAATTTAAAACCTGCAGTTATTTGGGGGTCTTATGTGTGTGATCAGGTTGCTTAAGAAATGTGTAAGAGGATTTGACCTGTTGGTAGAATTAGTGTTTGTTAATAAACAATGAAATCCAAACCGGATCAACCTACATGGTAGCCCTGTTTGTAATCTATTAGGTCTTTAAAACAGTATTGGTTCATTTTCAAGGCTCATTTCAGTCTCAACTGTCATGATACAAAGATTGGTGTCTCAGTTAAAATGTTGGTGATAACACTGTTTGCTAAAGTTCTACACATTTTTTCTCCAACTAACAGAGAGTAAAGGATGGAAACTGCAGCATCTGACTGAAATACAATGTTTCTTCCTTAGGTGTTCATTTTCTTTGGAGAGACGTTCCTGTCCATGAACTGGGCAATCGTGGCCGACATCCTGCTGGTGAGGACCTTGTTTCCATCATTATTAACCATCACAGAGCTACCTGCTGTTCAACTGGTTTACCAACAAGGACAGTCTGTTAGAAGGTTTTAGGGGAGAAATACTTGAAATAAAATCTCAAGATATTGCCTTGCTGTTTTTAAAAATGACAACAAAGAAAAACCTGTATTTGTGTTTTTGTCTGATGTAGTTCAAGTTAATCACACTCTGTTGGTCTGTTAGTACGTGGTTGTTCCAACTCGCCGATCCACAGCCGAGGCTCTGCAGATTGTTGTGTCACATCTACTGGGAGATGCAGGAAGTCCGTACCTCATTGGTGTGGTAAGTCATTTCCAACACATACAGGATTACAGTCCGATTTTGTCAAATATCACATCTTATATCTGCATCCTTGATCATGGTAGGGAGTTTGAGAGATGATTTCTTCCATGTGCCTGACACATGTGCAGAGGAGTATTTATGTGCTACTGTTTGAAGTTAATACATTCAACATCAAACTGAAACTGACTCCAGGTATTCTTAAGAGGTTCTTGCAAGTGGATTTTACCACCTTTTATAGATAGACGGTGTCAAGTCTTGCTTTCAACAAGGAATCAGCACCGCTCTGTAATCATATGAAAATTTGAGGTTGCGCATGAAAAACTGGGAAGAACCAAGACGTAGGGAAGTCAAGTTACAAATGCCCAAGTTTAGAGTGAGTACTTTAGCTTGGTTTACATGCAGCATCATACAGGTGGATAAACCTGGTCTCTGTGCATCACAGGTCTCTGACTCTCTGAGGAAGACTGACTCGTTCCTGTGGGAGTTCAGATCCCTGCAGCTCTCGCTGCTGCTTTGCTCTTTTGCAGCTGTGCTGGGGGGGGCTTTCTTCCTTGCCACAGCCCTCTTCATCGAACAAGACCGCAACTGTGCTGAGAACTACGTTCCCTCAGGTGAGACAGACTGTGGGCATGAACTGTGGGTTATGGGACAGTGAATGTCTTATGAAGCCCTTTATATAATTAAAAAATTAGGCTCCTCACACTTCATAAAAACAGCAAGAACAAGTAAATGTTCTGCTTTGAAAATATAGTTGTAGTAAACCAAAAAAACCACACACTTAACAGCAATTTCTGCTCAGCTATTCACAGTGACATGACTTCTTGAGTGAAGCTAGAAGAGTGAAAACGGATCAAATTCTTCAGTGTGGTCTTAATATTATTCATACAAAATAATATTAATTTAATTATGATGATGAACCTTGGTTGATTTTAATCGGTATCTTCAGACAGGATGAAGGATTTAGGCCGTCGGCTGTTAGGAATTCAAGAAACACATTAAAGTTAACAGCAGCTCAGCTCACATCCCCTATACTCTTCATTGGAGTGGGAAAAACACATGCTGAAAATATGCATCCTGTTGTTTTTTTTCCTCTCAATACTCTTTATATAGTTTTGTCAAATCCACAAAATGTGCATGAAAAACATCCATCTCCACCCCTCATCCCCCCTCTAACCCCATCAGTGGGAGCTTCACTGTGCTTTAGTTTGCTGCAGTAGTCCTGGGGAGAGAAACAGGCAGGATTAAATTTTTTCTGTGTAGTTGTTGTTGTTGCTTTAATTACGGGGTCCCTTTCATTTTAAAGAGGACAAGACCCCTGCTGATAATTCATCTCCCCGTTGAAACTGGATGAAATGAATGATGAAGTCCTGACCTCATAACTGAGGTAAAGCAGGCCACAGCTTGGCTGACAGCCTCCTTTAACATCCTGTATTTCCTGGTATTTGAAATTAAACTGCTCTGTTCAGTGTTGAATCAAATCTATTCAGCCTAACTAAAGACCAAAGAATGGAGAATGACTTCTTTCTAAGCTTTAACACACTTGATTAACTGTACAGTTGCACTGAACTAAAGTCTGCTTTCTTCTGTCATTGTCACCATTTTCCGATCAAATTTTGTCATGTGATGGAGATCAAGATCCACATAAAAATGATCAGAGCCATCACTGTTTTCCCTCTCCTTTGCTTTGCTCTACTATGATACATATTTGACAGGGTGTATTTATTTGATATGATTTGGACTCATTCTCCTCATGTTTCTGTCCACAGAGGATGAGCCCATTGTTGTCCCAAAAAGCGGACGGTCCGCTCGAGTTCCAGTCTCCAGCGTGTTGATCTGATGGGGCGTCTGGTCCAGTACTCTCCGGTGGTTATTTAGGTTCAAGTTTTTAATGGATTATCTGCCATGCAGAGAGGTTTTAGGAGGCTTTTAATTTTTACGCTTTGGACCTTAATTTTTATAATTCTAACAAACCCTCGAAACATGCTGCCACTTTTGGAGAAATTTTTGTCTCCACATCTTATTTTTTCAACATGACGGAAATATTTTAAGTAACAGACTCAAAAAAGGAGCATTGGAGACGTTCTGTGGAGAAAAGTCAGCTCTGCTCCGTGGGACCTGACTGCTTCTTTCCTGATTAACATTTTTTATGACCTGTGGAAGAAAAAAGGATCATCTGGGATCACCCAGAAATCCAGAGTGATGCAGATCCTCGGTTAAACCATGACCAAAATTCAGACCCCAAGTGTTTTTATAGAGAAGACAAGCTTTATTAATCAGTTTTCATAAGCGTGTGTTTGTATATGTTTTAATTATAACACTAACCTTCTTACAGTTAAGACATCCAGAAAACAGGAAACACAGTCAGACCTATTTATTTCACAAGATTGAGCCCTGTTTGAATATTTGCTTTCATTCTAATGTTCTCCAGTGTTGGAGGGAGTGTTGGGACTCTTGAATCTGTTGCAGGTCTGTTTCTGTTTTCTCCTTCCGTCAGCTTGGAGCTTCAGCTTATCGACTGAAGGGTTTCTTTCAGCTGGCTGAGCAAATGTCAGAAAGGTTATTTAAGACAGAAAAAACTTTCAAATGAATGTCAGTATCAAAGTTGTTAACCTCAAATTATTTTAACTAATTTTTTGTGGACTATTAAAGGAGCATTAACTTGTCATTGCTTGTGTGTGTTTGCAATTACTGACATGGAAGATACACTGAAGGTAGTGATCAGACCCCAGAAAACACAGAGGTACTTTTTAATCCAAATCAAAACTTAGAATGATATTATGTTGAATTTCAATAGAAACACAGAGAAAAATCCAGCAACTTTTCATGTCCTGCATTTTAAAGATGAAAAGTTCATGGTTGGGACATAAGCAAGTGATCAACTCCTGATTGAAGCTGGTGTTTTGCTTTTCATCACCTCAAAATTCTTCATCTCTTTATTATTTCAAACTTTTTTTGAAGTTTCAAACCAACACTTTCATAATACATGCCACTTGTTCTCATCTAATGTAGATTAATCTACATTACTTTGATGGAACCTCTATGGAAAAGAAGGCTTAAACCACATCATTACCACAGGATTACCTTGCCAGCCCTACATCTGCATGACCCAGCTAAAGGTCTCAAACACATTAAGAAATTCCACAAATGAACTCTTGATGAGGCATATCTGTTAGTGGTCAAAATTGGGGAATTTCTTTGAGAACGAAAAAGATGACCTTGCATTCTCACTCACCAAGGGCTAATTTCTTATGTTAATGTGTTGCACATAGCAGGCTCCATCTGAGGCGGATAGTGAAAGTATCTTCACCTTTTCATACACCACATTGAGCTCTTCAGGTCACCTGTTTTTGGGGAACATGAGTCACTGTATCTTCTTATGATGAAGCAAAATCTCATCTTAATGTCACTTCTTAATGACCAAAGTAAAGAATCAAAACATCTCTTTGACAAGATCAAAATGGTCATTTCTTCACAATTTTGGTCTTGCTGGCTTCACTTATCACTCTGTCCTAATTACACTATTATAAAAAAAAAAAAAGAGTTGGGTCTTCAGACATTCTTAGCCCAGTTCCCTAGTTCCCAAAATTCCCTAAATTACCATAAGCTGAAAAGCCAATTTCAGGTCCACAGATGAAGAGAAATTGGCACAGTTGTAGTAAAAAAGAGCTTGATCTGGCATGTTTACTCAAGTGTTTCTCTACCTTTACATTGGCGCCTCACCCTACTCTTCACTCTTATATGGGAGATGTGTCTCTTCTCTACTCCTCTATATCTGCCCGTCAGTCTCCCTGTTCTCTATCCTACCCCTCACCAAAGAAAATGATGCAGAGAGAGGACATGAAGTGAGGAGTGTAGAAGTGAGGAGGACTCAGTTTATCTTCCCTCAATGTGGTTTCCTGTTTGTAGGTGGGAGGATGCTGAGACAGTTGTAACAGAAAACACACACACATATACTGCAGCCTTGAGGTGTCACCGTTACATCCCATGGCTGCTTCAAGGTGTTTGTGTGAAACTTAGTCTCTGACATTTTGCTGTTCTGCACTGCAGGCTTCTTTTACAGTTTCCACCAGCACTTTAGGTTTGCATTTGAAAGAGGGCGGTTTGATCAACCCACACAGTCTGAGAAAGAGTGAACTTAGGTCCTAGCTAGTTGGCTGGTGAGTCAACCTCTGCAGAAGTTAGTCACATACTTACACTTGAACTTTAAAACATAATGTGTTTTTAACTTTTGTATGTTCTGAACCTTTGGTGCTTCCATCCTTTGGTCCTATTGTTCATCAAGAAGGTGATGGAGAGGACCTGATAGCAGGAGATGAACCAAAAACCTCGACTCAGGAGGTGATTGGGTGCAGTGATGACGGAGGTGTAGAGCCAGTGACACAAAGTGAGGGAGGAAACAAGCAAGTAGGTCGCTGAGGGTGCAGATCAGACGTTAGATCAGACACCAGGAGGGAGAAGAGAGTAAAAAGAGAAGAAGCAAGGGAACAAGTCTTCAAATATGAGGAAAGCTTTGTTAGCATAATTGCCTCATGCAGACCAGATACTGTAAATGGAAACAAGCTGCTGGCCCCTGAACACCACTCTCCATTCCAGGACAACCGTCTCTCCAGTCACAGTTTGTTTTCAGGTGTAGGTAAGTCTTCCAACATTTTACAGCCTGAACTCTGACTTTTGGACAGCGGAGGGACCTCACCTCAGTTCAGTTCTAGCATTAGCTAGATGTGGAGTTGTTGAAACTGAGCACCAAGTTGGACTTTTGTCAATCTCAAACTGAAGCCTAGAAAACAAAATATAGTACGGCCGCACGCTCCCTGTTAAAACTAGACCTCTCAAGGAAACTACTTTTACCATCAGCAGGTACATAGATAACAAAACAACAGGATCAATGAAAGTCATTGAGACTGCTTAGCTGTAGAATTTTAAGTGCCACCAGTATATTTTAACCATCAAAGAAGTCTTTCCCTTTAACTTTGTATGACAAAAGACACTTTGAAACTCTATGCTGACCTTTGTTACTGTGCCTCTGCTGGAAAGCTGGCATCAGTAGATGGAACAAGTCATGAAGGCAACAACTATGAAGAAAACACCAACATTACACATTAAGTTTGTTTCTGAGTCTCTTTTTGTTGAGTGTACTCATAGCTTAAGTTCACTATGGCTAGTCTAGTTTCTGTACTTAAATTTTAGCCAAATACCCCTTTAATAGACATAAACACGTACATCATTTAATCTCTGCAGATCCTGCTACTCTAACCTTAGGTGTAAAACGCTAAAGGAAAGCTAACATACAGACAAGCAAGCACCTTGAATCAAGCTAGACTAAAAATCCATCCAGCTGCCCCTCTCCTAGCTTTGTTTTGAACCAAAAAGTGTCAAAAATCACTTGTTTAAACCATAATAGCTTGGTTTTGTGTAATACCTGAGGCTTAACCTTCAAAAACATGACAGTGGTGGCATTCTGCTAGCTTGGGCTGATGCTACATCCTCTGCTGGCCGCACAACGTTGCTCAGCACTTAAAGCCAGCAGCAGCCATGATAGTTAGCACTGTGCAGGCTTTTGACTTTGGAGGGGAACTATTTTTTCCCTACAGGACCAATACATTTTAATATCCATAAGAAAAAAATCTGACTTTAAATGAACAAAAAAAAGCTGTTCGAAGTATCCAAACTGTTGTTCAGAGATGTGCCACCCTGCTTTAAGCACTTTCTTCTCCTGGTTGAGCCTGATAAGATGGCTGCCAGATACAGAAACAAGATTAGGGTTTATTTTAAATTATTATTTTATTTATTGCCCCTGCTGGTAGGCTATATGGGTCATCTGGTGGCTTCAGGGTGAACACTAAAAACCACAATGTCCCCTTTTCATATCTGGCTCACAACCTTTCGTCATTTTTGCCTCTGTCTCTGACTTTCCTTTCATTTCCTGTCAACTCTCTTCTGCTGACAGAATTAACACGTCCATTAAACAGTAGCCTATGTGGAGGAAAATATGGGTAAAGCAAATACCAGATAACTAACAGTAAAAGAAAAAAAGGGAGAGGTTGCCAGTCCTAAACCCACTTTGGCCTCTAAAATATCCAACCACGACCATCAACCATAAACAGGTTTCAATTTGTGGCCTCTGTCCTGTGACCCATGTGTCTATGAGCAACTGATTCAACTGATTGAAAGCCCATAGTCAGGCATTATTTTTTGCCATGTTGTTTTTCTAGGCCAGAAGTAACTGTAATTAAATAAAAGCACAATAGGCTTAGCTACAACTCAACTCTGTGGATGGGTCAAACAGCTTGATAAATGAAGGCAGTTTTTCCCTGAAGTACACCAATTTCTAGCAGCCTAATTTGCTAAATTGTGTTAATTGTCTCACTGCTTTCTATACATTGGACCTGTTTTTGCAACCACTGGGGTTGCCCCCTGGCTGAACTGTGGAACCAGCTGATTGTGCTGCATCATCAGTTGCTGTTTTAAAAAAATATATTGTTCACTTTTGTGCATCGTCTTTTACACTGCTTGGCAGTATCATCATCATCATCATCATCAGGTCTCTTGCTCGGCGACGGGGACGGCGCCATGCGTAGAGCCAATCAGTTTCACCAGTCTTCTCCATTGAGGTCGGTCCAGTGCTAGGGGTTCGGCTGCGGCAAGCGACAGGCCCAGTTGGTGTAGGTCCCTGGTGACGACATCAATCCATCGTGTGTGGGGGGCACCACGGGGGCGTTTCCAGCCGACAGCTTTGGGTTGGAAGTGGAGGATAGCGTGAGTAGGATGTTCTGGGGGGAGTCTCCTGATATGGCCGTACCAGCGCAATCGACGCTGTGCTGCCAGTTGGGAGGCAGGGGGCTGTTGTGTCAGTTCCCTCAGTGTGATGTTGGAGACCCTATCTGGCCATTTAATGCCCTCTATTGAGCGCAGTGCTCTGGTGTCAAAGCCATCTATTCTGGCAGCCAGGGTCTTGTTGAGTGGCCATGTTTCAGCTCCGTAAAGGAGGATGGAGAGGACTGAGGTGTTGTAGATCCTTAGTTTGGTTGCTCTTGATATGGAGTGGTGTCTCCACAGCGGCTTCCAGAGTGTTTTCATGGCGCTGGCTGCCAGGGCGCGTCTCCGGTTTATTTCAGTTATGATGTTGCCGTTGTTGGTGATGATGGACCCAAGGTAGATAAAGGAGGTCACAAACTCAACCTCCTCTCCACTGATATGCAGAGGTGGGGGGGGTGTCACCTCCGATGTGCATCAATTTTGTTTTGGGCCAGCTGACCCTCAGGCCCAGTTTGTTGGATTCCTCTTGGTAGATTTCCAAGGCTTCTTTTAACTGGTCAAGAGTGGAGCAGAATAGTGTTAGTCCATGAGCCGGACCAGATGTCGGTACCACTTGGGTGGGCAAAACCTTACATATACTAAATTGTTTTTAGGGTCAATATAAGTAAATTAAAATATGATAGACTTTTCATAGGGGTAGCTTTTGATATTTTTTCTCATTTTGTTATTTTCCTCAATAGGCGAATTTTTGTTAACTCCAAAAGCAACACAGAAAGTCAAAAGCACATTAAAAGTCACACTCTTTTTGGGTCACACTGCTCTTTTCTATAAATGAATCAAACCTGTGTCTAATTAAATGAGTTGATGAAGTGGGAGTGGCCCAATTTGATGGTGAAGCAGTTCTTTCAGGTATCATAGCACTTGAGCCAAGAACCAAAATTTCACATATCAGTACCACCTGGGTGGGCAAATTCTAGTTGTGATTTTTTTATTGCTATACATCCCTACAATAAGTTTTTATATGATAGACCTTGGTAACTGGTAGCTTTATTGTAGTTATCACTCATTGAAGTAATAGAGTGCAGCTGTTCAAAAATGAAAAATCGCCTTCCTTCAAAATTAGCTTTCTTTCATTTTAACCTCTCATTTAGGTGTGTTTGAACTATTGGCTAGCCATAGAGACTTGTAATAACCCCCTAAGTAGTATTTCAAGTAATTTATCTAATACAGGTGTGTATATATAAGCTTCAATTAGCCAATTGTCAGGTCTAAATCAAGGTCTAAATTAAGGATATTTTTTGACTTAGAAGTAGAAGTAAAGTAAATGCAGACTAATAGCATTATAATAACACAACTTTAATATGACACTGACATATTTTAAATGCAGGAACTCAATATACAATCATCCTGGCTGGTGCAGGGCAAGAAGACATTAGCAACAAAATAAGATCTACTGATGTATACACTCTATACAATCATCTGAGAAAAACTCCAATTCCTATTCAAAGTCCTATTCTTTCCATAAGGAACAGTGACAGCAAATATGACTGTCAAGTTTTGGCTTAGTACATAATACTGTCACTGAGTCACAGTGGGTCTGTTAACATAGCTCCCTTTGGTCATCACTCATTAATCAACATCAGTAATCGACATCAGTATCTGTATCTTCTTCTACATCTGAATCTGCCGGTGTGCAAGGGGCTCTTCCTCACTGTACTGGTTGGCACAAGTTTGTAATTTGCACAGGTTTGTGCACTTCAGCCCATTGCTGAGACATGTGCAGTCTGGTGGTTTGCATGTCCTCACACACTTGCAGGATAGTAACTGCAAGACCGAAGAAGTAAAGTAAATGCAGACTGATAGCATTATGATAACACAACTTTAATATGACACTGACATATTTTCAATGCAGGAACTCAATATACAATCATCCTGGCTGGTGCAGGGCAAGAAGACATTAGCAACAAAATAAGATCTACTTATGTATACACTCTATACAATCATCTGAGAAAAACTCCATTCCTCCACCAAGAACTTGATGAGACTGGCTTTATTGGCAGGGCTGCAGAGAACTTTCCTCCACTGCTGAATATTGTGGACAGAAACAATGTTTCTGAACTGGATCCCCATGTCTGCACCTCTGTTTAGTCTTTCTGAATTTTATATTGACATGTCCTTGTAAACGTCAAAGACAACGTCAGTCCTTTCACTATCACCACCTTCATGCAGGACCTTGGCTAAAGTTGAGTCCAGCCAGCTTACACCATGTCAGGATTGCGTATTAATGCATTTGATTCGTGCCAACTACCAGGCTGCTATCTGGAGACGGTCTCTTCATACCAAGCCATCTGTACCAAGCCCCAAGGACCATGCGTGGACCATAAATGACGAAGGGCAGCTAGAAAACAGTGGATGCGTGGTTCCCCAGCACCAGATGCGGTCTTGCAGTTGCTATCCTGCAAGTGTGTGAGGACATGCAAACCACCAGACTGCACGTGTCTCAGCAATGGGCTGAAGTGCACAAACCTGTGCAAATTACAAACTTGTGCCAACCAATACAGTGAGGAAGAGCCCCTTGTACACCCGGCAGATTCAGATGTAGAAGAAGATACAGATACTGATGTCGATTACTGATGTTGATTAATAAATGATGACCAAAAGGAGCTATGTTAACAGACCCACTGTGACTCAGTGACAGTATTATGTACTAAGCCAAAACTTGACAGTCATATTTGCTGTCACTGTTCCTTATGGAAAGAATAGGACTTTGAATAGGAATTGGAGTTTTTCTCAGATGATTGTATAGAGTGTATACATCAGTAGATTTTATTTTGTTGCTAATGTCTTCTTGCCTTGCACCAGCCAGGATGATTGTATATTGAGTTCCTGCATTTAAAATATGTCAGTGTCATATTAAAGTTGTGTTATTATAATGCTTTTAGTCTGCATTTACTTTACTTCTACTTCTAAGTCAAAAAATATCCTTAATTTAGACCTTGATTTAGACCTGACAATTGGCTAATTGAAGCTATATATACACACCTGTATTTGATAAATTACTTGAAATACTACTTAGGGGGTTATTACAAGTCTCTATGGCTAGCCAATAGTTCAAACACACCTAAGTGAGAGATTAAAATGAAAGAAAGCTAATTTTGAAGGAAGGCGATTTTTCATTTTTGAACAGCTGCACTCTATTACTTCAATGAGTGATAACTACAATAAAGCTACCAGTTACCAAGGTCTATCATATAAAAACTTATTGTAGGGATGTATAGCAATAAAAAAATCACAACTAGAATTTGCCCACCCAAGTGGTACCGATATGTGAAATTTTGGTTCTTGGCTCAAGGACTATGTGGTGTCGTCTGCGTATTCCAGATCTGTGAGCTTGGCAGTACCTGTGTCCAAATGGACTTGAAGCACTTACTGAACTTGTTTCCTCTTGTCTTGCTCTTTGCTTGTGTTGTTCTTGTATGTAAGAATAATAATAAGAGCTTTATTTATCCCCGAAGGGAAATTCAATAATGCATATGCTTCACCTTGGATAAAAGGGTCTACAAAATGACATTGTAACATTGTAACATCGGCATGAAATTTTTGCGTGTTGCCAATTCAAAGCAAGATTCCTGGTATTTACACGATAGTCCTCGTCATCAGTGTGTAATGCACCATTTGGGGATGGTGTCTTTCCGCATCTGATGTGACATCAGGTGGTGGTAACAACAGAGCATACAAGGCAGGACAGTGCTATTTGTGTGTGTGTGTGTGTGTGTGTGTGTGTGTGTGTGTGTGTGTGTGTGTGTGTGTGTGTGTGTGTGTGTGTCTCCTACAGTGTGTTTACACATCATACCTCTTGCACCTTTGCAATGCCATAGCACAATTAGAAATCTCATATGCTAATATTACATCGAAACTTGTCGCATTGCCATTGCTGAGATGCTTCATGTGTAGAGCTGTAGATGGTAACAAATTCCCCTTTGTATGCAAGGAGAGCATGAGAGAGTTAACTATAATCAAACAGACATCATACTTTGTTTTTGCAGGTCCAATGTACTCCCCAGTAAAAATTCAAGTGGAGGCTGAATATTAAAATAATTAATGGGTCTACGTCAATCAACTCTAAAATCAGTTTTATCCTCAATGAATGGCCTTGTCTCAACTCAAAGTGCCTTTTTTCAGAGCCATGAAGCCTTGCCCAAACCAGACCAGACTGATTGTTGTACAACCACATGCTCTGAGTGCTGATGACATACTGTACATGCAGGAACAAATGATTCAGTCTGATCTTTTCATTTTTAAAAAATCTAATGTAGCTCAACTTAAACACTGGGAGGAGGTTCAAACAGCTAGCCTGGCCCAGCTCTTCTATATCTCACTGATTATCACCTTAAAAAACCCTTGAGTTTCTTAGCTGGTGTGAGGGAGTTCAGGCAGGACTCTCTCTGCTGAGATCAGTGACTTCCTGCAGGTTTGTCATCTGGTTGAGGTTGTCAGAGAGGAAACTGTTGAGTGTTTCAGAACTGATATTTCAAAGGTAAAGAAGTCTTTTGATTCAATTTTCTTTTGCACCAAGTGTCTGCATTAAATAACTGCACTCAGTTTACTGTAGTTGAAAGGAACTCAAATTCTGATCTGATCAGCAGTTTTGTTAACTTCAGACCTATTTGATGCGATCTATCAAACCTTTTTATCTCCTTTTTCCTGTCACACTACCCTCTAACCTTCTCACATTTGCGTCTTTCGGCCAGTTGCCTGTATAATTAAACCTCAAAGGGGTCTGGCTCTGGAAAAAATTCAACACAAATTTAACCTGAAGATGCAGTCCCAACTCACAAGATGGCTGCTCTTACATAGGGCAAGCTGAAGATCAGATGCTGAGCTCCATTAAGATCATGTCTTAATAAATAGAAGGATAAAAGCTGTACTTAAGGGAAGCAGTGTCTCCATGTTCACACCATATGAGAGGGCTGCGGGTATTTTCTGTAAACTGTCTTTTTAGAGTTGAAACTGTTAGTGGTTCAGAGGGGCACAGGATAGAAGAGACTTGCAGTACCACGTTACAATGTTAGTTTTCCTTCCTGTTTGCTTGTGCTTGCTCTCTGTGTGTTCTCAATCTTTGGCTCTAAAAGTGAAAGCTCTGACATCAGGACACAGACCTGGTCTGTTTAGACTTAGGGAAATGAAATCATGTTTAAAAACACATAGCTTACATTACATGTATAGCTATAAATGTGGCATTTGATGTTTACTTGAAAATGATAAAGAATATTACTAACCATTAAAGTCTCACTCTTTTTTTTTTCCTACTTAAAGTGTTCTCAGCGATCTTTCAATTATGATTATGAACTTATTAGCTAAAATCGTGTTACCTGTGTCATTTTCATAGGCTTTTTTTCTGCAGAGCTTCAGTAGCACATTAGTAATTCACCTCTGAGTCATGGGTGAAGACAGTGCTGTTCTGCACACTCCTCTTCACACTAGCTCACAGCCAAACATTGCAGGTGTGGTAGAAGTGGAACGAAACATAGGAGCTATTCAGCTCTCGGATACTAATGTCTTTGGGGACATGATGAAAGTTAATATCATAATGAGCTTTCTTATTAGCATAACAATCCACTACTGCACACACTTGTTCCGTGTTTGTCCTCTCTTTTTTTTGAGTCCGGCCTGCATAGCAAGCTTGGTGAGTGGAACTTGGATTTGTAACATATGAAAGCTCATTGTGTCTGAGCCTGCGGTTTGGGTCTGCCAGAGATTCACAGCAATTTGAATGCAGAAATACTCTGCAATTTTGCACTTAGTTTTCTTATATGTCCTCTAGCATCAGAAAAATGCCATATGAGCTTGTAAGAAAACAAGAAAAACATGATTTTCATTGGAGTGGGTCTTTAATATGTTTTCAAGCATAAGTTAGAGTCCTAATTATTTGTGCATTCAATCAAAAACTCTGTTAGATTCAGAGTTTTTATACTTTTTGGACAATGAGTGTCTGAAGCAAATTTGAAGACCAAAAGTTTTGGTGAGGTTCATTTGCTGGGAACAAGAATAATAACGATTTCATGACAAACCCATGAGTTGTTACAAGATTAAAAAAGGAACTTTGAGGTGAATCCAGATTAAAAGTCAGAGGATCTTTTGATGTAGGTCTTCTTTCTTTTGGGACCCTGGCAGAGATGCATCAGAGGAAAAGTGGGATTCAGTTTCTAGAGAACAAGAATATTTGTGCAGTATTCTACTCATATTTATATTTGAAGTTGTGACACTTTAACTTAATATCGGTCTTATTGTGGTGATAAAAGTTAAAGGATAACAGCAGTTAATAGGGTTCAGTCTCTGGGGAACATAAATCTCATGATGTCCTCCTCTGTAGATGAAACATGAGCAGTTCCTGGATCGCCCTGGTCATGGTGGCTGCTATTTTCATCTCCATGGTCCTCCTGGCTGCCGTCTGTCTGGACTGCAGAGTCAAAGGCCCTCCTGGTGTGATATTTTCTTTACACTCTCCAGTAATGTGGTTCACAAATGATCTGACACTTTTTCTGTCTGTGGTTTTAAACCAGATGATGTTTCACTTTTCTTTTGGTCAGTCTGATGCTTTGATTGTCAGTTGCTAATGCATTAAGATAGAGCCCCTATATTAATTTATTTCAGTGAAAAATGTGAACATTTAATTCTGTTCTTTATCCATCAGTCTCCATCAGCCAAGCAGCCACTTCAGATGTATACATCTCGTAAGTTTGTTCTCTCACTCATCTGATCTAACCTCAACCTGCTTGATTTATAAAGCACATTTGAACAATTATCTTTACCAAAACGCTGCACAAAAAGATCAAAAAGAGCTAAAAGGAAAAAATACAGGACAAATACAACACACAAAACCACAAAAGCCAGTAAAACTACTACAAAATACAGTTAAAGAAAAAAAAACATTCAAAATTAACATCAGGGGGTGTAACATTAGGGGCACTTTATATGTTTTTCAGCTCGGTACATGGGACCACAAAAAGCAGTTAGATTGGCAAATGTCAAAGACCTCAAGGGACTACAGACTTGGAGGAGGACAGAGATACTGTGGTGCTATCCCATTCAAAGATTTAAAAACAAATAACGAGAACTTATTATGAATCCTAAAGTGGAGGGGGTGGGAGTAACGTGTCCTCATATTTTTAGTGAAAAATATAGACACGCCAGTGAGTGCTGGCTTACACTGACATAAAGTGCTTTACAGTCGTTCAAATAAGTAGAAATAAAAGCATGTCCAACTTACTTAAAATCACTAAAATAGATTTCATCTTGGAGAAAAGCCTCAGATGGTAAAAACAAGATTAGATAACAAAGTTGATCTATTTGTCCATTTTGAAATCACTGTCAATTTCAACAGCAAGATATAAAGCTGTGGGTTTGACATGCGTTTGCAGGTAGCCCAGGTATATATGAGAGGTCACAGAAAGCTCTAGATCAAAACACAACAACTTCGGTCTCATCGCTAAAAATAAAAAATTAGGAACATTTTGATTGTTTGTTTTGTGTATCCTCTGCATGTGGATGGTGAGAACCACCATGTTTTTAAAATCAAACCCAAGAAAAGAAGTGAAGTTCAAGTGACAGTTATGGAAGGATCAGAAGAGGGGGATGAGATGAATGTTTCCCACAAAAAAAATATGACAGACCTTTGGGAAGCTTGACAACAGTTTGATTTTTCAGCATTAACATTTGAAACAACAGTCTTGAGGAAAAAAAAGGATTAGTCCAAAACAAGTCTTGTACATTGTAAAACTTTTACCACATAAACCTTGGGCTAAATCTTACAGGTGTTATGAATGGATGACGAAGGTTACATCAGTTGTTTGTGCTGCTGATTTTTCTAACATCTCTTTTCTCTTTCGAATAGATCCACTAATTTTAGAGTGATCCATTCATGTAAGTCCTGAAATCCTGAAATGTTAGAAAGATTGCTTATGCTTTCAGTCATGGCTCCCATCTTTGACTGGTAGATTAAACTGTTCATCATTGGGGGAAATGGATCTATTTTCTCTTTTTAAAAAAGCTTCACAAAAAAAGGTCTTAAACAAAATATATTAACAACACTAAACATTCTTAAATTCTTAAATTATGTGGCAAAAAAATGTAATTGGACCACTGTTGTTATATTACAGCCCAGTCGACCACTGGCATGAATTCCATCCACCCTACCCTCAACCAGCTGTCACCTTTGTGAGTAACTTCTGACCATAAACACCAGAAAGGTTTATGAGTCTTGGCTACTCATTTACCTTCAGTTTAGAGAAATGCATCTTCAAACAAAGTGTAAACTGAGTCAAAGGTTCAGAAAAGAATCAATGACAGAGTAGGAACTCAAATCAATTATGGAGCAAGACCAAATTGAAATTTACTTTTTGGCCTTTGTTTAGAAGTCTCATTTTGCAGCTTTTCAAAGGCACTATTGGTAAAGTAGAAGTGCTCATGACATGTTACAGTTCCTTTTCAAGTGTCAGTCTTTGGGTTCCTGATAGATATTTTTCATTTTTATTTTCATTTTTCGAGCAAAAGTTGCAACTTCATCCCTCTTATAACTCCGTTTGAATTGTTGCAACATATTTAATCTGAATTAATTTATTTTAGGTGAACCAAATGTATAAAAAAAACAATATATGCAAAGGACAAAGCATTCTTAATCTTGCGTACTCAAGAACAACTGTCTCCAAAATGTCTTAGTGTTTGACTACAATAAAGGAGTAAATGTATTAACAGTGATCAATATGATCCAGGTTGAAGTTCTACTTTTATTCTTTATAAAGATGGAAACAAAAATGGCAGCAGATAGAATTACTACATCAGGAATTCCATTCAGAGGGAAAGTCTAACCTGTTATCTTTATGTTCCTTTAAATTTAGCCCGCCTCAAACTGATTCTGGAAGTCAGCGAAGAAAAACATCTTTCACTCCAACAGAAACTGGTGAGATTTTTCTGCATTTTGTGAGAAATATATCTTTATTTTCAAAGCCATGTGATGAACCTCTGACACACATATATCATATCTGTCTTTCCCACAGAGAGTAACCCAAGCTATGAGAATCAAGCAGACGGTAAGATCAAGTTTAGTTCGACTCAATGACAAACAGAAAGCCAAGTCTTGGTTCAGTAAAAAGTGCTTCCTGTAGCGTTTCCTGTTTTTTGGACTCACAGATCTTGATAAGGGACTTGAAATAAACTCCATCTATGACTGTTTTGCCACAACAAAGGTCTCGTTGGTTTTGACCTTGACCTTACTCCAACTTTCAACTGTTGATTGGACAACTACTGACACAAAACTGACAGATCCAGGTTTTGACTCATCTGGACCAATTACTTGAAGGTCTTGACTTGGAATCAGTTATTTGGTCTCAAATTTTGACTTGTATTTCATAGGGCTCATGGGGAGAATCGTTTTGGGACTTGTTGACATTGACGTTGTGATTAATGGACTCAGCTTGAGACTTGAGGGTTTTGGCAGCTAACTTTTTGTCATGAACTTGTTCGTCTTGAATAGGGTCCTGCAGGCTCTGTGACCTGTTGGCTCTGGGATCAACTGGCCTTCAGTTTAGATTATATGACACAGCATTTCTTTACCTAATATTGGGACTAAATAACACAGTTTGGACATGCTCACCTTGACATTGTATTTGATGGACTTAGCTTGGGACTTGGTGGATTTGGGAATATTGTCTGTGATTTGGAATTGTTTAGATTGACATGAGACATGAGGAACAGGTCAGATTGTTGGGCATACAGTACAACTTATTGGCATGGACTTTTGACCTGTTTTTGGGACCTGTTCTTTAGACTTGTATGTTTAAAGATTGGACTAGTAGGACATGAAGCCGCCTCCTGGTAGGAACTTTGGAGAAGAGACCTGAATTTTCATCCCCTCATATGGAGTCGATGGACTCAACTTTGACAGCATCAACGTGAGAGTTGTTGGTATCAGCCTGTGACTTGTGAGAGTTGATTTGAGACTTGATGACCTCACTTGCCTTTACTTTTGGGGTTGACACAGGATTTTAACCTTGTTCACCCAGGACTTTATTTTTGACTTACATATAGACTTGTTAACCTTGATTTGAAAGTTGACAGATCAAGCATGAACTTGTTTGGCTTGTGACTTGGACTTGTTCCTTCCTCAACCTTTTTTGAGTTATTGCTGGTTTTACATGATGGAATCTGGCTCAGTGTAAGCAGCAAACCAAAGACAGTCTGTAGTTTACTCTGACCTGTACTGCTGAATGTCATTGGGATGTCAGTGTGACCTGATGTCCTGTTTCTTACAGTGTCTGATTACATAAATGCGGACAGTGACCAAGAAGATCATGGATACATGTAGGTTTGTCCTTTCAGACACTGTTGACATGGTTTTCCTTCTAAAACCTAACAGTAATCTGATAACCTCTTCTTTGATTTCTACAGAGTTGTGCTGCCTGATGGTCCGACCAATCCAAGCCGAGCTTCAACGCCAAGTTCAGGTACAGAATGACAAAAGGAAATTTGAAGCACAGTGTGGGTTTTTTTTAATCTTTCCCAACTCTTTAAAAGGAATTGTGGGTTTTAACAACTAATCAGCTGCTTGTTTCACAACAGATGTCCAGCATGATTATGAGAATTTCCCAAAGACAGGTGGTGAGGGGACTTTCATTGTTTTTAAAATTCAATTTCTAGATTAAACATTTTTTTCCATGTTTTAACATATTTTTCAGCCACCAAAACCAAAATTCAACAACTACTAAAAGCACAGTATGGTTTCTGTGTTCTTGTTTTTTCTTCAGAGGATAGAGACTATCTTAATGTGGAGCCTCTGAACTTTGAACGTGAGTTGGATTTTTAGTGTTTATTTTTATGTCATGTGACACTGAGCTCTTCCTCACTCTATGCTGTTTCTCACAGGAAGCTTGATGAACTCCTCTATGTTTATGAGGGTTTTAGACTAAGGATGTAAGAACATAATTCAGTGCAAAGCAATGGTCTAAAGATACTTCTCACAGTCCCTAGAGAGTCCTCTAAATATGGATGTAAAGATACTAATCAAAGAATTAAATGATGTTCCTCAGAGTGTTATGTAGAGATGAGTTCAAGCAGCAACTATGTCAATCAAGCACCTATAGGCTGTGCTAGGACCTGGTTGGAAGTTTAATGTAAAACTGTTGTTGTGGTGTAAGACTGAGAATACATATTGGAAGGCACTCACTGAAATGGTAAACATGCAGCATGCTGTCCCTAAACTGTCCTGCCATACAAGGGCAGCTGTAGCTCAGTAGTCGAGTCAGTGGTCTCTCCCCTTTAAACAGGCAGAAATATTAGAGCCAGAGTCATTGATAGACAGCCTTCTCCTTCAACTTACAGACCACTTTACTGCATACACTAAATCTCCCCCTTTATTAAAGGCATGGTTGAGGATCTGAGAAGCAGTTGAAAAAAACTGAGCTGTTGAGGCAGATTCAAAAAAAGCATCCCACCCCCAGTTAACTTATAGATATAAATCTGCTCATGCGTCCCAGAGAATGATTCTTGGAACTGGTCCCTGACACCACTGACTAGCTTAGCTGATGCTTCATAGTCAGCGTCTTTGAGTCTGTGAAAAGCGCTTTACAAATAAAATGTATTATTATTATTATTATATTTCATGTTTTTTTCCAGGATCAACACCAGACTTGTCAGCTAAGAGCTGCAGCAGCAGCAGCAGCAGTGATGATGAGGAGGATGAAGGGAACTATGTCAATCAGCCTCCTGTGAGTTTAAAACAGAGCTTCTAAAAGATGTTTCAAGCTTTAATGTGATCAAGCTGTTGATCCAAAATTTTCCCACCTTTTCAGATGCATTGCAGCCCAGTGCATGATGGGGCACAGACTGAGCAGCTGCAGTGAGCTTTTATTCTGCCATCAACATTTTTCTTCTTGATCCCCTGCAAAAAGATGATGATAGTGACTCTCCCACAAACTCTGTTTTTCCTCGGTTCTTGAAGTCCAGTCCACAGAAATTGTTCGTCTGTTTAGTTTGATCAGGTCTCTGACTGAAACAGTTAAAACTCTTAATGGAGGTGGAATATTTAGACATGCTAGGCTCATTCATGAAACATAAGCAGAGTGAATTTTTGTGTAAACTGCAAGTAGAATGAAATTTACAGGCAAACTCTCATTTAACAATCTTTTAGTAGTTAAGATTTCTTCGTAGCTTCTTACGAAATCTATAGCTGCTCCTGACCAGGAGTACAATGTGTGCACATGGAGAATTCACAGAAATATTGGCTAATTATTATCAGAATCTCTAGTTTAATTCAAATTGGGATCTATTATGGTCACAATAGGCAGATACCTTTCAAACATCATTTAAATATGTCAAAAATAAATCAGTCATTTAACACAGTTATTTGGCATATAACTGTGTTAAATGACTATATACATACAGTATATATATATATATATATATAAACATACACACACACACACACACACACACACACACATATATATATATATATATATATATACATACATACATACACAAACATATATATAAATACACAAATATACACACACACAGATATATATATATAATTTTTTTTTGGTGGGACTGTTGGGACTGGGATGAAGAAGTGAGAGACAGCTGGTTTATCAGTAAGAACATGAACCTGTTCACATACTTGCTTGTTTACAGAACCCTCAGGTGACAGATCTAGGAAAAAGCCATGTGCTGATTCTTGCACATGCATTCGTATCCGTGCACATGGATTATCCATACTCACAGATTTAAATTTAATTGTTATTTTATTACTTTGGCACTTCAGGGGTCCGTCCTTGTGTTTCAACTAGAGGTCTATCCTGTCAATAAGGTACTGTATAGGCTGTTGCCTATGACTCGGCTAACCCACCATCCAACATGGTAGATGGTTTATAATGACACCCAGTCCAGGCTCAGTCTCAGTCTGTTCAGTCTGTATCAATAATGATCTGAAAGAGAGAGTTGCTGCACCACTAACAGGAGAAGATAAAAGGTCCACTTCACCAAAAATAACTTCCTTTCCTGTGATCCTTGTCAGTGTCTGTTCATGGGCAGAGATTTGTTATGACGAGTGGCTGCCGGGACCTGTCACTTTATTATTGATTGGCATCCATGAACTTGCTTGAGCTTACTCAAGTGTTCATGATCAAACTCAGTGTTTCTACAGCGTTCATAAAACCAGAAACTTTTTTAGTTCAGGCGATGTTTACGTGTAAATCTAAACATTAATTTAATAACATTTCATGAATGAGAGCCACTGCTTTTAGCCACTGCTTTTAGCTAAATTAAATTAGGAGCCAAATGTGCTTTACAATTCTACAACCACAATCTGGTTTTCACCAAATCAGTGAGACATCTTTAATATTCTTGATTGTATCTGCAAGAAATACTTAATTGTAAAAAAAAAAATTTAAACATAAAAAACATTATCACTGTCTACAGATTCCACCTGTAACTCAGGAAACACTCTGTTATTGAAATCCATAACTGTCATATCAATAACCAGGAGCAGGTCAGCAAACAGTCTTTACTGATGTTCACAACCATGATCTTAAAAATGAGTGAAAATCATTTGATTTTTTTGTTCTTTTTGGTTTCTTTCACCCGTCAACCCTTTCCTCCAGTGTCTTTTAATCATGTTACCACGCTTGACTTTGATTTTACTGACAACTCCTGAGAATGTCTACATTTACTGTTATTATATGTGTAATCCATGTGTGTGTTATTACAGTTGTCTCTGTAATCTGCCTGCATGTTTTTGTTACTATTTTGTTACGAATTAAAGGGTAACAGAACTTGATCCTCTCCAAGATTTTATTGCACTTCTTTTACTTTTGTGTGAGCTGCTGATTCTTCAAGTGAAAAATAAGTCAAATCACTTCCTTTACTTCTTGTAGATCAACGGAGGCCTTCTAGGCCATGAGCCAGGGGGGTTGGTCGGTATCAACTGAGGGGAATAATGCTCATAGTGATTTTTGACATTACATGTATAGAGTTAGAAAATATGTGATAGCATTGCAGCAGTGGTAGCTAAATGGGTGCTATCATGCATTTTATTTTATAACACTAGGCGAAAATTACATGGGTCAATATATGAAAACATACAACTTAACCCCCCAAAAAACCTATAGAAAGGGTTTCATTTTACCATAAATCATTTCTATAAGGTTTCTAGACTAACATAAGTCCTATGAAATCCTAGTTGGAAAAGTATGTTAATTTCGCCAGACAACAATACGCGAATGAGCTCAAAACTCATTAAAATTTGCCCAAAATACTCCTTTTCCCCTGAACTATTATCACAGTGAAAGCACATTGAAAGCGGGTGATGGCAATGCTGCTTTTGGACTGGCCTCTAACCTGAAAACTGCCCGGATTGGTTGCACCTACCAGGGGTATAACCCCAGCCGGTGTAGTCTTCAGGGTCACTGAGGCACACAAGCCTCCCCACCACGACAAGGTAGCAACAAAAGGGGAGGGTGTTTTTTTTTTTTCTTTTTTTTTTTGGTATGTTTATTTTTGCCTGGATCCTCGCCACCTTCTCTACATGTCAGTTCCTGGCTTGTTCTTTGCTTTGTTCTGGGACAGAGTTAAACCAAGAAAGGTGGATTTTGGTGTATATCTCTGTTTGCCATTCAGGAATAGTGTAGGCCTGAATCTCTCCAATTCTCAATTATACAGATCATACTTTTGACTACTATACGTCCACAACCTAATAATCAAAATCATTTTCATCAACTTCTTCCATGTCTTCTTCATCTGAACTTTCCACACTGTGTGAGGTGGATGCTTGGTTCTCACAGTCTGCCAGTCTACACATGTCAGTACACTTGAGGCCATTTGCAATACAGACACATTTTGGGAGTGAACATTTCTTTGGACAGTTACAGGCCAGTAGATCCAGGACTGCATCAGGTTCTGGCTGGCCATCCATCCAGTGTACCACCAACTGTTCAGATTCACCTTCTGTCTCCATTTTCCACCCTCTGCCAACAGGGCTTGGCTAATGTGGGTATTGCTGCAGGCATCTTCTCCATATACCAGCCTGGTAATTTGCTCGATGTGCATGTTTCGTTAAACAGTCCTTGCAAGGTGGGAGTTGATGACTTTCAATTTCACCTTTTTTGGCACAGAAAAGGTGATACCTGAGCTCATTGATCTTGATGGTTGGTGCTTTTGGCGCATACATGAGACATGTAAATGCATGCATGTAAATCCATTTAGACTGACTCAGGCCAGGTGTGAGTGTGACAACTTAAATCACAGCAGGAATACAGTAGAAATATGTAGCCTATGCATTACTTACCATGTTTTATGTATTAAAATGTTTAGGTTGTGTACAAATTAAACCTTTGTGTTACATCTTTCATGAAAACGGAAGACATATATTGTCACTATGTTGTCACTGCTTATAAGAGAAAAAAACATCTAGAGATGCTGATTCCAACAACTCTACTGAACAATATATAGCCTGGGCTTTATTCTGACATTTTTTCGCAGAGATAGGGTCAATTAATAAGAGAGAACCATCAGTTTGAAGTAGAATGATTAATTCAGATTTTGAAAACTCTGTTTTGGCATGTGGTCATAAATTGAGTGATAACACACAGAAAGCTACCACAGATGCAATGCTATCAATTTTTTTCTAATACTAGAGGTATATACCTACCCAAAAATCACTATGAGAATTATTCCCCCCAGTTGATACCGATGACCCCATATTTGGAGTCTTAGCTCAAGGCCTATTCCACTGTTTGCCTGGTCAGGAAAAGCACCTGCACAGATGCTTTTGGGTTAAGCAACCTATCTCAACATAAACTTCATGTCTGAGTTTATCATCTCTTGTTTCAGTTTGCTGTAGGAACTTTCAGATTCTGAAATGACTTAAATTCATTGTGTTTTTTTTCAATGGTTTTATTATTAATGAACTGGTTTGTAAAAGGATTGAGGGGGACAGGGACTGTGTTTTCACAGTTGTCAGTTTTCATCTTCGGTCCATCTTCATGTATGAGAGTGAAAACAGTCAGTATTAACATTTCAAAATCCAGAGGAGTCTGTGTGAGATATTACATTGTGGAAGTTAAAAGTATTAAAAAAGATGTGTTAGTTGATGACAGGAGGGGGGAATGTTAAAAGATTTTTTTTTCAGGGTTTTGTGGTAACTCTTGTCTCCCGTTGCTCCAGACTCAGCTCTGACGAGGAGGTTTCAGTTTGCAGACGGGTGGAAAGAAAGCTGCTGAGAGGGATGAGTGGGAACCTGAACAGCTGAAAGACACAAAAACCAAACATCCAAATGTTTACTTACCCACGTTACTGTTCAGAAAAGGTGAACTTAGGTAATAAACACATAAACTACAGAGCTGGGACAGAGGAAACTTCCCACTGTGAGGAGCACAGGCGTAAATATTGGCGGTGCAACCAGTGCAGCTGCACCGGGGCCCAGATGCCGTCAGGGGCCCATAAAGGAGGGAAGGGGAGAAAAAAAAGGTAAAAAATCAGCACCGAGGAAGCTCTCCCCAATGCTGATCACCCACAGTGGATGCATTTCCTCCATGATGATGTGCCATAATCGGCTTTGCCTCTTTCTTTTCTTTTTGCCACCGGCTCTCCTGTTTGTGTACATTTTTGTCCTTCGGTTTACATGCACCATCCCCTGTAGATTGGTAGCTGACTTGAGAACTTAATGCATGTGGTTTACTATTGCGCATTTCCTTTTGCTGATATAATTAACATTTACTTATTGATTGTGATACAAATAAGATGGAAACTGGTGAAAACAAATGTAGATCAAAATTACAGAAAGAAGTGACAGGCAGGAAAATGAAGTTTTTCTCGGTGACAAGGAGAGAGAGAGCGTGAGGGCAGCATGAGCAGAGTAGAGCAGCAGAGATATTTAGCTTTACTGCTCCACAAAATGACACAAACAGGGAAGCCAGTGGCAAAAAAAAGAAAGAAAAAGTGCAGTGAATTCAGGCTGTCAGCCTACATAACAAAAATAGCAGTTCTCTACAGTGGCTGTGCGTGCATGCGTGTGTGTGCGCGCGTGCGTGCGTGTGCATGTGTGTGCATGGGCTTTTGTTCAGGGCAGGGGTGGGGGCACAAAAAAAATATTTGCACCAGGGCCTACCACCATGATGTTACGCCACTGGTGAGGAGCATGTGTGTGAAAAGGTTTTGTCTGTGCTCAGGTTTATTTGTTTACCTTGGGGTGGTCCGATGTAAAAGTGTTGTGGTGCTGCCTGCTGGGGGTTGGAGCTGCTGCCCTGCTGAGGGGGGACATAGTGCAGCATAACTGGGGGCAGCCCGTGACCTGCAGCATGGTGAGGTCCTGACATGCCTCCTGTGATGTGAGCCTGCGCAGGACAAACGTAAGAAAGTGTTTTTTTTTCCCCACTTAAACAAGGTTCACTAGTAGAAAAAGTGTCCTGATGTGGATATACACCTGTGTGAGCTGGCTGATGGAGGGGAAGCCATGTGGTAGTGGCTGGTGAGCAGGGAGGCTGTATCCCTGCATGGTGTAGGAGGCCTGTGGGGAGCTGTGTCCTGGAGGCAGGTTAGGAGGGGTGGGAGCTGACAAACCTCCAGAGTGGAACATGGACTGAGGTTGAGGACCGCCCTGATTTGACTGAGAGGACAAACTTAGTTTAAGGCAAACAGATATGAAGATGAATACAAAAGAGCAATCAAATAAGGACACAGGAAGAGCAAACACAGCTGAGGGAACACACATTACATACTTTAAAAACCTAGTTCACCTCAAGCACTAAGAAGTATCTTTAAGCACTAGCTTCACATCAATCAGCACTCCTTTTTTCACTTCCTGTTCTAATGCAAATCTGAAACCAAAAAACAGTTAGTAAAGCAGGGAAACAATGAGAGTTGTTATTCTATTTCAGATGAAAAATATATCACTGTAAATCTGGATCAAGATATACAAGAATTAGTGCTCTAGAGCAGCCTTCTCAAAGTGGGTGCTGCAGCACCTTGGGGGGCTGTCTGACTGTGTCAGGGGTGCTGTCCGAAAATGACCTATTCTGATATTTTACATATAAATACATGACTGAATACCTGACTGAATACATAAATACATTTCTTTTAGATACGTGTATCAATAAATCAACCATAAAATTAATTTCAGACAAATATATACATACTTAAAATTAATCATAAAGATCTGTCTCACATGCCCATTGTTAAAAACGTGTCACAACGTCAATAGCCCAGCCGCAAGGTCTGACTGTGCAGCACATTGTTTTATCATTTAGCCACGAAAATACATTTGATTTCACAAAGCGCAAGGAACAAGCAATAGCATCTTGAATCGTTTTCTAGAAAGGAAAGCCCCACAAGAATCGAACATCACTAATTCTGAAATTGAGCCTCAGCCTACTACTTCATGCCAGCCTTCATCCACCAGCTCTGAGTCTGCACCAAAGGTCGCAAAGGTACATGCTAGTGAGTGTGAGAGTGAGCCTCTCTTCCTCTGTCATTGGGGATTATGTGTGTGTGGGCATGGAAATAAACCAGCACTTAGGATGGAAGGAAACATTCCTGCTTATCTGTGGTGCACTTTCAGTTGGTATTATGCTCTGTTCATCACTATTGTTCTGTCCAAGTAAACAGGACATTTGCATTTATATTTAGGCTTTGTAGTGTTGTTTTAAATTATATTTTACACTGAGGTGCTGTGAGATTTTATGCACTTCTGAGAGGTGCCATGACTGAAAAAAGTTTGAGAAATGCTGCTCAAGAGTACTTTCATTTGCTCATTCTACACTAAACTAAAAAATGCAATTTCTGAAGAAATGTTTGAACTGTTTGAAATTGCTATAGCTGAACTGCTATTGCGAATGGCTGGATTTTGAAAGTCTATGAAAGATAATGTTTGAATTTTGAGGAAGCTTTGAATTATTTGAATGATTTGGATGAATTCATTAAATAGTGCATAAATTGTTTAAAAAAAATCAGTGTGTGGAAAATTAAAATGATTAAAAATCCTGAAGTACTAGAAATGTTTGAATCACCTTGAATGAGTTGGAATTTGTTTGAAGAATAAAATGATGTATAAATCATTAAATGATTTAAAACAGGGAAATTAAAATGATTAAAAATCTTAAAGTATTAGAAGTATCAGAAAGGTTTAAATCAGTTTGAATAATTTTTAATTTGTTTGAAGAATTAACTATGCATGACTATTCAAATTGAATCTAGTGTGATAAAAAAATTTAATTAAAAAAAAATCCTGAATGCATCCCATAATGTCCTCAATGAACTGAATTTTTTTTTAGCCCTGGATGGTTTCTGTAGCTCAAAGTTTGTGGAAAGAGATAGATGACAAAGTTTGTCAAATAACTCCAGTGAAGGGTTTTAAATGTTACCCCCAGTACTCTGTGTACTAAGCCTGGCTTCATGTGTCTCATATGGCCGTAAGCAGTTTTCCAGCCAGCTGTGTGTCTCCAGTTGCTCTAATTGGTTGCCATGGTGAAGGTAGATGCATCACTACAGCAGGAGAAAGGGGGCTTGAGGCTGAGAGAGCAATGCTCGAACGATGCCCTAATGCTCTTCCTCTGTAACTGCTATCGTCGTGATATGAGCCTGTGAGAACCACAAGACCTGGCTGAACAAATTGAAAATATTTAACTAGGACAAGTTAAAAACATGTCAAGTTTGTCTGTCCTCTGAAAATCCTCCTCTCATGTTCATATTGGAGTCAATGGAGAAAGCTGGGGAAATTTTGGGGATGTCTGTGGCAGTTGGTGTCTGCCCAAGCCACTGTGTGTGTCCTATGGCTTTGATTTTTGAGATGATGAGTGACAGCGAGTGTTTCCATCACTGTACATAATATTATCCGTGTAGAGTGAAGTGAGTTGCCACAATCCTTTTGTAAAGACAAAGTTTTGAGGATAAATTTTCAGCTTCTCTCACTCTAGCGGTGAGGTCACGCACTCTAGCTGCCAACATTCCATGCAATACACACTAATGTTAAAACCTGAAGCGGTCAGATAATCACTTTTTGAAAACTTTTTGAACTGTCACTGTGAGAAAAGTATGAATGGCATGAAGATGGTGAATAAATGAGTGAATGTCTGAAGGTGTGTGAATGTTTTGAAGTTTGAATAAAGTTTCTAGGTGAAAGTATAGGCGAGTTGAAGGCTTTTGAAGTTGTGTCAAGAAAATGTGGGAAAAGGGCCAATTTGAACATTCCGTAACACATTTCTAATGGGAGAAATCAGTTGGAAAACCGGGAATGACAAGGAAAATATGAATGTTAGGAAAATTTTGAATACAAGCTGATATTTCCTCAATGAGAGGAATATTTGGAAGTTTGAATGGTTTGAATATGTTGAAGGATGTAGAAGTAGTTTAGGGCCAAAACACGGTGGAATAATAATAATAAAAACTAGAAAATGAAATTTCAAGTGGGAATGATTCAGCTGAATTGCTATAGCTAAGCTGCTGTTGTGAAGGGTACCTGATATGAAACAATTGTTCCCTTGTCGGGATTCGAACTCGTGTCCACTGAGGAAGAACCCACTGCTTAACCATGAAGATGACTGAGTTGAAGGCTTTTGAAGTTGTGGGAAGAAATGTGAGAAAAGGGGCCATTTTGAAAATTCTCAATGCATTTCTAATGGGAGAAATCGCTCGGAAAACCGGGAATATCTCGGAAAGTATGAATGTTAGGAAAATCCGGAATCTCCTCAATCAGAGGAACATTTTGAAGTTTGAATGGTTTGAATATGTTGAAGTATGTGGAAGTAGTTGAGGGCCAAAAAACGGCAGAATAATAAAAATAAAGATTTTGAATAACATGTGGTGGGAATGCTTCCCCACTCAACTAGGAAAATTGCATTTCCTTGCAGAAAATGCGTGGAAATGCTGAGTGCTGAAAGCCAAAAAAGCAATGCTATACTGACAATAAAAAATTGAGGAAGGTGTGAATGGAAGGTGTGAATGGAAAAACTGTTGAAAAGGTGGAGTAGAAGAAGAATTTGTATGAATGGAAGAATTGTAGTATAACTGAAGGTAAATTAGTTGCATTAATGTACAAATTGTCTAATAGCCTAAGTGAAAAACGTATATCATTGATGTGAATTAACAGAACTGATAATAAGGATAATTGAATTTGAAAAACAAATGCCTTAAAATAATGTGTAGCAATGTTCCAATTAAATGTACAAATAGTAAAACAGATTTTTGCAGTCTGCAGCATCCAACCATAGTAACTTGAGAATGCAGAACAGCATCATCTATTGCCGTGCTTCAGGTACTGCCCTACATATGAATGTAGAAAGTATGAAACAGCTGAAGTTAAATTAATTGAATACATATAGAAAGTAAAGAAAAGCAGAGGTAGAGGAAAAAGAAGTTAGTATGTTAAAAGAGTTAAAGACAAGAACTGTAACAACAAAGTAAATATTGGGGGTATATTTTCTACTGACAGAGAGACAGTAATGCACTCATGGAAACAGTGTGTGTGCCCGCGTGGCCGAGCCCGTCGAGTGCATGTGCGTGTGTGATCTAAGCACACAGCCCATGAGAAGTGCTGATATCGCAAAAGCAGTGAGAAACCGTCTGAACTTTTCCCCCTAGCGCAATTTCCATAAGTCATATCCCAAAAATAAGATGATCTTAGGAGTCCTGAGATTCCCATGAACACAATGATGTATTTTTTATGTCCAAAGTGTAAAAAATGTGGCCACAACAGCGAGTTAAAAACCGGCTTCACTGTAGTGTTTGTCAGGGTTTCTTGGCCAAAATTTAACATGGGAGTTAATGGGCAGAATCTCTGGCTCCTAAGGAATGTACTCACCTCCTGGGCAAGCGGTACAATTTGATGACTTCAGACCTATTTTGTGAGAAGCAGGACAAGTGTGCCTCCATTTTGATGTGTTTTTTATGGCTGTGGAGTGAAAATTGCAGCCATGGGAGCAAAATAATCATGCTTGGTTTAGTGAATCCAAAACGCTCCCCCCGCTCTAGCGATGACGTCACCCGCTCTAGCGATGACGTCACACGCTCTAGCGTTTCCAATACACACTCATTGGAAAGGCTGAAAAAGGCAGAAAACTTCATGTTGCTCCAAGCTAAATTGTGCAAAAACAGTAGGAAATAGCAAAGAGGAGTGAATACAACATAGGTGTTATAGCTGTAGGCGGAGTGGAGAGATTTCTCTATTCATTTCTAATGGAACAAATTTTGCAGAAAAAGTGAAATATTGCAAAAGGTTTAAATGGTAGAAAGCTGAAAAGTAATACCAATAATGTCCTGAAGGAGTGCATTAGTATAAAGTTTGACTGGTTAAAATAGCACAAAGTGGGAAGGAGTTGAAAAGGGCCAAAAAAGGTACTGAAGAATAATAATAACTAGAAAAACTGCATTTCCTTGCAGATAATGCGTGGAAATGCTGAGTTCTGAAAGCTGAAAAAGCAATGCAAAACTGCTAATAAAAAATAGAAGAAGGTTTTAATGTAAAATTGGTTAAAGGGGTGAAGAAGAAGAAGTGGAAGTTGGATGAAAGTGAAAACTGTTGAAGTCCAAACAGTATGAATGTGCTTCATAAATTAAAATTGCATTCATGCTGAATAAGGCTAGAGAAACTGTCTGAAATTGCAAAAAAAAAAATGGATAAGAAAGAAAATTACCCTAAAACACAGAAAAGTGAGAAGTGGCATAAGTTTAAGTTGTAGTCCTAAAAGTAGTATGATAATAGGTAGTTGTAGTAGTGATATTAGTAGTCATGTAAGCAGTAGAAGTAGTTTTAGAACAGAAGAAGTAGAAGTCAAAGTAGTAAAGCTTGTGGTAGAAGTAATAGTGGCAGTAAAAGTAAGAGACGCAGTAAAAAAATATTTAGAGAAGCAAGAGTAGTGGAGGTAGACGTGAAGAACCGGCCATCTCTTCAAACCGGCCATAATAATAATAATAATAATGCATCAGATTTCATATAGCGCTTTATCAGAGACCCTCAAAGCGCTTTACATTAGATACACCATTCATTCGCTCACACAGTCACACTTTGGTGGTGGTGGAAACGTGGCTGCCATTCTGCGCCTACGGCCTCTCCGACCACCACCACACAACACTCACAATCATACACCAGTGGAGGACACACACTGGGAGCAAGGTGGGTTAAGTGTCTTGCCCAAGGACACAACGGACCTTCTGGTTATTGGACGACCGCTCTACCTCCTGAGCTACTGCCGCCCCGCCATGTTCCAGTCAGCCTCAAAACAGCTATCATCAAGCCCCTCCTCAAAAAACCCACTCTTGATCCTAGCTCCCTGTCAAACTATAGACCTATCTCCAATCTCCCCTTCATCTCCAAAACTCTCGAAAGAGTTGTATCCATTCAACTTCACAACCATCTCAAATCAAACAGTCTATATGAAAAATTCCAATCTGGCTTTCGTCCCTCCCACAGCACCGAGACAGCTCTCATCAGAGTCACCAATGACCTCCTGATGACCTCTGACTCCGGCTCCACTTCCCTCCTCCTCCTTCTCGACCTCTCTGCTGCATTTGATACTGTTGATCACCACATCCTCCTTCATCACCTCCATCACGACATTGGTATCTCTGGCACCGCCCTTCAATGGTTTCACTCCTACCTCACAGGAAGGACCGAGTTCGTGGCCCTGGGGGATGCTAAATCCCGCCCTCACACTGTTGTCTGTGGGGTCCCCCAGGGTTCCGTGCTCAGTCCAACCCTCTTCACCATCTACATGCTCCCCCTTGATCGTGTCGTCAGCAGGCATGGAATGCAATTCCATTGCTAAGCTGACGACACACAACTCTACCTCAAGGTCACCCCCTCCTCCACTCCCCCCTCCTCTGTCACCCAACTGGACTCCTGCCTGGAGGAGATAAAGGCTTGGATGAGTGAAAACTTCTTACAGCTGAACAGCTCCAAAACAGAAGCCATTCACATCGGTACTCCCCACCAGCTCCGTTCTACCCACTTTTCATCCGTCTCTTTTCTCGGCCACAACTTTTCCCTCTCTCCTTCTGTGACTAACTTGGGAGTCAGGTTTGACCCCCATCTTAGCTTTGACTATCACATCAACCATATCTGCAAGACTTCCTTCTTTCACCTCCGTAATATCGCCAAACTCCGGCCATTTCTCTCTCGTCCTGCAGCAGAGAGACTCATCCATGCCTTTGTCTCCTCCAGGCTGGACTACTGTAACGCGCTTCTCATCGGGATCCCGGGCAAGAGCTTACAAAGGCTCCAACATGTCCAAAACAGCGCCGCCCGGGTCCTGATGAGAGTGCGTAAACATGAGCACATCACCCCCATCCTTCGCACTCTGCACTGGCTCCCCGTTCACCTCCGCATTGAATTCAAAATCCTCCTCCACACCCATCACTGTCTGCACGGTGCAGCCCCCACCTACCTCACCGAACTCCTCACCCCACATACCTCAGCCAGAACCCGGTCAGGCCAACTGCACCGTCTGCGCCCGCCCAGGACTCGGCTCAAGACCATGGGTGACAGGGCCTTCGAGGCTGCTGCTTCCCGTCTGTGGAACGCCCTCCCCGACCACCTCAGGGCTGCACAGTCGGTGGATGCTTTTAAAAAAGGACTCAAAACCTTCCTCTTTCGGAAAGCCTACCCGAACTAATTTTATCTGATTTTATCTGCTGACTGTTTTTATTGTTTTGCCCTGTTGCTTGGTTTTTACTGTTATTGTTGTCTTGTTGTGCACTTTGAGATTTGTTTTTAAATGTAAAGTGCGTTACAAATAAAATCTATTATTATTATATTATTAAGATACAAGTTAAAGTGATATTAGTTGTAATTGTAGTAGTAAAACTGGGAATCTGTTTGAAGAAATAAAAAATGCAAAATAATGAGAATAATTTTAAAATGGGAAAATTTTGAATAATTAAAAATCCTCAAGTATTAGACAAGTTTGAAGTATTAGGTTTGAATCAGTTTGAATGAGTTTAAATTTGTCTGAAGAATTGAATAATGTATTTATAACTGGATTACATTTAAAGTGGGGAAAATTTAAATGAATAAAAATCCTGAATACATTTTTGGAGCCCTGAATGGTTTCTGTTGGTCAAAGTTTGTTGTAGTAGATAGGGGCCAAAGTTTGTCAAGTGCTCTGGTGAAGGGTTTTAAATGTAACCCCCAGTGCTCTGTGTACTGAGCCTGGCTTCATGTGTCTCATATGGCCGTTAGAAGCTAGCCTGGCTGGGCCATCCAGTTGCGTGAATTACTTGCCGTTCCTTCTCACAACAGTCTGGACTTCAGCCAATTGGGAGCCCTAAAAGTGGGCGGGAATACTTTCCTTGATAGACAGACTACTGTAACCAATCACCATAACCAAACATCTGACGTCATCACTGTGCGCATCCGTGTTCCCTGCTGGGCTGTCAAGCATCAAGTAAAGGTTTGGTAATATTTCAACGTGTACGAGCAAACAATGTCTTTTACGTCTTTTTCTGCAGATATAAACGATTTCTGCCGACTTGCAAAGTCAACTGCAGAATTAAAGGCGTTCTAAATGAACGGTGCTTTGAAAAGTCCCGCAGCATGTGTTAGACGTCTCCATCTACACATGGACCAATCAGGGGCTGCCTTTTCCTGTTGTCCGGGGAACAGTGGAAACACAGTCACTGCTTTGCCTGGTTCTATTCTGATTTCTAATACTCCTTGGCTCCCAACTGGCCGAAGTCCAGACTGTTGTGGGAAGGAATGGCAAGTGATTCATGCAACTGGATGGCCCAGCCAGGCTAGTTAGAAGCAGCTTTCCAGTCAGCTGTGTGTCTCCAGGTGCACTAATTGGTTGCCATGGGAACAGTAGATGCATAACTACAGCAGGAGAGAGAAGGCTTGAAGCTGAGAAACAAAATCCAAAACTATGCCCTGAAGCTCATTCTCTGTAATGGCTACATTCATGATAAGAAACTTGTGAGAACCCCACGACTCTGCTGAACATATTGATACAATAAATTGACAAACTCTTAAATACACCTCATAATGTCCTCAATGACCTGAATTTTTGGAGCCCTGATGGTTTCTGTAGGTCAAAGTTTGCGGTAGGAGACAGGGGCCTAAGTTCGTCAAGTGCTCTGGTGAAGGGTTTTAAATGTAACCCTCAGTGCTCTGTGTACTGAGCCTGGCTTCATGTATCTAATATGGCCATTAGAAGCAGCTTTTCAGTCAGCTGTGTGTCTCCAGGTGCGCTAATTGGTTGCCATAGGCTGTGACACACACACACACGCACGCACGCACCCATTGTCAGACTGTGTGTGTGTGTGTCTCGTTAATGATTTTACCCTAAACAGCTGTGAGATCAAAGGCATTAACTGACCTACTGTTTGAATGAGAAGCTCTTCTTCACCTCGCTCTGTCAGCTAAAAACTTTTTTTGTGAAACTTGCTTATATATGTAAACTCAGTGAGTGTATAGGTCAAGGGTGCCCCCCAGTTTCCTGAATTATATTTTTTATGTTTCTAAGTTAAACAGAACTGGTGGTCCTCGCTTTTCTCATAGACCTCACAAAGCTGCAAGTACAAGAATGTGTGTGTGTGTGTGTGTGTGTGTGTGTGTTAATTAATGCATCTTAACAGGTGTCAGACATCAAAGGCATTAACTGACCTACTGTTTGAATGAGAAGCTGCCTAACTGCAGTGAATTTAGGGCCTCTGAACTTCTTCACATAGCACGATTTCCTTAAATCAGCGAGTTAAAAAAGTCTGAGCCTGAGTGATTATAAGGATTTTCTTGGAGAAAAAATACATTAGGGTTAATGGGAGAGATTTCCGCCTATTTGGACAGTTGGTCACCTGCTGGCCAAGGGGTATGATTTAATGATTTGAAACCTCTTTTGTGAGAAGCAGGACACATATACCTCCATTTTGATGTATTTTTTATGGCTGTGGAGTGACATTTGTGGGCGTGGGAGCGATATATTTGAGCGAGGTTCTGTCGATCCAAGAGGACCTCTGCACTCTAGCGATGTAATCAAACACTCTAGCCCATTATAACCCCTTATAAAGCCTGAAAATTTGCTGAAAACCATGAGGTGCCTAAAGCTAGATAGCACAAAAAAGTCCATACAACATATTTAGAGGAGAAGATTGTGAACATTTTAAAGCAAAAATGAGGTCTGTAGGTGAAAGTATGCTGAAGTTATAAGGCTGAGAAAGTGGAAGTCTAAAAGGTAGAATTTGAGGATTTTTCCTATTCATTTCAATGGGAAAAATTTTGAACAAAAAGTAAAAAACATCAAAAAGTATAAGGGGTAGAAAAGTGAAAAATACATCCGTAGTATTAGAAGTATCAGAAAGGTTCAAATCAGTTTGAATAATATTTGATTTGTTTGAAGAATTAAATAATGCATAAATATTAAAATTGAATCTAGTGTGGAAAAACAATTTGATAAAAAAAAAAATCCTGAATGCATCCCATAATGTCCTCAATGAAATGAATTTCTTAAGCCATGGATGGTTTCTGAAGCTCAAAGTTTGTGGGACGAGATAGATGACAAAGTTTGTCTAGTAAAGGGTTATAAATGTAATCCCCAGCGCTCTGTGTGCTAAGCCTGGCTTCATGTGTCTCATAAGGACGTTAGAAGCAGCTTTCCAGCCAGCTGTGTGTCTCCAGGTGCTCTAATTGGTTGCCATGGTGAAGGTAGATGCATCACTACAGCAGGAGAAAGGGGCCTTGAAGCGGAGAGAGCAATGCCCAAACAACCCCCTAATGCTCTTGCTCTGTAACTGCTATCATCATGATAATGAGCTTGTGAGAACCACAAGGCCCGGCTGAACACATTGATACAACTCCCGTGTTTGTGGAGCCAAAAATGCCTTCACTAGGACAAGTTAAAAACATGTCAAGTTTGTGTTTCCTCTCAAAATCCTCCTCTCACGTTTATATTGGAGTCAATGGAGAAAGCTGGAGAAATTTGGGGGATGTCTGTGGCAGTTGGTGTCTGCCCAGGCCACTGTGTGTGTCCTACGGCTTTGATTTTTGAGATGACGAGTGACAGCAAGTTTTGCCATCACTGTACCAAATATTATCCATGTAGAGTGAAGCGAGTTGCCACAATCCTTTTGTGAAGACAAAGTTTTGAGGATAAATTTTCAGCCTGTCTCACTCTAGCAATGAGGTCACCCACTCTAGCTGCCAACATTGCGGAGAGAGTCCCTTCACCACCACGGCTCTCCCTCTCCAACTGCTTCTTTGCCCTGAGGGATGAGGCTCCCGCTGACCCAGACGCTGCTTTGGCTTTGGCTCCAGCAGAGGTGGCCGCGGATGTCGAACACGGACCAGGCACCGCGGCCCTCCTCGACAGGGATACTGCGCCGCAGGCTGCTGGAGGAGGCCGTCTTCCGGCGCTCGGAGAGGCTCCCCCGGGCCGGCAACACCCTCACTCCACCTGCGTCCGCTTACTGCCAACAATCGCCGTCCCCTGCACAGGTGGAGCGCCCAACATCTGATGGCTGCGCGTGCACATCAGCTCCTCGTCCCCTTTTCACCCCGACCACCCTCATCATCGGAGACTCCAAAACCAGGTACATCAGATTTTTTAATGCCATAACTCACTGTTTTCCCGGCGCCACAGTACCTGTCATCCTGGTCAAATTTCTTAATCTCCCCTCCTCTATCACTAAGATTGTGCTCTATGTTGGCTGAAACGACACGTCCCTTAAGCAGTCCGAAATCACAAAGAGGGATTTTAACCTGCTTTTTAACGTTTTAAAGGACGTTTTTTTTTATCTCTGGCCCGATCCCCACTCTCGGTCGTGGAGCAGAACATTTTAGCAGGATCCTCAGCCTCCATACCTGGCTCCAATCCACATGCCCCACCCACAACTTCAGTTTTATTGACAATTTTAATCTGTTTTGGGACCGAGCATCACTTTTCAATCATGATGGGATCCAACACAACAGGCGGGATAGCCGAATGCTCTCTTACAACATCCAGTACATGATCCACTCCTCACCAGTCTGACAGTCTGCACTCAGCAGCCCCTCTTTCCACACTCAGGCCACTCCCCCTCCTCCTCACAATAACCTCTGGTCATCTCAAAACAGTCCCACAATCCCCGCTCATTCACCTGCCAACCCCCACCTTCCTCTGCCCCCCCATTAGTACTATCAGTAAATCTGTGATTCCAGTATACATCACATCCTCACGTCCTCCCCGTCCTCCTGCCAGATTTTGTCCCCCCACCAATCTCATCCACATCCCCCTGCTTCCTCGGCTACCCCGCCCTGCTTTTAACAGCAAACCTGCAAACTTTGGACTTTTAAACATCAGATCCCTCAACAACAAAACATTTTTATGCCATGATTTTATTTCACAAAACAGCCTGGACTTTTTTATTCTGACTGAAACTTGGCTGACTCCGGACAATTGTATTTCTCTTATGGAAGCCACCCCCCCTGATTTTACTCACCTCCATCAGCCCCGGCAGTCAGGCCGGGGAGGGGGGGTGGCTGTCAAATACAAGAAGGATTTTAAATGCATCCCTATCAACTTCAGCACTTTTAGTTCATTTGAGCACCTTGCTTTTATTGTTAAATTGAAAGATCTTGTTTCAATCATAATCATTTATCGACCACCCAAACGAGTTTTCAGAGTTTCTATCCCTTTTTATTTGTAAATATGACAAAATTCTTATTTTGGGTGATTTTAATGTACATGTCTGCTGTCCCTCACAACCCTTAACTGTTGATTTTATTTAAACTCTGGACTCCTTTAATCTTACCCAGGCAATACAGGAACCAACTCATGTAAAGGGACATTGCTTAGATTTGGCTTTATTTAGTGGACTTAGTCCTGGGGAGTTTTTAACTAAGGATATCTGTGTGTCAGATCACAAACTGGTTTTATTCTCCATGGTTTTATCCCAGCCTTCTTTTACTGATCACACTCCTGTTTTTAGAAGGGTTTTTAATGCATCGTCTGCTAGCAAGTTTTCAGAGCTTTTTATCCCTGCATCTTTAACTGCCCTCAACCCTGATTTTAATCCAGTTTTTAACACTGAAGAGCACGTCTCTCTTTTTAACGCTATGTGTGGAACCATCCTGGACTCTGTAGCTCCTCTGAAAAAGAAAAGATCTAACAAAGAACCCCAACCCTGGCTCACAGAGACCACCCATGAACTTTAGAGAATATGTAGAAGAAATTAATGCAAATGGAAGAAAACTGGGTTAGTGGTTTTCCTCGAAATTTGGGAGAGACTCCATGAAAAACTACCAGAAGGCAGTTAAGGATGCAAGGGCAGCATTTTACTCAAATTTGATTTTAGCTAATTATTCAAAGCCCAGAATTTTATTTAAGGTTTTAGAGTCTCTTTCCAATCCTTCCCCCTCTTATTTTACTGATGCTTCTCAAGACACCTGCGAGACGTTTTTAATTAATTTTATTAACAAGGTTATAGACATCAGGCATCATATCACCCCTCCCAGTCTCCCTGTACTCTTAAGTTGGGAAGTTAAGCACTATTTTAGTAGTTTTGGGCCGGTGTCCTTACAATTTTTATCTGATATTTTAGCCAAAATGAAAACAGCTACGTGCAGTCTTGATTCTATCCCCACCAGATTTCTCAAAGAGGTTTTTAACGTGGTTGGGCCCAGCATTTTATCCATCATTAATAGCTCTCTAGTTGAGGGAGTATTTCCCTCTGCTTTTAAACGTGCTGTGGTCCAACCCCTTTTAAAGAAGCCAAACCTTGACCCCTCTGATTTTAACAATTTTAGACCAATTTCAAAACTTCCATTTTTATCCAAACTTTTAGAGAAGGTAGTTTCTAAACAGCTTTTAGGTTTTACGTCTGAAAACAACCTCTTTGAGAAATTTCAGTCTGGTTTTAGAGCAGGTCACAGCACTGAGACTGCCCTCCTCTGTGTGACCAATGACCTTCTTTTAGCAGCAGATAGAGGGGAGGGCTCAATTTTAATTCTTTTAGATCTCAGTGCAGCTTTTGATACAGTTGATCATGCTATTTTAATTGAACATCTTAAAAACTGGGTGGGTATCAGGGGCACTGCACTTGGCTGGTTTCAGTCGTATCTTTTAGAACGAACCTTTGCGGTCACCATAGGCAATCACACCTCCTCTACTTCTGCTATCGCCTGTGGTGTACCGTAAGGTTCAGTTTTAGGTCCAATTTTATTTTCTATCTACATGCTGCCCCTCGGCCAATTAATTCAGCGTCACAAATTCTCCTTTCACTGCTATGCAGACGACACACAGATATACCTTCCTTTGAGACCTGAGGACCCAAGAGGCCTAGCTGCTGTCATGGACTGTCTACGTGACATTAACTGTTGGATGGCACAAAATTTCCTTCAGCTAAATTATTCAAAATCAGAAATAATTCTCTGTAACATACAAAACTCTCCCCCATACAGTCTTGTCTCGGTCAACATTCAGTAATCATCAAACCAACAGCCAGAAATCTGGGAGTAACCTTCGATTCAGACCTCACCTTCTCCATCCACATCAACAAGATTGTTCAATCCTGTTTCCTTCACCTTCGTTCTATTGCAAAGATTAAACAGATACTCACCCCACCAGATCTCGAAAGGATAATCCACACCTTCATTTTCTCAAGACTGGACTATTGTAACTCTCTCCCCCCTGGTTTAAACAAGAAATCGCTCTCTCGCCTCCAACTAGTTCAGAATGCAGCAGCTAGGCTTTTAACTGGTTTTAGCAGACGGCATCACATCACTCTAATTTTAGCCTCCCTTCACTGGCTTCCTGTCAGTTTTAGAATTGATTTTAAGATCTTATTGATTACTTTTAAAGCGCTTAAAGGACTTACTCCGAACTACATTTCAGAGCTTTTAATAACTTATGAGCCAACTCGCAGCCTCAGATCCTCTGGCGAAGGCCTCCTAGTCGTTCCAAAGTCGAGGCTCAAAACTAAAGGTGGTAAAGCTTTCTCCATCAGAGCTCCTCGCCTTTGGAACGACCTGCCAGAGGAGATAAGGCATGCAGAGACAGTCGCTTCTTTTAAGTCAAATTTAAAAACTCACTTTTACAGACTTGCTTTTATGTGATGCCGTCTTTTACCTTTTTTCTCCTTTTTCTTTTATCTCTTTTGCCACTATCTTATTTCGACTTGCTATCCTCTAGCTTTTGTTTTACATATAATCTTTTCTTATTTTACCTCTTAGGTCCTTAATGGATTTTAATGGTTTTTGTGTTTTTTTTTTTTATTATTATTCCATTTATATTACTATTATTATTATTTTATTATGATTGTATTATCATTATTAATATCCTCTTTTATATTTACTATCCTGTTTCCTGCTTTCTGCCCCCCTTTTCTATTTCATTTCTTCTTCTTACCTATTTTATGTTTTTATTCTGGTCCTCATGGTCCCATTTTATGTTGTAGGGTTCTTGTATTGCCTGGGTTTCTTATGAAAAATGAAGCTGGCATTCAATTCAGAGGCTTTGTTTTTAACTGAGCTTTTGTTTTTATTTTCATGTGCTGATGTTCTGTGCTTGCAACTGTTGTCAAAGCACTTTGTAAACTTCTGTTTTTAAAGGTGCTATATAAATAAAGTTATTATTATTATTATTATTATTCCATGCAATACACACTAATGTTAAAACCTGAAGAGGTCAGAAAATCTTGTGACTGTTTGAACTGTCACTGTGAGAAAAGTATGAATGCCATGAAGATGGTGAATAAATGAGTAAATGTCTGAAGGTGTGTGAATGTTTTAAAGTTTGAATGAAGTTTCTATGTGGAAGTATAGGGGAGTTGAAGGCTTTTGAAGTACTGTGAAGAAAATGTGCGAATAGGGCCAATTTGAACATTCTGTAATGCATTTCTAATGGGAGAAATCGGTCAGAAAACCGTGAATATCTCGGAAATTATGAATGTTAGGAAAATTTTGAATACACCCCTGAATGTCCTCAATGAGATGAATATTTTGAAGTTTGAATGGTTTGAATATGTTGAAGCATGTGGAAGTAGTTAAGGGCCAAAAAAAGGCGGAATAATAAAAATAAAGATATGAATAACATATAGTGGAAATGCTTCCCAATCCCACTCAATAATAAAGATATGAATAACATATAGTGGGAATGCTTCGCAATCCCACTCAATAATAATAAAAATAAAGATATGAATAACATATTGTGGGAATGCTTCACAATCCCACTCAATAAATGACTGCCAACCCCTACCTGAGAGTGCCCTGGACTGGGTGCTGTGTGCTGGGGTGGGTGCTGATTCCCAGTCGGGGTGGTTGAAGGTTGAGGATGGATGGAGCCCGAGTGGTGAGAGAATGGCTGAGCTGAGAGTGAAAGAGAGAGACAGAGAGGGAAAGACAGGCAGATTGTGACAGGAAATATTACACCGAACATATGGCACATGCTTTATATTGTACTCCACTTCTTGAGCGACAATTTCACTGTTGGAATCATTCTTTCCTGCCACACCCACTGAGCTTGGAGCAAACACCCATCCACCTGTGCTGCTGCTGACTGAAGTAATGAGCACAGGTGGACTCAATCTTTCCCCAGGACGGACTCCTAAAAGGAAGCAGAGTCCACTGCTTTATTTACCACTCCCATCCTTTTCCCTCTTTTCTGTCCAGAATGAGTTGTTGTCTGATGTCTATGTACGAAAATCAATTGTCTCAGAGGTCGCCTTCTTTAATTTGATTCATTACATTCTCTTTAAAGATGATGAGGTGATTCAGTTATTTAAGTATAATTATTTTCATGGAAAGACACAAAATTGACCAATTATGTTTTATGCTTTTTCTTAAGTGTAAAAATATAGAGAAACACCACTTGACAAGCAAAAGCACAACAATTACACAAAAAAAGTCCTTGGAATAGAGTCTGCTGTCTCTCTGACACTCATTCTTTCCACTCCAAAAGGTCTATAAGCTCCAGCTCCACCCCAGTCACCTACACACCCTCTGAAACAGATTTTTACATTTCCACCACCCAGAAATGGTGTGATTTTGTTGTTGATAACCTTGTCTGCATTTTGTGCATTTAACTAAGGAAAAAGCATATGATGATGAGACTCACAGCCAGAACCGTATAAATAGGAGGAGACTTCTGTGGTTTTAGACTGTCTTTGGAGTTGGTCTTCTGCTGTGATAGTGTCCTTACAGTGTTTGTGCTGATATGTTAATGAAATGTACCTAATGGGCAACACTTTTTGTTATGATGGACTTCTGTCATGACCATGTTAGTCTTAAATGAATTTATGGCCTTACTCTTCACAGAGGGAATCCTACAAGGCTAAATACTGTGCCCACTTGTTTATTTAATGAACATTTTAGAATAGAATAGAATAGAATAGAAAAGTCTTTATTGTCATTACACAAGGTGCAACAAAAATTCCTTTGTGCCATGCCTGAATAGCAGAAACACACATGCATTCACACATATAAATGTTATTATATGTGTGAATGAAAGTTCTTTGTACTTGGTAAGTAATACTTGAAGCAGAAATCACCACTTCATAGGTCCCACTAAGGTCCCTCAAACATTTTGCTTTGAATAACCCTCAACTTTATTCCCACTGAGGATAAAGATCTCATTTCAAACATAAAGTGATTGAATATCAGATCTTATTTCACTGACTGTTTTTTGTTGTTGTTTGTTTTTTTTTTTCTAAAGTGTGAATAATTTATTTCAGATATATTTGAAATGCTACATCAAATACTCTGGACAAGCATGCACAAATGCCTATCATCCAATGCTCATGATGTATCTTGCTAAGACGCTTCATGGTAAAAACTTTTCTCTAAAGCAGATTACAACTGAGATGAAATTCAGATTCCTGCTTAAAGAATGATCACAAGAGCATGTTCTCTTACTCCTTTGTTGGGACAACATTTCAGAACTTATGGTCTCTTGGTCTCTACAATCCAAATGCTATGTGAATATTATCTTGAGTTTCAAAGGCTTCTCCATGCTAGATTTCTGTAGATACAAAACAAAGAAAAAAGAATGTTTTTCATCTCTTTTGACTCTACCTACCATACAAAGGCTGTTGTGGCCTCGGTTGGCCCTCTGCCTGGCCAGGGTACTGGGGGCCAGGGGGGCCTATTGGCTGAGGAGGTGCCCCAGAAGTCAGCATCCTAGCACCTCCCTGCAGCATGGAGTAAACAGGCTGGAAAGAGGGAGATGGGAAAGTTTTCAAAAGTGTCAAAAAAGAAGTTAAAAAACTGAAATAAAGTACTTATTTATATATATACATATATATATATATATATGTATATATATATATATATAAAACTATACATATATATACATAGACACACACACATATAAATATATATACATATACACACACACACACACATATATATACATATACACACACACACACACATATATATATATATATATATATATATATATATATATGTATACTCAACTCAACTCAACTTTATTTGTTAAGCACTTTAAAACAACCACAGCTGAACAAAGTGCTGTACATAACTAGACAAAACAACAAGATAAAAAACAATTAAAACAATGGATAAAATAAAAGCAGAATTAAAAGTAAAATACAGTTTCAATGTTTTTAAAAACTAATTTAAAAACATAGAAACAAATAACTAAAAACAAACCATAAAACACTAAAACAGGAGCCGAGTCTCATGCAGGGTTAAAGGCCAATGAATAAAAATGGGTTTTCAGACGACTTTTAAAAATGGACAGTGTGGGGGCTTGTCTAATTTGGAGGGGTAGCTCGTTCCATAAATTTGGGGCTGCAACAGAAAAAGATCTATCCCCTCTGAGCTTCCGCTTGGACCTCGGTACCTCCAGGAGCAGCTGATCAGCTGACCTGAGGCACCGAGCTGGGGTGTAGGGGTGGAGAAGCTCAGAGAGGTAAGATGGAGCCAGACCATTTAAAGATTTAAAAACAAATAAAAGAATCTTAAAATGAACTCTAAAATGCACAGGCAACCAGTGGAGGGAGGCCAGGATGGGAGTAATGAGCTCCCTCTTACGTACTCCATTTAAGAGCCGGGCGGCTGCGTTTTGAACTAACTGGAGACGTGAGAGGGAGGACTGGCTGACTCCAAAGTGCGTTACAGTAATCCGGCCGAGATGTAACAAAGGCATGGATTACTGTTTCAAAGTGCGTACGTGACAGAAAAGGCTTTGCCTTCGCCAGCTGCCTAATATGATAAAAACTGGATTTCACTACCGAGCTAATTTGCCTGACAAATTTAAAATCACTGTCCATCTTAAAACCCAAATTTGAGACATTTGGCTTTAAATAATCTGCTAAAATACCCAAGTAGGGGTTTCACAAGGGCCACTGGGACCAAAGACGATCACTTCTGTTTTTTTCTCATTGAAATTTAAGAAATATACATATACATATATATACACATATACACATATACATATATACACATACACATATATAAATATACATACATATATACACATATACATAAATATATACATACATATATACACATATACATAAATATATACATATATAAATATATAAGTATATGTATGTAAATGTATATATGTATGTTAATGTACATATATATGTATGTATATATGTATGTATATGTATATATGTATGTATGTAAATGTATATATATATGTATCTATACATGTATATGTATATATATGTATGTATATATGTATATACATATATATGTATATACATATATGTATATGTGTATATATATATATATATATGCTTATGTTTGGAGAAAGAAGGGAGAGGTGTATAACCCCAAGAACAATGTCCCCACAGTTAAACACGGTGGTCAATGCATCATGTTGTGGGGATGTTTTGGTGCATCTGGAACTGGGAATCATTTCAAGGTTGAAGGAATAATGAAGAAAGAAGGATAAGTGAAGATTTTGAAAGAAAACCTCAAGGAGTCTGGGTCTGGGTCTGGGTCTGGGTCTGGGTCGTCGCTTTGTCTTCCAACATGACAACGACCCAAAACATGCAGCACTCCTGGGGCCTCATGTATCAACACTTGCGTGGGACTCATACCAGAAACGAGCGCACGAAAGTTCCGTCACGCTGAAAAAAATCGGTATGTATCAAGGTGTGCGGGCGCCGAAAGCCACGTGTGTTTCCTTGATAAATCCCAATCAGCTTGGAATTGAGCGCAGATGTCGGAGTGACCGGGCCCGCCCTCCTATGCATATGCAGATTTATTTAAATAGGGTCTCCCTGTCCTCACACGCAGACAAAATGACAAGAAAAACTAAATTTACGGCGTGCGAGGTGGAGGTGCTGGTGGCGGAGGTGGAGGAGTGACAGTGTGTTTTGTTTGGCAGCCTGTCCAGTGGCATCAGTGCAAAACGAAAAGCTTGGAGTGTGAGAAAGTTTGCGAGAGGGTGAACGCGGTGGGTTCCGAGACACGCACCCCCGCAGAGATTAAAAAAAAGTGGTCGGACCTCAAGGTGGAGGTAAAGCGGCGTACAGCTGCCCTCTGGAGGAGTACCGGCCAGACAGGTGGGGTTCCGGGGGAGGAGACCCTCACGCCGTTTGAGCAGCGGGTGGTGGCGATTATTATTATAGGGTAAGTGGCGTGTCACACAAATGTCCACATGCTTTGCCATCCCACTGAGCAAAAGACGTATATTAGACATCTAGTCAAAGTTTATACTTCATTTCAACGTGGGGATTCAGTCTATTTTTAGACGTGATTTATACTTCGCCCTTAACTTCATTTTTCTATAACTTTTTATGCAATAAACAACTGTAATGTGCATAACTGACCTCTAAATACTGGATTACATTACCTATGATACCGTGGAGAGAGATGTAAACGCAACAGATACACAGAAGCAGGAACTGAAATGAACCAATATTTTTATTGTGTCACAGAAATCAATGTGTCGGCCGTGTCGCCGGCTTGCGGAACCCCGGCCCGCGGCAGCCCGTCCGCCGGCTCGGAGTCATCGGCCAGGACCAGCGGCATTCGGGCCACCCCGGCCCCCGGCCCCCGGCCCCAGCACCAGAATCAGCACCAGTGCGTTGGAGCGTCCACCAGCCGCGGCGCTTCCGCTGGACCATCCGGACGCAGTGGAAGGGTCCTCACGGAGGCGGTCCTGCAATCGCAGGAAGAAATCATCAGGGGGATCGCAGGGATCAACGAGCGGCTGGACCGGCTCATAAATGTCCTCGAGCGTCGGGTGGCGAAAATAAATTAATTTGGCTCATTGAACCGTGTATTCACTTCTTACCCATTCACACTGTGGCGATGAGATTCTCCCGCGCGAGGACGGCGGCCCGGCAGGGATCAGCTCGCATCCCTCCGTCTGCTGCTGGTTTGTCATGTGGGGCGACGTGCTGCTCGGCCACGGGGATGTGGTGCACGCTTGTCACATAGTGAGTCACCAAACACCGCCACACAGCGTCGCCAAAGTGCCGTCAACGCAAGTATCGGCTCAACGCCAACTTCTACACCACCTCCTCACTTTGCGTTGATTAGCGCTGGAATTGACGCTCGTGTCGCGATGATAAATCTGGACGTGTGCGCCCATCTTGGCGGACGCAAGGTTTTCTGGCGCCGCCAGCGTTGATACATGAGGCCCCTGGTGAGGAGCTGCCTCCAGGAAACCCAAGTGAACGTTATTGACTGGCCTGCACAAAGCCCTGACTTAAAGCCCATTGAAAGTTTGTGGGCTGCACTCAAGACCAGGGTCCATGCTAGTAGACCTTAAAATCTGGAGGAGCTTGAAAGATTTGCAAAAAGAGGAATGGGCTGGGATTTCTCAGGAGATGTGCCAGAGCCTTGTTACAAACTACAGCAACCTACTGCTTGCTGTTATCCAGCAAAAAGGACCCACAATAGGAGGTTTTCACTTGAAGTCACTTCCGTGTTATGCGGCATGCGCGCAATACAGATGGAGGGCAGGAAGTGAGTTGCTGCTATAGAGTCCAGCAACATGCTGATGTTTTGCTCCGTTTACGGCTGCTCGAATCAATCGAACAGGGAAAAAAACAAAAGCTTTTATCGTGTGCCCAAAATAGTGTTACACAAAGGGGAAAGATGTAAGAAGCTGACTGAAAAAAGCCGGAAAAAATGGCTTTTTAATCGCCGCCTACGGCAGTGGTTCTCAAATCCAGTCCTCAAGCATATTACAAAGCGGAGGAAAAGAAACTAACCAGGATTCTCTCAGTAGCGAAGAGGGAAGAGCCCAGCGCCGCATCCCGTGGACGGTGTGAGGCCGGTAGCGGCCCCCGTCGCGCCAGGGTCTGGTCTTTTGGTTGTTTGGGAATGCAGCCCAAAGCGGGTGGTAAACTCCATCTAAGACTAAATACCGGCACGCATCTAAACTGGTGCATCTCCTCCATTGCAGTCGGTCGCTTCCTGCCCTCCATTTGGTCCTTGCGTGAAGTCAGGATCATGTGACTGAAAACCTCCTATTGACTATCAGCCTCAGGGGGGCTAATATTTTTAAACCTGGCAGTTTTTGGTTTTTGTGAAATAATTTTGTTTCTGTGTGAAAAGTAAAATAATGTAAGGATCCAAAATAAAACTAGGATGTTTGGAAAAGCTGTGTAAAAAAATCATTAATCTGTTTAACAGCACTTCAGAAATTTTGGAGAAAAACTGAAAATTTCAGAGGGGGGCTAATAATTTTGGCCTCATCTGTATATACATATATATATATATATATATATATATATACGTGTGTGTATGTGTATATATATATATATACACACTGTGTGCACAATTATTAGGCAAGTTGTATTTTTGAGGATACATTTTATTTTTGAACAACTACAATGCTCTCGGTCAATCCAAAATGTTAATAAACCTCAAACCTTAATATTTAAGGGAGTAAAAGTGAGATTTTGGCTTCCTTAGGAGAATATCTATGTGTGCACAATTATTGGGGGCAGCTATTAGTGTGCAGAATTATTATGCAACTAAATTAAAAATGAAAAATTTTCCATCTCACTTGTTTATTTTCACTTGTTCAAGTGAGAATGATAAAAAAACAACTCAATTTACAAATAAAATTTGTTGAAATTTAAAAAAAAAAATCAGTGACCAATGTAACTACCCTTCTTTTCAATAACAGTCATAAGTCTTCCATTCATGGAGTCTTTCAGTTTCTTGATCTGTTGACGATCAACTTTTTGTGTTGCAGCAACCAAAGCCTCCCAGACACTGTTCAGAGAGGTGTACTGTCTTCCTTCACTGTAAATTTCCCGTATAAGAAGGGCCCACAAGTTCTCAACAGGGTTTAGGTCAGGTAAAGAAGGAGGCCATGTCATCATTCTTTCGTTTTTAAGGCCTTTACTGGCAAGCCACATAGTGGAGTACTTTGTTGCAATGGAGCATTGTCCTGCATTAAAATCATGGTTTTCTTGAAAGATGCAGACTTTTGCCTGTACCACTGCTTGAAGAAAGTGTCTTCTAAAAACTGGCACTAGGTTTGGGAGTTGATTTTAAGTCCATCTTCAACTCAAAAAGGTCCAGCTAGCTCATCTTTAATAATACCAGCCCATACCAGTACCCCGCCTCCACCTTGCTGGTGTCTGATTCGAAGTGGAGCTCTGTGCCCATTACTGATCCAGCCACGGGTCCATCCATCTGGTCTGTCAAGAGTCACTCTCATCCCATCAGTCCATAAAACCTTTGAAAAATCTCTCTTCAGATATTTCTTGGCCCAGTCTTGACGTTTCAACTTGTGTCTTGTTCAGTGGTGGTTGGGTTTCAGCCTTCCTGACTTTGGCCATGTCTCTGAGCACTGATCATCTTGTACTTCTGGGCTCTCCAGGTAGGTTGCAGTTCTGGAATATGACAGCACCGGAGGATAAGCGGTTCCTGGTAGCTTTACGTTTGAGTCTTCTCAAATCTTTGGCAGTTAATTTGCGTCTTTTTTTCTTAACACATTTCTTGCGACCCTGTTGACTATTTGCATCAAAATGTTTGCTGGTTCTGTGATCACACCCAAATATCTAAGCAATTTCAAGAGTGCTGCATCCCTCTGAAAGACTTTTTACAATTTTTGACTTTTCAGAGTCATTTAAATCTCTTTTTTGGCCCATTTTACCTGAGGAAAAGAAGCTGCCTAATAATTATGCACACCTTGATATAGGGTTTTGATCTCCTTAGGCCCCAGCCTCCCTCATTACACTAATACACATTACCTGATATGCTTATATCCAATAAACATTCAAGTTTATATAGCTTGGAGTTGGAAAATATGCATAAAAATGATATGATCAAAATACTCACTTGCCTAATAATTGTGCACACAGTGTATATATATATATATATATGTGTGTGTGTAATAAAAAAAACAAAGTCCAGAGTTGGACATTGGTTAGGGTTAACCTGCTTTGATAACTGCCTGGAACATATTTTATTATTATGAACAGCTTAAGGTCTAAAACATTTTATTCTTCTCAGTTCAACACCGAAAAAGGTCACGTATGTATGTAAAACCTAATTTTAGAAAATCATGGTCTCATATCACACTGTGACACATGATGCTGAAACTTAGTGGCTCAAGGTCACAAGGGCTCTGAAGGACTATTGCTTTGCTTCCTTGGTACCTGTCCATGGTAGTGTGGAGGCATGGCCTGGATCACCTGACCGTACTGCAGGTAAGACTGGGGATAAGGCGAGGCCACCAGCGGAGGTCCTGCAGCTGAGGCTGCAGCTGAGATCATGGAGGAGGTTTGGGATGCATGATGCTCTGGACGTTGTCCCACCACAGGACCTACAACAATAAAAGAGAGTTTATATTCTTTGTTCATTCTGGGATGAATGGATCATGTGAACTGTATACTCTGCACCACCCCCTTCACCCCACCATCAACCAGCACACTGCCCAATGCATTTCCCCCCTTTTCGATCCCGCTACAGCAGGGGTGTCAAACTCAACCACAGCAAGGGCCATAATCTGGATTTAGGTCTAACCTGAGGGCCAAACAGGGTCAACATTTCACCAAAACTGTCAACCTCCTTTAAAAAAAATATGTAACAAAAACAGCTATGAAAATAAATCATTTGGAAATTCAAAAAAAGATAAAAAGATAAGTTTAAAGGCAATCTGAGATACAAAAATTTATTTTATTTTCATTTTTTTTATTCTATTTTTATTTATTAGTTTAACAGATCAGAGCATGATTTTAAAAATAGAACAATAATGCTCTTAAAGAGCAAATACATGAGGAGAACATTGAAATCAGGTTTAAAAGCTCAAAATATGACTTAAAATTTAAAATTGGAATCTAAAGTATAAAAAGAATGAAATAAAAAACCCAATCATGTTTGACTCTTAAAAAAATGCAAAATTGAAAACATGAAATAAAACACCAAATGTTTTTCCCCCCACATTTTGACTATTTATCAAATCTTCCTTACTCTTTAATTTCCCAGATTTTCGTGGCTTATTAAGAACATTTAAATAATGGTGCTAAAGTTTACATTATTATACTGTAGGAAATCTGCAGACTTCACACTGGTGGGCCAATAATAATACAAATATGATATGATCTTGTGGGCCAGATTTGGCCCCTGTACTGGGCCTTGAGTTTGACACCTGTGCTCTACAGCTTGTTGTGCAGGACATTATTTTACTATGCAATGTACTTTATAGAATATTCATTATTTAATGTGCAATATACACCATTTTACTCTAATGCAAGTTTGACAATGTATGGATGCCTTTATGTTGTGGCTTCAAAGTGAAAAACTTGTTGTTGGGTGGGTTTCAATTTCATTTATAATCAGCAGCTCCTCTTTGAAATGTACAAAGAACACAGAGAAAAACATCATAAGATCATTGTAAAAGTAAATCAAACAAACCTTTTGGTCTGGGGTATTTGCCCTGGTTGACAGTGGACATGGTGTACTGATACATCTGAGGACTCTAAGGCGAACACAAGGAAATGTGAAGATTACAGCAGAGAAGAATCTACACAGATAGACTAGGGACGGAATCAGACCTGGATAGAATGTCCTTGAATGTGGAGGGGGGAGACGTAAGACAGGTAGTGTCCATGGGGGCTACTGTAGATGGCACCACCTCCTGGCTGTCCTGGTGAAGGGAGAACCAAGGAGGGGCTGGGGGGAGTTGGTCGAGGAGGGGTGGGAGTCAATGCCGGCTTCTGTCACAGCACAGAGAAACAGATACTGTCAGGATTTAAGCAATCAAACGGAAATTCAAAGAGACGGTTTCTTCACCCCAATAAAACATTATGAAGTGTGACCATTTTCAAAACCTACCAGGGTGGAGTTTCCTTTAATGGGTAGAAATTCTTTTGCATTTGGATTCAATGTGGAGTTTTTCACTTGCCTGAAAAAAACAGGGACATTTGAAGGCCTAATGAGAGCAGATAAAAACTATGATCCTCATCAAACATAGGGAATGAAAGACAATTCAAAGGTCTGTATTTGACAGTGTCTGCAAGAAACTTAACTAATATTCACTGATTGTTCCTCTTTACACAACAAAACATCTTTTCATCTGACCACCAATGCAAGATCCTAGAAGGGGGTCGCTGACACTGTGCATGCTTCTTCCATATTCACTTACGCTGCAGCTGCAGACCCGGCCTCTGACTGCTCACTGCACTCTGGAGAGGCCGCCTCCTCTCTGTTTGGGGCCAGAGCTAACTGTGTCATTCCCGAGTCTAGAGCATTTGGCCCCGATGACTGTAGGCTGACAGGAGCTGTGGAGGTGGTGCTGGTGGGAGGAGCTGCACTAGTTGTCTGCTGCAGATCTTGAGCAGAAAAGGTAAGGGGGTTGAGAGGTTTAGGTGTCGCAGGTGTGGAGGACGAGGAGGCATCAGTGAGTGATGAGGAACTGTGCTGAGGGGGATCTGTAGAGGCTGGGCTCGCTGAAGGAGAGGAGCTGGGCTGCAGCTGAGAGACAGACAGGAAGACAGTGACAACATGTAACCTTTACAAACATGAGTTCAAATTTCTAGGAACAACTTCATTTAAATCTCACAATCAAACCTTTGAATGTAATTCAAACTTTATTTGTTGGGAACAAATAAGGTTGGGAGCCTTATTTGTTGGGAACTAAAAAAATAGCATCATGACGCCTCTGTGAACCTTTTATGGCATTTTTTTGAGTTATTTACGACCCTTATGCAATATTTTTTTCATGTTGATGAGGTTCCTGTCTCTCAGCTCAACATTTTCCTTACCCTAAACTCTTTGCCAAACTTGCGCAGCTCATCCAGCTGAGATCTCTGCTGGAATGATGGAGCTAAGAAAAAAGAGAGAGGAAGATTATAGGGAATTAGGCATTTTAAAGGTTGGCATAATCACTGCTGTGTATGAATGAAATCCTCCTGAATCCAGTATTCATTCACATCCAGTACCACATGGATTAATGTAAACCTCCTAAAGCCTGTTACCTTTATTGCTCTTGCCCTCCTGTGAGCTGGCAAGACTTTCAGTTCGTTCTTTGGCTGCTGTGCTGAGGATTTCATTCACTGTTGAGGACAGAGACATAAGAGAACACCAGCATACCAAGACAGCACTGAAATGTGAAACTAATGAGCGTTGTGGGAAAATATTTCAACTGAAATAATTCAACATTATCTTGGTTGGAAAAGTGCATAAGACTTCATTCTGGTTGCTCTAATTTCGAGGTTCTATTTCATCCCTTCTGACCGCCAGAGGCGGTGCTTTAAGCACTGAATGATTCCCTTCGCGCATGCGCAGTTCGAGCATTTGTACCAAAATAGTCACGCGTGACCCCGGGATGAACCGGCAGAGGTTATTTATTCCGCCGGTCACCGAGGGTTCAGTCCCTTTTTCTTTCTCGCGCGCAGGTCACAAACTTGCGATGAGAGGCATTTTTCTAAAAAAACCTACCTTTAATCCGTGTGTGAAGTCGCTGGTAGTCCCGTGGCCGTAGGTCAGGGAAGTGAAAATCGCCCTCCAGGGACTGTGACTTCCTTTGAGTTGTTTCCTTATTTCTGCTGTTTATCTCCGACTGAGCGGAGCTTCACTAACTTCGTCGAATGCTGTGGCGTTCGCCCGGTAAGGAAGGGTCGTCGTCCCCCTCTCCTCCGAACAAGGTAGGTTGCTGTTGCATTAAGCTTGTTTAGCAGACTTGCATTGTTTTACAAGTCACAACCTATGCTGGTAGAGGCCGTGTACGCACCGTTTCCCCCCTGCATATGGTTGAGTACTGTGAATGTAAGCATAACGCTTCAGTTACTTGCTGTAGCTAAAACTCTGCTCGTTTCGTTCTTTTTGTTAAAAGAAAAAACCAAGGCCAAAGCTAGTTCTAAAAGAAGAAAGCCGGTACGTGGTGTTGCCATCCGGCCGCAGCCGACGCTATCGTTGTTGTAGTTGGCCTCAGTGGTGTAAGCGGTTAGAACGCTGCCCCACTCTCCTTTGCTGTACTAAATCACCATTGTGTTGTATAGCTGTCTTTTGTTTTTTCAGTGACTATTGGTCCACTAGCGCTGGGCACCAGAAGTGCCCTTTTGAATAGCTTCGTATTTGTTTGGTGTCATTATTATAACCAGTTGCGTTAGCGCCCTGGTCACTTTAAGTGCTCTTGTGTTGGATAGCATTATTTTTTTTTTCTGGCACTGACCATTATAACCAGTTGCGTTAGCGCCCTGGTCACTTTGAGTGCTCTTTTGCTGAATAGCATTATTTTGTTGGCATTGACCATTAAAGCCAGTCGTGTTAGCGTCCTGGTCACTTTAAGTGCTCTTCTGTTTGCTGAATAGCCTTATTTATTTACTTATTTATTTGCTTATTTGGTTATTTATTTGGTTGACTTTATTACTGTCAGCTTAATTGCAACTCCGTACTGGTATAGGCAGCGTATAGGCGCTCCCTCCCCCCAGTATAAGCAACCTTCAATCCAGCTAAAGCTAGCCTCCGCTGGCGCAGGTAGCGTTCGCGCTCCCTCCAGCCAGACGACGGACATGACCTCTGCCCAGCCTGCCTTGGACCCGAACACCTCAGGGAGGCACTTGAGGGGGACCTCTGCATGAACTGCAGCTGCACGCCTGCTGGAGAGACTCCAAGGCTTGCTCCCGCCTCTCGGCAGATGGTCGTACCCTGGCGGCAATGCACGACACTGCAGGGGTCGGCCTAGATCACATGCCGGCCATCGAGCCCAGCATCGCGTCCCTTATTGTCTCCCCCAACGAGGCTCTGCGACGGGATACTAGGTGTCCCCGTCCACAGTGCAGGCTGACAGACAACCTGCTCATCAGGGGCTACGATGCGGCAGCACGTGCTGCTAGGATCGGGAACTCCCTGTCACACCTCCTGCTTGCCCTGTCAGCGTCTCTGGAGGAGGGCTACACTAACGAGGAACCTGGCACCTTCTGTGATGCGGCACTAGAGGCATTCGGCCTTATTCCGCGAGAACTTGGAAGGACAATGTCCTACCTGGTACAGGCTCAGCGCCAGGTCTGGCTCTCCCAGTCGGGCTTGACTGAGGCGTCCAGGAAAACCTGTCGAGCCAGGAGCGGTTTTTGGCCCAAGGGCTCAAGAGGCGCTGGAGCAGACGATCCAGGCTGGGCAGACCAGGCAGCAGTTGCTGAGTTTGCGCCGCATGCCACCCCCCAGCAGGCCTCCCTCTGGCAGGGGCAGGGGCCCCCCAGCTGCCTCTGGAGTCCGGCTGCCAGTAGCTCAGAGTAGGGGTCAGTGTCCTCAGCGGCCTACGCAGAGGCAGACCCGGGACTCTCGGGACTCCGGCCGCCTGCCTTCTAGGCAGTTTCGAGCCCCGGACCCTGGTGGACACCCCGCTTCCAGGGCCCCTAGGGGCCGGGGGGGCAGACACTGCCCGGGGGGCCGGCCGTCGGATACTTTACACAGCAGCAGCTCAGACGCTGGGCTGCTCAAGCTTCAGACCTGTGGGTTCTTACCACCTTAACCCACGGGTACAAGTTGCAGTTCCGACGCCTGCCCCCCACAGCCAGCCGGGTCAGGATTACCATCATTGCCGACCCGGCAAAAGCCCTCGCTCTCGACCAGGAGCTATCCACCCTCCTGGCCAAGGGTACCATTGAGGCAGTGGACCCGCTGCTGCATCCCAGGGGGTTCTACTCTACATACTTCCTCGTCACCAAAAAGACTGGCGGATTCCGGCCCATCCTGGACTTGAGGGGACTGAACAGGTACTTAAAGACCTTGCCTTTTCATATGCTGACTACAGCGGGTGTGCTACAGTCCATTGTCCGCAACGAGTGGTTCACATCTGTCGACCTGAAAGACGCCTACTTTCATGTTCCCATTGCGAGGCAATACCACCGGTTCCTGCTATTTGCCTACAGAGGCCGCCACTGGCAATTCCGTGTGCTCCCATTCGGGCTCTCCCTCTCCCCGGGAGTGTTCAGCAGGGTAGTGGCAGCTGCACTCCAACCTCTGCAGTCCCAGGGCACCAAGATGCTGCCATATCTGGACGATTGGCTGATCTGCGCCCCGTCCCAGGCGCAGGCAGCCAGGGAGACATCACACCTCCTGTCCCATGTGGCCAGCCTTGGACTCAAGGTAAATGCAGAGAAAAGCTGCCTGGTACCGTCCCAGAGCGTAACCTTTATCGGTCTGGCCCTAGACACCAGAACGATGGTGGCACGTCCGTCCACCAGTCGGGTGGACAGCATCTTAAGGCTGTTGCCAGCCTTCAAGAGAGGCAGGTGACTGCCCCTCCTCACCTTCCTCCGCCTCTTGGGCACGCTGACAGTTTCCACCTAGACCCAGAGCGACACAGGCACTGGAAGATTGTCGTGTCACAGCAGTGCCTCCTTGCCCTAGCCACATGGAGGGACAGGGCCTACATTGTAAGGGGTGTCCCTATGGGGGCCGTCCCATCCCGCAGGGAGACCGTTGCCACGGACGCCTGCCCCTTGGGCTGGGGCGCAGTGTGGCAGGGCAGGACAGTTCGGGGACAGTGGTCTGTGGCAGACCACAGCAACCACATCAATGTGCTGGACTTAAAAGCGGTGCACTTGGCCCTAAGGCACTTTCTGCCTTACTTGGCAGGCAAACATGTTCTTGTTCGGTTGGACAATACTTCGACCGTTTATCACATAAACCATCAGGGCGGTACAAAATCTGCACGGCTGCTACAGGCGTCAAGGGACCTCCTGACGTGGGCAGCCCCTCGCCTGATGAGCCTGTGGGCCATGCATATACCAGGAGAGCAGAACCAGGTGGCAGACCTTCTCTCCCGCCAGAAGCCTCCATCAGGAGAATGGCGCCTTCACCCAGACGTGGTGCACACCATATGGAGCCGCTTCGGCAGGGCAGGGGTCGATCTTTTCGCCTCAGAGGCGTCAACCCACTGCCTGCTCTGGTTCTCCTTAGCGGAGACAACCAGCCCTCTGGGCCAAGATGCGTTCTCCCACCCCTGGCCGAGGGCACTTCTCTACGCTTTCCCACCTCTCCCTCTAATTCACCAGGTCCTTCAGAGAGTAGCTCCAGAGGGCCACACCGTTCTCCTGGTGGCCCCTTTCTGGCCAGGGCGAATATGGTTCCCCCTCCTCCACCAACACTGTCACGGGATGCCATGGCGCCTCCCTGCCAGGACGGACCTGCTCTCGCAGCTAGGGGGGCGGTTATGGCATCCAGACCCACAACACCTCCAGCTGTGCGTTTGGCTGTTGGGGGCCGCTGCTGAGCGGCTGTGTAGAGACGGTTCAACATACCATCTTAAACGCGAGGGCACCATCCACCAGGCTGCAGTACGAGAACAGGTGGCAGCTGTTCTCTAACTGGTGTAGGGACCAGGGCAGGGACCCAGTTCACTGCCCGGTGCCCGCAATCCTGGAGTTCCTGCAAGGTCTCCTCGATAAGGGCTGGACCCCTTCGACGTTAAGAGTGTACGTGGCAGCAATATCCTCCCAGCACACTGGGGTCAATAACTGCACAGTGGGGAGCCACCGTCTGGTGTCGCTCTTTCTCAGGGGGGCTCAGAGATTAAATCCTCCGAGAGCCCCAAGAGCACCAGCATGGGACCTCAATCTCGTACTGGACTCCCTATGCAAGGCTCCTTTTGAACCCTTGTCACGCACAGAATTGAAGTGGTTGTCCTGCAAGACAGCCTTTCTTATAGCCATCACCTTGGCAAAGCGCGTCGGTGAGTTGCATGCCCTGTCAGTGAGCGATTCGTGTCTGAGGTGGAACCCAGACGGATCAGGTGTCACTCTATGGCCCAACACGGCCTTCATACCAAAGGTACTGTCGACGGCACACCTGAACCAGCCTATTAGGCTGGCCCAGTTTAGCCCTCCACCGGGAGAGAGGACAGACAAGCTGGAGCTGTTGTGCCCGGTGCGGGCCCTCAGGGCCTATATCGGAGCCACTGCACGTATTCGCCGGTCGGATCAGCTATTCGTGTGTTATGGTGGCCCAAATAAAGGCAGCGCTCTTTCAAAGCAGCGCCTGTCCCACTGGGTCGTAGACACGATCAGCCACGCCTATCAGGCTAGTAACCATCCCACGCCATCCAGGATACGGTGCCACTCAACGAGGAGTGTCTCCACTTCATGGGCTGCCCTTAGGGGAGTTCCCCTCGAGGAGATCTGCTCCGCTGCCTCGTGGGCGTCATCAGGTACGTTCTCAAGATTCTATAGGGTGAACGTGGCCACTCCCCACCCATTGGGTGTGGTTCTCCTTCCAGAGTCCTCCGATTCCGCCCTCTGAGGTTTGTAATTGGGGTTCCTCGTGACTTTGCTGGTATAAGTCATTCAGTGCTTAAAGCACCGCCTCTGGCGGTCAGAAGGGATGAAATAGAACTAAAGTTACGTATGTAACTAAGGTTCTATGAATCCCGAATGACCACCAGAGCACTCCGTCACTCAGAACCCTCGTGTTCTCGCGAGAAAGTTCTGTAGGGACTGAACCCTCGGTGACCGGCGGAATAAATAACCTCTGCCGGTTCAACCCGGGGTCACGCGTGACTATTTTGGTACAAATGCTCGAACTGCGCATGCGCGAAGGGAATCATTCAGTGCTTAAAGCACCGCCTCTGGTGGTCATTCGGGATTCATAGATTGTCAATTCAATTGTCTGTTGTCTCACATAATGTGTCTCTAAATGTTATCTACTATTTACTCAAGAGTTACATTGTCTGATGGCTGTTGGTACAAAAGATCTTCTGAGTCTTTCTGTCCTGCAGCGAAGAGAGCGGAGCCGTCCACCACCATTGGCCCTTTGGTCATAGACTTCACCTTCCTCAGTGCAGATCTCTCCACCACATCCTCCACCACTGAGTCCAGCTTGAGTCCTACCACAGAGCCAGCCTTTCTCACCAGTTTGTTCAGATGTCTTGCATCTTTGTATTTGATACTTCCTTCCCAGCAGACTTCAGCGTCGAACAGAACACTGTAGACATCACAGACTGATAAACATCGGCAGCATCTTACTACAGATGTCTATTGATCGGACTCTTCTCAGGCAAAAGAGGCAGCTCTGCCCCTTTCTGTAGATGAAGTCTATAATCTTAGACGACTCCAATTTATTATCCAGATGTATACCTAGGCATTTATATGATGTCACCACTGTGATGTGCACTCCACAGGTGTTCACTGACTGAAGAGTTGGTTTGGATCTACAGAAGTCTATGACCATCTTCTTTGTCTTTGAGGTGTTGAGGAGGAGGCAGTTTTTGTGACTCCAGTCACTGAAGGCTCTTATTAGATCTCTGTATTCAGCTTCTTGTTCATTTCTGATACGTGCCACAACAGCAGTGTCATCTGAGTATATCTGGATGTGGCAGGACTCAGTGCTGTATTTGAAGTCTGACGTATACAGTGTAAACAGGAATGGCGCCAGCACTGTCCCTTGTGGAGTCCCTGTACTGCTCATTAATGTCACACATTAATGAGCAGTTCCCCAGCCTGACAAACTGTGGCCTTCCTGTCAGGTAATCTGTGATTCAGGAAACACAGGAAGGATCCACTCCCATCTCTGTGAGCTCGTCTTTGAGGATGGTGGGTTGGATGGTGTTGAATACTAGCCTGGCTGGGCCATCCTGTTGCGTGAATCATTTGCCATTCTTTCCCACAACAGTCTGGACTTCAGCCCATTGGGAGCGTGTATTAGCGATCAGAAAATAACCAGGCCAATTAGTGACTGTGTTTCCACTGTTCCCCGGACAACAGGGAAAGGCAGCCCCTGATTGGTCCATGTGTAGATGGTGACGTCTAACACATGCTGCGGGACTTTTCAAAGCGCCGTTTATTCAGAACGCCATTAATTCTGCAGTTGACTTTGCAAAGTCGGCAGAAATCGTTTATATCCGACGTCTTCTGCAGATCTAAACGATTTCTGCCGACTTTGCAAAGTCAACTGCAGAATTAACGGCGTTCTAAATGAATGGGGCTTTGAAAAGTCCCGCAGCATGTGTTAGACGTCACTGTCTCCACATGGACCAATCAGGGGCTGCCTTTCCCTGTTGTCTGGGGAACAGTGGAAACACCGTCACTGATTGGCCCGATTATTTTCTGATCGCTAATACACGCTCCCAATGGGCCGAAATCCAGACTGTTGTGGAAAGGAACGGCAAGTGATTCATGCAACAGGATGGCCCAGCCAGGCTAGTTGAATGCACTTGAAAAGTCGAAAAACATGATCCTCACATAAACCCCAGGCTCCTCCAGATGAGACAGGGCACAGTGAAGCATGTAGAGGACAGCATCATCGATTCCTCATCCACTCCAATGTGTTCTTTGTATGCAAACTGCAAGGAATCCAGTTTGTTTTGGACCTCAGACCTCAGAAGGCATAGAATCAGCCACTCAAGGGTTTTCGTGATGTGAATTGAGGGCCACTGTTCTGTAGTCATTGAGTTCAGCAGGACATTTGTTTTTGGCACTGGCACAATGCAGGATGTTTTCCACAGAGTAGGTACCTGCCCCAGCTGTAGACTCAGGTTGAAGATCCTGTGGAGAGGATGACACAGTTCTGCAGCACAGTCTCTAAGCAGCCTTGAACACACACTATCTGGACCAGTTGCATTCCCAGCACAAAGTCTTCCAAGCTCCATCCTCCCCTGTTTCAGTGACAGACAAGGACTGATGGTCTAGGAGGGAGGTAGTTGAGGTGGTTGAGACATTTGAACGAGATGGAGGAGGAACGGGAGAAGTTGTAGTGGAGATTTGTTGCGGAGAGGAAGGGGTAGAGTAGCAGTTGAAGTGGGTGTGGCAGCAGTGTCAAATCTGTTGAAGAACAGGTTGAGTTCATCAGCGCTTTCCAGATCACCCACCACTGGCTGTCCTTTCTTATATTGCTGTGTCCAGAGATGGTACTGATTCCTCTCCACACTTCACAGATGTTGCTGTGTTGTAGATTCTTCTCTATCTTCTTTTTGTACTTCAGCTTTGCCATCTTCAGTTTCCTCTTCAACTCTTGTTGCACTTGTTTGAGTTGTTCTTTGTCACCATCTTTAAAAGCTTTCTTTTTCTGGTTATTGTTTATGCCCTTATCTCAGGTTTATCATCCCTAATGCTATCATTGATATGCTTTTATTGATTTTAGTTTACATATGTTACATAACATCATATATTTTATGTAATTGACACTTCAGACCTAAAACGTCAAACTGAATGTCTCACCATCAACAGGGAAAAGTGGGGTGGGGCCGGAGGGTTTGGTGGTGGTGGTAGTGGTGGTTACAGTGGAAAGAGAGGAGTCCAAGAAGGCAGGGCCAGCCAGGTGGAGGTCCTGGGGAGCGGCTTCTGATATTGGAGCACGAGAAACTAGAGGCATGTTAGATGGAGTATCAGAGGCAGAATTTGATGGATGAGTATGAGGAAGAAGTGAAGATTTAGATAAAAATGTATTGGATCCTTAGCTTGTGTAAAAAAAAATTCTACGTCCTGATCCAGCTGCTGTCTCTTCAGCAGTGCCGGTGTGTTTTTGTTAGACCTACCTGCAGGTGAGGATTGGGAGTTTGGAGTCCGCAGGGTTCTGGAGTTCTGCAGTCTCTGAGATTTGGGTGATGTTCTAGAAGTAACTGAGTGGAAAAAGGCAAGCAGTTAGAGTCCACATACACTGAAAGAGCCAGCACTATTCTACTCAAGATTGATAACATAGAAAAAGAGGATCTCCACAAGGTACACAGAGAGGTCTTTTTCTATGCTTTCTGATCCAGATGATCAGAAAGATTTGGATCACCTTGTGAGCACTGGGGTTATCATCATCTCACTTTAATTTACTTAGTGCTTTGTGTGATATAAACATGTCTTGTCGCAGCAGATACTAGTATCAGCAGTTAAGCTCTTAATGTAGCATCAAGACAACCCTGCGTGTGAAACTCACACATTCCTCACAGGTAAGGTTCCTTATCTGGTCCCAGGACACAGGATCATATAAATCTTTCCAGACTTGTCTGCACTTTCAGGTTACCCAACTGACCCAACAAGAGGTTGACCTAAACCTCTGGCTCGGAGAACACACTCCATCACTGACCATCTAGATAAACATTAATGCGTCAATCCAGGTCTCCTATTTGAGATTTACTGTTTTAAAGTGTGTGAACACACGGAATCCAATGAAAGGTCTGAGGAGCAGGACACTGACCTCCAGACCTGTCATAAAACCCTGCTTGACCATGTACTGATAAAACTGCATTCCTTTGGAGAAAGAATCCAAATGACATTTGACATTTTATGCATTCAGCAATGTACTAATCTGTCTAATCATGAAATTTGTGTTAAAATGAGATGTATCCCATTTTTCTATGTGCTCCAGAAGCCAAGTAATCACTCTGACAGAATAAACCCTTTATTCTGTAGTTTCTTTAGACCAACAGCTTTCAGACTGTTTCATAAACTTTTAAGAGTTAAATTTATTGACTATGAATCATAACTTTACTCTAAGTAACAGAAACGGTTTAGAATTGTTTGGTTTATATTTTAATCATTTATTTAGTGTTTTAACCATTAGGTGGTTATGATGTCATTGAATAATCTGAATCTGAGTATTTGGAATCCATTATTCATCATGATGAAGTTCATTTACATGTGTTTACTCTTTTGTTGTTCACAGTTTCTATGGGTTAGCATCTGTTTTACTTCAGTCATTTAGCATGTTCAATGTGATACTTACAACATAATCAAAATGTTTGATGTGATTCTACATTTCTTTATATGTGTTTAGTATCAAATTATTTATCATGAAACCAAGCATTCAGTGATATTAATCATAGTGAGTGAGTATCAGATCTGACTCTTTTACCAGCCAAAAGTATAAATTAGATCAAATAATCAGGGTCCTTTAAGTCTCCTCTCCCAGAGCTGCACCAATGACCCCTTTTCTCTCTTCTCCCACACACAGATCCCCAGAGACACTCCCAGTTTGGAGGAGATAAAACTGGTAAAGTTGGGGTGCTCAGTCTTTTGTATTCCAGGTTTTCTCTTAGCCCTTTTCTTTTGTTCCCTCTTAGCTTGTTTTCTCTTAGCTCTTACTCTTACAACTTAGTCTTACTTTTTCCTCATCCTCTTGTAAGTTTTATGCCACGTGTTCATTCACGTTGTTTTATTTTTCTTAAACACTGCTCAGTTCAAGTTTTGAAACTTCTTTTTTGTGCATATAGCAATCCAAGATTAAAGTCTTTAACAGATTTTTATTTAATATTGCAAAATCATTTTTAAAATAGTTTTGACTGGCCATCGAGCTTCTTTTTTTAAATTATCTGCGTGATTTTAAAGTCACCGCTGTACGCCACCCAGCAGGCCCAAAGTCATCCTCTGTGCCAGAGTTTTGAGTGAGACTAGAGGAGCATCCAAAAGATCCATAAGGCACTGGTTTTTGCATTCAGGCCTGTATTCTGTGACTCCTGGCCCATCCTTCGTCTGACTTGGGTCCTGTTCTGAACTGAACCTCTGCTCCATCTTCTCCAGGGACCAGTCTCACTTAAGTATGCAAACCTCCAGAGCTCCAAACAAGGCTGATGCCGTCTCATGCGTTCATGATTCAAATATTCACTAATTCGAGTAATCCTTAATTCATCCAAATCCACACCCAAATTTATCTCTACACCAAAGTTTATGTAGGTTAATATATTTGAGCATATTCACTCACTGTCATTAACTTTAATAATCCTAGCCTGACTCAGAATCTTTAATTCCTCTACCACTATTTATCCTCATTATCTTATTATCATTTATTGCATGTATGTTGTACCATCATTTATCCTGTAATAAACATATCATTATTTTTCTGAGTTCTTGTCTGTCAGTGTTTTTCCAGAAGTAGAGTCCCTCAAATGACTACTGCAGCTTCAGATATGAGATTGATATAATCTAAGGTTGACTTAAAGGTCCCATGGCATGCCAATTTCACACAACTTAAAATAGTCCCCTGGTGTGTTAAAAGCATGTCTGTGACATCCTTCAGTCAAAATTCGATTTGGATCAATTATTTTAGTGCTCTTTTTATCAGCTAAAAACAGCTCTGCTCAAAATCCTCCGTTTTGGGTCACGCTCTTTAATGAAATGAGCTGCACCTAAGCCACGTCCACTTTACACCCATCTCTCTGGAAGGGGCTGTGGCTGTGCTCAGATAGCCATGTGCTAATGTTTACACTGGCTCGGTCATGGCTGCAAGAAGATCGCTCGTACAACCCTACCAGTTTGAGCCAGAGTCTGACCCAGAGGGAGAGGCTCCGGAAGAAACTCTTAGCCGCGTTCAGACCAAACGCGACTTGAAGCGACCTAGTCGACACATCCTATGTATTATTCAAAGCCGCCAGGAGGGTCACGCTTAAGGAGGAAGATATGACTGTAGAAAAAATTACAACCAGAGCTCTGCTACAATGTAAGATTTTGGTGCTCTAAAACTTCTCTGAAGCCTTTGCTAATTAATAGGATGGCCGACCGTCCAGCATTAGCCGGGACGTCCCGTATTTGAGCCAAAAGAGGTGCGTCGCCGCACGGGCAAATGCTAAAGCTACATGCTGCTCCAGAGGGGGATTTTGTCCCCCGCCGGCGGAGTTGTTGGGGAAGAAGTGAGCAGCTAAAATACAGGAGGATCCGGTAAACCGGTGCGGATCCGGTGTGTTTATCAAAGCGTGGTGGCCGTGCTGAGGCACCGGGGGGAATTTAGGCTAAACAGTAAGTCAAAATAAAACGTTCACACTTACAGACGCCACGTTTGTAGTAGGATCACAGATAGTTGGTACGGATCCATTCTTTATCTTCAGACATCTAGCAAATCCAGCGTTGAACTGCCCCTCGTTGATAAAACAGTCCGAAGTGAAATGGTGCGCACATACGTTCAGATATTTTGGAAGTGCCGCGGGCACATTCCCATTATAAATAAAATCCACCCATTGAGTCCTCAAATCCTCCGATGAGGGAGTTTTCAAAAGAGTTTTGTGCTTGTTTGTTTTGGCCAGCCAACAACAGAGCAAACGCTGCCTCTTTTTTCAGATCATACTTTCGCCATGGTTCTAACCGGAGCAATGTGAGTGAGCGGCCGGGAATAATGGGGCTGTTTTGATAATTTTTTGGGCAGGAAAGTGGGCGGCTCCATGGGCAGTACCATCAACCCGCCAGCACTGACATGACGTCATGTCAGTGGAGTTTTCAGAACGGCCGGCTCTGAGCACACAGTTCCTGAATACGGAGATAACTAAAAAAACGACTGGATGGAATTTTTTCGAACTTGGGGGGATTGTAGCGGTTTTCTATCCCTGATATGCACCCCGCTCCCGTTAACAAAGTCAGTTTTTCATGCCATGGCCCCTTTAATGTTTGATTTCTGAATTAAACCTTTTGTTTTTCTTTAATTTCACACCATTAAGGGTGGGTGGTGCCCCTTTCAACAAGTGCATATATGTCATCATTTATGATTATTATCAATTATTAATCTTGAGACATTTATTATAAAGTCAAACCGCTACATGAAGTACCTCCATTTACAGGTAAGCGCGTCGTCTCAGCCAGCGCCTGAGGATGAGACAGCGAATGTGGCAGGACATGATTAGTGCAGGGTGGGCTGCTGGCTGCCGGAGGGCTGCTCTGCGATTGGTGAGGAGAGTAGGCAGTTCTGACAGACAGCGGGCTGCTTGTTTCGGAGGGCGGTTTGGGGGAAGATGAGCTGGATGGCTGATGCCTAGAGGAGGTTGGCGCAGTAGTGCGGCCAGAGCCTCCGCTTCTCACGCCGCTGCCTGATAGGCTGATCTCTCGAGCCCGCTGGGGGAGAGGAATATATTTACCTTCCCTGGAAATCAAAATCAAGGAAAAAAAGTGTTAGGAGGAGCACTGGGAAGACATTTAGTTAAAGTCCTGTTCTCAGTAAGAAAGGAATACCTTTAGCTGAGCAAAGCAGAAGAGAAACACTACGAAATCTGGAGGAACATTAAATCTTTCTCCTAAAACATTTTAAAAGTTCACTGTAATTTATAATAACATCTTCATCATTTAGGGAGCAATAACACTTAAGATCATTTTAATACGAGGACTTTTTGCTGTTATCCCTGAAAAACCTACTTGAAACGCCTAGTGCTCCCAGCACAGGCCCCAAAATCACTATCCTGACTCCTCTCTCTGTTGTTTCAAAATGGTGGAATGACCTAACTCGGTGCAATCCGCAGAGTCTCTCTCAACTTCCAAAGGAAAGCTAAAGACCAAGCTTTTCTTGAAGACTTAAAAACAGGCAACTGGACTGTGTAGAGTTGAGAAGACGTTTCGCCTCTTATCTGAGAAGCTTCTTCAGTTCTAATTATTGCTAGTGTGAGGAGCCCCCAAGTCGTTAACCTGACCACATGACCCATGCCACCTGGGTCCTGTGGTCCCAGGTGTGAATGTTTGTGGAGCTTCCTGGGGAGAAAGCTGAGAACTGCATTGTAAGTGCCAGAGAGGTTGTGCCTGAGTCCACCCCCTCTGTCCAGAGAAGGTTTCTCCAGTCTGGTAAAGATGGCTTCTTTAACTCCTCTTTCAAACCATCTGTCTTCTCTAGCCAACACCTGTACATTGCTGTCCTCGAAAGAGTGACCCGTGTCCTTTAAGTGAAGGTGGACAGCTGAGTCCTGACCTGAGGAAGTGGCTCTCCTGTGTTGAGCCATGCGCTTGTGAAGCGGTTGTTTAGTTTCCCCAATGTACAGGTCCAAGCATTCCTCGCTGGACGGCATACACCACATTACTCTGTTTATGTCTTGGTGTTTTGTCCTTGGGATGGACTAGCTTCTGCCTTAGTGTGTTACCAGGCTTGAAATGAACAGGAATATGGTGTTTGCCAAAGATCCTCTTGAGTTTTTTCGACAGGCCCGCAACGTAAGGAATTACAGTGCTCTTGCGTCTCTCCTCCCTTTCGTGTTCAGTGTTATTTCTCTTTCTGTTCTTCACAAAGGCCCACTTAGGGTATCCACAGGTTGTCAGGGCATTTTTGATGTGCTTCTGTTCCTTTTCCTTACCTTCTTTCTTCATGGGAATGTTCTCAGCCCGGTGGTTGAGTGTTCTGATAACACGCAGCTTGTGCTGCAGAGGATGGTGGGAATCAAAAAGTAGATATTGATCCGTGTGTGTGGGTTTCCTGTACACTTCAACGTTGAGACATCCATCTGCCTCCAAGTGAACAGCACAGTCCAAAAAGGCCAACACATCGTCTTTGACATCTTCACGGGTGACCTTGATGTTGCTGTCCACTGTGTTGATATGGTCAGTGAAGGCCTCTACTTCATGTGTTTTGATCTTAACCCAGGTGTCATCCACATTTCTGAACCAGTGGCTAGGTGCTGCTCCTTTGAAGGAGGTTAGGGCCTTCCTCTATACCTCTTCCATGTACAGGTTTGCCACTATTGGAGAAACCGGGGAGCCCATAGCGCATCCATGTTTCTGTCTGTAATGGCGCTCTCTGAACTGGAAACAGGTGGTGCTGAGGCAGATGTCTAATAAGGAGCAGATGTGGTCGGGGGTTAAGTTGGTTCTGACTTCCAGTGTGTTGTCCTGAATACTCGTGAAAAGTGATGTGACATCATAGGAAACCATGGTTTCGTCTGGGTCCAGCCTGATGTCTTTGATTTTCTCGGCAAAGTCCTGAGTTTCTGACGTGGTGAGTGGTGTGGCCGACAAGAGGAATGTTTTGCAACTTTGTATGTGACTGAGTTAATGCTGCTGATGATGGGTCTAAGGGGGGCCCCTTCCTTGTGTATTTTAGGTAATCCGTAAATGCATGGTACAGCTTCCCCTGGGTATAGCCGGTAATAGAGTGGGCGGTCGATAACTCCATCCTTTTCCAGCTGTTGAAGTACGCTGATAACGTTCTTTTTGTAGCTGTTGGTGGGATCCTGTTTTAGAGTTTCATAGGTGGCAGTGTCACTGAGAAGGCTTGTTACCTTGTCATGGTAATCCCTGGTGTTGTGTACAACAGTGCATCTCCCCTTATCTGCAGGTAGGATGGTGATGTTTTCATCTTTTTGCAGTGATGCCAAGGCTCTTCTTTCCTGCATGATCAGGTTGGAAGCAGGTGTTTTGGCATTCGAGAGAGCAGCTGTTACCTTCAACCTAAGTTGCTCTGCCTCTGTGACCGTCAGATTGTTGTTGCAGATAGCTGACTCCGTGGCTGTGATAAGGTCTACCACCGGGATCTGTTCAGGGGTAACTGCAAAATGTAATCCTTTGTTAAGGACTTCCTCTGGAAAAATTCTCAACTCTACACAGTCCAGTTGCCTATTTTTAAGTTGCTGTGTTTTGCATTGCCTTTCAGACTGTGTCCAATTGCACTTCAAGCACATATTGCTCTTACTGATCTTGTTTCCTCTTGTCTCGATATTTGCTTGTGTTGTTCTCAAATGTACGTCCCTTTGGAAAAAGGCGTCTGCTAAATGACATTGTAACATTGTAAATGATAATTTCAGCATCAAATAATTTCCTGGTAAAAAGTTCATAATGTTAGCTTAGAGGTAAAATTCACTAAATTAAAAAAACCAAATAAGTGTAGGAAAATACTTTGTACCTGTTGCCAGAAGGGAATCCTGGGCTGGACCGCTCTTCCCTCTCTCTGACCACAGAGCTGTATTTGTCCTCCTCGCTCCTGCCCTCATCATTTTCCAAAGAAACCCGCCGGCGGTACTGCAGGCTGCCTTCAATCTCATTGGCTAACCGAGCTGCCCGAGCTTCTCGCTGTCTGTAAACCTCTGAGTTCCCCTTCTCTAAAGGCATGCTGGGAAAGCAGACACGGGACAGAAATATGACAATCAAAATACCAGATTTTCAGAGCAGGGGTTTTAAGATCTGTAAGCTATTAGATTTTCACCCAATCTGCGATTTAGCTCGAGATGATCTTGTGATCAGAGTGAAATAAGATTTGTTTTGCAGCACAACAACAGGCCTTTAAGCAAAGATGAGCAGAGACTTATAATGTAACAACTATGAGGGGTTTGAAGTACTGGTAAGGGTCCTGAAATTACAGTTAGCCTCTGCTTGCAATATCTACAGCTACAGAAGAGCTGAATTCTTGGGCTGAAGACACATGTACACAGCAAACTGCAGACATACTCACGTATACATGGAAAGGCTGGAGTCATACGTTGACTTGACACCATAAGCCTCCTCGTTGAACTTGAACATCTCATTGGCGTCCCAGCCGTTAGACTGGGGAGATTAAAAAAAGGCAGAATCATTGAGAAAATAATAGTGTGGAAGTTGCTTGGCTTTTAGGTTAAAGCTGCAGGAGTGATGGGATCACAATAAAATTACTTTCTTCTTTAAGTAGCAATAGGTCCAAAAATGTTGGTTCTATATTTGTGAGTTTTAGAGACAATTTCAAGGTTCTTGTGTGTGTGTGTGTGTGTGTGTGTGTGTCTCTGTGTGAGTGAGTGAGAGAGAGAGAGAGAGAGAGAGAGAGAGAGAGAGAGAGAGAGAGAGAGAGAGAGAGAGAGAGAGTGTGTGTGTGTGTGTGTGTGTGTGTGTGTGTGTGTGTGTTCCCTCACTGTGTCTGACTCCAACTCAAAGTTTTCACCGTTTCCATTTCCATCCCACCTCTGCAGAACTTTCTCCCGGTGGTCCCCATTCACCCTTGACAAGCTGATAGCTGAGTCAGTGAATGTGTCTGTACATAAACATGCAAACAAACACAAATACACAAATCACTAAAAATATATTCAACTTTGTTCTACTGCCACTAAAATCACCCATACTACTGTGATCCGCTTTGACTCTTATCGTTCTTTCCCATACAGATGCCGTGCCAACATGACAAAGCTATTTGGTGTAAATAACTCATACCAAAGAAAAGGAAAGTTTTAGGAAAGCTGAGAAAAGTTCCTTCTATCTCAGAACTGACAAAAAGCTTATTTCAAATTTTCACTAGATCTGGCGTGCACTCTTTTGTGGTTATAGTGCAGTATTTATCATGATGTCATTCTCTAAATGAGTGTTATCACAATATCGGTTAGTGTGTAATTACAACTAATGCAACACAATCGAATAAAAACATACCTCCACTTGTTTCTGTTTATCATTATTAATTTAATTTGGGCAGTCCTGATGTCTCTCCCCTTCTTCTCAAAATTTTTCAAAATTTTGTTATTACTTTTTAAATCTTTACACAGGCTTGCTCATTTTTATCACTCTGACATTTAAAAACTCCTCATTTATCTCAGACTCTCAGATCCTCTGACCAGTGTCTTCTGAATGTGCTGAGGTCAAGGTTGAAGTTGAGGGGTGACCGAGCTCATTCAGTGACTGTGCCTAAGCTCTTAATGCTCTTCCTCCTCATGTCCAACCGTCCCCCTCACTGCGACTTTTTTGAATAAGACTTGAAAACACACCTTTACTCTGTGACTTTTGGCTCTGCCTAAGAATTTGGCTTTTAACCCATTCAGACCTGAACCCTGTCTGAGACACGCCTCTGAAATCCTGAGGGCAGTTTTAAGAAGGGTCCCCTCCTGAGGTTTTCTCAAGAGTTGAGGTTTACAAAAAAGCTGATATCTCAGCCTCTGTAGCAGATAGAAACAAAATTCAAAAAATATTTGAGAGCTTATACGTGTGGCTTTCAAGATAACTCTCTTTTAATTTTCTGGCCCTTCATCACATTTTTGAAAACCTTGAACAAACAAACTCAAATGAAATAAAGCGGCTGTATAAATAATAGTAAAGACTGCACTGATAAAAAACAATTTGCTTTCTGTAAAACAAGTGGCAGTCATGATAAAGTGTCCATTTAATTCAAATGTAAATATAAAAAATAAAGTGTTGTATGGGGGTATGCAGCTACCCCAGTATACTGCCAGTACAAAAGCAGCACTAAAAACAAAAAAAAATATATTAATTAAATAAATAAATATGTGGCTGACAGTGTGCTCATCTCTGTGCTCACCCAAAGTCATGCAACACTCACAGAAAACACCAATAGTGTGAGCCAAAGACCTCAATATGAAGAGGTTGTTCACACCGCTGGATGCTTTTTCTCTGAAGCTGCTCTCTGCCTCCGTCATTGTTTACTTTACTCACAAGGCACGTAGCAAGATCCGAGGATGTATCCGATCACGTGATTAAGCTTTATTAGCCTATCAGAAATGATTGAAAAACTACAGAATGTTACGAAAAGACATATCCACACACCCGGCTTGAAGGGTAGAAATAATCAGCAGTGCCACCGGCTTGGAGGGTTGATATGTGCAGGGTTTTTCCTGCGTTCAAAATTGCGTGGCGGCCGCCTCCACCTAATTTTGTGCCGCCCCCGGCCAGAGCGATTGATTTCGCTCAACACAGCGTAAAGCTCCAGCTGTGTTGATTGAGCGATTGATGTCCCGATGCAGCAGCAACGTATTTTAACTGCAGTTGCAGCGTTGCGCCACTATAGAGGCGCTATATCCACAGCAGTGCACCGGAGAGACCTGAAGCATCTACTGAAGAAGAAACGGATCGAATCATGTTTTTTCAAGTTTTTTTCCCGCTAGTTGGTGCTATCGGCGTCCTGATTTTCCCTGGCGGATGGTACAAACAGGTAAATACTGCTTCTCCTTTTTGCATCCAAGCATGTCGTGTTTATTTAAAAAAAAAAAGTTTACTCCGTTTTTAGCGTTGCAGTTATGACAGGCAAAATCAGCCAGTACTTTAAAAAGCGACCTCGTGAGGAGGAAAGTCAAGAGTCCAGGTGAAACACAGCAGAGAAAAAAACGTAACAGGCAGTTAAAATGCTATAATTCATGTTGGTGACAACGTGGAAATTTGTGTCAGGTCTGAAAGTACTTCACAAGGGACTGGTGATCGCGAGGGTCAGAATGCAGGACAGGATGAGTCGGCGAGGCGAGGGTAATTAATTAATTAGTTTCCAATTAGGAGCATAACAAAGCAAAGCCGACGTGTACGTGGTTTTTATTCCTCTTTCCAGATCTTCTCAAAAACACAGAGCCAGTGGCTTTGACAAGCAGTGGCTCAATCAATTTACCTGGCTCAGGCATACTGAGGAAGGCATGCACTGCTGTTTATGCCAAAAGCACTGTGCCCCAACACAGCAGGCAATTGCTGCCTCCTTAGTGAGACAGCCATCAACCAACTACAGGCTGGACACATTAAAAAGACATGAGGTGACAGCCATTCACAAAGCAGCAGAAGAGAAGGAGAAATATATCAAAGATGGTAGTACCTAAAAAAACTCAACTAATAAAGTTACAAAAAATAAATAACATAGTTTAGATAGTTTAAGAAATAATTGGTTGTCGTTTTTTTTTTTAGGGAGGACACTGCAGCGTATACATATATATGATTGAAAACACTATCACTCTTCATGTCTGTATCAGAATAAAAACAAAAATACTTAATGCATGATGAATTGTTTTGTTTAAGGTGAAGACACCTCTGTGGAACAGACTGAAGGAGAGGCACTTGGATGTCTGTTGTAAGGTGGCCGTTGATGGACCAGACCAGGAGGCCTTGGACTACAAGGAGTGCATGAGGAGGTTCTACAGAATGAAAAAGAGGAGGCTGAAATGTTCTGTCTGGTTGCGAGATGTGTGGATGAAGTGTTCTTTCAATTTAAAGTTGCCAGCTGATTTGTGTATGTATATAGTTTTAATAAATGAATGCTTTAACATAATAATGGTCACACTCTTTTTTTGAACTCTTAACTTAAAGTATGTTGCCTGTAAAAGAAAGTGAATCGGTTGAATTTACAAATACATGCACGTCGTGGCGCATGGTCAGGATGGTGCCACCTCTGCCTCAATTTGAGCCAGGAAAAACCCTGTATGTGTACACGCTTCTCCCAAATTGAAGCATTGAAATACCTACATGCACCCGGCTTTCCGAGCACAAATGCGCAGCCACGCTCCTGGCTTGGAAGGTTGAAATGCAAACATGCTGTCCAGTTTTAAATGGGTTAATCCTGTTTTTTTTGTCCTCCGGTTTTTACTGTGGTCCTGTGTTTGTGTTTTACTGTTTGTTTTATTGTTTTTACACTTCAGCACTTTGGTCAGCATTTTGTTGTTTTAAAACTTGCTTTATATATAAATTTGGATTGGATTAGATCTTGAGATGCAAAGAACTCTAAAAACCTTCAACATAAATTGAAGAAAAGTGAATGATGCTCAATCGTCTTGTCGTGTCTCTGATTACCTCTGACAGCAAAGCTTAAGTCCACATCACGGCATGTCATAGTCACCAGGTCAGAGGGGCTAAAGATCATGGTGTCAGTGATATCTTCAAACTTGGGAGGAGACGACTGGCTCACTTCTCCACCTCCCCCTCCTCCTTCCTCGCCTCCTCCACCTCCATCTCCATCACTTCTTCTGTGAACAGCATCCACAGCCAGCTCACACTGGTAGAGGACCGGAGTGTAGACACAAGTAAATGACCATTTTAGTTGACAACAAGTCTTCAAATGAAAACACCTTAAGGATTCCCATAGTCTGTATAAATGTCAAACCTGGAAAACATCATATCAGCATTGTATTTTGAAATTAAAGCAGCCATGAGCACTTGTTCAGCCTTTGTTACAACTGTTGAAAAAAGTAAGCTTTTTTTCTTTACCTGTGAGCTGACAGTCTTAAAGATTCCTTCATACACTGTCCCGTTTTTCACTCTCACATCACAGGTGGAGCCCTAAAACCAAAATTAAAGAGAACTCAGTCCATTAGTCTGATCACTACAGCTAAGTCAAAATCAACCTTCAGTGTTTTTAAGTCTTATCAGTTTTAGTACTCACCACAACTGCAGTGAGAAAATGAAGCATTCTGGCATTGTTGTAGACCCCTTCAAATATCTGCAAACACGAGTCATGACATGTGAGCAGACAACAGAATCTCACTTTAAACAGATTTCTGTCCTTCGCAACCGAGAGGCTACAACACTTTGATACCATAGACTGTATAAAGAATGGACAGAGTCTGCCTCCTCGCTGGGTGAAGCCACTCCGAGAACAGCACCCTCTGATGGTGGGCTGCAGTACAGGTAATAAATCCCGCCTCCGTCAGCAAAGCTTATGGGACTGTGGACAAACTTTAGAAATTTATTACACAGTACATAAATTTTTCTCCCCCCTGCTTGTGATGTTGACATGTAGTTATTGTAAGACTGGTTTGTGCCCAAGTCCTCTTTTTTCTGTGAAGCTCCGTTTTTAAAAGTTATTAGGGGGTTCATGTTTTCTATGATTGACACCTGGTACAGCCTATGGGCGTTCAGGGATTGCGTAGCTCAGCCGGGGGGATATGCTGTTTGAGCCAAGCGTCATCACAGGGACTCTCGGCGACTGCGCGGCCGAATGCGCGCATCGCTACTACGCAGCTCTGGTTTCAAGGAAGTGGAGAAAAACCCTGAATTACCGAGAGCTTTTTGGCTTCAAATCCGTATACAGGCGGAAGGCGGAACCAGGTTGTCCATAGTATATACAGTCTATGTTTGATACCTAATTGTCACTCCAGTAGTTCAGTGTATAAGACAACACAGTTTTACAAATAGTTTAACCTGTTTTTGTATTTAGGTTTTACTCATGTAAATTATTTAAAAATCAAGACTTCTACCACCCACTGATTAAATTTAGAAGTGATGATAGTTACAAGTTCTGTTTAAATGGTCGAGGGTTTAGTTACATCTAGGTTAATGGACAGCCCTTTGTTTACACTGGATCTGCAGGTTTTCTCTCTGAAGGACACTCTACAAATCTCAAAGCTTGTTTTAAAGCCAGATGTTTCCAGGAAGCTGCATCTGTTGTCAGAGGCATTTTAAGTTTTAACACTGGAAATCTACATCTTTATCACTCAAACCCTGGAGTTACTGACTGTCTTATTGTGTTAATATTAAAGCAGTAATCAAAAAAAGGAGAATGATACCTCACTTAAAAAAGAAATAGAAACATCAGAAATAAAAAATCTGTTACTTACCCTCTTTTCGAATTCACCTTCTTGTAGTTATTTATGTCTATATAGTTATCTATCATTTTAAGAATTATTTCTAGTTGATGTGAAGTTACAGACAGAAAATGGGGTTAACTTTACAGTGCATAGCAAAGTTTAAGTTCTATGTCTGTTCATACTGTTCTATCACTAAATTTGATTTAATGGGAAATTAATACAATCACTGAGGCTGAGCTTGTTGACTTGATATAATAGCTTAATCTTGTCGTCGTGCCCCCCCCCCCCCCTATTTATATTTTACCTTTGGCTGAGATTTGACCTCTTTTTGCTGCTTTTGGAGTGTGAAGTGTCTATTTTTTATAATGGGAAATAAAAATTTAGTTCAAGTGACCAGAAAGAAAGCTAAGGTGTTTGTTACCCTTTCAGGGCAGAACAAGCAGCTGTCATTTTAGAGAAATTCAAGTAAACACTGGCACACCTACCTGTAATAAATTCATCGTAAGCCACTTAGAACAATCTAAATTAAGAAAGAGAGCTGTCACTACTTACTAGGCTGCTTACAGGACCTGATGGAGTCTGTGATGGTGGTTTCATTGTGTTCCTGGTCCTGGAAAGGTTGAACAAATTATCGTCAGCAAATGGTATCAGCTGCCCCTCCGTGAGAACAATAACCTCAAGCCTCACACAGCTAACAGTAACACCCCCCCCTCACACACACACACACACACACACACACACACACACACACACACACACACACAGACACACACACCGACAAGCTTGGAAGTTGACATCGAAAAATTTAGCGACTCATAAATTGGGTGTCAAATTCTCTCTACCTTGAGAATATCGTTGTTAAAAGCAGTTTGTTTTTCACTAACAGAGTTAAATCGGCTAGCCTAGTCTGCTAATGTCGCTAGCTACGAGTGGACGTCGAATTTTTGCAACAGACACAGACCAACCGCTTAAATTGATGTTGACTCCGCATTATGACCTGCTAGGTGAAGATGTCTTAGCGTGTAACAATTACTTTTTAGTCATGTGCATCCCTGTTATTCCCGTCTCGTCGCCTCAGTCAAAAGTCACACGGTTTGACAGGCCAAATACGATACACCGCTGAAAAACAACAAAACACAGTAATAGGTGCGTTCGATTTGTTAGAACCCAGTGACTACTGAGCATGTGATACGGCTCGATTCTATCAATTTGTCGGATATATGCCGCAGAATTAGCAGAAATGCTTAAATACAGGGGAACATACACTGTTTAATCTAGGGGAAACGTGTAACTTTTGTAATGCAATTTGCACAGTATAAACTATTACGCGATTTAACAGTGCGACAAATTCAGCCGGGCTCCGCCGATTGTACGTAACAAATGCAACATTGGTAAACCCCTCCCACTCATTTCAACTAACCATCGATTGGACAAACATCCAGTCAATAATTTTTAAACCCCCCTCTCATTGGTTTGAGGTCTAGGCCGTCATTTATCTCAAGGACTGATCCTGAAAGGCGGTTCTGATACAGGTCATGTAAGGGAACTACTGCTGCAGAAAACTGCTCAGACATCACGATGAAGGACTTCAGCAGGGATTTGAACCTCTCTGATCACATTTCGAGACGCATAGACTTTGTAACACTCTGTGACACAGATCTAATGAATATGGAGCTCATTATTTGGAGCTGATACAGTCTGGTCTTGGAGAACAAAAGGGAAGTGAATGTGTGTTTGAGTGTACAACAAGTCTTTTGAGCTTCACTCTAGACTTTGCAATCCAAACGAATGCTACAAATCACAATTAGATGACTGCAATCTTTATTCATAAAATTGGACTTTCCTACTCAGAATAGGTAAGGCCTATTATTAGCGCTGATAAATAAAAGCTCAAATAAATAATATATTTTAATTACTAATTTGAAAACAAGAACAAATGCAGATCCAGCAATAGTACAATGTTTAGCTGGCTATTTGTTATGTGGTTGTTTTCCTTACACACTGTCTGTGGTTGGTATCAGCTTGGACTCACTGGAGGATGTGGTGGAGAGATCTACACTGAGGAAAGTGGAGGCTATTCTAAGGAACATGGATCACCCACTTCATAACACCTTTAAGAACCAAAGGGCCAATGGTGGTGGACGGCTCCTCTCTCCTCGCTACAGGACAGAAAGATTCAGAAGATCTTTAGTACCCACAGCCATCAGACTTGATAATTCTTGTATTCTAGTAGATGACTTGAGACATGACACATGAGACGACAATTGAATTTCCCTTCGCAGATCAATAAAGTTCTTCTTCCTTTTCTCCTGAAAATGAGCATCCTGTGCTGCTTCTGCCCAGAGACACAAGTGAAAACTACTTACTCCATTAAAACTGTTATCCTTGCTATAGCGGTAATAATTGAATAGATAAGTTATTATTTGATGTTACACTGTGGTGCTTGTATCATTTTAAACTAGGGAAAAGAAAAAAAAAACCAACACAAACCACCATGTTTCACTATATTTATATTATATCAATAAATTCAATGTAGTACCTGAAACTAACCACACGGGTGAACGGACAACATTGCCCGCCCTCAACACACGGTCCCAGCAAAGAGAGAAAGAGACAGAGAAAGGCACAAAGAGTTTAAACTGAGAAAAGGACATAGAACATGATGGTTAGGGTACAGGGCTTTTGGGGCTGCATATAAACAAATACATGAGGAAAGAAAGACAGGTAGAAATGACTGGGGATATTACATGGCATAAATGAAACAGGAAGGCTCAAAACTGAGAGATGAATGGAGACAGAGCGACACAAATGCAAACACAGAAAGGCACAAGTAGAAAAAGTAGGTATTTTCATCGAAATTTTCTGCTAACTGTATATTTCTTTGATGAACAGAGGATGAGGTTGAGGAGAAGACAGCATTAAAGAGTGAGGATAATATAAAACCTTGAAAACAAGGCATTTCAGTAAAATGTTTTTTTCCTTCTTTTTATCCCCAAATTAAAAAGGCACAAACACATTTGAATTACAAGATGGAGTTCGAACATGTACATGGAGTATGCATCCAAAATAAAAGCAAATAAAATTAACACTGTTATTATGACCATCATTATCACCATTATTATTTTTATTATTTCCATTAATATCATTGTTATTGGTATCATCAATTATTTCTCTCTGAAAGGAAACATGTCTGTCAGTTCAGCTTCTCTTGACTCTGTGTCAGAGAGAGAGAGAGAGAGAGAGAGAGAGAGAGAGAGAGAGAGAGAGAGAGAGACCTAGTGATGCGACTGAGAGTGTTTGAGGTAAATGTTTCCTGCCTGCTCTATGTTATGGGAAGCCCAGACCTGAGACCTTGCACCCTCTTTTTATGGAGATAACGTCAAACCAAACTCCATTCAGAAATCTGTGACTTTTACGCTGCCTAATGAAGTTCAGCATCTATTGTAAAAATATCACTCTTTAAAGCCTTATTTTAGTTTTTCTCAAATTTGTTAATTCTTAAAAGCAGACCAATACAGATTCTGACAGCTGAGCTGTTGAACTATGAATATTAAAAGCAAAGTGAACTTTTGTCTCGCAATATCTGGTTTGCCACACAGGTAACAGCCCTCTGAACAAAAGGCTGAAACTCAGATATAATTGGAGAAAATAACACACAGTGAAAAGACACTGAAAACACACAACGCAGACTTGCAAAAAGTATTAATGCCATTTTACAATTATCCACATCGTTCTTTTTACATTCAAACTCCTGGTGTCTGGCTGATTTTTTAGCTGTGACCATTAAAGGATAATTCCAGAATTTCTTTGTATGGATCTCCTTTGTAACAGCTTCACTGAATCGTTTCAATTGACATCTGGGAAACAGGATGTAATAGCGGTAACATCATCCTTTGGTTGGAAAGAATCTTATCAAAAACACTCATTTTTTGCTGCTGACAGGCTCAGATTGTGATTCTCCTTGTTTCTCAACATTATCAATAGATAAACTTCTTTTTTAACCAGAGACAGATATTTTATTGCTCTTCTAAAAGCTACCAAACAATATTGACAAAAATTGCTTCTTACCTCACACAACACAGAAGTTGCAGCTCTACATTTGGCTTGGAGGGTAAATATTTGTGTTACTATGTGTATCACAAATACAAAGTTGAATGTGAATCAACCATTATATGCACCAAATTCACTTAAGATTAACAAAATCACAGACTGAGATAGCAGCAGACTGGTAACTCCTGTGTCTGCGAGACTGAATTATAGATTTCTTGAATGAAGTCTGGCTGCTTAGTGGAGAGGGGTCTAGATGCTGAGTTCAGTCTGAGTAGAATCTCAGTGGATTCTTAGTCATTATGTCAGACACATCCACTGAGCAAAACCACATTTTTTGTAACTCTTAAGTCACTTTGGCATCAAAATATGTAAAAAAATATGATAATAAAAAATAAAGGAAGGCCAAGGTTTCGAAGCAGTACCATAGAAACTTTAACATGCAGGTTGAATTTTACAGACAGTTCAGGCTTTGACGTCATCTCCGTATTAGTATGAGTGTAAAGTCTGGGATCTACTTGCCACAGTACAGGTGTGTAGTGTGTTTTGGCCTCTGACTGGCCTGTGCTGTCTCGGCTGGACCACTGTGAGGTATTGGGACTGCTGGCTTCACAGGGCTCACGCTGCTGTGAGGCGTACCGGCAAAAACAAAGCTTATGTGACTAAAAAACAACAACAGAAATGTCCCACTAGATAGTGGTGTAAAGCTGCTCTCACACATCTCTTTATCTGTGTACTCCTTTCTCCCTCTCTCCTGAATAGTGTTAGTACTTTTACAGAAACTTCTCCTCCTCCTCCTCCTCTTCTTCTTCTCCTCCACCTTGCTAACAAAAAAAAAATACTGGTTATGAATGGCCATGATGTACGCTGCCTCATCCAATCTCACATTCTCGCTCTCTCTCTCTCTCTCTCTCACACACACACACGCACACACATACACGCACGCACACACTCTGGCACTAACACGCACACATATACACTCCTCTTTTTCTTTCTCCCCCTGGTCTTCCCTTCATCAGAAGAAGGAGTACTGGTTATCGATGGCTCGGGGTGCCCTTGCTCCATCCCTTTCCTCCCCCTCCACAGCTTCTAGTTGGCGGAGAGGAGTGTCCCTGTCCCTCTCCTCCCAGTCCTCCACTCCTCCTCCACTGCCACCTCCGTTGCCACCGCCGCTGCCGCTGCCGCCGCCGCTGCCGCCGCCGCCGTTTCCTCCTGCTCCCCCTCCTCCCGTCATCATCACCGCAGGCGTTCCCCCTCCTCCTACTCCCCCAGCACCACCTCCACCTCCTCCTCCCACCCCTTCTGTCTCATTTCCCCTCTCTTGGGGAGGAGTTGGGGGAGGCGGTCGACCTGGCGGCAAGGGAGGAGGCTGAGGTGGGCTACGGGGTCTGCTGGTCAAGTCTGCATGGAGAAGACACAGACAAGAGAAGGAGAAAAAGAAAGAAACAAGAGAGGGAAGAAATGAGAGAAAAGTTTAAATAAAGGGAGGTAGAAGAAAGGTAGGAGGAGGAGGAGTATAAAAGGCCAAAAGTGTTCGAAGTGAAGTAAGCATAGTTGAAGGAGAGGAGGGTGAGAGGCAGGAGAAAAAAAAGAGAAGACGACAGTGAGTGGCCTGTTAGGTGGAAGAAGTCAGCAGTCATGGAGTCCATGAGAGTCAAAGAAGAAGTCAAACCCTGGGAATACACTCACTCACTCAGTCTCACACACATACACACACGCACGCACGCACACACGCACGCACACGCATTTTTAACACTCTCGGGCTATGTAACGTCTGAACCATAAGTTGAATCCACAGCAATGTGGGAATTGATCATTTACTCAGCATCTGTCTTGTTTTCCTCCTGTCTGTCAATAATACTCTGTTTGGTTCTAAAGAGTCACATGAACACAGTAACTAGTGGCACAAATCCTTAGTTTTGTCATATCCAATATTATTTTTATTTTATCAATGTTGCAATACTTCCTATAATAAGGTCTGCCTTGATGCATTTTGATGAAGTTCAGGCATTAACGCCTGGCAAAAGACACTCAGATATATTGGCTAAAAATAAAGACAAGAAGTCTCCCCCTATATATAAAGGGGGGGGGGCTCCTCTTGGTCTTTTTCTTGTCTGCCTGCCTTACTTTGTGCAGTATCAAAAGACATGCAGATTATACCAGTAAAAAATAATCAACGTTCAATAACTGTTTTATACCAGAGCACCAAAAAATTCACTCCTAGGTACCCAAAGGGGGTCATTTTTTAAAACTATACACAGTGCTGATACAGAAATAGTCATGAGAGAAAGACATACATTAAACATACTGTCATAGTAATTCAAGGCCAAATAAATGAGATTTCCCTGAAAATAACCTGTATGAAACATTCCTTCTGAGTTGCAATCTATCATCCAGGGATGTGTGTTGTTCTGTGTACCTGCTGAGGGTTCACGTCTTTCAGTTTTGTTCTGTTGTATTCGTATTCAGTGCTCGCCCCTTACTTAATCTCTATGTCGATCAACAACCTCTGCTTCCTCTGGCTGAAAATATGAGCTCTGTAATTTTCTTAAGACTTTGGTGCTGTCTGAAACCACTGAATGAAAACATTACAGTTATGGCACCAAGTCATATGTGTATTAAAAATTTGACAACCTTACGTGCTACTGAACTTAAGGATTAAACTCAAAGATGCTTTGACTTTGCATCAATAATAATGGATCAGTGAACACCAAATCACTACTTCCACACAAAGGGATGAATCATTACACCCCAACACTCGACATCTAAGAGTCTGGAAACATGTTTGATTGAAATAAATACATCAAACATTATCATCATTCAAGCACTCACTCCCAAACACCCTCTCTCAGCTGAGTCCGGTCTCACTTACACACAGTCAGAGATGGGGGTTGATGGAGAGTCAGGATGGCGCGTGGTGATGACGTCACAGACTGTAGGCCGACTGCCTGCCCTGTCCCGGCCTGCAAGGGGATGAGCCAACAGATACAACAGACAACAACAGAGATGTCAGAGCAGTGACTGGGTAGGTGGTCAGAGGCTTCAGTTAAGTGGACTCTTGGTTGAAATATTCAACGTCAATAGACAGCAAAGCTCTGGCAAACACCGACAGGTTTCACCCAACCTTATTACCTTTCATGGAAAGGTAATTCAAATGTGTGGGCAGATTTTCTGGCATGTGGGGAAGAGATGTGATGAGAGATAAGATCAAAGAGGCACAACATGGATAATGTGGCTGAACTTGTTTTCACTATTTCATGCAGTATGAATGTAAAAACAGCTGGAGAGTAAGCACATTTACACAGCTGCAAAAGACATTTGGTGGATCTATTTGGAGACTATCAGCCTAAAGCAAACCTTCATGGAGAACTCCAGGCTTTAAAGAAAAGGTGATCACTTGGTGGACAGCTTAGTAGTTTTTAACTTATCGACGATGTTTAGAGACTGATAATAGTATGTAATGGTGTTTAGTCACCCTTTTTAGACACAAAATGGATTATGTTTAAACATACCATGCAACAACTTCTTTTCAGGACACAAACAATGTGGGATTTAAATAGGGATGGTAATTGATAAGATTTAATCAATATCGATGCCATTATCAATTCTGCTTATTGATTCAATTCTTTAACGATTCCCTTATCAATGCCTTTCTTTGATTTAAAAAAAAAAAAGCAGACTATAGGTTTTAACTGTTAACTCAAAATTTTATTGAGTCTCTGATAACAGAAAAAGCTGATGGTCAACCTCTGTATTCATGATAAGGAGCTTGTGGGAACAACAAGACTCTGCTGAACACATTAATACAATTTATTATCACAATCCTTAAAACACCCCAAAGTGTCCTCGATAAGCTGAATTTTTCAAGCCCAGAATGGTTCCTGTAGCTCAAAGTTTGTGGGTGGAGATAGGTGGTGAAGCAGACACATAATTACTGTGTGTACCTGTAGGTCTCATAGACAGAGAGAGACTAACGCACACACATTGTCAGAGTGTGAGTGTGTGCGTGTGCCTGTTAATTAATGCATCTGAATAGGTGTCAGACATCAAAGGCATTTACTGACCTACTGTTTGAATGAGAAGCTGCCTAACTGGAGTGAATTTAGGGCCTCTTAACTTCTTCACACAGCACGATTTCCGTAAATCCCAGAATGAAAATAAGAACATCGTACCAATCCTCCGCTCCTCATGAACACAATGATGTGTTCATGATGTGTTCATCTGTACTCTAAAAAATGTGGCCGCAACGGTGAGTTAAACAGGTGTTGAGCCTGAGAAATGATAAGGATTTTCTGAGAGAAAGATTACATTATGGTCAATGGGATGAATCTCTGCCTTTTAGGACAGTTGGTCACCTGCTGGCCAAGGGGTACCATTTAATGATTTGAAACCTCTTTATTGACAAGCAGGACTTCTTGTCCTCCATTTTGATGTATTTTTTATGGCTGTGGAGTGGGATTTGTGGGCGTGGGAGCGATAAATTCGAGCTAGGTTTTGTCGATAAAAGAGGAGCTCTCCACTCTAGCTATGACAGCACCTCACTCGAGCTCTTCCAATACACACCCATTATAAAGCCTGAAATTTGCTGAAAACCATGAGTTCCTTAAAGCTAAATCATGGGAAAACTGTACAAGATATCAAAAAATTAATGAACATTTTAAAGCAAAAATGAGGTCTCTAAAGAAAAGTATGCTGAAGTTATAAGGCTTAGAACGTGTAAGAATAAAAGGAAGAATTGGAAGATTTCCCCATTGACTTCAATGTTAAAATCTTTGCACAAAAAGTAAAAAAAACCCAAAAAGTATAAAGGGTAGAAAGATAAAAAAAAAATAGACACAACAATGTCCTGAAGTAGTGGAATAGTTTAAATTTTGAAAGAGGAGAAGCGATCCAAAAATCGGCGGAAGAATAATGATAAGTTTAATAAAGAACAGAATAACAATAAGTGGAAATGCTTAATCAGCATTTCCACTTAATAACTAGAAAATGCAATTTCTGGAGAAATTGCAAGTGGGATTGCTCCAGTTGAAATTGCTATCGCTAAGCTGCTATTGCGAATGGCTGAAGTTTAAAAAATATGTAAAAGACAAGAAGGTTCAAGGTATCAGGAAGATTTGAATCAATTTGAATGAACTCAGTTGAATGAACTGAATAATGCATGAATAATAACTAAAAAGAATGAACATGTGAAAATAAAAATGATTAAAACCCCTTAAGTATGGGAAAGGCTTGAAGTATCAGAAAGGTTTGAATCACTTTAAATGAGCTGGAATTTGTTTGAAAAATTTAATATATAAAGGAAGAATAAAAATGATTTAAAACGGAAAAATTTAAATGATTTAAAATCTGGAAGTATGGGGGGTTTGAAGGTTCAGAAAGGTTTGAAACAGTTAAAATGAGTTTAAATTAGTTGGCAGAATTAAATAATGCATAATCACTGAGTGATTAAAAAATGGGAAAAATCAAATAAATAAAAATCCTGATTAGACCCCATAATATCCACAGTGAGCTGAATTTTATGAGCCCTGCATGGTTTCTGTAGCTCAAAGTTTGTGGAAGGGAATAGGTCCTGAAGTTTGTTGAAGTGTTCTTGTGAAGGGTTTTAAATGTAACCCCATGTACTCTGTGTACTGAGCCTGGCTTCATGTGTCTCATACAGCCGTTAGGATCAGCTTTCCAGCCAGCTGTGTGTCTCCAGGTGCTCTTATTGGTTGCCATGGTGACGGCAGATGCATCACGACGGCAAGAGAAAGGAGGCTTGAGGCCAAGAACGTAATGCCCAAACAACGTCATATTTCTCATCCTCTGTAACTGCTATCTTCATGATAATGAGCTTGTGAGAACCACAAGTCCCGGCTGAACACGGTGATACAACTCCCGTGTTTGTGGAGCCAAAAATGTCTTCACTAGGACAAGTTAAAAAGAGTAAAATATTCCTTTTATTGATCCCCCATGGGGGAAATTTTTTTTGTCACAGCAGCATCACAGACAAAGAGTGCAAAAAAGCGGTTATAAAAATAAAGATCCTAATATTAAGAACTTAAATAAACGTAATAATTAAGAAAAAATTTAGAAAAGGAAAAAGGGAGAAGAAAAATAAAACTATCTACAATAACCACAGTTTAAATGCCAGAAAAAAGTGGTGGTGTGAGTCCAGTTATTATTACAGTTCATTGTAAAATCTTATTGCAGAGGGGAGGAATGACCTGCGGTAGCGCTCCGTCTTGCAAGGTGGAAGTCTCAGTCTGCTGCTGAAGGAGCTGCTTAAAGCCCCCACAGTCTGGTGCAGGAGGTGAGAGGGATTGTCCATGATGGATACAAGCTTTGTTAACATCCTCCTCTCAGCCACCTCCTCCAGGGAGTCCACAGAACAGTCCAGGACAGAACTGGCCCTCCTGACCAGTCTATTCAGTCTCTTCCTGTCCCTCTCGGTGCTCCCTGCCCCCCAGCAGACCACTGCATAGAAAAGTGCAGATGCTACCACAGAGTCATAGAAAGTCCTGAGCAGAGTCCTGCACACTCCAAAAGACCTCAGTCTCCTCAGCAGGTGGAGACGACTTTGGCCCTTCTTGTACAGTACGTCTGTGTTGGTTGACCAGTCCAGTTTATTGTTGAGGTGGACACCCAGGAATCTGTAGGACTCCACCATCTCGATGTCCAGACCCTGGATGTTCACTGGAACAGTCTGAGGTGTCCTCCTCCTGCGGAAATCCACAACCATCTCCTTTGTCTTACTGGCGTTGAGCTGGAGGTGGTTTGTGCCACACCAGTTGACAAAGTCAGTGATGACAGTCCTGTATTCGCGCTCATCCCCTGACGATACACATCCGATGATGGCTGTGTCATCAGAGAACTTCTGGATGTGACAGCTCCAAGAGTTGTAGCTGAAGTCCGAGGTGTACAGGGTGAAGAGGAAGGGGGAGCAGTGAAGGCTGGATGGTGTTGAAAGCACTGGAGAAGTCAAAAAACATGACCCTCACTGTGCTGCCGGTGTTCTCCAAGTGGGCCATGGACCTCTGCAGCAGGTAGATGACTGCGTCATCCACCCCGATGTTCGGCTGGTACGCAAACTGCAGAGGATCCAGATGAGAGCTCACCAGGGGGCGGAGGTTCCTCAGCACGATCCTCTCCAGAGTCTTCATCAGGTGAGAAGTGAGGGCCACAGGTCTGAAGTGGTTGGGCTCCCTGGGGTGTGCTGTCTTGGGGACAGGAATCACGCAGGAAGTCTTCCACAGTGTTGGGACCCTCTCCAGACTCAGGCCCAAGCTGAAGATGTGCAGTAGCACCTCACAGAGCTGGTCTGCACAGTCCTTCAGGAGTCTGGAGCTGATGCCGTCAGGACCCATGGCTTTCCTTGGCTTCATCTTCCTCAGCTCACTTCTCACCTGGTCAGCTGTTATGGCTGGGGGGTGGGGGTGGTGCTGGAGGGGGTGGTGGAGGATGAGTGGAGGGGGGTTGATGATGCCGGTGCCATGGGACTGAGGTGGTGTGAAGAAGAAGCAGCAGACGGGTCTTTGGTTTGATGAGTCGGGGGAGGAGTGGGAGCAGAGTCAAATCTATTGAAGAACAGATTCAGCTCGTTGGCCCACTCCCTGTCTCCTGCTTCAGGTCCCCTCTCATGGCCCCTGCTATGACCTGAGACGGATTTCAGGCCTCTCCAGACCTCCCTTGCGTTGTTCTGTTGCAGAAGGTTTTCCATCTTGGTCTTGTAGCTGACCTTTCCCTCTCTGATCTTCTTCTTCAGCTCCTTCTGCACCCTCCTCAGCTCCTCCTTGTCCCCAGATTTAAAAACCCTCCTCTTCTCCTTCAGGAGGACTTTAAGTTACGGGGTCACCCAGGGTTTGCTGTTGGAGAAACACCGTACTTTCCTGGTGGGTATGGTGTTCTCAACACAGAAGTTTATATAGTCCGTGATACAGTCTGTCATGGTGTCGATGTCATCACCATGTGGGCCGCACAGTACATCCCAGTCTGTGGTCTCAAAACAGTCCTGCAGCGCCTCAGTGGCCTCCTCAGACCACCTCTTAACATACCTGATTGTGGGGGTTGTTTCCACCATAGGTATGTAAATGGGCTGCAGTCTCACCAGGTTGTGATCTGAGCGGCCCAGCGGGGGGAGGGGGGAGGAGGTGTATGCATCCTTGGTGTTTGCGTAGAGTAAGTCCAAAGTTTTATTGTCTCTTCTTGGGCAGTTTACATACTGGGTGAAGGTAGGGAGAGTGGAGGAGAGTGATGCATGATTAAAGTCTCCAGAGATGATGATCAGAGACTGAGGGTGTGATGTTTGTAGCTTGGACACTTCACTATGGAGGAGTTCACATGTAAAAACATGTCCAGTTTGTGTTTCCTCCGAAAATCCTCCTCTCATGTTTATATTGGAGTCAATGGAGAAAGCTGGAGAAATGTTGGGGATGTCTGTGGCAGTTGGTGTCTGCCCAGGCCACTGTGTGTGTTCTACAGCTTTAATTTTTGAGACGAAGAGTGACAACGAGTTTTGCCATCACTGTACCAAATATTGTCTGTGTAGAGTGAAGTGAGTTGCCACAATCCTTTTGTAAAGACAAAGTTTTGAGGATAAATTTTCAGCCTCTCCCACTCTAGCGATGAGATCACCCACTCTAACTGCCAACATTCCGTGCAATACACACTAATGTTAAAACCTGAAGAGGTCAGAAAATCCTGTGACTTTTTGAACTGTCACTGTGAGAAAAGTATGAATGCGATGAAGATGGTGAATGAATGTCTGGGGGTGTGAGAATGTTTTAAAGTTTGAATGTTGTGTCAAGAAAATGTGAGAAAAAGGGCCGTTTTGAACATCTGTAATGCATTTCTAATGGGAGAAATTGGTCGGAAAACCTGGAACATTACGGAAAGTATGAATGTTAGGAAATTTTTGAATACAAGCCAGAATATCCTAAATGAGATGAATATTTTGAAGTTTGAATCGTTTGAATATGTTGAAGTATGTGGAAGTAGTTGGGGGCCAAAAAACGGCAGAATAATAATAACTAGAAAATGCAATTTCTGAAGAAATTGCAAGTGGGATTGCTTCAGTTGACATTGCTATCGCTAAGCTGGTATTGCGAATGGCTGAATTTTAAAAATATGTGAAAGGTAAAAAGGTATGAAGTTTTAGGAAGATTTGAATCAATTTGAATAAACTCAATTAAATGAATTGAATAATGCATGAATATTAATTTTTAAAATTCAATGTGTGAAAATTAAAATGATTAAAAACCCTGAAGCATGGGAAAGGCTTGAAGAATCAATAAGTTTTAAATCAGTTTAAATGGGTCTGAATTTGTTTGAAAGAACTGAAAAATGCACTAAAAGTAAAAAATGATTTAAAACTGGAAAATAAAAAGGTTACAAATCTCGAAGAAAAACACGTTTGAAGAATCAAAATGGTTTAAATCAGTTTGAAGGAGTTTAAATTAGTTTGAAGAGTTAAATAATGCATTTTCAATGAATGATTGAAAAATGGGGGAAATGTAAATGAATAAAAATCCTGATTGGACCCCATAATGTCCTCAATGAGCTGAGTTTATTAAGCCCTGAATGGTTTCTGTAGCTCAAGGTTTGTGCGAAGAGATAGATGACAAATTTTGTCAAATAACTCTATTGAAGGGTTTTAAATGTAACCCCCAGTACTCTGTGTACTGAGCCTGGCTTCATGTGTCTCATATGGCTGTTAGAAGCAGCTTTCCAGCCAGCTGTGTGTCTCCAGGTGCTCTTATTGGTTGCCATGGTGACGATAGATGCTTAACAACAGCAGGAGAAAGGAGGCTTGAGGCTGAGAACGTAATGCCCAAACAACGTCATATTTCTCATCCTCTGTAACTGCTATCTTCATGATCAGGAGCTTGTGACAACCACAAGGCCCGGCTGAACACGTTGATACAACTTCTGTGTTTGTGGAGCCAAAAATGCAAGTTAAAAACATGTCCAGTTTGTGTTTCCTCTGAGAATCCTCCTCTCAGGTTTACATTGGAGTCAATGGAGAAAGCTGGAGAAATCTGGGGGATGTCTGCGGCAGTTGGTGTCTGCCCAGGCCACTGTGTGTGTCCTATGGCTTTGATTTTTGAGATGAAGAGTGACAGCAAGTTTTGCCATCACTGTACCACATTTTATCTGTGTAGAGCCAAGTGAGTTGCCACAATCCTTTTGTAAAGACAAAGTTTTGAGGATCAATTTTCTGCCTGTCTCACTCTAGCTGTGAGGTCGCCCACTCTAGCTGCCAACATTCCGTGCAATACACACTAATGTTAAAACCTGAACAGGTCAGAAAATCTTGGACTTTTTGAACTGTCACTGTGAGAAAAGTATGAATGCCATGAAGATGGTGAATGAATGAGTGAATGCCTGAAGATGTGTGAATATTTTAAAGTTTGAATGAAGTTTCTAGGTGAAAGTATGAATGAATGAGAAGAGGTTGAAGTTGACTACGTCTGAAGCCCTTTTCCCATTGAATCCCATTATAACGAAGTTTTAAACAAATCTTAATATTTTGAAAAGTACAAATGGGATTAAAAATGTTGAAGATGTGGAATAATGCTGACGAATTTGTGAATATTTTGGTTTTTGAATGAAGTTTCTACGTGGAAGTATAGAGGAGTTGAAGGCTTTTGAAGTTGTGCAAAGAAAATGTGAGAAAAGGGCCAAGTTGAACATTCCGTAATGCATTTCTAATGGGAGAAATCGGTCGGAAAACCTGGAATATCTCGGAAAGTATGAATGTTAGGAAAATTTTGAATACACCCCTGAATGTCCTCAATGAGATGAATCTTTTGAAGTTTGAATGGTTTGAATATGTTGAAGTATGTGGAAGTAGTTAAGGGTGGAAGTGTGTTGAATAATAATAAAGATATGAATAACATATAGTGGGAATGCTTCGCAATCCCACTCAATAATAAAGATATGAATAACATATAGTGGGAATGCTTCGCAATCCCACTCAATAAAGATATGGATAACATATAGTGGGAATGCTTCGCAATCCCACTCAATAAAGATATGAATAACATATAGTGGGAATGCTTCGCAATCCCACTCAATAAAGATATGAATAACATATAGTGGGAATGCTTCCCAATCCCACTCCATAATAAAGATATGAATAACATATAGAGGGAATGCTTCGCAATCCCACTCAATAATAAGTTTAATAATAAAGAAAATGGCCGACAGGAATAACAATAAGCGGAAATGCTTGATCAGCATTTCCACTTAATCAAACAAAAACACTATTTGTACAGCATTTCTGGCATGCATTGTGCTTATGTTAATACAGGAAATACGTTCGGGTGACCATATTCTGAATCCCCAAAAAGAGGACACTAATACGCGGGGCATACTTGTGTGTGCAATTTTGAAGGTTTTTTTTGGTCGGGTCGAGTGTTTTTATGTGCTTCTGGCTCAGTTAAACGTTTATTATTCTGAATTCCCAAAGACAGTACATACGTGCGTCGCGTCAGTGGCTTTGCTTAGAAGTGAGCGGAGGGGCAGAGCTGCAGAGAGCACTGATGCTCTGCACTGTTTTATAATGAATGAACACATGTTCTGGACATTTGAAGGATTTTATATACTCCCCCCGGACAGCCCCCCAAAAGAGGACATGTACAGGAAAAAAAGGATGAATAATCACCCTAACATATGTACCTTTCATGCCGTGCAGAGACGGAGCTGCAGCCGCTGACAACAGGTGTTATGCCGTAGAATGCACCCCTGCCATAGAAAGCATCCCCTGACGGGAGCGCGGTATAAAGTACATAACAAGGCGAAGGTGTCCAAGTTTTCCTTATCATTGGATTCATTCAAAAGCGATGATTTCATTCAGGCTATTCAGACAAGCCGAAAACAATAGCCCGCTGATTCGGAATATTTGCTGTCCCGAAATCTTACTATACTGTTTATATACCCAAGTACACCTCTATGTGTTCATTTTTGAGTCACATGAAAACAGAACAAAAGTTTGCTGCTCCATTTGACATGTTTTCGTGATCCAATACTCGAGTTTTTTTAAATATGAGATCTTTTTCTTCCACTTTAAGGAGCTAATGAGTGGATGGGATGCATTCTACAGCACAACACTGGCGGAGAGCATTGAATACATATGACTCCTTATATTTGATGCCGTGCCCCGTTGACAAATGTTTAAGCATGTTGCTGGTGTTTCCACCTTTGCACCTTTTCAACCATCCATGCTGTTTTTTTTTCTGTCTCTGTTCCCCTTCGTATAGACTGGCACGTGTGAGACCAGTTTTTCAAGGCACCCAGAAGAAAGGAATCCTTAAGGGAATCGTCAAGATAATATGTAAATGATGTCGATGGATTGAACCATTTGGAACCGGTTCTCACAGAACCGGTTCTCGATTCCCATCCCTAGATTTAAATGATTCCATGTTAATTTATAGTGCACTGTTGAGCAAATATACACACAAACACATGTCTGAAATGGGCTTAATGTCTCCTTTAAAGTTTCTCAGCTCCTGTGCTTCTGTTCTTTTTTCAAGTGGGGGCTTGGCTTCCTCATACCTGACTGGCGGACAGCAGTGGCACCCACAAAGCTGATGAGTGTGACATCTGAGGCACCGCCAGATTCTAGGGGAATCGGGTGCACCCGAAAGTGCTCCAACATGTCAAAGATGGACTGGAACCAGAGGTGCTGCACCCGACACTGACCGTCCTCATTTAGTGAAAGACGGAGATGCTAAAAGGCAAAAATATTTTTTAAGTCATTCTGTCATTATTCAATAGAATACTGAGAAGAGAAGAAACTAATGACATTGCATAACATAGTGATGTTCTGAGTCTAGCTGCCATCCAATAAAATAACTGACTTTCAGTTTGCAGAGATGTGCTCACAAAATTTTAAAAAAGGATAAACCAGAGAAAGAGGTCATGAGAACATGAAGTACGGTATGTTTAGTTCAGTACAGAAAACCTTGAGCTCACCTTAGCCTTGCCCTGGAAGTTAAAGGTGAGGACATACTCTCCACGCCGTGTCTCACTCTGGCGGACCAGGAAGACGCCATGGCTCGCAGGGCCCCCAGCCAAGACCAGTTGAGCAGCTTTGAGACGGGACAGGGTGCCATGAAACCACTGACACTCGCTGAGAGGGTGCTCCACCGCCTCTGCAACCGTCGTCTCTGAGAACAGGAAGGAGCCTAAAAAAGGGGATGCAACACTCTGACGGGCTGTGACAGATGATGCTGTCTTTGAGCTGGCAGTGCCTGTTTTTTGTTTGTATACAGTTCAGCGTTTCAGCAATCAGTATCCTTGGCACCAAAACACCCTCAGATAAAAAATACCTCCACTTTTGGAACACCGCCATACACATCAGTAGGCCTGTCGCGATAATCAATAAATCGCTTTATCGCTCGGTATAAAAATGAGGTCGGTCATTTTGCCAGCCTCGATAATTGACGTACGTTTGTTTTCCTCCTCTCTCACTACCAAACACGCTGGATGAGAGAAGAGGTCTCACTCTGCGCATTGTTCTCGGCACCTGGGGGCGTTGGCTCTATAGCGGAATGAACGGAGTTAGTGGACCCTCCTGTCAGTCATTCAGTGTCTTTGTCACGGGGGGGGGACTGCGCGCACTCGCACACAGGCACACAGAATTTTGGATACAGTGCTGCAAGTGAGCGTCGTGAGTGAAAAGCAAGCAAACAGAATGAACACGACAGCTTTGGTGTCTAAACCGAACGCAACAACCCAAGTGTGGGAATATTTCGGCTTTAAACCAAATGAAAGAGGTGAGCCGACAAATACGGACGAGCCGATATATCGTATTTGTTCCAAAGTTGTGGTGACAAAGAAGGGGAATACAACGAACATGCATGCGCACCTCAAGCACAATCATCCCCTCCATTTTTCTCAACTGAGCAAAAAAAGTACCGCCGGAGGTGCTGCGGAGCCATCGTCCCAACAGGTACCGCTTACTGAAGCGTTTGGTAAGCAAAGCAAATATAAACAAAACAGTGCAAAATGGTGCGCGCTGACAGACAGCAGAAATTAAAGTTTATCACTTTTGACATGGTGTAAACGCATTATTATGCCATATATTATCATTATCTATCATTTAAAAAACGGTGTCAATAATATCGTTTATCGGCAATAATTTGTAGCACAATTATCGTCCAGCAAAATTTGTTATCGTGACAGGCCTACACATCAGTGTCACTTCTTGATCCCCAACCAAACAGAAACAAGCAGGGGTGGGACTTCTGATAGAATCTTTGCCTACAACAATGGAGGCTCTTACGGGAAAAAATACTGTTCTCTCTGCGACAGCCTAAAACGTTCGGAGTCAAACACATCCTCCTTCAGTTTTCCACAGGCATAATCAAGAGTATCCTCACATCATCATTAATAGTCTGGTATGGAAACTTGGACAGTCATTCATGCACAAATGCATATTTAACAGATAATCCAAAATCACTGGCCACACCCTCCCATCTATAGAGACTCTGTAAGACGTCACTCAGCGAGCACTGAAAATCACCTCAGACCATACACACCCTGCGCACCACCTGTTCACACTTACGCCCTCTGGGAGGTGTTGCAGGTCTTTGTCAGCCAACTCAGCCAGATTTAAGAACAGTTTATTTCCCTAATGCCATATGGTCACTAAACAAATATCTGAAGTAATTTGTATCTACATCTGTTGTCTTGTGATGTTGCATTGTTTGATTTCTGCATGTATGTATCTGACACAGGAGAAGTGAGTATGATGTGCTGTAAAGAAAAACAGATTCCATCAACTCTGTTGTTTGGCCATTAATCTGGAGATGCCGCTAATGCTATGACACAATTTCTGCAGGGCTCAACAGTGGGACCATTTCACTTACATTTGCGACTAAAAATAGATGTGTGCGAATTGTAAAATGTATTTAGGGGCACATGTGCACATAAAAAAATTAGACGACGCAACAAATGTTTTTTCATGTAAATACCGCAGTGAAGTTAGCTTTAGGTTGGATATTCGATGGACATTCACTGCGGACCGGTGTCTTCTCACTCTCCATAACCAGGAATAGCAAGACCATCAATAAGTTACCGGTTGATGTTCTCAGAAAAGGCTATTTTCCTTCAAAAGCTTCTATGTCATGTGACCATTTGATCTAAAATTAATTTCAAGTAATAGTTCTTACGTCCACCAATAAGACAAACATTATTTGATCTTCTTTGTGTGCTCCTTACTTTTTCAACTTAGGAGCACATGTGCCCCTTGTGAAAAAAGTTAGTGTCAAGCCCTGTTCTGTTTGTTGTTCTTGGGATTTTCTTTGTTTAACACAATTGACTAAAATCAAACGGGAAGCACAACAACACATTTAAAATCACTACTAAGGCAAGAGGATGTGCTGTGAACACTTTCATACCCAAGCAACTGTAAACGCTGTTGAAAAGGGCCATTAAAAAGTGGGCATTGTGAGAATGAAAGCCACTGAGGTGGACCCAGCCACTAATGCTTACAATGTTGACACCGCTATGTAACATGTTTTCAAACAAGCTAATGTAATAAGACCACAGCTGCAAAAAGATTTTGTGGAATAACAAAGCCATTTTTTAGAAAACGGATACAAGTTCAGAAATTTTTTTTAATGGTTTCTTATACTTTTGGTATTTTGGAATGGCAACTTTGGGTATTTGCTGCTAGCAGATGCTTTTGGGAAAGTTCAGAGAAATTTTTGGAAAGTACCACAAACTCACTGGAAATTTTTACTCAATTTTTGAGATTATAAAGATATGATCATTTAATTAAATGTTTGTGTCAGGGTCATGCTCACCCGTAGCATCTGGTGTCTCAGCGAAAGGTGTGCCCAGACTTGCCCCTCCTCCTCCAAGAATCCTGCCGTCTGGTTCATCAAGAGGGGCTCGAGGGGGCAGCTCGGGTGGCAGAGGATCCATCAGAGGTGATGAGCCTCCAATACCACCATAACACACTGGGACGATAAAAGACAACCAGAAAATAAAGTCAAACAAATAACTCATCTTTGTAGTTCACACAAGCCAGAATAAGCCAATTTAGTTTAAAACTAAACCCTAAATCAAAGCATCAGGCTCTGGAGTTTGTTACTCTTTTAACCCTGCTGTATCATCCAATTACGTCACACAAAAATGAACGACATACCTTGTGAAAGACGGTCAACAATCTCAGGCGTCCCGCTGATGTCTAATGGCCCCCCACACACACCTTCAGCATCTTCTTGTTCACTATGAGTAAAGTGACAGTAGCTAATGGTCACACTTCCGGCTGCTTTGTGGCCCGAATAATCTCTTCTTCCAAAACATGTCCTCACTTATCCATTCAGTCATTCATTTATTTTTTACCTGAGACAGATTCCATTCCTTATGTCACTCAGCCACGCTCTCATCTGTACAGCATCACGTGTTTCAATGACGTACTGCGCCAGTCCTTCCAGCTGAAAATAGAGAAATACAGATCTTTGTAGGTGTAGTGTGGCTGTGCACTTGTCCATAGTTAAAATTACAGGGGGACCAACCTACCCTCCTTCAGTTTTTATTTCAGGTCAGTTGGTCAGACTCAACAGCATGGTATGTATGTACAGTTGTGTTCAAAATAATAGTAGTCCCACAACTCTAGCAAGATAAATCACTGTTTTTGTTAGAATTTCTACTACTACACTGGAAGTAAGTTTTGAGAAGGTTTAGTAACGGTATAGAAAACCAACAGACCCAAACAGGCATGATTTGCATGCTGCTGATTCTGAGAAACTGAATCATTTACTTAAAGGGGCCTGTCAAAAAAAAATAGCAGTGCAGAGTTAAATTAGTAAGGTCATTGATTATGTGAAAAAAAGGTGTTAAACAGGTGGCCCTCATTTAAGGATCAAGGCAACTGACGCTGCATATGCTGGCTGTGCATTTGTCGTTGAAAAGATTCTTAAGATTCTTTTATTTGTTTTTAAATCTTTAAATGGTCTGGCTCCATCTTACCTCTCTGAGCTTCTCCACCCCTACACCCCCGCTCTGTGCCTCAGGTCAGCTGATCAGCTGCTCCTGGAGGTACTGAGGTTCTTAATTCTATGATTAAGAAATTAATAAAAGAGGGGAAAACCTATAAAGACGTGCAGAAAATGATAGGCTGTTTAGCTAAAACGATATCAAACACTTTAAAATGGCAGCCAAAACCCGAAAGGCGCAGAAGAAAAGGGAAACGACTAATCGAATGGATCGGAGAATAACCAAAATGAGAAAGGCTCAGCCAATGATCAGCTCCAGGAGGATCAAAGAAGATCTAAGATTGCCTGTGAGTACTGTAACAATCAGACGATGTCTATGTGAGGCCAAGCTACCAGCAAGAAGCCCCCGCAAAGTCCCATTGTTAAAAAAAATTCATGTGCTGAAGCAGTTACGGTTTGCCAAAGAACACATTGACCGCCCCCTAAAAGAAATGACGTTATATTTTGTGGACTGATGAGAGTAAGATTATTCTTTTTGGGTCTAAGGGCCACAGACAGTTTGTCAGACAGCCTGCAAACGCAAAGACGGTGAAGCATGGTGGTGCAAGCATCATGATATGGGGATGTTTCTCGTACTATGGTGTTGGTCCTATTTATCACATACCAGGGATCATGGATCAGTTTGAGTACATCAGAATACTGGAAGAAGTCATGTGGCTGTATGCTGAAGAGGAAATGCCCTTGAAATGGTTGTTTCAACAAGACAATGACCCCAAACACACCAGCAAGCGAGTAAAATCATGGTTCCAGACAAATAGAATTCAAGTAATGGACTGGCCAGCACAATCCCCGGACCTTAATCCTATAGGAAACTTGTGGGCTGACATAAAAAAATGCTGTTTATGAGGCAAAACCAAGAAATGCAGAGGAATTGTGGAAGGTAGTACAATTGTCCTGGGCTGCAATACCTGTTGACCGATGCCAGAAGTTGGTCGACTCCATGTACCACAGATGTGAAGCAGTTATCAGAAACCGTGGTAATGCAACTAAATATTAGTTTATGATTCTCTGGAAAGTTGAATCTTCAAGCATTTCTTAGTTTATGCAGTACATTTTTGAGTTTGTAAAGAAAGATGTCAACACTGTTATTTTTATGAACATTACTATTCTTGACTTTCTGTAAAATATTACCAAATTCAATTACTTTTTCCAATTTTCCTTCTTTGAAATAGAATGTGCAGTGTCCCAAAGAAGGTTTATTATTTGAGGTTTATTAAAGGGGACCTGTCATCAAAATTTCATACCCATTTTTATCATTTTTTCATAATCCTTGATGTCCTCTGATCATGTTTGCAACATAATTTTAGCTGAAAAGTAATTTGATGGTTTGTTTTAGTATGCCTAAAAAACCTTACAGGAAAACCAACTGATTTTGGCTCATTAACATTTATGGTAATGAGCTTTGCTCTGATTGGATCGCTGCTGTGAAGCCTGCTGTGCTCTGATTGGCTCAGCAATGGAGGTTCGGATTTCGGTTTATCCATTTTGCTAATGTGTGCTAAAGTAAGGTGCCCAGATGTCTGTGATGATATCCGGGGATATTCGGTGCGGCGGCGGCTGCGGGGAGGGTGCAGGGGCTGCAGGGGCTGTGTGATCACAGACAAAATCTCGGTACCGTTTAGTAACAACGCATGCCCCTTGTAATAACCCCCTTAAAAACTGTTGTTCAGGACTGCTTACTTGTGCTTCCTACCCATTCGGCTATTGTAATAACCGTTGTTCGAGCCCACACGCAACATTTTTGCTCTCATTCATGAAACACTTAAATCGAGGACATTTTTGGGGACAGCTTTTGCCGGGGACAGGTCATCCAATACGGGGACTGTCCCCGGAAATTGGGGACGTCTGGTCACCTTATGCTAAAGGCTAAAAATGGCAGGTATTAAACCCTATATATCTAAGACCTTAAGTCCAAAGAGGAGGTGGAAGTTGAAGAAGCCAGAGATCTCCAGTGGTGTTTTCATTCATTCTGCCCAGCTCTAAGTTCATTTTCCTGGCAGTGAACCCAAGGAAACACTGATCGTTTGGAAGAGACCCATAGCGGATACAGTGGTAGCTGGGTCTCGCTCTGGCTGGAGAGTGATGTTGACTGTGAATGAGTACGAGAATGAGAGAGTGGGTGCGGCTCACCGAGGACGCGCTCGTGAATAATAATGAGCAAGGTCAGCCCGACGTCAGAGGGACCTGCTTTTTCAATTGGCCTGGTTTACCCGTTCCTTTATTTTAAACCTTTACAGAATGCAAACGACGTAACAGTTTGTTTTCACATTTACAACATAAGACGAACATAATATGGACCTTATCTGACACAAAAAACACACAAAATTACATTTTGATGGCAGGTCCCCTTTAACCTTTTTAAACACACTGCTATTATTATGAACATAACTGTACTTCTAAATTCCAAATAGTACAGTTTTAAAACGTTTTGCTGTTAATGTTTTGTGTGAGTAGACTCTGACAGTGAGAGGAGGCCTTTCAGTCCAGCAATGCTGCCAGCTTAGATTCCTTTGAGAGACAAAAGTCATTCTGGGGTAATTCAGCATTACCTGCAAGAGAAAGGTGTTCTCCTTATCAGGGACCTCCAGCGCTGTGGTGCTCCTCACATCCACAATCGAACAGCAAGGGACAGTCAGTCGTGGCTTTGATGACTGTGGAGATAAAGCATGGATAAAAAAATGTGTTTCTGCATTGTCTTTTACTATCAAAAAAGAAAAAGAAAACTGGTGTTCAGGGGGTGACGGGCAGGACTTAGTCTTGTTTCTGCTAACTAAATGTTCATTTTTACCGAAAGAACCAAACAGTTTTGCTTCCATGATTTCTCACCAAGGAGCTAAATGGTTCTAATAGATTATTTTTGCCTGCAGGAAAGTCTCATTAAGATCATACAAATCAGTCCAATGACATGTAGAAAACTAGTCCAGGGCAGTTATTTGATAAAAGAAAGCCCTTTCACACCACTTTGTTGAAGTCTCTAATAAAGTTTTGTCTTAAAAGTGGTTAAAATTTATGTTGGCACCAGGTAAGCAGTGCTGATCAATACCAGATTATGAGAAATGTTTGTTCTTTTGGAGTCTCCCTTTCAACTTGTGTTACCCTCTCTCTGCTGGAATTTGTGATTAAATTAAACACTCAATGTTAATGTTAAAAGACCAACCACCCAAACAATTTCAGTCCCAATTCACGCTGGTACATAGTTTTACAGTTAAAATATAATTAAATTACACAGTTTACATCCCAGCACAACCACTCCTCCCTCCTCTATGTTAGTGTGAATGTGTCTGTGCACAAAGCTGCTATTTTATATGTAAATTAAAGAGTCAATGTCCCAATGTGATTAAGACCATGTTTAAGCCCTGACCCTCAAAGTTCCTGCACTCTGGAATGTATTACTCATGAGTTCAGAGTTTTCAAGAAGATCAACCGCCCGAGAAGTACTTTAGACCTAGATTCCTGCTACTGAAACATACAGCTTCCCTCAACAGTTCCTACTATCTACTCTCAACCAAAATAAAACACTTTAAAACACAAACCTGCATAAACCCCAAATTCTCACAACCTGCATGACACAACAACACCATATTCATCTACATGCCACTAAACTGCTTCTTAGACAGCTATTATCTATTTTTTGGATAAATATCACGAGACGAATGACACGTCGTATCAACTAACCACAAATGATTCATCAGACAACATTTTTGTTCAACTTGGAAAAAACTTAACTGGTGCACCAAAAAAAGTCCTGTAAAGGCATCTAAATCAACATCTCAACTGGCTTCTCTGGATACAACACAATTATTCCATATCTTCATCTAGTATGATGATCTTAAGGATGTAATTCAACAGAACTTTCTGTTGTATAAGAAAGCATCTTATTCAATAACAAAAGGTACATCTCTGTTGCGATCCTTTTCACAACATTGTCAGACATACTGGATAAGAATCTGAGCTTGTCAATAGCAATACAAAGGACTTCAACAGAGATTTACAAATGGGGCCCATGTTGACAATAATAGCTTTCACTTTCTGAGACCTGCCAAATTCAAAGGTGGTATGTACGTTATTTTAAAGAGGGAAACCCTTACTTTTGGTGGAATGAAGAATTCCAAGTAGTACTCCTCTCCCCGCTCACCACCTTCTCTGTCCCGCTCTCTGAGGACCAAGCGACATTTATGCCAGCGTCCTCCTCTCCAGGGCACGTTTCCCCCACTGGCCAGAGGCTGCACTGGAGCTGCCTGAGCTGAAGCCAATGTTGCTGGGGCAGAATTGTTGTTGTCCGTACCATGATGCAGTAGACCAAATGAGAAGCCAGGAAAGCCGTGGCTTGCACTCAACTCATCACTGGATGAACTCACACTCACCCCACCCTCCCGAACCAGCCTGCCCACCTTTCTTGGAGGTCCGATGGCGACAGCAGCGGCACTGCTTGGAGGCAAAGTGGAGGCTGTGGTTTGGGTAAGGGCTGGAGGGGGGGATCGTGACAGTCTGAGTTTCTCGAGTCGCTGGCTCCACTTCTCTTTTTCACCTCCTTCACCATTGCTCCGCCGCCGATCCCGAGCAGCCTCTGACAGAGACAGGGAGGTGGCACTGCTTGAGGATGAGGGGGGCAGTGAAGAGGAGGAGGAGTGAGGGAGGGAAAGGGGCATGGACAGGGACACGGGCATGGAGGAGGTGGGTGTGGGAGGCTGTGTACCAGAGTTCCTCTTTGAGGCTGAAACCAAGGTAGCATCCTGCACACCCATAGTATAGCTGTAACTAGAGGGCAGCTGGCTCTGGGCAGAGTCACTGGAGGAGCTTCGCCAGTGCAGAATGCCCCGGACACTCCCCCGCACACTACGACCCACACTCCGTAGGGAAAAGCGCTTCTTCAGTTTGTTTTTGGAGTTGGGTGTACTGTTACCTTTGGAGCCGGGCGGAGGAGTGACTGAGGAAGAGCAAGGTGGAACTTGAGGAGTGTGGGAGGGGCCTGCACCATCCACCTCTGTAGACTCTCCATCCTGCTCCTCTGGCTCAACATCCTCCCCCACAGATGCTACCCCTAACCAGCTGTCCTCCTCTTCCTCAACTGGTGCCTCCCCATTCCCTGGAGTGACCATAGCCCCCCGCTCCTCACGCCTCCCATTGTTTCCTCCCAATGAGGAGCAACATGAAGAGGAAGAAGACGGGGGCAAGACTTGGCCATGGGCATAAGAATCCTGAAACCTGTCACTGCTGCGGTTCTCCAACACCAGTTGTGAAGGTGCAGGCTTGGATGAAGCTCGTGTAATGTTAGTGGGGGGACAAGGAAGGACAGCTCCTGCTGATGCTGACAGAGGGGAAACAGCCTCTTCTTCCAAAGATGTGGCATCTGACTGAGGAGCCCAGCTCACCATATCTTCCCTCCCAGAAGTACAACTTGGAGGAAGCGCCCCCTCAAGCTCACTCTGAAAGTGACGCACAAAACGGTCAGTGAAGCGCCTACAGAAGGCAGCAGCTGAGTCTGGGGAGTAGTGTGGATTTTCCAGGAGAAATGCCCGAAAGTGGCGTGCAAAGTCACCGGCTGCAACGCGGGCATGGAGCTCACAGAATTCGGTCCAGCTCAGACAGGGGGAGGGGGATGGCGTTGGGGTGTCTGACAGGGAGAGTGGGTGAGCCTGGGGTGGAGGGCTCACCAGAGGTGGCAGAGGAGGCGGCCGGGGAGACAGGGGTAACAGAGAGGGAGAAGGAGGGGAAGGAGATGGGGAGGGTGAGGGGGAAGGAGGTAAAGGAGAGGAGTTTGCTGCCCTTGGGCTGGGTGGGGTCAAAAGGGAGCCGTTCATGCTCCTGAAATGCTTGGACACTGACTGACTCAATGGTCTATCAGATCACTTCAAACATACAACAGAAAGCTGAAGTGATTGCACAGCTGACTAAGGGGCAAACACAGCACATTGGTCTAATAGCTTACAATAGAGTGTGAAGGTAAGTGTTGTCCTAAGCCCCATCTAAAACAATAGTTAAAATGCTCCAGACCCATGCAAGATGGGGTTTAAAGAGGTCAAATATCTCTAAGAATGAGCTTCTTGCTACATTATTTTGTCAGATTTGGACAGCCAGGAAATGAAAGGGTTTGGGAGGTTGGATGTATGGGATTCACAGGGTCTGCCCAGTCTTCACCATCTGTTATACATGATGAGAAGTTAAGCCACATCCTGTAAAAACACAAAACAAACAGTGAATTAAACATAAGTTAAACAAAACTGTTGCATCACAGAGAAACACAAGCACTCAGGGAAAACAGGTACCACACTGCATCAGCAAATTTATCAGTGTGTCTTGCATGTTCACTTAATCAGGGACCAGAAGCCTATGATTGTGTGTGTAATAATGCACTCATATTGATTTTCAGCTGTGAAATAGGTTCACCTTTTTTGACACTTGAAGCCCTTAACAGAGAACTTTAATTTCAGCACTCCCTGTAGACTCAGCAGTATCAGTTGGCTCAATTTGTCTTGTTCATGGATTGTATAGCAAGATATTTCAGTGTGTGTCCTTTCCAAAGTCACCTCTTGGGAATATTGAGAATATTTGTGGCGGAAAATGTAAGTGGGCACCATGTCCAATTCCAATGCCAACTACATGTCACAGGACAGTGAAAATCGCTGTATAATAATCTGGCTCACTGGTTATGACCTTGCATGCTTTTGTACACAACATAGTAGCATCACTTTTAATTTTGGTCAGTTTCCCTACCTACTAAGAACCTTTAGGAAGCTGTAAGAACACTTAAGTGATTGAGATTTTTAGTTCTACAGAATTTTTAACTCTAAACGGTAGAGCTGTAACTTTTAAAGGAATATGTTTTTTCTACATTACTACCTGTCTTGTGGACAAATTCATCATTCATTACCTGCATCTTGTGCACCAATCAATTCCAGGAAGTGATGGGTTGTTCTAGACCTTGGATTTATAAAGATGAACTCTCAGAGCTCTAAATCTGGCTCAGTGTTGTCCCTGTGATGTCTAAACCCGCTGAGGGCTGCCTGAGATCTGTCAGAGCTGAAATGAACCTTGATATCTGTGTTGTGGTCCCAGACATGGAGCATGTGAGAGGATAGCTAACCCTACCGTCAGAGGTCTGAAAGGTAAAACAGCAACTGGACGAAAATTAAGTATCACAGCGTATTTTAGCTCAGAGCAATGAAAGGTTTTGTTACTATTCTCCAAGGCTGCATTAAACACTGGCCTATCGGTATGAACCGAACAGCTCTGTGTGTCCAGCTCATTCAGCTTCTTTAAAGACGTGTAACATTCGCTAGCTAACAATAGCCACCTAACGTCGAAGCTGCTATCAATTAATATCTTTATATGGCAATGCTGATGACATATTCGCCCTTTTCGTGATAACGACTGGGAAGTGATGCTGAGATCACTACATGATGAATGATCCAACATCAGCTAAAACCAAATATTCTTTGCGAGCTAAGCTAACATTAGCCAGTTAGCTAGCTATTAATAAACCTGCTAGCTAGCTATCAACATTGCTTCACCACAATGTACCATGTTTTCTCTACCTGTACATCACGGTCCGGGGTTTTCTTTAGTATCTATTAATGGAACTGGCAGAAATTTAATCATTCTTCCAGTCTACATAACAGAAACATCATTCACGTAAAGGTTGTTGTTGCTAAATATGAATATTGCTATGCCTTGCCTGGACCCGTTCCTCTCGCGCTGCCCTCATTCTCGCGATAGTTGGTTGTTTTGGCGTCTGATCTTGACAGTTGCTGTTACAAACCGCTGGATTTTTGTTGAATGATGACTCGCTTCTTAGAAATGCGACAACTTACCCAACGAGGAAACGAGAGGAAATGTAGTGAAAACCGTGGGGGAAAAATGACAGCTTCCTCTCAGATCCCCCACCCCTTCATACAAACAAACTTATTAACTCTCCTAGGGTCTGATTGCTCCATCCTTGAAGGTCCCACATCAGTTATCCATCTATATAATGGATGGCCCATGCATCTTTATCAGGTGGCTGTAATTTATGAACGTACTGTTGTGTTAAATATACTGTTTATCATAATGGTGGAAGAAGTCTATATGATTTACTTGAATAGAGTTACAACACACTGTGAATCATTTCCACAAAAACGTATGTGTGTATGAAGAGACAAGTCGGCTATCCACAGAGAGTTAAAATAGTTTTTACTATTTTAAACCAATATTTTGGTTTTTAAATTAAAATCAAGCTCCATCTTCTGCTGGTTGTGATAGCACCTTTTGTAATAGCAGTTAAACTAAAAACTGTTGGCTTATTTAAAGGTCCTGTGAGGAGGTTTTGGTTGGTCATAAAATATTCTGAAATAAATTCTCATGCTTTAAACTACCAGGGAAAGGACAGATTATTTATTAATTCATCTATTCATATATTTTGAACCGTTACCTCCAGAAGCGGCATGTAGACCAACCAATTTTGGTCGATACACTGTTGTTACTACAAGAACATACAACATTTCCAAATGGGACTAATTTTTTTTTACAGCTTAAGCACTGAAGCATCCTTTTCTATTCACTTCCTTAGTGTAACAAATTACAAGTCTCCCTTGATTTACTTATATAAGCAAAATTTATTCATAGGCACAGCCACGGGTGTGTCCAAACTGGGGCACTGATTTATGCACCGGTGGCATGAAATGTGTGTGCGCCACATACTGTATAAGATATGAAGCAGAGTTTTGAAAATTCTTGACAGCAGTTGCCAAATTGGATATACTAACTCACCCTAACTTTAAAACTAGCAAGAGACAAAGAGGTGGAGTTGAGAAGAAGCTTGAGCTTCCTCATTAATAGCCTGCCTGCCAGTCAAGTCAGCTATGTCCCCAATAATGCAAAACCTGTAATATCCACACAAAAAAATGATTAAAAAAAAATCCCTGGTACACCGTGTTTGGAAAAAGAAATGAGCTAATCAAAGCGAACCAGGTTATAGTTTTTTTGTTTTGTTTTTTGTTGTTGTTATTTTTTGAAAGGGTGTATGTAAATCTTTTGGTCCCAGCAAGTGGACGCTTCATTTTCCAAGACCGGAGAATGATGTTTGGTGTACACATATAGAAATTAATCACACACTCCTTCTCAGCCTAATACATCTGTTTATCCTACTCGCATTTTAACATCAGCTGAATGTTATTTTCCTGTTGCAGTTGTGTAACTTAAGAAAGTTACAACTGAACAACAACATTGATGATTCCTCTTCTGTGCACCTGAAATATGACATAGTTCTTGTAGGATTTTTTTCTTCAATCTTATGACAAAGAAAGGGAATTTGCTACCTTTAAATGCAAAGGAAACAGTTATTAACCTGATGAAATAGTAAACATAAGTGCTGCTGATGAAATGGAAAATAGCCTACCAGAGTTGAAAAGTTTGGGGTAGCCAATCAGATTTCAAAAGGGCCTGTACCACCCCTACCATTCTTTCAGATGTGCCCCTGCACAAAGCCATTTTTAAAGATTGACCTCTAAAAAAATTTCATCACAATTAAACATTTCCAGTACAAAAACCAATGATTTATTTTTCAATAAGCAATTTTGATTTTGAGCTTTTTAAAGCTCTTTGTTGTGTTTTTGCCATAGGAGTATACCAGTATTCAAGTGTTATTATTTCATTTGTTGGCAATCATCAGTTAACACTTGATCACCTTAAAAACACTCCAAGATAGTTCAAGACATTGTAGGAAAGTTCACTTCATAGTACTGTGGTCTCACAAATTTTGAATGTTAAGTCCAGTTCTGATGACCCCAGTGCCACTGATATATAACTAACTGAATTAATATCTCTGGATGAATGAAAGATGAATCAAAAGGAGTTAGGATGTATTTACTAACATCTTTATTGCACTTTCCAGCAATGCAACTATATACAAATATCCAGGAAAACCATTTAAGAGTTATTTTCTGCCTTGACATTGTTAATGTTGAAACAATGCCAACATGAAATCTATTAACATATTTATAAGTTAAAGAAACCAGAGTCCATAACAGAGTCCACTTTAGTCCACCTCCTCAACTGAGGGTCCCTGGGAACCAGCTCTTGCTTCCTCTCTGCAGCTACTTGCAGGGGTTCCCCCCTGATACAGCTTACTAATGATGGGGTTACACACTTTCTCCAGCTCCTTCTGCTGGTGTTGGTACTCCTCTTTCTCAGCCAGCTGGTTGTTCTCTAGCCAGGTAATGGTCTCGTCACACTTCTGAATCAGCTTCTTCTTGTCCTCCTCACTGATTTTGCTCTTCAGGTTCTCCTCCTGCACGCTGCTCCTTATGTTGAAGGCATACGACTCCAGGGAGTTCTTTGCAAAGATTTTGTCCCTCTGCTGGTCGTCCTCAGCTTTGTATTTGTCTGCATCCTGCACCATTCTCTCAATCTCTTCTTTGCTCAGTCGGCCCTTGTCGTTGGTGATGGTGATCTTGTTCTCTTTGCCCGTGCTTTTGTCCACTGCTGACACGTTCAGTATCCCATTTGCATCCACGTCAAAGGTGACCGCAATCTGTGGGACCCCGCGTGGAGCAGGTGGGATTCCAGTTAGCTCAAACCTGCCCAGCAGGTTGTTGTCCTTGGTCATGGCTCTTTCCCCTTCGAAGACCTGGATGAGGACCCCCAACTGGTTGTCAGAGTAAGTGCTGAACACCTGGGTTTGTTTGATAGGGATGGTGGTGTTTCGTTTAATCAGAGCTGTCATGACTCCTCCAGCTGTCTCAATACCCAAGGACAGTGGAGCCACATCCAGCAGCAGCAGGTCCTGAACCTTCCCTGAGGTATCACCTGTGAGGATGGCGGCCTGGACAGCAGCACCGTAAGCCACTGCCTCATCCGGGTTGATGCTCTTGTTCAGCTCCCTGCCATTAAAGAAATCCTGCAGCAGTTTCTGGATTTTGGGGATGCGGGTGGAGCCTCCCACCAGGACGATGTCCTGGATCTGTGCCTTGTCCATTTTGGCGTCCCTCAGGGCTTTCTCCAATGGCTCTAAGGTTCCCCTGAACAGGTCAGAACACAGCTCCTCAAAGCGAGCCCTGGTGATGGAGGTATAGAAGTCGATGCCCTCAAACAGAGAGTCAATCTCAATGCTGGCCTGCGAGCTGGAGGACAGGGTTCTCTTGGCCCTCTCACAAGCTGTGCGCAGCCTCCTCAAGGCTCTCTTGTTCTGGCTGATGTCTTTCTTGTGTTTCCTCTTGAACTCCTCCACAAAGTGGTTGACCATGCGGTTGTCAAAGTCTTCTCCACCTAGGTGGGTGTCTCCGGCTGTTGCTTTCACCTCAAAGATACCGTCTTCGATGGTCAGGACGGACACGTCAAAGGTGCCTCCACCCAGATCAAAGATCAGGACATTGCGCTCTCCTGACTTGCCTTTGTCCAGACCGTAGGCAATGGCAGCTGCTGTGGGCTCATTGATGATCCTCAGGACGTTCAGTCCCGCAATGACGCTCGCATCTTTGGTGGCCTGCCGTTGGGAGTCATTAAAGTAGGCTGGGACTGTGATCACTGCATTGGACACTTTTTGACCAAGGTAGGCCTCAGCAATCTCCCTCATCTTCACCAGGACCATGGAGGAAATCTCCTCAGGGTAGAACGCTTTGTCCTGCCCTTTGTATTCCACCTGAATTTTGGGCTTCCCTCCATCTCCGATCACCTTGAAAGGCCAGTGTTTCATGTCAGCCTGCACTACCGGATCATCCATCTTCCTTCCAATCAGTCTCTTGGCATCAAAAACTGTGTTGCTGGGGTTCAGAGCCACCTGGTTTTTGGCTGCATCCCCAATGAGCCTCTCGGTGTCTGTGAAGGCCACATAGCTGGGGGTAGTCCTGTTGCCCTGGTCATTGGCAATGATCTCTACTTTTCCATGCTGAAAAACCCCCACACAGGAATAGGTGGTGCCCAGGTCAATGCCAATTGCTACACCTTTAGCTGAAGACATGTTTACTTGAGAAGGTATCCTGTGAAACAAGCAGATTGGCACATTACACCATTTACATCAGCATTAATTGTACTCTCATACTTAAATCTGTTTTGCTATCATTTGTGTGAAGACGTTGTCAGTTTGAGTATTTAGAAAATAACATCGGACACCTAGAATGTGCTCCACATTTTGATCCAAAACAACTTAATCACTGACATTAGTTATAATAACTTTCTGACACGTTCAGAGCAATAAAGCATCTTAAATAAGAACATTTTTCAAATCATGAGGGATGGTCAAACTTACAGTTGGAAGCTGAGTGTTCTGTGTTTTGGTGAGAGCTGGTCCTCTTTGTCCTCTCGTAAGCCTGCGCTGTTCTCTCGTTGATTTCTCAAACTGTCTCAGCTCGCGAAACTGCCGCTTATTATCTGTGGGAAGTGACAGTCTCGCTCTTTCCAGACGTTTCGTACACAAATGAATCAAGTCACAATACATAAAATGTAGCGCTTCCTGTTTGTATTTCAAAATAAAATTAATCCCACATGAGGGACTCAGTAATAAGTGGGTCTACGCGTTTACTTAGCCTACCTTATTTTGAAAGTTAGAAATGACACCATCCTCGATCATTGACACAACTTTATAGAACCCTCTCGAAGCACCTCGAAACTGCTGGAGACATGGAGCAAAACTATAGACGGTATAAGGCTTCAGCATGATCCCTAAACTACACAAGTAACTTACTGAAATCCATGTGTCAATCGCCGGATGTTGCGCTGCGATATATCAAAATAACAAACCAGAAGGAAAGAAGAAAGGGGGCTTAACTGGGCAGGGAGCAGTGGGAAGCCCAGATGTTATTGCTTAGAGGGGTTCTCAAAGTAAAGAATAAAACTAATCTTCATAACCACTTCTGAGTTTTCAATACAGTTCGTTTAGGGATCATGCTGAAGACCTATACCGTCTATAGTTTTGCTCCATGTCTCCAGTAAATCTAATAAAATTCCATCAACGGTGTTTGGACTGTTAAACAAGTAGCGCAACATCCGGCGATTGACACATGGATTTCAGTAAGTTACTTGTGTAGTTTAGGGATCATGCTGAAGCCTTATACCGTCTATAGTTTTGCTCCATGTCTCCAGCAGTTTCGAGGTGCTTCGAGAGGGTTCTATAAAGTTGTGTCAATGATCGATGATGGTGTCATTTCTAACTTTCAAAATAAGGTAAGTAAACGCGTAGACCCACTTATTACTGATTCCCTCATGTGGGATTAATTTTATTTTGAAATACAAACAGGAAGCGCTACATTTTATGTATTGTGACTTGATTCATTTGTGTACGAAACGTCTGGAAAGAGCGAGACTGTCACTTCCCACAGATAATAAGCGGCAGTTTCGCGAGCTGAGACAGTTTGAGAAATCAACGAGAGAACAGCGCAGGCTTACGAGAGGACAAAGAGGACTAGCTCTCACCAAAACACAGAACACTCAGCTTCCAACTGTAAGTTTGACCATCCCTCATGATTTGAAAAATGTTCTTATTTAAGATGCTTTATTGCTCTGAACGTGTCAGAAAGTTATTATAACTAATGTCAGTGATTAAGTTGTTTTGGATCAAAATGTGGAGCACATTCTAGGTGTCCGATGTTATTTTCTAAATACTCAAACTGACAACGTCTTCACACAAATGATAGCAAAACAGATTTAAGTATGAGAGTACAATTAATGCTGATGTAAATGGTGTAATGTGCCAATCTGCTTGTTTCACAGGATACCTTCTCAAGTAAACATGTCTTCAGCTAAAGGTGTAGCAATTGGCATTGACCTGGGCACCACCTATTCCTGTGTGGGGGTTTTTCAGCATGGAAAAGTAGAGATCATTGCCAATGACCAGGGCAACAGGACTACCCCCAGCTATGTGGCCTTCACAGACACCGAGAGGCTCATTGGGGATGCAGCCAAGAACCAGGTGGCTCTGAACCCCAGCAACACAGTTTTTGATGCCAAGAGACTGATTGGAAGGAAGATGGATGATCTGGTAGTGCAGGCTGACATGAAACACTGGCCTTTCAAGGTGATCGGAGATGGAGGGAAGCCCAAAATTCAGGTGGAATACAAAGGGCAGGACAAAGCGTTCTACCCTGAGGAGATTTCCTCCATGGTCCTGGTGAAGATGAGGGAGATTGCTGAGGCCTACCTTGGTCAAAAAGTGTCCAATGCAGTGATCACAGTCCCAGCCTACTTTAATGACTCCCAACGGCAGGCCACCAAAGATGCGAGCGTCATTGCGGGACTGAACGTCCTGAGGATCATCAATGAGCCCACAGCAGCTGCCATTGCCTACGGTCTGGACAAAGGCAAGTCAGGAAAGCGCAATGTCCTGATCTTTGATCTGGGTGGAGGCACCTTTGACGTGTCCGTCCTGACCATCGAAGACGGTATCTTTGAGGTGAAAGCAACGGCCGGAGACACCCACCTAGGTGGAGAAGACTTTGACAACCGCATGGTCAACCACTTTGTGGAGGAGTTCAAGAGGAAACACAAGAAAGACATCAGCCAGAATAAGAGAGCCTTGAGGAGGCTGCGCACAGCTTGTGAGAGGGCCAAGAGAACCCTGTCCTCCAGCTCGCAGGCCAGCATTGAGATTGACTCTCTGTTTGAGGGCATCGACTTCTATACCTCCATCACCAGGGCTCGCTTTGAGGAGCTGTGTTCTGACCTGTTCAGGGGAACCTTAGAGCCATTGGAGAAAGCCCTGAGGGACGCCAAAATGGACAAGGCACAGATCCAGGACATCGTCCTGGTGGGAGGCTCCACCCGCATCCCCAAAATCCAGAAACTGCTGCAGGATTTCTTTAATGGCAGGGAGCTGAACAAGAGCATCAACCCGGATGAGGCAGTGGCTTACGGTGCTGCTGTCCAGGCCGCCATCCTCACAGGTGATACCTCAGGGAAGGTTCAGGACCTGCTGCTGCTGGATGTGGCTCCACTGTCCTTGGGTATTGAGACAGCTGGAGGAGTCATGACAGCTCTGATTAAACGAAACACCACCATCCCTATCAAACAAACCCAGGTGTTCAGCACTTACTCTGACAACCAGTTGGGGGTCCTCATCCAGGTCTTCGAAGGGGAAAGAGCCATGACCAAGGACAACAACCTGCTGGGCAGGTTTGAGCTAACTGGAATCCCACCTGCTCCACGCGGGGTCCCACAGATTGCGGTCACCTTTGACGTGGATGCAAATGGGATACTGAACGTGTCAGCAGTGGACAAAAGCACGGGCAAAGAGAACAAGATCACCATCACCAACGACAAGGGCCGACTGAGCAAAGAAGAGATTGAGAGAATGGTGCAGGATGCAGACAAATACAAAGCTGAGGACGACCAGCAGAGGGACAAAATCTTTGCAAAGAACTCCCTGGAGTCGTATGCCTTCAACATAAGGAGCAGCGTGCAGGAGGAGAACCTGAAGAGCAAAATCAGTGAGGAGGACAAGAAGAAGCTGATTCAGAAGTGTGACGAGACCATTACCTGGCTAGAGAACAACCAGCTGGCTGAGAAAGAGGAGTACCAACACCAGCAGAAGGAGCTGGAGAAAGTGTGTAACCCCATCATTAGTAAGCTGTATCAGGGGGGAACCCCTGCAAGTAGCTGCAGAGAGGAAGCAAGAGCTGGTTCCCAGGGACCCTCAGTTGAGGAGGTGGACTAAAGTGGACTCTGTTATGGACTCTGGTTTCTTTAACTTATAAATATGTTAATAGATTACATGTTGGCATTGTTTCAACATTAACAATGTGAAGGCAGAAAATAACTCTTAAATGGTTTTCCTGGATATTTGTATATAGTTGCATTGCTGGAAAGTGCAATAAAGATGTTAGTAAATACATCCTAACTCCTTTTGATTCATCTTTCATTCATCCAGAGATATTAATTCAGTTAGTTATATATCAGTGGCACTGGGGTCATCAATACTGGACTTAACTTTCAAAATTTGAGAGACATTGTCTTGAACTATCTTGGAGTGTTTTTAAAGTGATCAAGTGTTCAAGTATAATTTTCTTGTATTTATTTCAATTAAAATCATAAAGTCATAAAGATACAGCGGTACCATCTACATGCCGCTTATTTGTTAGACAGGAAATTTGAAAAAGCTTTTTCAAACAATCTGTTGCGGTACACAGAGTAACCACTAGATATCAGCGTAATCAAAGATTTTGAAGACTACACCATGACGATGACTTTAAAGTAGCTGGCTGTTAAAAAGTGTCCAGGTCTGGGAATTAAATGTTACGTGACAAAAATATTGTGAAATGATCATTTCTAGGAAATAAATCATAAACTGGCCTAAGGATAAGTAGTTACTGTGTGGTAATACATAAAATTATTAATTTTTTTTAATGTAAGTAATTAGCTTTCTGGGAAAGTCAAACCTCTTACCTGATGAAAGAGTAAAAGTTTAACTTGCGTGTCTTCAGCTGATTCCATTTTGTTTCATACAAAAACTAGAAAGTACAACATTTTTACTTACTACAGCCAACTGAGTCCTTCTGTCTACTGCTCCAGGTGCAAAAGTAGAACAAGAGATCTATTATATTATCTTATTGTAGGCCTGAAAATGTGATACACAATGTCTAAGGACAAATAGTCTGGAGCTAGGTTGTATTTTATGTACTTAATATGGGGTCTACCTGTAGCAGTTTGTTATAGTAACTACACATTTTTTTCTGGTCTTATTTATGGTAGTGACTGTTTATTTATTTACTGTTACTATTTTATTGCTACTTTTATAGCCATTTTTCCTCTTTCTGACTCTTCTTGAATTAAATGCGACCAGAGGACATTACTGTGCATTGTTCTGGACTGACTGAGTGTGGGATGGAGGGGCTGTTAACATCAGTATTGTTGGTTTTTATAATTTCCTTCATTTTGCCTTTAACTGAACCACTGAGGGGTCAGATATACTACAATAAAATAGTTTCAAAAGTAAGAGCTAAGAGGTCGATACTTAAAATACATGTTACTTTTTCTGATTATCAGTAAATTAAATTAACAGCAGATTAACAGACTGATAGATTGACCTCTACTTTAGTGAAACGAAATAACTACAGGTGCTGTTAAAAAGCTAGAATGTCCCAAAAAACTTCATTTCCCCCCATTATTCAAATTTTATTAGTGAAATTTCCATATATCATAGATTCATCAGTCTTGATGATAATAGTTTACAGCTCGTGAAAATCCACAATCAGTTATCTCAATCCGCTATCATGTCCGGATGCAACTGTCAGTAGGTGAATTTTAGACTTGTTTAACAGTCCAAACACCGATGATGGAATTTTATTGGATTTAACACTCAAGTCTTTAGTGCAGAGACATTATCATTGTTTGCGGAGAGCTTATAGAATCTGTTCGACATTTAATGAGTCTTTTAAGAATGATCATTAAATCAAGCCTTAGAGGCTTTGTGCTACATCACTAACATTATCTAGGTCAATTTATTTATACCGCTTCATTTGTGAAACGGAAACCTCACAGGAAAAGAACAAATTGGTTTCCGGTCAACAGTTGAGTCCCGCCCCTCCAGTCTGTGCCATCTTGTATTTAGCAAGAACAAAAACGGTGCAAGAAACAAGTCCGACCTCAGGATGGGGCGCGGATACTAAGCTAAATTTTAAGAGTGTTCTTTGATTATCTTTTTGTTGCGGGGCATTATGTTTGAAAGTGGGGCACCGCGACGAAACATCAGCCGCACCCCGCAGGATAGTTAACGTTAACGTTAGTTTGGAAGCTATCAAAGCTAAGCTTGCCAATAGCTAGCCGAGGCTAGTAACCCAGAAACGACTGAGAGGCAACTGGAGAGCTCCAAGTTCCGCCAACCCGGCAGTCATTCACACAAAGTGTAGATTCATTTCGCTGCTGCACTTGAACCAGGAGGGACTGAGGTAACAATGAGTGTAATGTCGTGCTGATCAACTGCTGAGAAGAGATCCGGGATATGAGGATAGAGGCTCACTAGCTTTGCTGCTAACTGTTGTTTTTCGGTCCCGAGTGGATCCACAAGAAGCCGCGGTGAGTGGTGCTACATCTTGGTATCTGAGAAGCTAGCCCTATTGGTTAGCTTTTCTTGAGCTTTTCTAACTTGAGTAAGCCCGGGAGTCTTCGATGTTTTTCCACAGAATTTTAGTAAAATGAGAATAATTTAGCTTCGCTCAAGTGAACCTCGATATAAGTTTGTCTGAATGGGACTGTATATCCCAGTTTATTCACTGTGCCGGGTTTGAAACGTTTGAACTAATACAGGACTGTAGCTGAAATATTCAATACCCAGATTAGCAGGAATCCGTGACTGAACCATGATGTTTCTACAGACTAGTCCTGTGGTTGTTGTCGGCCAGTATACGAGGTCGTGTCAGCTCAGCGAAATTTTTTTAAGATTATCATTGGTGACCACTGTCATCTACAGCTGCTTTTGTCTGCGTTAACTTTTGTCTATCCCTGGAAACATCAGTAAATCAATAATCAACCGTCATATGTCGTGTAGTTGTAGGTAATACCGTCTTGTCAGCCCCGTAAGTGATCAAATCCCGGATTGAACCAAAAATGTGTCAATCTGAGCATTTGCTCATCTTGCAGGCCCAAACTTTATTATATGATAAGCTACTGGTTTTATTGAAAGTTTCAGTGGAGGTTTTTGGTGTTGCGATTTTCAGACACAACTTGCTTCACGGATCCCAAGGTTTCCGTTTTGATGGAGAGGTTGATGTAATGCTTATGTAAACTAAATCAACGCCTCGCACATTGAGTACCGTTGCTTCCTCTTATCAACTGGAGATCTAATCTTACACAGAAATGTGGTCTGTGGTAGGATTTATGTTATTTATCAGATTACTGAAATGCGTTATCCCCTTACCTCGTTTGCTCTCATTTGGTTGAGTTACTCTCAGCTGAGTTAGAATAGTCACAAGTGATGAAACTTTGGTATACATCCTTATTGAAGTATGAATAAAACTTTATCATTTGTATTTAGCCTTTAAACATTTTGTCACCTCTTCGTCTGTTTTCCGTCACTTGTATTGTTTGTAAACACAAAACATTGACTTTATGGAGGCATTATTTAAGCTGGTGCTTATAAATGCTGTTAGGTTCCCTGGATGAATATGCAAAAACTTCACATTCACAACAGGGAGCTTCTGTTATGCAAAACTGTTCCCAAGTCAGGGCTGAGTTCAGCCATGTGATCTTGCTCTTTTTGCACCAATGAATGCACCAAATACCAAGTCACTCATTTTATTTTTTGAAAAAAACTGAATGACACAGCACTGTCTGTCTTCAGTGCCTTATTTTAACTTAAATGTGACTGAAATGACAATGAGTTTGTTTTTCCACATGGGATTTATGGAAACTGTCTTCATTGCTGTGTGCTTTAACTTGCATGAAATTATGTTCCCCAGAAAATGAGTGACTGATAAAAGTGTCATCTGAATGTTTTTGTGTTGTTTTTCCCCTTGAAACATGAACATGAGTAAACAAAATATGGTGCACAGCAGTTGCACACAATGATGCACAAACTTGGGTTTATGTACATTTCTGCCTTGTTCTGCCCAATTCCGTTGAAGTTGGGAAATTGTGATAAACGTAAATAAAAACACAATACAAAGATTTGCAAATCCTTTACTCAGAATTTCAATCAATCCATTAGGCGGCACTGTATCAAAAACCAACATCAATGTGTAAAGGATATTGCCACATGGGCTCAGGAACACTTCAGAAATCCATTGTCAGTAAATACAGTGTGTCTCTACATCTGTAAGTGCAAGTTAAAACTCTACTATGCAAAGTGAAAGCCATTTATCAGCTCATCTAAGATGGACTGATGCAAAGTGGAAAAGTGTTCTGTGGTCTGACGAGTCCACATTTCAAGTAGTTTTTGGAAATAGTGGACGTCGTGTCCTCCGGGCCAAAGAGGAAAAGAACCATCCGGACTGTTATCCATGCAAAGTTCAAAAGCCAGCATCTGTGATGGTATGGGGGTGCATTAGTGGCCAAGGCATGGGTAACTTGCACATCTGTGAAGGCAACATTAATGCTGAAAGGTACAGTTTTGGAGCAACATATGCTGCCATCCAAGCAACGTCTTTTTCATGGATGCCCCTGCTTATTTCAGCAAGACAATGCCAAGCCACATCCTGCACGTGTTACAACAGTGTGGCTTTGTAGTAAAAGAGTGCGGGTTCTCGACTGACCTGCCTGCAGTCCAGAGCTGTCTCCCATTGAAAACGTGTGGCGCATTATGAAGCGTAAAAATACAACAACAGAGACCCTGGACTGTTGAACAACTGAAGCTGTACATCAAGCAAGAATGGGAAAGAAGTCCACCTTCAAAGCTTCAACAATTAGTCTCCTCAGTTCCCAAACGTTTACTGAGTGTTGTTAAAAGGAAAGGTGATGTAACACAGTGGTAAACATGCCCCTGTCCCAACTACTTTAGCACGTGTTGCAGCAATTAAATCCGGAGTTAATTTTATTTGCAAAAAAAAAAAAAGTTTGAGTTTAAACATTAAATATCTTGTCTTTGTAGTGTATTCAACTGAATATAAGTTGAAAAGGATTTGCAAATCATTGCATTCCATTTTTATTTAGGTTTATCACAATTTCCCAACTTCAATGGAATTGGGTTTTGTAGATACCAGAATGTCTGTAGATTGTTAAATCTAACCAAAGCTGAGCGAAAAGACAAAACCAAAAACATGATTATCAATCGAATGAGATATTTTTAGATGCAATAATGAAGACACTGGAGGGTGTCCAGTTTGAGAAGTACTATGTTTATTACAGAGGCAAACAGGATAGACATTGTAATTTCACCTCGGAAAACAAACAAAAAAAGGATATAGTAGTCCTATATTAAATATCAATGTCTCTCTGAAGCTCTTTGTAGTGTGTTAGCTGATACTGCAGACTGATGGGGTATTGTTGCATATTTTTATACTTGTTTTTGCTTTGTTGTAGGCTGATAGATTTATCCACATCCATTTCTGGACTTTATTAACCACAGTTATTTGCAAAATTCTAATGCTCAGCATTAGCTCCAACTATTGTCAATGCATGCTATATTTTAGTGTGAACATGTTGAATCTAACGGAGTAGTAGAAACCCAAATGAAATGTCATGACAAAGCTCTGTAGCTTGATTGGGATCACAGTTATGCTGAAGTTAATGAGGGTGTCCCATTTCCTCCCTTTTCTATTTAGGAAAGCTTGTTGTTCCTTCTGTAAATCAACACATAAGTGTCTACCACAATTCAGGGATTGGTTGTTTTTACTTGTGACTGTAGACAGTAGCTGCCTGCAGGCGTCAACAGCCGCTTTCGCCCTAAACACCATCACATAATACGAGATTGGAAATTGGTTCACTGCATTCTGAAGAAACTCTGTGTCAGGGTGGGAGGCTGGGAATCTGTCTTCTTGTCTAGCACAGATTTACAAGCATGTTTACACACAGCAGCCTGTATGGAACAGGGACCCCGAGGCCCATTTTTGAGCATTCATGGAACCACGGAAGCCTTATTATGTTGCTGGCTTTCCTTGGGTCTCCAGCTGACATTCAAGGATGAGCAGCTACGTTAACCTTATTATAAAGTGATGTTGCATTTGTCAACAGCACCGCCTCAGAGTGTAGGCTTAGATCACATTCAAGGGGCTGATCACATGATCAGATGCTTTTCTTTGGTTTGTTTTCGCCCATCTTTGATATGGGTTGAATAATAAATATTTAACATATTACTCTTTACATTATTCCTAACCTTATGCCATCTGTTTCTATTATTGGTGGTTTTGTTAGTTTGAAGTAGGGCTGCAGCTATCGATTATTTTAGTAATCGAGTACTCTATCGATTAATCTGTCGATTAATCGAGTAATCGGATAAGAAATGTTTTGCTCTCACTGTAATACTTTGCATTGAATCACGTTTGCCTCAGAGCGGACTTAATGCATGGACCGGGTGTTTTCTTTTAAGGTGCTGCAGCATTGACGACGTGCTGTTGTGAAACGCCAACTCCGCCTTACAGTAAACGCACTGCACGGCGTTTTCTTTCCTTTTCAGTGTGTAATGGTCCCACACTTTAGACACTTTCTGCTGTTTCCTCTGCGTGTCATCTCTTTCTTCCTCTCTCTGTCTGTCCTCGTTTCCCTCCATGATTGAACCAAACGCGCCATAGACATAATAAAAGATAGACCCCGCATCGGCCGCTACCACGAATGGGCGCTGTCGAGAAATGCGGCCGCCATCTTGGTCCGGTCATCCGCCTCACTCTGCACCGCTGTTTAACCGGCGGAATGAAGTCTGAGCGCATTAATGAATCATAGTTCGCTCAATACTACGTTATTTTCTTCCCTGCAAACGCCATTCAAAGAGGCATGATAGAGGCCATATTTTTTTTTGGCGTTTTCAAATACTCAGAATGAATAAAATGATATTTTAGAACATGGCAGCAGTGGCTGTATTATAGTATAACAATTAATCAAGGATATATTTAGGTTTAGAGCTAGGTTCCTGCTATGTCTCAATAATTATTAATAACTGGCGGTATTAATAGGCCAATTCAATATATATTGATTTGATTATAATTTTTTATATAGTTTAATTTTATTTATCCATTTGTAGACACACACAAATAATGTCATATAGAAGCACTATTTTAATAACTGGAAAATACACACAAATATATAGCCTACATATCAAAAAGATTTAAACACAAGAACAGCATGACAGGACAGCATCGAAACTACATATCAATTTGCTTGTTGGCTACACAGCACAGAGGAATCACTTGCTGCGAATTTCTCCCTCTAACAGCAATCTCCCACTTCATCCTCAAGTTTTTGTCCTTAGGAAATCTTCAAAATGAAACAGGAGATCACCACAAAGAAATCTTTAATAAAACAGATAATAAAACAGAGCTCACTTTCTTCCTTTTTCTTTCTATTTTATTTCTTAACGTTTCTTAGAAGCTCTCTCAAACAAAAGTTTTTCAATCTAATGCAAATCTGTTGATAATCGACCAAAGTTGCTATTATTGTGAATAAGCTAGCTGTTCGCAAATGCTGTTTCCTTTTTGGAGTTGACCGATAGTCTTCCTCTTTGGCCTACAAATGACTCTACAGTCAAGTGTAATGTTTAAAAAACGTTTAATCATAACTGTGAAAAGTTATTTCTTGAGCCCTGTTCTCTGCTGTCCGCCTGTTGGCACAGGAATACGCCGCACAGTGCTTCGGCATCGCTGAATGAATGAATATGATTGACCGGAGCGTATGGGAAGCTTGACCTGACCAAGATGGCGGCCGCATTTCTCGCTGCGCAGCACCCCCAGCGGGGTCTACCCTTTTATTATGTCTATGGCGCAGCACCCCCAGCGGGGTCTACCCTTTTATTATGTCTATGAAACGCGCGGCAGCGGAAGGAGCGGAAAGAGCACGCTGCTGCGCAACAGAAATAACCGTCCGTGTCAAACACCGTGCGCTGCACATGGTTCCGGATTTAAACGATTCCTCGAGGCATATAATTTGCCTCAAGGAATTTTATTAATCGAGTTACTCGAGTAATCGTTTCAGCCCTAGTTTGAAGTATGATAAAATGTTTTTCAATCTTTTACTTAACGCCCCCTTGCATATATTTATTACAGGGGATGATCATAGGGTTAAACAAGCTAAAAAAGCACACTCTGGGTCGCAGCTTAAACTCGGGACAGATGCAAATTTACAACAGCTGCATGTTTTTGTTATCCTCGAGAAAGTCTGCAACTCTCAGATGAATACAGATGGTGCATTCAGGAGCGTCCAAATTTTCTATACTACTGAAAATAACTGGGGTTACAATGGCTTACATGTGAAGGATTTGTGTGTGGTGGAGACAAAACAGCCCCCCAAAGTGGGGGACCCCCCCCCCCCCCCAACAGGAACATTTTCCACTCAGTGTGTTGGTCTTCTAGAGGTCAGAAAACAAGTTATTTTGTTCTCCATAGTCTCACAGCACCCTTCATGGTTGAGACATGGAAGGAAAAAAGCTTTCGTCTCTCCCCCACATCAGATCCCAGTCTGTGTCTTTTCATGTTTGGAGCTCATCCTGTCCGGCTGAACATCATAGTTTGGTCATGTCAGTATAATGTGCTTGTTTCATAACCTGTTAGATGGTGACTGTCCTACATAGATCAGCTGTGGGTGATAAAGACTGCTCTCCTTCAGAACAGAGGAGCAGAGCCCAGGATAACTTATTTCTGTTTGGCCCAGAATCAGCCATTCATGACATTCCTGTGATAATATGAGCTTCTAAGAAACAAATCATAGATTTTGAGTACCTGGGAATCTGATTTTGGAAATCTGTAAATAGGTCATTTAACTGGAGTACAAGATAATATTTTCCAGGGTGTTTCACACATTATTCAGATGGTTTTCTGTCCAACCGCAGTGGAAAACTGATGCTAAAAATCCTTCCAAATAAAATGCACACATGGTCTACCATCGAACATTAAACCTAGTGGTTGTTTTTTTTGTGTGCAACTCTTAACACAGCAGCTGCTTTCCCTTCAGGATCTAGTGCCAGGGTATTCAACACATCAGTCCAAATGAACATGTCAGCTGCTGTAAAATAGGCATTCCAGCAGTCTGAAACCTGAGACCTAGTACTTCATATTCAGTGGTTCAAATGACTCATTCGTGCAAATTGATTTGGAATTGTTTCAGTAGATTGCTTCAGTAAGAAGCTGTGAAATGCACTCAGAGTAAATCAAGGAAAGAGCCTTTTTATGACACAGATGGAACTGCCAAAAATGCAACTCTAAGCAGCACTACATGACCAAAGGCCCGGACGGTGTAATATTTTGACCCTCAACCTTCTTCCTCTTCTTCACATTTTTCCAGTACTAACCTGAGCTCTCATCTGTCTTTTAGGCCCTGGCCATGCCCTCGAGTGCACGGGCGGGCAATCTGAAGGACCCGGAGGTGGCAGATCTCTTCTGCAAAGATGATCCAGAGAAGCTTTTCGCAGACCTCCGAGAGATTGGTCATGGCAGCTTTGGGGCTGTTTACTTTGTGAGTAGGACAAATAATCCTTTTCACTGTTTTGATTGTTCCTGTGTGTCTTTAACTTCAGCTCAGCCTCACTTCATGATAATCAACATTAAGCTTGGCCCCTGATAGACTAGCTCAACATTTGTAACATTATTTGTGTGATGCATCAAAAGCTTAATTCCAGCCCATACCCCCATCCCACTTACTGGAAACCTTGAATTCCTTTTTGAAATTTGCTGTTATTAGAGCTTGGTGATTAATTGGATTTTAGTTTCAATTACAATTTTGGCTCCCAATAAAAAAAAAAATGTGATCATCAAGACTGTATGATATTTTTCTGCCTGCTGTGTCGCCCTCTCAAGGTCCGATACAGTATGTATGAAGCACAACCTCCCCCTCTTCAGATATCCTTGAACCTCTTAGACAGCAAAGCTTGGTCACAGACTTTCCCTTTAAACGGCTCTCACTTTTACTCCATCATTAGCAGTTCAGATCAACAAAGAACTAAATATGGGAGCACAAGGAAGTTGTGGCTACTGCCAAGATTATTGGTGGACTGCTGTATCTTGACCTTTAACTTGCAACAGAAGGACAAACTATCAAGCAGCCACAGCCGGGAAGCAGAAAGGAGGGAGAGGGGGAGAGAGGAAGGCAGAGCTTTGCCTTGTGTGTCTGAAAAGCCAAGGGACAGAATGAGCCCAACAGGGGCTATACAGGTCATAACTTTGTACACCTGCCAACAAGCTAAAAACTGCAGTGCTGAAAAGTGAGAGGCATTGTTCTGAATCGCAATGAAAGTCTGCAGCCTGTGATGAAATGTATAGTGATAAAAGAGCTTAAGTCTCTCAATTTTTATGACAGTGAAAATATACTAAACTACTGAGGGAAATCTAGCATTTAATAGTGCTGTTCAGCAAAATAAAGTCAAACCCCTAAAGTTGAGCGTTGATACATTGTCCCTCAGAAGTTGACCTATGGCTCGAGTAAGGCAGAGAGACAGACATGCTTTAGTAAACAAAAAATGTAGGTTTAGTAGTTAAACATTTATTGCATTTATCAAAGAGAAGATAAGAACTTAATCACTTATTTGTAGGTAGCTTTCTGTTATTTTGTAAAGGCAACAAGATGTGATGTTACTGCTGCTGGAATCAAACAGTCTGGCCTTCAACCAAAATTTCAAGCATTTCTCTTAAAAAAAACTCTGAATCAAGGAGGTCAGGGTGTTATTTTGTGTGGGTTCCCTAAAAGACAGAAATACCAATATTCAATAAGGTAACAGTGAATCTAATAATTGTCCCCCAGCCTCATTACACAAACAGCGGGAACACAACTGCACTGAGCCGCTTCATTGTACCTGTAAATTATTCCTTAGACTGCATGGCAGACTAACACCTCTGCTGTCTTCTACTGTGGGTTTGAGTTTCAGAGGATCTTTGAAAGACCATCAGAGAGGTGCTATAAAAATAGAGATCTGCATGTATTTGCATCTATTAAATTAGAGTGCTGCAGCTTACAAGGAGAGTCATGATCCAAAACAATTTTTAATCAGTACATTTTAAAGTCAGTACTACAGCTCTAAAGATATATTATTTATATTTTCATGGGGACATTGCCTGAAACTATCTGAACCTGCTTACCAGCCTACATTTCATATCAAGCAGCGATGGCAAGTCTGTAGAATCATTGGAATTCATGATACACAGCTTTTGTATGTGAGAAATGCCCCGCTGTATACTAGATAAGCCAGAATTGAATAGGTATATGATGAATTTATATTCACGTGCGTGTGTGTGTGTGTTGGGGGGGGGGGGGTTGTTACCCGTTACCCCCACTCTCTTGCCGCTACGTTACACACACTACTCGCAATACAGACCGTGTATAAGCTTAAACGTTACCCTTCACGTAAGTGGTAGAGGATCCGACAGGATTTGCTGCGCTCGCTGATGACTCAAAACAAGTTGAAAATAACGTAGTGTGTTGTTGTGCTCACACAGTGCGAGAAGAAATCATTAGTGCCGCATTGATAATTATGCTAGTAATGCTACTCACTATATAGACCGTGTATAAGCTTGAATATCACCTTTCATGTTGATAGAAGAGGGTCCGACAGGATTTGATGCGCTCTTTGATGACTCAAAACAAGTGGGAAATAACGTGTGTTGGTGTGCTCACACAGTGCGAGTAAAATCATTAGTGGCGTAATGATATTAATGATCGTGTGAAATTTCAGTAGTGACGCACGTAATTTAGCAGCTGCTAAGTGAATGTAGGAGAAACACTGGCTTGACAGACGAGCAATTTTTCTGTGGCAACATTTAATTCAGCAAAATATTTATTGAACGTTGAGTTATTTTCACATTTGCCAGGATTACTGAACTGTTGAAAGAAAGTCACAATGTGGCATTGGCATTATATATCATCCAACCTGCTCTCTCGTTACCACTGTTAACACTTGCTGTTGAGAAATTGTAAATTGGACGACCCTAGTTATATTATGCTGAGGCCTTGTATGCTGGTGATGGCGTTCTGCCCATCATGTCAGTAGGCAATATAGTAGTGGTCACTGATATTGGTTTTTCAATGGCGGGTGCTAATAATGAGAGAGCCAATCACAGCCAATGGTCGCGATATGTTGCCATTGTTATGATTTTTTATATATTTTTCTTTAATGAATTGTTCAAATTGTGATATGCGGCACAGACTGTTTAAGGCTGTTTTAAGTATTATGTGGTTTCAGACAGAATGCATTATTGTTATGGTCCATTTGATAAACATCTCTGTTAACCTGAAGGGTTATATCACAAGCTATTTTAAGGTCAATACATCAACTATGATGTAAGGTGGGCCATTTGAATGAAGTAAAATACAGACTTTGTCAGCTGAGCATGTCATGTACCATATTATCTTTGTATACAGGCATATTTTAAATGCACATAAGCTTCTCTAAAAAATGTGTGATGATGTCATTTGTTTCTATGCAAACAAAAAAATCTGTTCACAAACTGGTGACATTTTCTTCTGCAGTGATTTGGATCTGTAAAAATATTTTGTGTTTTGTGAAATATAAAGTTGTTGGCATGAACTCTTTTCCTGTTATCAATTACCATGGGTTATTAACATGCATGAGTGTGCATGTAGCTGTGTCTGTATTCCAGGGATATGAACCCTCTGAAAAAAAGTAGAACATAAACAAAGCAGCAGTGTAGGCACTGTTGCAGCGCTCTGAGAGTTGATCTTTATTTTTGGATGTGTTATATTAAGACAATACATTGTGTTGCATCATTGAGTTGTTTACAGTCGGGGCTGGAACTGACCTCAAGTTGGTGCATCATGACTTTGTCTTGTGCTCGATAGCAGCAGTATCACTTAGGATTTAGGATTAAGCTCTTATGGAGGATTAACCTGCTGGAATAGATTTGACAATGTATGAGCATCTTTTCCAAAAAAATAAGTAATGCAGTGTGGTGGATAGATGGATCATTGTGTACAGTCTTTGTGCTCAGCTCACTCAGCATACAAGGCTAAAGTTGTGGTGCCACCAAGTGGTCGGAAGTCTCCTCACTGTTACTGATAAAAAAAAGGCATTTCTTTTATATCCCCGACAGAGCTCAAAGAATATACTGCAATAAAAATGATTCCTCTGGACAGATGATGTATTGCTGTCAGTGTCCCCAGTCATTTACATGCACCTCTTTAACCGGGTCAAGCCAGCTTACTCCAGAACTCTCAGTCCTTAAACTTGATGAAGAAAGCTTGTTTCTGTTATCAGGGTCAGGGATTAGAGAAACCTGATTCTTCCTGAAGAACTGGACCACCACACGTGCGTCCATATTCTGTTCTAATCCGCATTTTACATGTAACTGTGCAAGACAAGAAGTCATGTCACAGAAGAGCTGCCTAGTGCCTACTGCAGTCAAATCAAATATCCTCACATGCAGAGACCAGAATGTCCTTTCATTCAAAATAAGGACAGAAAGGCTGTCTAAAAACCACGTCTCCCAAAAAGGAGCTTTCAGACTCACTAAAAACTTGAGTACTCTTCTGAACTATCCCCTTTGTCACTCTTGGTCTTGATGGGCAATTAATTAAATAAGAAATCCACCCTTTGGAAGTAAAGCAGGGTCAAACAATACCCCCTTAAATCCAAATTAGGGCATTTATCTAGAATTCAAAGGTGGTGGGCTGATGATTCAGATTTTTTGTCAAATAAAAGTTATGACAGTTTTAAAAAGTGGATCTTGAAAGGTTTAACTGCACATAATTTGTCTGTCCAAAAGGGGTTATTTCAGAGATTTTAGGCTGTGCAACAAAAGATAAGGAAAGGGTCATTTTTATGGATACTTTTAAGTTAGGCATCGTGTTATTCCAAAAATTTGAGTCAGGATTTCTTGAACGGATGGTACTTTGGCATCCAGCAGTCTAAACAAGAGCACACATATTTTCTGAAGAAAAAAATGTGAAAGAGAGAGAAAGGAATTGATTTCTGTGGAGAGTTTGCCGGCTGCTATGGATCTCAACAGGGTCAAACACACAGCTCACGCTCTGCTGGAAGAACATGGTGAGATTTTTGTTACATCAGGGAAGTTGGAGACTGTGTGAAACTGAAGGAGTCAATCACTTCCATAGATTCTGGGATTTCCTTGTTATTAGAATATGCTCGGAAGAGATCCAGAAACAAATACTTTGGTGGACATATTTCTATTCAGTATGTTAATACTCGATGCTCATGCAAAGTAACCTCTTCTGGCTTTAACAACAGCTTGGCATATACCAGGCATTGTTCCACAAGTTTTTTAAGGTATGTTCCAGGGCATTCCCAGCTTTCTTAAGTTCATTAAAAAGAGACTGCTGATTCGTGGGACGCGTTTTTCTGACCAATCGGTCTAATTCATCCCAACACAAGCTCAATTGGAGAAAGGTCTGGAGACTGAGGGGGCCAAACCATCTTTTGAAGAACACCTCTTGTTTTTTGACTAGGTAACCCTGACAGAGCTTGGCAGAGTGCTTAGGGTCATTGTCTTGCTGCAAAACAAACTTATGAGCCACAAGTCTGAGTCCAGATGGAACAGCATGGTGCTGGAGGATGGATTGGTACTGTTCCTTCTTCATGATACCCTTTACTTCAAACAAATCTCCTACTTCATCACCTGCAAAACACCCCCATACCATGGAACTACCACCTCCATGCTGAATTGTGGGTGTAACACATGGGGCTCTATTTTCGTGTACGCCGGTGAGGCGACGGAGGGTGGCGGACCCCGCGCAGTGGTCTTTCCGTCTGGTGCAGCCCGGTGTACAGCCAGTCTGGTATTTTCGTGGACTGAGGTGCACGGAGGCGAACCGAGATCTGCCAAGCTGGGCGTGGTGGCGTGGCAGGGGGAGGTGTCGACAGAATCAGCGGGCGCAGTGACGTTTTCGTGCTCGCCACCGGCGTGTGAAGTGCGCTGAAAGCTCGCCGATTCAAACCTGGTCAGCTTTCAGCGGAGGCGGAGCGCAGCTGGTCTAGTAGTATTTTGGTAGACCAGCGGCGTATTGGCATACGTCACTGATACCTCACCGGCAGGTTTCCACAGTGTCAGGAACATTTCAGTGCAATAAATAATCATCAACAACTAATAATTTGAGTCAGCACATACATTTAAATCTATATCGATATACTCTGATCTATATCTGATCTGATGAGCGCGTTTGGCACGCGTTTGGACACACAACCTGACCGAATCAACACAGCTGAAACCGCATTAAATTGAATTAAATGTCTAGTAAATAGACACACATGATGAAGTTAACTAGATATGTAATTCGTCTCCCTCCTTTTCTTTCTTCCTCTTCCTCTTATTTCTCGCACAGCTCGACCTGGACACGTCTCCGTGCCCTTTCTCCATCCTGCTGCTGCGGCGGCTGAACAGATGATTTGTTTCAGTGCTCAGATGCGTTATCTACTTTAAGCCGACATACGGATATTATAATATTCAGTTTTGTGAGGCAAATTTATTTTATATGCCAACATCTATGAAAGAAAGAGCCAGGCCACGGAGCGTGATGCGTCATTTATGCACAGATGGTTCCAATTTTAATGCCATTTTTGGAGTTTATGTTGTGATCTGTGCGCACAACCCACCTTTGTCGTGAGGTTTGAATATATGCAACTTTATGTGAGTGTCTTTATTTGTGGAAAAAGGTATTTGTCTTACCAGTGGGTAAGACAAACACCTTCACAGAGAGTGTGGAGAACGCCCACTGCAGCGCTTACAGTGACACTTGTTGAGGAGCTGCCTTCTGTCGCCATCTTGTGGCATTACTGTTTTCAGACATCTCTTAAACTCTTTGACTACTTCACGAAAATAGTAATACGCCTTGCCGGTGGCGGATTTAAAGGCAAGGAGAGGAGCTGATGTGATTGGTGAAAACAGGTCTCGGCTGTGTTAAACCCACTCCACGCCCTCTCTCCTTCCTTGCTACGACTTACGCCGCTGGGAGGAGCTGAGTTAGGGAGGGGGGATACTTACGCCGGGCTGCGCTGCTCACCAAAATACCAAATTGTGCTTGGGAACGCCTTGTCGGCGCGGCGGACCTGACTTACGCCGTGCCTGCGGCACATCTCCGGCGAGGCATGAAAATAGAGCCCATGGTGCTTTCAGACGTTCACCAGTTTGTCTGCGGACATAGACTCTGTGTTTTGAACCAAACAGTGCAAACTTGTTTCTAGCCATCATAAGTCCAATTTTTGTGAGCTTTTGCCCCCTCACATCTCTTTTTCTTGTTCTGTGGACAAAGTAGTGTTTTTTTGCAGATACACAACCCTTCAGACTAGCCTTTCAAACGTCATTTCATGGTTGTCAGAGATATGGGTTTCGACCTTGTCATGTTGATTTCCTCCCTTATTTTTGGTGCTGTCTTTTGCCGATCTCTCTTACTGGTGACAATGCTATGTTTATCCTCTGCTTTTGTAGTAACTCTCTTTCGTCCAGGTCTTTTTCTATCATCATAACTTCCAGGTTCCTCTAGTCTCTTCAGAGTGTAGTGGACGCCTTTGTTAAACACCTTTAGATGTTTTGCCATCTCTCTTTCTGTGTATCCTTCTTTCCTCAATATACAAATCTGTACTTTTGTTTCTTTACTCAGTTGCTTCTTTCTTTCTAGCCATTTTTGCGGTAGTTTGAACGCAGTTGAGATTTATTAGGATTTTTGTATGCAGACTCTCAAAAGCCAAAAAGTTAAAGTGAATAATCCAACTGTGATTTGTTTTTTTTTGCTTTTGCACTGAAGTTGTGACTCTTGCAAATGTTTTCAACCCTAAAACTAAGCCCTTGTTATCTTTTGCTGACATATACTTAGCAATGGTCTGTTAACATCAATGTATATCTAAAGGTAAATGGAGTAAAATGGTGCATTTCCATGAAAGCAACATCTGATCATGGAGTAAATACATCCCAAAATACATAAAACTCATGCTGGATTTTAAAAAAAGCATTGTGAACAAAAACTTGAAGTTACTCCCAACTGTTCGGCCTGTAATTGCCTTGCTTCCAAACTTTTGGCTTATACATATATAACCTTTCAGATGTCCTTTCAGTGAATTCTGTTTAAATTCCTCTTCTTCTTTCCCTTCTAATGCGGTCATTGTTTTTGTATCTCTGTGACTTTGGAAGTACCTCGTCAAGTAAGCTCCCTTGCTCTATTTTTTATGTTAAAACAACTGAGTGAATAAAATTTAAAAAAATTAAAGAAAAGCTACATGACATGCAGACTTTTGACCCTGCCTTTACTAATCTTTAAAGGATGGATAAATTGTTTGTAGAGCAGAAGGTCAATTCTGATATGGTGATATTATAATATTACATGCTACGGTAGTGGAAACATCTTCCTCTTTTGAACTGCCTTCTCATTTTACACAATTTTGACTATCCAAGAAGCTGGAAAAATGTTCACCCTCTTGTCCAACTTGTGTCTGTGTAACTTGATTTTCTTGAGTGTTTATCATACAAATAACTGCAGTTGTGTTCTCCCTTTACAGGCCCGGGATGTGCGCAACAATGAGGTGGTGGCCATTAAGAAAATGTCCTACAGCGGCAAGCAGACAAACGAGGTGACCACCATCTCTTCCATCTCAATTCAAGTGTATAAATCCTGCTCTCCTTGTTTTTACTCGACCTCTATTTTTCTATATGAAAAGCAAACTCTGGTGACATTAATGCTGTGGGCATCACTAGTGCATCGCAACAGCATTGAAACAGATCATGGACACTGCTCCAGTCTGTAAATATATCCATTCCTCACATGATACAGATGTTACACTCTTAATACAATTGAATAGAATAATTTAAGGTTCAAGGTTTCATTATAGGTACCCATGAAGGTTCATTGGTTGTGCAGTCTTAAGATTGTGCATTACAAAAACAAAATAAAATAAAAAATAAATAAAACAGCACATTCAGCACAACAAATACAAAATTAAAAGGACATCCAGACAAAATGAATCAAATATTGGTTTAAATTCAGTCATGACTAAGTGCTTACACAGACACCCACTCCAAGAGATAAAATTGTTCAAGTGCAAAACTTTGTGTGAGCATTGTTCAGTGTTCCTGAAGCTGTAGGTACAAAAGTGTTCTGTAACTTGTCGTTCGGAGGCAAAGGCAGTACTATGAGCTGCAGTGTCGCCAGTACAAGAGAAAGATGTTACTGGCTCATCGTTCTCTCAACGAGAAAAACACACCAACAGCTAGAGCATCAAAACTGTCTGCTTCAAATCCATGCAAGGGTTTGTTCTGCTGTGGAGTGTACCAACCCAAGGTGTCTTTCACATCCTATCAGGAACAGGTTTTGGTGAGCAGAAAGGGTTTCATGTCAGCCCTCTGATGATGCCAGCCAGGTTGCTACTGTGCCTTCTTTGGCTGCACCAGCACACTATGTCAGAGCCCATGGAGGCAGTCTTGTGACTTCAGTCTTCCAATAGGCAGAACTGAAGTGGTGTCATCCATTCTATGTACAGTAAATGCTCCGGAATCACCTATCAGCTAGCTGGCCCACTGGACAAATTGATTAAGAGCGAAATCAAGAGGTCACCATATCGTGAAACAAGAAGATGGGATCGAGTCAATGTTTTAACATGTGCTCATTGTCTAACATATTACAAATTATGTGCATTTATCTCTCAATCTTCCTTAAAATGTGTGTGTGTTTTTTTTTTTATTTACACAAAACCTGTTTAAGAATATGTAGAAAAAAGAAGACATGAGACCAGAAATCTGTTTCAATTGGTGTTTTGTCTTTCTATGTAGAAATGGCAGGACATCATCAAAGAAGTGAAATTCCTGCAGAAACTTCGCCACCCCAACACTATCGAGTACCTGGGCTGTTACCTGAAGGAGCACACAGCATGGGTACAAAATGCATCAGTACATAGTGACAGACATGAAGACTGGTCTTTACTTTTGACTTGACACCACAGAACAAGGTGTCACTAGTTGTAAATCATGTTCAGACGTATCCATCTGGACTAAAGAGCTTTTTTTGCTGTAATACATATGTGTCAAACTCAAGGCCCGCGGGCCACATCCGGCCCGGCATGCAATTATGTCCGGCCCGCGAGATCATTTTATATTATTGTTACGAATGGCCCGACGATATGAAGCGCTGGTAACACAATAAACTACAGATCCCATAACGCAGCGCTTTAGCTGCCTAGCCGAGCGCTTTCCAAGTCAATCAGCTCAAGTGCCTGTTGCTGCTAGTTATTGTGAAGCTAGCCCCTCATGATGCCTAAGAGAAAAGTTGATTCTGAAAACAGAGCCTTTCAAAATCGATGGGAGGCTGAGTATATGTTTACTGACATTGCCGGTAAGCCCGTTTGTCTCATTTGTGGCGCTAATGTGGCTGTACTTAAAGAGTTTAATCTAAGACGGCACTATGAGACAAAACATCAGGATAACCTGAAAGACCTGAATGCAGAGCAGAAGATACAGAAAGTAGAAGAGTTAAAGAAGAAGCTTGTTTACTTAAAGCACAAGCACTGTAACAATTTTTCTTTATTTTTTCAGGCATTTTTTTGCAGCATTGTCATATTTATTTTATATATATATATATATATATATATATATATATATAGTATATAACATATAATTTTGACTGGATATATTTTTATGGAGAGCAAGACATTTTAGTTTATTTTAAGTTTAAGTTTATTTATTCCAGAATAAAATTTCTGTCTGTTTGTATTCAAATTTATGTTAAAAAAACATTTTGTTTTAGTGTGTTCAATAAATGTTTATTCTGTTCGGCCCGCGACCTGAGGTGTGTTTTGAATTTTGGCCCCCTGTGCAATTGAGTTTGACACCCCTGCTGTAATACTAAGCTTCATCATCGCACTGGTTGTCATATGTGAACATTAATATATCATGAATATCAGTAATTACTATGTGTGGCCCTCATGGTTTTTATGTCTCCCTCAGCTGGTAATGGAGTACTGCCTCGGCTCAGCTTCAGACCTCCTTGAAGGTCAGTTTGACACCTCACACTTTCTTTGATATGCAGTAATTGTTGCAGAATTCTGAATTGTGACTCTTCATGTGTTTTGCAGTTCACAAAAAGCCTCTCCAGGAAATTGAAATAGCTGCTATAACCCATGGTGCACTGCAGGGATTAGCATATCTTCACTCTCACAACATGATTCACAGGTAAGATCTTAAGCAACAAGTTGGATCCTCACATGCTAACCTAAATCTTTCTAACTTACATTTGTATTATTTGCATGCATTTATTGTCTCCTGAGGCTTATGCTTTTCCTCAGAGTTTAGTTTTGAAAGATGTTTTTGGAGCTGGCTTCATCTCTGTGAGCACCATGTTTGTATTCTGCAGGGATGTGAAAGCAGGAAACATACTACTGACAGAGCCTGGTCAGGTCAAACTCGGGGACTTTGGTTCTGCTTCAATTGTGTCTCCAGCAAACTCCTTTGTTGGGACTCCCTATTGGTGAGTGTTAAAAAAAAAAGCACAACTAATGCCCTCTGTTGCACAGCTCCACCAGATTCCACTGAGGAAAAGTCCTGCTCCACAACAACAATGTTCATAATTCCAGTTAGTTTTGCTTGGATTTATGTCTTTGTTTTGCTTTTTAGGATGGCCCCAGAGGTGATCTTAGCCATGGATGAGGGCCAGTATGATGGCAAAGTGGATGTCTGGTCTCTGGGCATTACCTCTATAGAGCTGGGTACTGACCTTCAGTCTGACTCCTTTTTATGTGTTGCTTTGTGTGTTTGTCTTTGTATTTATATGACACTAACAGACTTGTGTTTCTTCCACAGCGGAGAGGAAGCCCCCACTGTTCAACATGAATGCTATGAGTGCCTTATATCACATAGCTCAGAATGAAAGCCCTGTCCTTCAGTCCAATCACTGGTGAGAACATTTCTGTCACCTCCTCTTCAGTCTAGTCTTTGTCTGTTCTGATACCCTTTTTCCTGTTGGAAAGAAAAACTGTTGCTGTGTTTGTTCAGAGACTTCACTCCCCCAGCTCTTTTGCTTTTTACATGGAAGCACTGTTCCAAAATTCCTTGCTTTGCCCAGTTCCTTACTCCATCACACCAATCAACAAAATCCCATTTCTCTGCAGGTCTGATTCCTTCCGGAACTTTGTTGACTCTTGCCTACAGAAGATTCCCCAGGACCGGCCTACCTCGGATGTGCTGCTGAATGTAAGAGAGAGTCACAGCGAAACATGCGCATAGCTAATAAGTGGATCTGTAATAATGAAATTTTATGTACATTATGATGGTTACCTTTGGGAAATTTTATTGGATGTGTAAACAACAGCCAGTCAATCTGCAGTTTATAGCTTGAACATCAAACAAAAAGTCTGCCACTGCTCTGTTGTACATTCACTTCATCACTCTTTAAAAGCTATGACTTTACATATACGCCCATCATTTAGAGAGCTGCGCTTTTAATTTACAGAACCACCCTATGCTAATCAGCTGTTTACTTTCCCAGCATCGTTTTTTGTGCCGTGAGCGTCCACTGACAGTGATCATGGACCTGATTGCAAGAACCAAGGATGCAGTGCGGGAGCTTGACAACCTGCAGTACCGCAAGATGAAGAAGATCCTGTTCCAGGAGACCCAGCAGAACGGCCCAGTGTCAGAGGGAGGGGAGGATGAGGAGGTGAGGAGCAGGAAGTCTATACAAGGGGAGAAAGAATAGGAAGAAAGGACAAAAAGTAACCAGGAGAAGGGGGAAGTTGACGACAGAAAAAGTATGAGTGATAGAGAACCCTTTTTTGAGTTTGGATTTAAATGCTCTGACCTTAAAATCGAAGAATATGCTTTTTTTAAAGGCCGATGAATGTAATTTTGATCCTGGTACCTTTTTATATTTGAGAAGAATGTACGTCAACTGAATTAGACTGAAAACAAACCAAACTGCACAAAAACAGACCTGCGTGATGCTAAATCAGGATTGTGTTTGTGTGTCAGGAGGTGGAGCAGTACCTGTTGCAGACAGGAACAGTCAACAGCATGGAGAGCTCCCAGTCAGTGCCCAGTATGTCCATCTCAGCCAGTTCTCAGAGCAGCTCAGTCAACAGTCTGGCCGATGCCTCAGACGATAGTAGCAGTGAGATGGCCATGATGCAGGAAGGCGAGCACACAGTCACCTCCAACAGCTCCATCATCCACAGACCAACGGTAAATACCCCAACAAAGAGCACAACTCATCATATCATGAACTGATCTGGTTCTGTTTGAATGTTCTTTTATTTAAACCGCTCCCTCTTCTTCCCAGGTTCAGGACAACATCTATGATGACCCCTACCAGCCGGAGATGGACCAACCACAGGCTCCCTCTGCTGGACGCCGCCGGGCCTACTATCGCAACAGAGACCACTTTGCCACCATCAGAACTGCGTCCTTAGTAAGATTACTCAGCAGATCCTCTTGCAGAAGGTCTAGCTCCTTCAATGATCTAAGCAGAATATTGATTATGAGGAAAGATGAAAGCCTGGTAGTAGAATGATTTCAATAAAGGATTGAGATCATCTTTTAACTTTTGGATTGGTGTTGGACAGACCACTAACTATATAACATTAAAAGTGACTTTAAAAAGGTAGTTAAAAGTCATTTATTGATAAATCACATAAAAAAAAAAATCCATGGGCAGAGACGGTGTGTGTGTGTGTGTGTGTGTGTGTGTGTGTGTGTGTGTGTGTGTGTGTGTGTGTGTGTGTGTGTGTGTGTGTGTGTGTGTGTGTGTGTGTGTGTGTGTGTGTGTCTAACAGAAATACTCAGTGCTCATGTGCTGGTCTCCTCCCCTCCTCTAGGTGACCCGACAGATCCAGGAGCATGAGCAGGGCTCGGCTCTGCGAGAGCAGATGTCAGGCTATAAACGTATGAGGCGGCAGCACCAGAAACAATTGATGGGGCTGGAGAACAAACTGAAGGCTGAGATGGACGAGCACCAGCTGAAGTTGGACAAAGAGCTGGAGAACCAAAGGAACAGCTTCTCCACGGAGGCTGACAAGTTGGTGAAGAAGCACCAAGCCATCCTGGAGAAGGAGGTGAGACAGACAGACTCTGCAATTTGTGTCAGTTATGAAATTTTTTGCACAAAGGCCTGCAATGAAAACATTACTCAGCAACAATCGTTATTCTACTTGGTGGTTTGTGCCCTGCAGACAAAAGCTGCTCTGGCAGAGGAGAAGAAGTTCCAGCAGCACATCCTGGGCCAGCAGAAGAAAGAGCTGACCAGTTTACTGGAGTCCCAGAAACGCCAGTATCGCCAGCGCAAGGAGCAGCTGAAAGAGGTTGAAGCCAAACACACATCCACGTGTTTTATAATACAAGTGATGATAGAGGGCAGCCAATCATCTTTTGTTCTGTACCAACAGGAGCTGAACGAAAACCAATTGACTCCAAAGCGGGAAAAGCAGGAGTGGTTGATCCGTCAGAAAGAGTGTCTGCAGCAGATGCAGGCAGAGGAGGAGGCTAGTCTACTGCGGAGGCAAAGGCAGTACTATGAGCTGCAGTGTCGCCAGTACAAGAGAAAGATGTTACTGGCTCGCCATAACCTCGAGCAGGACCTGCTCAGAGAGGTACAGCAGTTCAACTCAACTCAGATCCTCGCAGTAGTCTGATAATTTGAAAAAAGAAAATGCTGTTCCATTACTTCATCTAAATCTGTTTTGGAATGAGCAGGTCATGCATGTGTTTCTTATAATCACGTAGTCAAATACACAAAAGTTAAAAGCTTGGAGTAATTAGACTTTTAACGCTAAAGCATCTAAAATATTTCTAAGATTCAGCTAAATCTCCCTGTGTGGTGTTCTTTCTCTACCAGGACCTAAACAAGAAGCAGACCCAGAAGGATCTGGAATGTGCCATGCTGCTTCGGCACCACGAGTCCACTCAGGAGCTTGAATTCAGGCAGCTGAGCTCTGTGCAGCGTACCCGGGCGGAACTGATCAGAACTCAGCACCAAACTGAGCTGACCAACCAGATGGAGTACAACAAACGCCGGGAGCAAGAGCTTCGTCAAAAACACACCGTGGAGGTCCGGCAGCAGCCCAAGAGCCTCAAGGTATGAAGAAGACCTGATTGATTGAGTGAGTACTCTGTTTATAATTGAAGAACCAGCTCCACAGGAAATCACCTCAGGAATCAGGATGTGATTGAATTAAATAGATCAAAAGAAAATGTTAGTTTTGGCACACAGAATACAGGATATTTCAGTGTTAGGTATAATATAGTTCTTGATACAAAATCATTTTTCAGTCCAAAGAGCTGCAGATCAAGCGCCAGTTTCAGGAAACCTGTAAGATCCAGACCCGTCAGTACAAAGCCCTGAGGAACCACCTGCTGGAGAGCACTCCAAAATCTGACCACAAGGCCGTCCTCAAACGCCTCAAAGAGGAACAGACACGTAAGCTGGCTATCCTAGCCGAGCAATACGACCATTCCATCAACGACATGCTGTCCACACAGGCTGTGAGTAAGGCAAGGACCCCCGTGCACCTGCTACACGTCTACATCTGCAAACTACATCCATCCATCTACTATCTTTAAAAAGGTCCTGGATTTATTTTCAAATCTGTAAACCAGTGAGTTTTATTTTTGTTTTAAACTGATTTCTCAAATTTTGTAGACTTGAAAGATGAGCCACTAAATGTTAAAAGAAAAAAAAAATCTAAATACTGTTTAGAAAAAGGAGAGAGAATAGGTTGTCTCACACACATACAAAACATTTCAAACACCAGCCCCTTTATCCTTATTATTGTTTCGGTCTCCAAATGGATACTAATTCTGGTCTCAATTTGTCGCCACAGCTGCGACTGGATGAGACCCAGGAGGCAGAGTATCAGGTGCTGCGGATGCAGCTGCAGCAGGAGCTGGAGTTGCTGAATGC